TTTATAAAAAGTAGGATATAAATACAAATAAAGTATGCACGTTCAAAACTTAATACAATGGGGACAAAATGGTTTGGAATATATCTAAAATACTTTTACCACTGTAATTTTTTTTTGTCTTTGAATATACTGAAAAGCAGTATGTAGAAAAAAAATGGTCTTCTGCTTGGGGAATATATAACATTTCTTTTATCTGAAAAATATTCTCACCTTTTTTAACTCCTCACAAAATGATTTCTTTGAATTTTTTTGGACCTGCTGGTTAGATTTCATTTTTTGCTTTGTAGTTGATTTCTATAAATAAATGAAAAAAATCGGAAGAAAATTTAGAAATTAGGAAACTAATTATCACTTATAATAGTGGGGAGCAATAATCAACGTCCATTCTTTAATTTATAGCATTTATATGCCCTCCTAATTCAGAGACTCTGCAGTGTGCAAAACATGATATACCGGTACTACCAGTCCAACTAAAATACTTTTTAACCCATTGAAAAACACCCTAAAATGTAAAACTAACTGGTTATCCGTAATTCCTCATTAGGGGCCAAAGGTCTGCTGAAATAAAATGGTTTTCAGTGCCTTCTGAAACAGCAAAGGGAAGGGACCAAGCAGAGTGTTTGACTATATGGGGGGTTATTAGAGATGACCTGCCTTTTCACCTATTCCTTTCGCCGTTATTCAAAAGAAGATCATAGTGAGCAAATCCCTGACATAATCAAGTAAACATAGAATAAAGTTTTATTTGTAATAACCAGTATTTTGCATTAGGTTCCAAAATCTTTGGCAATCAGTGCAGCAAGTGCAGAATAGGGCCACTCTGCAATTATGGGTCTTCAGTATAAGCTGTCTAGTTACTATGGTATATTCTGCACCAGTTACAGCACACAGTCTGTAAAGGCAGCACCACGTAGAGCAGGTGTGTCAAACTCACATCATGTGATGTGTCGTGACATTGCGACTTTTTTTTCCATTGCCAGCAATGGGGCGTTTTGCCATGACGCATCTGGCCCGCAGGCCAGCAGTTTGACACCCCTGACATAGAATGTATTGTGAGAATCCTATCATGTGTTGGTCAAGGTATGATTTAGTGTCACTAAGGCTTCCTGTGGTAACATGTGCATCATCTGAAGCTGAACAAAAGCCTCTGACCAAAAAATTCAAGGGGGATTCTCAAATATCAGATGTGCTCCTTTGGGGGAATGGCACCATAATTAGAACAACCATGGGACACAATATTTCCAGACAGTTAAGATGCTTACATAGCCAGCATCTCCATTTTGCTAGATTTATTCTGAGCTTGGTTTTCCTCATCTAATCCCTATAGCCTGCAGATTCTGGTTCAAGACACTGATAATACCGTACTCCAAACTGAATCATGATCTCCCATAGCCTTTTCAAATAGATACTAAATAACACCGGGAAGAGGGCTGGGCCTTGTACTTCACTCTAGAGCAGCCATAGGTCAGGTCACCCACCTCTATGACTAGCTACATAGGTACAAATGCAGAGGCTCAAGGTATAATTATTCTGAAAGAAATACATGCATTTTTCAAATTAATGAAATATTCCTCTCAACTGATCACCAAATCTGACTATAGCGCTTTCCTAAAAATTCATACCTCATCACCTGCATCCTTTTTATTTGCTTGTTGGTTGCGTTTCTTCTCAAATTCCTTCTGACGAGCAAGTTTTTGCTTCTGTTTCAATTCTTCACGCTATTAGCACAAATATAAATATATTCTTATACACTATGACAATTAGAACTCTCCTGATCCTGCTTTAAACTAATAATGGTCATTCCTCTAATATTTATCTGGTTATTGTACTTCACTGTACAGGGCTTTATACATTATGCACTGTATGACATATGGCATACAAATGCTTTAATTATTTTAGCAGATATAGAAGATAATCCAGCAAACATGGAATAATGGTTTTAAAATACCTGATAGGTGCTCAGAAAATATCCGTTCTGTTTTCAATAAAAAATGGTTAATTGCCTAATTTTATATGCCTACATGCCAAAGTTTAAACTGTTTTACCTGTTGTTTCCTATGTTCAGCTTCCCGAAGAATCTCTTCTTTAAATGGAGCAGTATTGGGAACTCCGGGATCTTTCTTTGGCTTCTTGTGCTTATGTTTCTTGGCTTCTTTTCGTAGTTTTTTATTGTGTTCTCGTACCTATAAAAACCAGTGACCAACTTTTACTATTACAGATTTTCAAACCTGAGATTTTTCATTCCCCTTTCCTCTTCATATAAAACTTCAACACTTTCTATGCTACATATTCTTAGTTTGTAAAGGACATGTTTTATTAAACATGGTGGGCAATTAATTATCAGAACACAAATGTGGCACGCAATTGTATAGGATCACATCTTGCAATAAAAAAGGAGACTCACAAATTTGGATCTAAGTGTACCTTATCATTGCTATTTAGAGCCAGCTACAGATGCTATACAAAACACAATTTTATTCTGATTTTTGGAACTTTGAAACTTTTTTTACTTATTCATTCCTTTCTAAACTTTATGTATTAAAAGTATGATGCAAACTATAAAAGTTAGCTTGTCCCTAATCATGAATTCTAAGGGCACTGTGGGATATTTTAAGCTTATGAGGGAAACACAGTGATACTCAACATTTGTTGAATATTATGAGTGTCATGAACAAAAAAAATGGCACTTCTGGTTTAAAACAATTCTGCAATGTTATTTAATGTATCCTATATCTCCAAGCTTAGGGAGCAGCAAATTTATGGAATAAGAGTAATGGCAAGTAGAGAGCTGTCAACTGTCATCTGATGTGATAATATCAATTGATATCCAGGATTGAGAAATGGCAGGGCAAGAGGGTATGAGTTTTGACCAATAATTTAAATGACATCTGTAAAAAGAACACCAACACAACAGTCCTGATATAGCCTAGCTGTGTAGTTGAGAAATGGGGATGAGGACCTTCTCTGAATGTTCTCTGATTGTAAGCCAGGATAGAAAACTGGGATACACAATGGGAACAGCAAACTCCATACTTATTTAAACAGGAATTAATTCAAAATACACACTTACCTTTTTCTGTATTTTATAACGTTTGTGGCAGGTCATGCGCTTACTAGCTTTTTTCAGCTCTGAAAGGTAAAAATGCCATAAGTTAAATTCTATCATCAGATATCGGACAAATGAAATATGGGCCACACTACTCTTCCACAACTATGAATCTAGAAATGGAATTTAATAAATTGGGAGGTAAATGCCTGAATACATGTAAATTACAGATAGTCCTCGACTTACAACCACAAATGAGCCCAAAATTTCTGTTAAGTGAGAAATTTGTTAAGTGAGTTTTGCTCCATTTTATGATCCTTCTAGCCTCAGTTAAGTAAATCACTGTGGATGATAAGTTACTAACCCGGTTGTTAAGTGAATCTGGCTACCTCATTGACTTTGCTTGTTGGAAAGTTATAAAAGGTGATCACATGACCAGGGGACACTGCAACTATCATAAATATGAACCAGTTGCCAAGCTTAATTTTAATCACGCGACCATGGGGATGCTGCAAAGGTCATAACTGTGAAAAACGACCACAAGTCACTTTTTTCAGTGCTATTGTAATTTTGAATGGTCACTAAATGAACTGTTGTAAATTGAGGATTACTTGTACTTAGGTGATATTAGAATTTTATCCTGTCTTTACACGAACACACACAATATGATTAGAAATGTAATCTTTTCTTAGTTCACAGTGCTTAAAATTTAAGTCTTTTGGATTAGTCACAATTGCTTCTAGTCTGTGGTCATCAAAGTAACAAGTAACAACAAATGAATAGTTGGCTGACATAGTGTACAATATCTTTGTTTTTTTCCCCAATGATTTTCCCCCTGCATTATATATTTTAAGATTGTAAGCTTTCCCATTCATTTTTTTTAAACAACCAGAACTCACCAGTACAAATAGAGATTTAATTAACTTGTCTCCATTTGAGAGCACAAGATCATATTAGAAGCCATACAGAACAAAACCCTTAGAAAATCAAGATAAGAAGTGCAAATGGGGCTGCATTTCTAGAATTCTTTGCTTCTTGCTACTTAATTTTGCATCAGCTTTTGGGGGGGGGGGCGATGCAAGCAAGCCACATTATCCCAAAAAGTGCTGTTTAAAAGGCAACTGGACTTTGTTTTTTTCCCCTTGGAAATGTTTAGTTTCTCATCCAATTCTGAAACTGAAGAAATTTCTTGGATAAGAAGTGAAACGTTTTCAAGGGGAAAAAAACCCAAGAAAGTCCAGTTGTAAGAGATAACATTTATTGTCATTTTTTTACTGTGAGCACATTGGCCCACATTAAAAATGAAATTGTTGCCTGTTCTACACACACACACACACACACACACACACACACATATATATATATATATAAATGGAATATGGAATATATAGAATATACACATACATTTTTGGGACAATCTTAAGCAGGATGACTGAAAATCAAGCCGTGTTACCCACAGACTTCTCTCATTTCCAGCCCTCATGGCTCTGCTGGCTGCGGAAATCCAACGCATCTGGGGAAGATCAGGATGGATCAAGTGGGCCTGGATCACATGTGCCTGTCCGGAACACGTCTCTACACTCGTTCCTTGTGGAAACAAGTGGCCCCTTCCGATCTAGGTCACTTTTGGCCGGACCAGCTCGCGAAGCAAAGGCCCAGGAAAGATACCCTGTACGGAGCTCCTTTCCCCGCGTCTCTCCAGTTGCGAGTTATTAACCAACTGCTCGACTCCCATTACCAGCCCACGCTGGTTTGTCCTCCCATAGCTGCTGCATTACTTACTCGGTCGTTTCATGGCGGCCGGACGCGACTCTCTTCTTCTTCTTCTCGGCGACCCACGTGGAAACAAGAACTCGCCGAGAGGCTGCCGTAAAGCGCCGTGCCCGGGCTGTCGCTCTGCGAGTCTCGCTTGGCGGCTGAGTCCAGCTTTGCGACAGCGGCGGGATCGCTTGGGAGCGAGCGAGCGAGCGAACTGAGCGGCAACAGTGGCGGCAACGCCGACGGCGCGGGGGGCAGTGGCGGCGACGGGGACTGAGCGCGGCCGCGGCTGCAGGAGGCGGAGGATTAGCAGCAGCAGCGGGGCTGGCTGGGTAAGTTCAGGGTGAGGGGCCGGGCTTGGCTTGGCTTGGGAAAATAAACGGCGCTCGCGGGAAGGGAAGACAGGAGGCCGCGACGAAGTCTCCTTTGTGTGGCTCCGGAGCCGCCGGGCGAGATTCTTTTGCCGAAGCCCCGCTATCTTCGCCTCGCCTCCCGAGGACTCGGGGCTGCTCGTCTCCCTTTGGCTCCTCTTCGGGTCTGCCCGTTTCTGACCGGCCTTCTCTTCCCTCCCGAGGGGAAAGAGACCGGCCCTCCCACCTACCCCCTGAACTGCCTCTGACCTACTAACCCTCTTTTCTCTCTGACTTTCACACACATCCCCCCTGCAAATCTTCCCGTATTTCTGATCGGTAGTGGATTCTTCCCAGGAATTTGTGGGTGATTTATCTGTTTTTCGGGTTTTCTTTTTCCCTTGTCACCACGTTAGGGGAAATAAAAAAAAAACCCCAACATTTCACAACCAGTTAACAGGAGGTATCCTAAGCCTCTGGTGGAGAAATGATTTGAAGTTTTCGCCTTACTCCAGAGCAGAGCTGCTGCACTTGTCAAAAGTAATCAATTCTTTGACTGAATCCTCTCTCTCTCATCCTCTTCTCCATATAGAGGCGTAAACAATCTTATTGGCTACTTTTTCACAGTAAAACTTTCTTCTGAAATAACAAATTATAGTTTCTTGAAAAGCATGGCTTTAGGTTTTCTGATAAAAAGAATATGAAATACAGGTACTGCTTGTTATGTGGCCACAACAGGTGTTAATTTGAATTTAGCATATTGTATGAATCCGTCCACAGTTACTTCACAAAGCAGAAAAGGACAGGAATTCTGCAAATTATAACAGCTAAAAAGAGTGATATGTACCATCAAGTGTAAAATTGACTGCCCTTTAATATTTCATATTTCCTTTATTTAAAGATGCTGAAGAGCTTAGCAGTGTACTGGAATTTATAGTTTAGCTATTCACCTAATAGCCAATATTTTGAAACATCCAATGTTCATTTATTTCTATATTTAAGGAGTTATATATTTCTCATTTTGCTTAGCCAGTGAAAATATGTCATTCTATTGAGACTGTCTTAATTTTTTGCCTGTTAAAATAAATTTTGAAAAGCTAAGGAAGCCATTGTCAGAAGAGAACTCCATTGGTTTTCTTTTCTTTTTTTTTTAGCATATTGATAACATCCAAATAGACAGATTTGGCTGACACGTTTAACAAGCTTTCAAGTTGCACAGAACCTTTTTCAGATCTACAGTATAATGAAGGAGTCTTATATTTTTGGAAATTAGAATTCTCTACTCCAAATTATTAAAATTATCTGGTCCAAAAAGGAAAAATGTAGTTAGATGGTTGTTTTCATTTAATAATAGAATAATGGTTATTTCTACAGAATACTACAAGATGCTGTTTTCATGCTTCTGATAAATATAGATTTTTTTCATTTCATTCTACCCAGAAATTATAGCTTAAAAGTGGTGTTTTATATATGAAAAATAGTTTTGTTCTTGATATGAATTTTAGCAATTTAGCTGATATACCTAAATCAGAAAAATTAACATATTGTAACAATTGTAACTATGTTGACAGTTTATTTAAAATACTTAAAGCATAGTAATTATCTAAAGTCAAGTAAACATTCTCATACTGTTCAAGAAACTAACTAATAGAAAAAGAATGATAGTTCAGTCGGTGGAGTATTTGTTGTTTTAGTTATTAACTGTTAAGTCATTTGATATAAAGATTTAGAATAAAAGGCAGACTACAAAATGCCCTTTTAGATAGTAGGTTAAGTATTATTTTTAAATGCACTATATTATGTACTCTTTTTTGTACCTGAAACAATTGTAAAAGGATTATTTACATTTAAAAAATACTCGTCACAATATTGTCTTTTAGGACAGGGTGGCCAAGAGGCCATGGCCACCGGTAGTGGGCCTCCGCCCATAGATTGGGGACCTCTGTTTTAGGACATGCAGTATAATGCAAAGAATAGAAAGGGAGTAGGTAAAAAAATTAAAGGCAGAAGATGTGAAAAAGAAATATAACTAAAAGTATTTTATATCAACATTACTTATTATAATGCTCTATCCTTTCAAATTATGCTTATTTCCACACTATTTCATGCACTGTTTTATTTTCGATCTTTTCTTTTTTGAAGAACTCATCAACTCTCTCCAATCACAGCTTTCATGTTTTCCCTTCTCAGATCATTCATTTTTGTTTCACAATGTTTTATTTCCAGTTTGATCCTCTTTCATCCTTACCAAATCACCTCAGTGAATTTCTTTTGAACTGGTTAGTCACAGTTGCCTTTAATCTATGTTCATTTAACACTCTTTGGTTTCTGATAATGTTTCTTCTATTATTATATGCTGTCAATAATTAATCTATTCTCACCACATTTGACGTAAATTTCTTTTGGCATACCTGTCTCTTACTTCTGTATAATAAAATGGGCAGAAAACATTATTTTTAAATTGCCATTTTTGTTTTTTTCAACAAGCATTGATGCTTCACAACAGACCATCATTTTAATCTTTTCTTCCAAAATTTGCATGTTACAATTTCTCCACCCATTTTTCCAACTTAAGGAAAATTCAAGTAAGATATATAAATTAATCTTCCTTCGTGTTTTGTTATTTACAGAAACTTGCAGTTGTTCTACTTACTTTTTCTAGTCAAATGCAATTACAGGTAGTCCTTGACTTACAAGGGTTCATTTAGTGACCGTTCAAAGTTACAACAGAACTGAAAAAAGTGACTTATGACTATTTTTCACACTTATAATCACTACAGCATCCCTATGGTTACGTAATCAAAATTCTGATTCTTAACTGACTCATATTTATGATGATTGCAGTGTCCTGGGGTCATGTGATCACCTCTTGTGACTTTCTGACAAGCAAAGTCAATAGGGAAACCAGATTCACTTAACAGCTGTGTTACTAACTTAACAACTGCACTGATTCCCTTAACAACTGTGGCAAGATAGGTCATAAAACATGGCAAAATTCACTTAACAAATGATTCACTTAGCAACAGAAATTATGGTTGTAAGTCGAACTACGTGTACTTTGGTTTTTATTATAATAATATTGACATATACAGACACAGGTTGTGTCTGAATCTAACATTCACATGAATCATTTTGGTTCTCTCCCATAATGTCACATCATCTGCATACAAAAGTATAAGCACTTTCATGTCCCCAATATCACAACTAACAAGACACATTTCCTAATATATTTATTCATTTTGATTTTAAAAAATCAATCAGACATTAAACATCTATCCTGCTTCCTGCCTAATGTTGAATCATTTGATAATCATTCAGTGTCCTTATGTATATTGTAGTTCAATTAGATCCTCTTTACCATATTTAGCAACCATACTAACACCATACTTACATTAAATGTTCCATAATTCAAGCTTATTCTCTTTACTCTACACTTTCTTTGAATAAAAAATATGTAGTAGATCATATATTCGTACATTCTTTGAAAACATTCTCAAAAGCAAAAATCTCTATACAAAAAGTCATACAGCTCTATTTTGCTAATATTATCTCACACGTTTTCTATCAGAATTGCCAAGCACCTTGCCAAGCATACTTACCAGATTAATCTCTTTACATTCATTCTTGCTATCTTTTCCTTTGTTTGGCGAACAATAACACTATTCTTTTATTGTCAGGTACTGAAGCAGCTGCCTCACACACACACACAAAATACCCAAGTCAGATAGGCAGTCCATAAGCAAACCAAGTCAATGTTCTAATAATCTATCTGCTTTTACCATCTACACGCTACTATTCTTTAATATTCACATAACATATTCTTTTTTTATCAGTTTTTAAAAACTAGTTATAGGATTCATTTGAATTTTGCTCTTCATTATCATACTCAAGCAAATCTCCTTCCAGAATTCTCTCACTTCAGTTTCATCCCATATTATTTAATTATTTCTGAGAGAACCTCCTTGTTGAATCAACAATAGTATTGCAAATATTACCCACTTTCCAACCAATGTTTTATTTTATTTCAAAATCTCTTTTGCTTCTTTTCTTCCTCTTTTAATCAAGGGGTTTTTGCTATCTTGGATTACATTATTTTATACATGTACAATATTTTTCATCCTCAAAGACATTACAAACTGCATTATTATCATTTCAACCACTATATGAAGTACAAACCCATCATTTAACCTTTAACTTTCAATATCTCTGCTTTGTTTGAGTTTGCTTTCAATTTATTTGTCATTTATCAGACAAAATTATAGCTGCTACTCTTGGCTTGGAATAAAATATGAAAAAGTTGTTACCAAAATGTGATTTACTTCTATGTATATGTGAACTATAGTTTGTCGCCTTATGCGTTGTAAATATAGCCAATTATTCCAAAATCAATGACTAAGTTATAGTTTGAAGGGCTTCAGCTGTATTTAAAAATGTTAGATGTGTGTCTGCATTTTTAACTAGAAGTTTTTATAATGATTTATAATTTATTATTATAATTAAACCTGTTTTATGATGTATACTGGCCTTTGCAATTTCTGAATGTTATTTTTTGAATGCTGTTCATTATTTAAGTAGAATAACAATAGATACACTATAGTGATTTGTATATAATGAACAGTCTTTTTTGTTAGTATAGTTCTGTAATAATATGACCATTAAGACCCTACTTCTACCATATCAAGTAGCAGAGTTTTATACTGATTAGTTTAAAACTACAAACTTTATTCACTTATTCTAAGACTGCTAGTTTCATTCTGAATTTTGAATAAACATTATTTCAAATTTGCTAACAACCCAGTTATTGTAATCCTACATTGTGCTGTTTTCTATTGTTTTCCTTATTCTTTCTTCTTAATTCCTTTATTTACCTTTCTTCCTTTGTTTCTTCTCTGTTTTCCTTTCCTTTTGTTATCTTCTCTTTCAGTTTTGGCTGTACTAATACTGCGGCTGAGTTGGTGCTTTAAAGATTTCGCTTTTCTCAGTTTGTTTACTTGCCTATCAGACATTATGAGGAGATTGGCTTTTCGTGGTGCTGGTTGTACTCTGGTAAATCTGGTAATTTGCTGGTAATGTGTGTGCTGTTTGTCCCTCTTCCATACATCTCAGCCATTTTTGTTTTATAAAGGTAGTCCCTGACTTATAACCACAAGTGAGCCAAAAATTTCTGTTGTTAAGTACGTAATACATTTGTTAAGTGAATTTTTTCCCATTTTATGACCTTTCCTGCCTCGATTGTTAAGTAAATCACTGCAGTTACTAAATTAAGTAACATGGTTGTTAAGTGAATCTGGTTTCCCCATTGACTTTGCTTGTCAGAAGGTCACAAAAGGTGATCACATGACACAGCAACCGTCATAAAGATGAACCAGTTGCCAAACATCTGAATTTTGATCACATGACCATGGAGCTGCTGGAAAGATCGTAACTGTGAAAAACAGTCATAAGTCAATTTTTTTAAGTGCCGTTGTAACTTTGTACAGTCACTAAATGAACTGTTGTAAGTCGAGAACTACCTGTATTTGTAAATGTCATGTTTTTTTTCATTTATCTCATGAATGTATTTTAATTTGGTTATCAGACATGAAGTGCAAATGCATTAACACAATTGCATTAGACTAACTGTATATTGTATATTCTTAAAATATTTTTCTGTAAATAAAAATTGGAAAACATGATTTTCTATTTGTTTCCATTGGAAAACCAACTATAGTAATCTTATATTTTAATTTTTTTAAAAGAACTTGACTGGGATAACAGCTGAGAGGGTTATTTATTTTATTTTTTGTTTTTAAATGAGTAGGAAATTTTGAAAGGTTTATGAATCACTTCACACTTTAAAATTGCAAACAAGTCATTAGCTCACTTGTTCATGGTCATCTTTTAGTCTGCATTTGTACTGTGTAAATTAAGATTCAGCTTTTTCGTCTCTAGTTCCTTATGGTTCCATAATTGCTTTATGCTTTAAATAAAAAATAGTTTAAGTAACATATACTTTGTTTAAAATTGGTTGATCTTTTAATTTCAGTAGTAATTATATTACATTGTAATTAATGTTTGTCTTCAATTAAATAATAGTTTTCTTAGAAAGTACTGGCAAAATATAAGAACCTTACTTAACTTAAGATTCTTTTATATTTTGTTTTCAGCACTTAATCTATGTCCACATTAATGTATTCAACCTATTGTGTAATATCACTGTATTCTCCTGACAGAAGCATTTCTACTGGTGTTGATGAGTTTAGATTGCATCATTTACTTCTAGCTTACCCAACAAATTATTTTCAAATAATATTTTATATCCTTTCACTTTTTCTTTTAGAACCCTTTTGCACAAATCACAGTAACTTTTACGGCATAAATTTTGCATGCCTACTTCAAAATCATGCTTAACATAACTATATACTTTTTTAAAATGTTACATATGAAAGTACTTTGGGACATAAATTGCTCTTATATTGAATATAGCCTATGAGAAATACAATCATAATCTCTGTAATTACTGTATGTTTAAGTTTAGCAACTAATTCATGATTCACTTGTAATTGAACATTCATTCTTCAGTCACAATTGGTCTTTGCTGTTGGCACAAAACAAGAGTTTGGTTGTAATTACTTTTGCTTAATGTTGTACATTGCCTTGAAAGCTGTCAGGTGGACAAAAGGAGATTGATATACTGTATTCGCTTAAATTAGTTATTAGGACAATACTTGATGTCTAGATTTTTCAAGCATTTAGAAATCACAAAATAACATAATTAATTGATTTAGCCAGCACAAGCATTGATAATGTTTCTTTTAGAAATAGAAATGTTTCAGTCCCTTCAGAAAACCATTTATTTTGTTATAATTTTGTCATCAAGGGGCTTGGATAATACCATGATTGCTTGGCAGTAAAAATATTAATATAATATTCCAATATATTATATTTCCCAAACTTGTCTCTATTCCCCAGACAGCATGGCCATTTCCCAGAATTCTGGGATCTAAAGTGTGTAAGAAGCTATGTGTTGTCCAGAAGTTATCTAAAAACAAATTTTCTAAGATAGAAGGTTATTTACAGTATTCCAGACATGTTCCAAGCCCACAAAATTGTATGCAAAAAATGCCCTAGAGAGCTAGAGGGTATGGGAATAGTTCCTTATCAGCGTGTTTCTTTATTGTTCTTAGTTAGCCATGCTCACAATGGTAGCCATTGTGTGAATAGGTGTGAAGTCAGTTTATCAGAATAACCATATTCTTTCAAAATACACAGAGTACCAAAGACACACTGAAACCTGCTATAAATTATTTCAAATAATGGAATTGTTGATTTTTTAGTGTTTACTATCTTATTATCTTCTGTTCTCTTTGTTTGAAAGCTTCAAGTTTAAGAACACTTTTCTCTATTATAGAAGAAGTTGGATTCCATGAGCTCAAAGAGGCGAAGGGCTACCTCTCCTTCTAGCAGTGCCAGTGGAGGAGATTTTGATGATGGTCACCATTCCACAAACACACCAGGTCCAAGTAGGAAGCGGAGAAGACTTTCCAACCTCCCAACAGTTGATCCTGTAAATACCTTGAATGTCTATCTTTCTAGCCTGATCATTGTGTACAAGAAACAGTCTATTACAGAGGTCCTCAAGCTTTTGGGGACCGGTTACATGGAGAAAGGTTTTTCCGTGGACTGGAGGGGGCATGGTTTTGTGTGCTGCCTGCATCCCGCAGATGGGGCTTTGCTTGTTTGTGTGGCCCAGTTGCTGGCATGCCACAGACTGGTACCGGTCCATGGACTGGGGGTTGGGGACCCCTGGTCTATTATATCACCAGAAATCAATTGTTAAACTCTTTGTTCTTTTAAGTTCTTGAGAGAACAAAAATATCAAACCTTTAAATTAGATGATATGCATACAGATTGGAGAATAATGAAGTATCAGAATTGCTACAAATATATTTTGCATTTTAAGTTTGCTGAAAAATGTTGAATTACAGGGACTCCTTGTTTAGCAACTGGTCTGTAAAGCAAAGGAAAGTTGAAGTGAGATCATAAGTCATGTTTCATGTCATGACCATTTTATTTAACAACCAAGTTGCCAGCCCCAGGTGTGGTTGTAAATGAGGACTTCCTGTACGCTTAATTGCACTTTATGAGTGATGCAACTCACCATCTTCTTTGAAGTTGACAGCTTTCCCTGGGTTGTTGAAGTCAGAGTCTTCAGACTTGGTATGATGGTGGAGTGGAATGTTAGTGCAGTTGAAGGAAATAACAAATAAAAACTTCTACATTTAAGTTTTTTAAAATCTCCTAGCCATCTTCCTTATATTGGGCTGATTTTTCTTAGAGTCATAGGGATGTCTGCTGATAAAACAAAAGGGTGCTGATTATTTTTCTTAGGAGTATTTCTAGTATCAGAAAGACCAAACATTTTTTGTTATAAAATAACAACAAACCTCATTTTAAATAATAATATAAAACAGTAAGTTAAGAAAAATTGTCCCTGCCCATTTTCGGAGTGTAGACCTCCCCTACTGGGCAAACTCTGGCACGTAAACTGGCAAAAGGTGGAGGCCCCTTTCTTGTACAGTAGGATTTTCTCCTTTAGATGTTCCTTTAGGAAATGAATTTTATTTGTATATAAGCTGTTTAACATGTTCACGGACAAAATTCATTTTTCCCCAGCCTATCTTCAAATTAATAAAACAGAATCTCTTTGTTTAGTTCAGTTTGGTTGGTTGATTTTGGCTGTTTTGATTGCTTATTTTGTGCACAGACTTTGTAATTGGAATTGGCAGCTTGATGGTTGAGGGAGACTATCAAACACAACTTTGACAATGAAATGGTTAAGGATGACTTAAGACTACAGATATGAATTGGGAAGAGATAAAAGAGGTTAAGTCATGTTTGACCATGCTTAGCTACTGGTCATGACTCTGTGTTATTAGCTCATTGATGGTTCTTTCTTTTCCAACTGGTCAAATTGACCAAATTAAGAAATCCTTACAGGTCATAGCATATGATTCCATTTATAACAAAAATACCTGAAATACACACACACACACACACACACACACACACACACACACACATTTTTAAATTAGAAGGTAAATTTTGGTCAGTATAAGATGGCATTTTCTTTAAACTTCTTTTTCTGGACAAAACTAGTAATGTATCCCATCTCTCCCATGGCTTCAGCATTTTATGAAATTTTACATGGCGTTGTCCTTCGTTCTTGCTGGCTCATCTCTAAAAAGGAAAAATGCTACATGATTTTGAAACATGAAATGTTTTGAACATTAGAAATATAGTGTTTTATAGATACTCAATATCACTGCAAATGTACTTTTATTTTTTCCTGTTGCCCTACTATTTTAGATTGCCGTTTGCCATGAATTATACAACACAATCAGAGATTACAAAGATGAACAAGGAAGGCTTTTATGTGAATTGTTCATTAGGGCCCCCAAAAGGCGGTAAGCTTAAGGTCTTGATTGATAAGTAATCTAATGTATGTATTTTGATGTTTTAGTATTTATGTAGAGTATGTAAAACAATTTGCTATAAAGTGTTTTAAGTGCAAAACTTTGTGAAATGTCTAGCTGTAACTGCAAAATTGCAAAAGCATCAAGAAGGCTATTTGGGCCATTTCAGGAGGGTCTCAAACTTCAACCAGCCTCTTAGTGCAGGATGTTTGAGGGAGTTCCATGCTCAAAATGATTCAAAAGAAGATGTTAGATGTACTCCTAGTATTTATGTTTTTGTTTGTAGTTGGATGATCAAGTTACTTATATTTATAAATAGAAGGAGCTGGTTTTGGTTGTTATATTTCAACAGAAGTAAGATTTATAAATACAATAATACAGTTGTCCCCAATCTTTTGGACACCAGGGACTGTGCCATGGAGAAAGATTTTTCTGCACACCAGAAAAGTCATTAAAGAATACTGCCTGCATCCTGAGGACGGAGCTTTGCTTTGTTTATGCAACCCGCTTGCTGGCGTGCTGCGGACTGGTGCTGGTCCAGGGACTGGGGGTTGGGAACCCCTGCAATAATACATGAAGATATGTTAGGCAAAAATACTAATGACAAAGACCTCTTTTCATATTTCATACCTCTTATGAGAATTCAGGAAAGCCTTGCAGGAGGCTTCTGCAAGTTTAAAGAAGGAGATGAGATGCAGGGAATCTTTGTCGGCAATCACATGATTGAGAATTGGACATTTGGCAACAGGCAGATATTTTCAACCATCATAGTGTCCTGTGGTCACATGATTGCCATATGCATCCTTCACAGTCAGTTTTCGGCAAACAGAGTCAATGGTGAAACCAGCTGAAAAATAGCAAGTCGCGATCATGTGATGACTTGTTTAGCAACTGTGGCAGAAATAAGATTGTAAGTTTGTTAATAACACGATGTCTTACTTAACAACGGTGTTATTTAGCGATGAAGTTGCCATTCCCAATTGTTAAATGAAGACTTCCTATAATAAAAATAGCTCAGGGAACAGTGCTGATGTCAGAAATCCATTATTTTGTTACTATGCTGATGTAACTGTTGATATAATTGACAAAATTATTCTGGCTTTTGAATAGAATTATCGGGAGTATATATTTTAACACCTATTGTGAGGCACTGTGATATTTGTATTAATTGCATTTTCAAAATGTTATTACAACAGAAATCAGCCAGATTACTATGAAGTAGTTTCCCAGCCTATTGATTTAATGAAGATCCAACAAAAGTTAAAAATGGAGGAATATGATGATGTGAACGTCTTAACTGCTGACTTCCAACTGCTGTTTAATAATGCAAAATCCTATTATAAGGTGATAGTGCTTTATTTTAAAAGTCATGGGTTATATTTTCTAGCACTGATTTATATATGAGTTAAGTAAATAGGTGGAAAAGGTCATTTCAAGCCTCTCAAAAGCTGACAATTAGAACAAGTAGCTTTTATTCTCATTTGTAATATAATTACAGTTAATGACATTTTATCTGATATTAATACTATAACTGTTATATATGTATATATGAATGCTTTTACTTATTAAAAATGATTAGATCTAAAATGTTTTAGCGAGAAGCACCTACTTAAATTATGGAGCCAGTGAGAGATGAAGCAAGTGCCCCCACTCTGGATCCAAACCACCTTTCCTATTTTAATTAGAAGTATCCTTGTTTATTTGCTAATTTAAAAACAAAGAGTATTGTTTTGATTCTGTTACATAGCCAGATTCTCCTGAATATAAGGCTGCCTGCAAATTGTGGGATTTATATGTACGGACAAAAAATGAATTTGTTCAGAAGGGAGAGGCTGAGGATGACGAAGAGGAAGATGAAGGCCATGACAATCAAGGGACTATTTCTGAAATAGTAAGTATGAACTTTGCTACTTGACAATAAATATAATACTTATATTGTATTGGTCTGTGGCCAAGTCAAAGTATGCACAATTGAATTAATCACATTTTTTAACATTTATACTTACTATGCAATTGCCTTAACAGGTTTTTTTTTGTATCAGTCTTCTCCAGGTTATTTAAAAGAAATTCTTGAACAACTTCTTGAAGCAGTAGTTGTAGCTACAAATCCATCAGGCCACCTTATTAGTGAACTTTTTCAGAAGCTTCCCTCTAAAGTGGTGAGTCACAATACCTAAAAATAATTATTATAATACACTTTATTGAACCAATTTTAGTACAAGACTATTAGCAGAAGTGAAATCTAAACATGAGTATAAAAAGCACCAGGTTGAATTGAGACAGAAAATAGGAAAACCATTCCATGTGACAAAAACTCTGCAAATGCCATTTTCCTGTTGCCTGCTTTCTCTTTCTTTCTTTTTTTCTTTCTTTCTTTCTTTCTTTCTTTCTTTCTTTCTTTCTTTCTTTCTTTCTTTTTTTCTTTCTTTCTTTCTTTGCTTTTTTTACACTTAATTTTATGAATTTTTTAAAGCATATGGATAAAAAACAACATAAAGTAATAAGAGAAAATATAAAGAATATAAAGAGAATAGAGATAGAAATGAAAAGAGGTATAAAGAAAAAGAAAGGAAAATGAAAATGACTTCCAACTTCTTCTTCCAAGTATATAAGATCACTTTTGACTCTTAATTTAAAACTATGCTATAATATAATTCCCATTTTAACTTAGCCATGGTTGCCAGTTCTGTCATCTTTATTAATCATTCCTCTACTGTAGGTATCATAGGATCTTTCCAATGCTGGGCATATAAAAATTGCGCTGCTGTTATATAAAATGCCATGTGATTTTCCCCATATCTTATCCATAAACCCAAACAAAAAAGTTTCATCTGAATTGTAGAGTAATTTTCAAGATTTTTTTAAAATTACATTACTAATTTCATCCAATATTATTTAGCTCTTTTGCAAGACGACCAAAGGTGATAAAGAGTTTTACACTTCCAGCAACTATTTGGAGATCCTTTATATATTTTAGCCAATTTTTCTGGGAATAAGTACCATGTATTTATAATTTTATAAAAGTTCTTTTTCAGGTTATAACATAACGTAAATTTCAGTCCCCTTATCCACAAGTTTTCCTACTGATCAATTGGTATATTGAAATTTTTTTGCTCAGCTTATCACACAGCTTTTAACTAATTCATCTTCCATTCCTGATTTTAACAAGTTTATACATTTTAGCAATAAGGTGTTCATCATTTGTACACAGTTCCATATCAAAAGTAGTTTTATCATGTTCAAAATCATAGAGTTTCTTGTTAACTTTAAATCTCACCATGAGTTCCAGATACAAAAAACATTGACAGTTGAAACATTCTAATGTCAGTTCCTCGCTAGATTTTAATTTGATATCATCTGTAGTGTATTCCAATAAATCTGCATATCTTAACCATTTTTATCCAGTCCTCATTTTGTTTCTATAATGTACTTCAAGGGGAGAAAGCCATAAAGGTATTGGCCTAATCTCATTTTATATTTATTCCAAATTCTCAAAATGGCTTGCCTAATAAAATGGCTATGAAGCCAATATTAATTTTAACTTTATCGTAGCATAGACACATATGCCATGCAAATTTCAAATCACAGCCTTCTGGATCTATTAATCATGTATCTCTTAACATCACCCAAGAAAGGCAAGAAGCTGTAAAGGGCAATTCAAATCTGGTAGGCCTAAACTTCCCCTCTCTTTAGCACAGGCATGTCAAACTCACGACGTCACATGATGTCGCGTGACGCATCAGAACTTTTTCCCCATTGCCGGCAATGGGATGGATGCGGTTTCGGTGTGACGCATCCATGGGCCGGCAGTTTGACATGCCTGCTTTAGCATCATATAAGATCTTATGTTTAACTCTTGGATTTTTCTTCTCTTCCAGTTGCATGCTTTCTTGACCTCTGTTTGTCTTGGTTTATCTGAGTTAGCTGAGGGGAATTGATTAGGTGAATCTGTAGAATGTTAAGAGCTCTCAGGTTGAGGAAGTAGTGCTGCTGAGTCTTAAAGTAGGCAGTAGATTGCCCACTCCTGAGCAACCTCACCATGGATCCAACAAAATAGAATACAGCTGTCTGAACTTGCATGATATCTCAATAGCTTTTGATCCTTCTCACAAGGTAGAAGCATTGTGAGTTGAGAGAGAGAAAAAAATATAGTATTAGATGAGTGTATATTTTCACCCCAACAGGTATAGGCAACAGAACATAGGGAAGAAAAGCCAAATGCACAGATGAAGTGATGGTATGAATGAGAGCCAATAGAATCATAAAGTTGGAAGGGACCTTGGAGGTCTCCTAATCCAGGCATGTCAAACTGCTGGCCCATGGGCCGGATGCATCATACTGAAACTGCGCCTATCCCATTGCCGGCAATGGGGGGAAAGTCGCAATACGTAGTGCGACGTCACGTGACGTTGGGAGTTTGACATGTCTGTTCTAATCCAGTCTGAGACTGAATTCTGACAAGATAGAGGCTTCATTGGCAGAGTGATTCTTGAGTATGGGAATTGAGGAGCTTGCTGTTCTGACAAGCATGGTCGTTTCTATTCATGATTTTTTTATATAAAAGTTTATTGATTTTCTATTTTTACAAATCATAGGTTCTTAGTAAAACAACGTGTTGTCAAACAACGTGTTGTCTGGGCTCATTTCCCACTTAACAATACATATTAAAATTATTCTGTATCTTATTTTTCTTTGACTGAAGATAATGCCACCAGGTTCCTGAGACAATGGAGGGATGGGCGGATAGACAGATAGACAGACAGACAGACAGACAGACAGACAGACAGACAGATTTAATAATGATAACAAAGTAGTAACTTGCAGATTTCTTAGAATAGAGCTAACCCTAATTTGCTGTACATATTAGGGTTCTCTGGGCTTCTGAAATTCAATATTAGGCAGTGGTTTTCCCAGCAATCAATTAATTGACATCTCCTAGGAAACTTCCAATCACCAACCCACCCTCCAGTTTCAGATCTTACACAGACTGTAAAGACTGCATGGCAGTGCCGCCTTCTGAATCGTACTAAGGAAACCTTCCTTTGAGAACAGGGCAAAATGTCCACAGAAAGTGTGGTTGGTATTTTGGTAGTGATTTTCCAAAGCCTGGAGAACTTGATGCTAAGTATGTATAGTGGTAACTGGTAAACAAACAATCTATATGATCAAAAAGTGTAGTCATTAAGACCAGTGGGGGTAGACATCACTGTAAAAGATTGCGTATGTCACTGATTGTAACTTGTGAAATTCAGATAGAAAAACTACAGTACATAGAATAGTTAATCAATCAATGTTTCACATGGCATCATTTAGATTTATTTTTTAAACTTTCAGCAATATCCTGATTATTATGCAATAATTAAAGAGCCCATAGATTTGAAGACTATCGCTCAGCGGATACAGGTGCAGTATAAATTTGGCTGTATTGCCTTGAACACAAAATCCAGAAGATGAAACAGTTTTGAAAAGAAATATTTGGAGTAATGAAATTTAAAGCAACACTTTTGTTTTTAGGTTATAGCTTTCTTAGATTAATTATTAAATTAACCAAACAAAATTAGCTTAGAGATTGTTTCCTACCATTGTTTTCTTGTTTTCTGAAAGAATTATTTAGTGACATTTCTTTTTAAATTGTTTATTTTTGTTCTTTTTATTTATATGGTAAAAATACTTTTATATATTGTGCTTTTGTTTCTAATTATATATTACGTTTTCATTATGTTTGTATAGATCAGGGGTAGGCAACCTTGGCTCTTTTATGGTGTCTCGTGGACACCAACTCCCAGAATTCCTGAGCCAGCCTCTAGGAGTTGAAGTCCATGAGTCATAAAAGAGCCATGGTTGCCTACTCCTAGTATAGATTATGTAAATGACAGAAAAACTCTGAAGTCCACACAGCAAAGTTTTAAATTATACATATCTAATATGAAAATAATTTTTCAATTTTTAATCTGCTTTTACTTGTAGAACGGAAGCTATAAAAGCATTCATGCAATGACCAAGGATATAGATCTGTTAGTTAAAAATGCCAAAACTTACAATGAACCAGGATCTCAAGTATTCAAGGTTGGTTAAAAAGTAGAATTCAATTTCTTTTATCACAATACACATGCATAATATTAACATTCAGTAATTACAAGAATAGAAAACAATTCTGAAGATTGGATTTGTACAAGCTCACTCTTAGTTATAGAGTATTCTCTGTGATTTGATAGAAGTGAAGGGAGAAAAGACTTTTTCAAAGCTCTTCTGGTTTAGGCTTCCAAGGTTGGAGAGTCACATTTGCTTTTTGGTTTTTCCATAGTGGTTTGTTTATCCACTTCAAATAGCATTTATATTCCAGTTCCTTTGTGCTTAAAAATGTCAAGGTACTCAATTATATCAGTTCTGAACTTTGTATCTATGGAGATTCTCAATCATCCAGGTTGTCCCAAAAAGTGCTTTTTTCAAAAGGCAACTGGACTTTGTTTTTTTTTTTTTTTTCTTGAAGACGTTTCTTTTCTCATCCAAAAAGCTTCTTCAGTTCAGAAATGTTGTCAAGGAAAAAAAACAAAAGAAAATCGAATTGCCTTTAAAAAAAAAAAAACATTTTGGGATCTAGACTTAGTAGTTGGTCACTTTGATCCTGCATCTCAAACGTTACCAAGATAATAACTCCAAACCAGTTCTGGGATGTACGTAATCCTCCCAATTATTTTATTGTCAAATAATAGATTGGGTTTTGTAGCTGAAAGAGTTATTTGATTAATGCAGAAAACAAGATAAATCTTTGATTCCAGTTACATTGTATGAACTAAATAAAATTAAATGATAATAGACCTTATTTTTAAATATATATAAGTATGATTATGGCTTTCACATAACATTTTTTACCAGTGAATTATACCAAATTTAATAGGATCCATGCCACTTGCAGCATTTCATGTTAATGATAAGGGCAATATTTAGGAATGTTTTGGCCATATGCCACAAGTTTAATCAAAACTCAGTCTTAGCCCAAATTTATTTATGTTATTCTGGTTTCTAATCTAGAGACTACTTTTCAAGCCAGCATGCTTTATCTACGATCAGCAAACCTGGAAGTATATAATAGGCTCAGTATGCTATATATCTAAGATGTATGGACATAGTACAGGCAAGATAACAATGTATTTATCTATCCTTGCAGACTATTCTTTTGTAAACTTCATTCAAATATTCCTTTTTTACTTCCTTTAACAGGATGCAAATGCAATAAAGAAAATATTTAATATGAAAAAGGCAGAAATTGAGCATTCAGAATTAACTAAATCAAGTCTCCGAGTCAGGTATTGTAAGCAGAATAGAAATATAGAAAGGTATTGATATTTTCTTTTTTAGTTAACATTTTAACTTTTATGTGTTAAATATTAAAATTATCTATAGCACTGAATTGTGGAGAAATAGTTGTTTTTAAAAATGTATATTAAAGAATATTAGGTGTCACAATATTATGATCTGATGCAAGATCTGATTTAAGATATTAAGCAGACATGACACCACATGCTCCTTAATTTTATGAATTTAATCTACAGTTCGGGATAGTGAAGATCTGTATTACTGTTTCTTAGTTTTAATTTTTTTAAAGAAATTGGGAATCATGGAATATTAAATCCTCCTATTAAGACTGTGCATAGCATTCATACAAAGTGTATTGCAATATTTAGGACCAGTACATTGCAGAAGCTTGACAAACAATATGGCTGTTTTAGCAATTTGTTTCTGCTCTCATGTGTTGCAATTCATCTCTTTCGAATGCTTTACACATTCTTAATCTGTTTGTTCTCTTTTCATATGCCTTCAACTTTCTTAGTAAATTTATGTCTAAATTTTCCCCTACTGTATTCTGTATCTATATGCTGACTAGGTAATTCTGGGAATTGAAGTTCACACATCTTAAAGTTTACTGAGGTTGAGAAACACTGGTTTATATTATATAGTCCAAGTTATTATACTATGAATAAGATCAGCAAAAAAAGAAGGATGCAAAGTTTTAGGCCTCAAGTCCTGAAAATTTAGAATTAGAGAACATAATTCAGGCTTTTCTACGAGAGTTCGCTCTATTCTTTTTATTTTGGGCGTGTTTTATGTTTTAGTATTCTTCCTAATTGTTGAACAGATTTGAATATATGAAATATTGTTCACTTGCTTTTATCTTTATATTTTATTATGAACTGGGACAAATCTGGCTTTTGTTACTTCTGTGCTGCATAATTTGCTTTAAAATTGATCTCAATGTGGTTTTTTTTATCTTTTGTCTTTAATAACTTAGTCCAAAACACCCCAGTGTCAATTAAGAGTGCTTTTACTTATTATATATTTGCAATTGGATATACATTTTCTCTGGAGTTAGTACTTAAAACTGAGACTACTGTTTTTCCATTCATACTTGACTCTGAAATCAATTGGATTTACTTCCAATAGGTGGAATAATTTAACTTTAAAAATTAGCCCTATTACTATGCCTAAAATATGTTGATTTTACAAACCCTTAGTAATATTCAATCATATATTTATCTGTTCAGTGCAATGGTAGAGTCTTTTGTAGCTTTCAAAACTTATGTAAAAGAGCTGAATCTTAATTGTGTATTATTTTGGCTTTTTGGTGGATTTCTTCTTTTCACTGTCTGTGGCTTATTTATTCTCCATAAAGGACTGGAAATCTGACTGCATCCAGGCTGACAAGTCCTTCCTCACAGGGTAAAGGCAGTGTTGTTGATGAAAGAAATTCTGCTAATAAATATTACCGGTGAGTCCTTAGTATCTAGATATAGTTCAGTCAGTTAATCTTTTCAACAAGCTGGTTTATCCCTCAAATATTAATTGTTAGCTTTATATGTATATAGAAAAAAGTAAGCATTTATTTTAAAAACCCAGAAGAGTTGTCTCATTTGGTAACTTTGATGCCAGTTTTTAAAATATTTATGGTTTTAATAGACATGTATTACGTTGCTTTATTATTAAAGTTATAATTGCTAGTTGGGAGCTGTCCAGAGTTTGATATAAAATGGTTGGCTATATAAATGTGTTAAATAATAGATGGATGTATGGTTCATATATTTTAGGCCTCACTTTCCTTTAAATCTTCTGAATGACCTTGCTATCAAGCCATCCACAAGGGAAGGTGCATCTGTACCATTTTCTAAGTACCTTTCAGATATCTGGAGCAACTGTCAAAATTCTGATCAGGACTCATGTAGCTTCAGAATTCCCAAACGCTCCAATTGTTGTTTGTTTGATTACTTGTTGGTTTTGCTGGTAGATGACTGGATTTTTAAATTATAGTTGAAAAGCCAATAATATTCTCTTCAGATTGCTATGAGAAATTATTTTTTCTTTAGTTATTATCACTCTGTATGCTGTGGAACTTTCCTGACAGCTGGAAGGGATCAGAAACATTTGCAATAATCATGTATTGGTTGTGTCATAGAAAAGGCCATATCAAATTTAAACACGAAATGTTTTCCTGCAGGGGATTGATGTAGCTGTATTTCTGAATGTGAATGAGCCAAGCTTGATTTTGGCTCAGTCAGTGCAAAAAGCCAGTATTGGAGAAATTAGAGGGACTGTAGTGCATCAGTCAGATTGTCTTGCTAGCCAGCTCACTGAACCCAAAAGATAAGAGGATGATGGATTTGAAATTAGAGTTGCTATGTTCCATCAGGTAGTAGATTAACCAATTGAACATTGTTTAATGTATTATAGACACCCTTAATATAATAAATTGTAGGTGACAGGTAAGTTCTTGGGAAAATGTTTTTTTTTCACTATTTCATATTAGGAAGGGATTAATGCCTCTCTTAGGATGACATTTATGACCTAAAATATCATACAAAATAAGCAGTTCTTAAAAATAGTGTACCTTCTATTTTTAATATTACATTACATCAGTCATGAAGAACCTCATAGATTTTGCTCTATGGTTCTCCATAGATGTAGTTCTTTATTGCTGAAAGCCTGATTCAGTTTAAAAGAGTAAGAATGTAATATGTCTGCCATTTACTTGTTTTTTCTAAACAGCATCAATTATTTTGTTTGTTGCACTTTCCATGATACTCAAAGTTATCTGAAGATACAGTATTTATAAAAGAATTCATAAAACATAAAATATAAATGTTAATTGTTTTAAGTATTGCTTAACAATAAAGCACAATATATTTGAAAACATCAGGGTTATGATTTTGGTTAGAGTTAACAAACTCAACTTCCATAATGTAAGAAACAATATAGCATAGATACTAACATGACTCTTTTACATTGTAACCAGGTATATTATTCAGAAAAGAATGTCCAGGCTCTCCTTTCCTTTTCCTTATTGTTCAAGAAGTAGGGAATGTTCATCTAAATCTAATGCATTACTTTCTCAGTAGAATTCCCTTTCAGTGCCCCCTTTTTACTAACTCAGTAGAAAGTGCACATTTTCTCAAAGACAAAAGATAAATACCCATGTCTAACATATCCATCAAGAAACAATCTGTCAACTTTTTTTTTCTTTTTTCATACCTCTCTAGGAAGAAAATAATGGACCTGCATTATAGCTATGTTGAAATATTGAGCTTATAATATTAAACATGTTCCTTTTTCTTTAAGGTAGTATACAATAGTGCTTAAGAATACTGTCCCAATGGCTATTGTATTATTTTCTTATCTGGCTTTCAAATCCAGCAGAAAGGGAACCTTACTTAAAATGAAAATGTCTTCATTTTTGAAAAGTTTGAAAAGTTGCCACCTGTCAGGCCCATTCCTCTGAAATGCACCCACTCCCTCCTGGGAATCCACCATTTTGCAGTATGTTAAACTTGCAAGAGGCTTCTTCTGGAGAGGCAAAAGAACCTTGCATTAGCCCCTGTAAAGCCCAGCATAAAGTTTATAATAAAAAATAAACTGTCCTAGCGAGAGCTATGAAAGAGCTACCCATATTTGCTATATTCCAATCATAGCTATATTCCAATCATAAGGGATTTTTCATTTATTACCTGTCTTTCCTTTAAAAATTCACAGTAACAAAAGAGCTGTCCAAGGCGATCGTTTATCAGCAATAACCATGACACTGCAATATGGATCTGAAAGTGATGAAGATGCTGTTTTAGCTGGTAGGAATTGAAGAAGCATTGTTCATATCTGCTAAGAAATAGTATTCCATTTGTTTTTCTTTGTCTAAAAATATGAGATATACACTTAAGTATTGTCATGTTATGAATTGAAATTATTACATACACTCTCACTTTGGATCTCTTTAGTCAATTTGGAACATATGAAGAGGGAAAAGAGAAAAATACAGTAACAACATATATTTTTGTTCGTCATTCCTAGCTGCTGCCCGTTATGAAGAAGGAGAATCTGAAGCTGAAAGCATTGCTTCATTTATGGATATATCCAATCCTCTCTATCAGCTTTATGATACAGTTAGAAACTGCCGAAACAACCAGGGCCAACTTATATCGGAACCCTTTTTTCATTTGCCCTCAAAGAAAAAATATCCTGATTATTATCAACAAATCAAAATGCCTATTTCATTGCAGCAGATCAGGTAAACTGGTATTCTGCATTTTTACATATGTTAAATTTGTTGTTTTAACAATTGAAAGGAAAGAAGAGTTCTTTTATATGCTAAGATACTCTGCCATGACCATAAATACCACAATAATTTTATTTATTTATTGTTTCTTTTATTTTTAAACCATCCAACAATGAAGTCCATAGGTCATGCCTAAAATGCCCCAAATTTAGCAGCTAGTTAAAAAATTTAAAAACAGATGAAAATCTAATATGAAATTAGGATTTAGTTAACATTTGGGCAAAAATTATTATTTGTAGAAAATAATGTAATAAGCTTTAAAATTATCTAATAGAATTTAAATAAAATAATTCATTACCTCATTCATTATTATCTTTATTCATGTTGTAATTATAAGGAAAAATAGTGTTATTTATTAACTAGAAGAACCAATCAGATTTTTTATTTTGTAGGCATTTGCAAATGAAGTATTGCACCCACATCTTTAAGAACTGGAGCATGTCATCTTTCTTGACTTCTCTTAGTTTGCATTAAAGTGTGTTCCAAACCCAGTAATACCAAATAAAGAATATTGCTTCTAATTTATTTTCTCTTGTGCTGATGAAATCATTTTGCAAAATGTATATCTCTTAACCCTCAAGTAGAAATTAAATGTGAGATTGGGTGGAAAACATTCTGCACTTTAAAATACCAAATATCATTTACAGGAATGATAAAAGATTGTCTTTTCTACAGAACGAAATTGAAGAATCACGAATACGAAACCCTCGACCATTTAGAATGTGATTTAAACTTGATGTTTGAAAATGCAAAACGTTATAATGTTCCAAACTCAGCCATTTATAAGAGAGTTTTGAAAATGCAACAGGTTATGCAGGTAAAACTTCACACTCTGATTCTGGGGCTTATATTCAAAGAAGTTAGTATTTGGTTTGTTCATTATCTAAACTGGCAGAAACTATTGTCTTTAAAAATCTTTTTTCTTCTATTTAGTAATGGAAATATTCCCAATTTTTAACTAAGCATGATCTTACGCACTTTTTCAAGGAAAGGACTTTGAGCGGTCCTATGCTAATTAATTGTAACAATGCTAATAAATCATTGTGTGATGATATTTTTAAGCATAAAGTTTTCACTTAATTTATTGTTCTAGAATGGTTTATTTAGGTATGTCCAATATTTAATATTTTCCCATGATGCAAATGAACTAGACATGCTTTACTTGAAACTTCCCCAATGCTTGAAACTGATGTTTTATCCTTGCAGAAAGAATGTGGCTATTTAATATTCACACATTTTAGTATATTCAGTGATGTAAATTGGATCTGTGATTGGTTCTATTTCAGGCAAAGAAGAAAGAGCTAGCTAGAAGAGATGAAATTGAGGATGGTGATAGTATGATATCTTCTGCCACATCAGATGCTGGGAGTTCAAAAAGGAAAAGGTATTTGCTATTATATATGTCTGTGTTTGACACAGTAGTCGTTTGCTCAATTATTCTCACCAAATATCTCATCAGTAATGTCTAAGGCAAAAAAAATGCACAATCTAATTATCTGCTATGTCCTGTTGAAATTTTGTACAACATTTTTAAGCACAATACGTAACTCTGAGAAGTGTAATTTAGAGAACTGTTGCAAAGTATTAGAAAGAGACCTTCGGTGAAAAAGAAACCCCATCATGACACAAACAAGTCACTTTTCTTAGAAACACTAAAATAATTATGTCCTTTGAAAATCTGCCACAATTGCTTCAGAAGCTAAACCTGCATGATTGTATGTGCACAACCCCTTTTGCTATGCATGATTGTCTGTGCACAAACACATAACACAGAGAGATCAACAAAAACGGCTTTCAAAGCGACCATGAAAATTTCACAAAGAATTGTACTTTTAAGTCGATGTATGTGGCTGCTAATCTCACAAATTTGACTATGGGTGGCTAACAACATATTAAAACAATTTTTAAAAAAATTGTCAAGAATGAAAAAAAAACATCAATGGTCACTGAGGATAAACCTAAACAAAACAATTTCAGCTGGCTAACTCACTCCAAAAACCCCAGGCCTTACACATCCAGGCCCTCAACGCTTTACAAAAGGCCAGCAGGGTCAGAAGTTAGGAAATTTGGCAAGTGGTGGGACTGGTCCCATAAGAGGAGGTGGTCCTGCAAATAACCTCCTCCCGTGCCATGATGGGCCTTCTAGGGGGCAACAAGTACCTTGAATGCCACTGGGAAGTACATTGGGATCCATTATAGCTTGTGGAGCAGAGCTGTGAAATGGGAGCACCAAGGTGTGCCTATAATTGCTCACGCTGTTGCATTCTGGGCCAGTTGCAGTTTCCAGATGGTCTTCATGGGCAACTCTATGTAGAATGCATTACAATGAATCCATTTAGGATATGAATAATGCATGAGTGATTGTGGGCAGTGCCTCCCATTTCAGGAAAGGGTGCAACTGGCCATGGCTGCCACCTGCTCTCAGGATAGAAGTCATGAATTCAGGAGGATCCCTAGAATTGCCTGGGTTCTATTTCTGAATTGTTGTGAACACTTTATTAATTGTTGTTTTGATGTAATCCTATTCAGTCTTAGATTTAAAATATTAGATCTTCACTGCCAGTATGCTTCAAGCTTCCTAAAAGTCTAAGTAATGATTTTAGCTAATTAGGAAGTAAGATACTTTTTCCCATAAGGAAAGAAATGCAATGTTAAGATTGCTATTCTGGGTTAGTATATCAGCTTTGTTTAAATTAAACCAAGATACTCATGCTTCTCTAAAAATTAACTATGTAAATCTAATCAACTATGTCAAGAAAGTCATACATATACAAATTTAGTAGAAGTTATTAAACTTTTAAGTCTCTGGTCCTTTCTTTTTTCCATTAGACCTTTTCCACTTTATTTATTCATTTATTCATGCATACAGACTCTAGGTAATGTATAATATAATAAATAGATTTTCACAGAAAAAATAGCAAATGATTTAGGTTGGATATACCAAGATTAAAGTAGCCTTTTCCTCTCTCTTTAATCTAAACAGTAAGAAGAATATAAAGAAACAGCGAATGAAAATCTTATACAATGTTGTTCTTGAAGCACGAGAACCTGGAACAGGCCGAAGGCTATGTGAACTGTTTATGGTGAAACCTTCCAAAAAAGACTATCCAGATTATTACAAGATTATTTTGGAGCCAATGGATTTAAAAATAATAGAGTATAATATCCGTAGCGATAAATATGCTGGAGAGGAAGCTATGATAGAAGATATGAGGTTAATGTTTCGAAATGCGAGACATTATAACGAAGAAGGCTCACAGGTATACCTGAAGGAAAGATATTTGAAAAGTTATCCATATTTCCCTTAACTTACTCTGTAATTTACAATAAATAAAACTTATTTTTGAAGCTTTATTATATGAATTTCACATAATTTTTTCACACTTGTGTAGGCTCCTTGTGTAGGTTTTGTTTGAAGCTGCCTATACATTTTTTAAGCATCTTAACCATCGGGTTGTTGGATAGGGTACAAATGGCTGTAGTTATTGGGATTGTTTAGTCCTTTAGAAATAATTCTCAGTCTACTGCATCAGATTACTGTTTGCAATCAGATTATTATTGCTTGATGGTAATCTGTAAATCAGTTTATCATGCTGATACTGGAGATAATAGATTTCAGTGGTACCTCAGTACTCTTCATTAATTGGTTCTGGGCAGCACGATGAGTACCAAAAATAATGAGTACCAAACAGATTTTTCCCATAAGGAATAATGTAGTGAGTTACAAGACAGCTGACACCAATAAGTTCTGGCTTGTGCGTTGAGAACCAAACCATCTATGAGTACCAGGACAAAATTTTCACGTCAAAATGCGTTGAGTACCAAATTCAATGAGTTTCAAAGGAGTTGAATGCCATGTTACCACTGTACCAACCAAGCTAGTTATTACTAGCAATTTTACCTGCATGAACTTTTAAACACTATCTCTTTTTAAAAAGCAGATTAATAGCAAATTCAATGGATTATTTAGCTTTTCTTCTCATTGGTCCTGAATCATTCAGTCTTACAGTACTGGCTTTGGGCATTCTAACAAAAGGATTAAGAACAAGTTCCTATCTACTTTTTTTTATATTATATGTAATTTTGTTAGAGTATGAAATAACCAGTACTGTGAACATGGAACATTAGAATCTGATAAATAAGATTTTGAAGTGAGGCTCTTAATCTCATTTAAGAAAAGGCCTTCCACGTTATACTTATTCTAGAAAGATACTCTTACATTTACATTTAGGGGGTTAGAGTGGGCCTTCCTGCTGCAAATTTCTTAGTACAATTTAAGGAATACTTTAACCCTTAAATATGTTATAAATATTAATTAATCAGCCTCCTGGCCATTACCATTCATGCCATTACATGAATATGTACATTAGTACTAGCTAAAACATCAGGCTCACATGGTTGAAAAGCATATACATTTATTGCTTTATTCATTTCGATTATGAATTAATTTTACTTTTGTTGATGATTAATAGGTTTACAATGATGCTCATATTTTGGAGAAAATTCTTAAAGAAAAGAGAAAAGAATTGGGACCGCTGCTTGAAGATGATGAGGTTGCTTCCCCTAAATTAAAGTTAAGTAAGTAATGTTCGTGAATTCTGTTTTGAATAGATAATGTTTATACTGTGGATAGAAAGCTTGTTGAATAATTGAAATAGGTTATTTGAAGTACAAATTCCTAACTTTTGCTTACTTTTTCAATATAATTGAGAAAGATTCATAAACAAAAATAAATGAGTAATAACCTCTATTAGCAATAACACTTAGACTTATACAGTGAGGGAAAAAAGTATTTGATCCCCTGCTGATTTTGTATGTTTGCCCACTGACAAAGAAATGATCAGTCCATAATTTTAATGGTAGGTTTATTTTAACAGTGGGAGACAAAATAACAACAACAAAAATCCAGAAAAATGCATTTCAAAAAAATTATAAATTGATTTGCATTTTAATGAGTAAAATCATTATTTGACCCCTTTGCAAAACATGACTTAGTGCTTGGTGGCAAAACCATTGTTGACAATCACAGAGGTAAGACGTTTCTTGTAGTTAGCCACCAGATTTGCACACATTTCAGGAGGGATTTTGTCCTACTACTCTTTGCAGATCCTCTCCAAGTCATTAAGGTTTCGAGGGTGATGTTTGACAGCTCGAATCTTCAGCTCTCTCCACAGATTTTCTATGGGATTAAGATCTGGAGACTGGCTAGGCCACTCCAGGACCTTAATGTGCTTCTTCTTGAGCCACTCCTTTGTTGCCTTGGCCGTGTGTTTTGGGTCATTGTCATGCAGGAATACCCATCCATGACCCATTTTCAATGCCCTGGCTGAGGGAAGGAGATTCTCACCCAAGATTTGACAGTACATAGCCCCGTCCACCGTCCCTTTGATGCAGTGAAGTTGTCCTGTCCCCTTAGCAGAAAAACACCTCCAAAGCATAATGTTTCTACCTCCATGTTTGATGGTGGGGATGGTGTTCTTGGGATCACAGGCAGCATTTCTGCTCCTCCTAACATGGTGATTTGGGTTGATGCCAAAGAGCTCAATTTTGTCCTCATCTGACCACCCAGTTCTTTTCTGAATCATTCAGATGTTCATTGGCAAACTTCAGACAGGCCTGTACATGTGCTTTCTTGAGCAGGGGCGCTTCAGGATTTCAGTCCTTCATGGCGTAGTGTGTTACCAATTGTTTTCTTGGTGACTATGGTCCCAGCTGCCTTGAGATCATTGACAAGATCCTCCTGTGTAGTTCTGGGCTGATTCCTCATCACTGAAATTCCATGAGGTGAGATCTTGCATGGAACCCCAGACTGAGGGAGATTGACACTTATTTTGTGTTTCTTCCATTTGCGAATAATCGCACCAACTGTTGTCACCCTTCTCACCAAGCTGCTTCGCGATAGTCTTGTAGCCCATTCCAGTCTTTTGTAGGTCTACAATCTTGTCCCTGACATCCTTGGACAGCTCTTTGGTCTTGGCCATAATGGAGAGTTTGGAATCTGGTTGATTGATTGTTTCTGTGGACAGGTGTCTTTTATACAGGTAACAAGTAGGGATTAAGAGCACTCCCTTTAAGAGAGTGCCCCTAATCGCCACTCATTACCTGTATAAAAGACACCTGGGAGCCAGAAATCTTGCTGATTGATAGGGGATCAAATACTTATTTCACTCATTAAAATGCAAATCAATTTATAACTTTTTAAATTTTTCTGGATTTTTGTTGTTGTTATTTTGTCTCCCACTGTTAAAATAAACCTACCATTAAAATTATGGACTGATCATTTCTTTGTCAGTGGGCAAACATACAAAATCAGCAGGGGATCAAATACTTTTTCCCCTCACTGTATACCATATCACAGTGCTTTACAGCAGTTTACAGAGTCAGCCTGTTGCCCCCAACAATCTGGATCCTCATTTTACCGACCTTGGAAGGATGGAAGGCTGAGTCAATCCTGAGCTGATTAAAATTGAACTCTTGCCAGTGAGCAGTGAGTTAGCCTGCAATACTGCATTCTAACCATTGTGCCATCATAGCTCTTGAGTAAATGAGTATTATTCATTTATTTTTGTTTATGAATCTTTCTCAATTATATTGACTCTTTTGCTTGCTAATCTTGTATTAAACTAACTAACTACATGTATTAAATTATATGCTAGATTTCTGGGACATAGGACATTCTAACAGTTAATATTAGATGAAGGCAATGCAGCCTTCTAAGATTACAGATAAATGTTGTCTTCCAGAGACTGCTCCAATTCTCATCCTTGAAAAGTTGCAAAATGCCCTAAAACGAGGCAAGAATAAGGTACTTTTTAGATTTTAGGGAAGCAAATGATTATAAGTAATATTTATAAAGAAGTAATTATTATTACAACTGTGTTTTGTCTTAACTTTGTAAAATCATACTTGTCTTTAATAGCATTTACTGTAAACCTTTAATACTGAATATGGCTTTAGTTAGTAATACAAATTACTAATGATTCAGAGATAAATATTAGTACTGAATTTTATACTTAGTGGTCAGTGCCATGACCCAAAAGTTTATCAAACATGACTCATACATAGGTTTCAGCCTTATTTTTTTGTGCAGTCACAAAATCATATGTAATAGAGAATCTCAAGATGTGGATATAATTATCTGTTAAATTCCTGTGATCATGGAGTCTAATGAGTATGTCTTTTACTTTTGACAAAAGTAATGTGACCCTTACAGTAGTTTTTCTCTCACTACTTTGAATGTACCATGTCATGTGTTCCACTGTGAAGGAACATTCAGAGTGTGTTGAAAAATATAAAAAGTCTTACCAATTAGATCTACCTGATCAAAAATCCTATTAATATATGAGCAATCAAAGTTGCAAATGGTAAAATTTAATTTTATCTCCCTAGGTAGAAAAACTGGCATTTCTCCTAAAAAATCAAAATATATGACTCCAATGCAACAGAAGCTTAATGAAGTATACGAAGCTGTGAAGAACTATACAGATAAACGAGGTAGAAGACTCAGTGCTATTTTTCTACGACTTCCATCGCGGTCAGAGCTTCCTGATTATTATCTGACAATTAAAAAGCCAGTTGATATGGAGAAAATCAGAAGTCACATGATGGCCAACAAATATCAGGATATTGATTCTATGGTTGAAGATTTTGTAATGATGTTTAATAATGCCTGCACTTACAATGAACCAGAATCCTTGATTTACAAAGATGCACTTGTGCTACATAAAGTTTTGCTTGAGACTAGAAGAGATATAGAAGGAGATGAAGATTCTCATGTCCCAAATGTAACTCTGCTGATCCAAGAACTTATACATAATCTTTTTGTCTCTGTAATGAGTCACCAGGATGATGAGGGGAGATGCTATAGTGACTCTTTAGCTGAAATTCCTGCTGTTGACCCCAGTTTCCCAAGCAAGCCTCCTTTGACTTTTGATATCATACGGAAAAATGTAGAGAATAACCGCTATAGAAGGTTGGATTTATTCCAAGAACATATGTTTGACGTGTTGGAACGCGCAAGGAGAATGAACCGGTAAGTAAAACGTTACTTTTGCTCTAATTATGACTAAAACAAAGAAAAGCCCTTTTTATAATAAAGCATTTACAAGATATGGGATACGATTGATTTATAAACCTGAAGAAAACTCTTAATTTTTAAAGGCCTTCAAAGGTTTTACATGATGTCTACTTTATGTTCAAGCCTTGATGAAAAAATAGACTTTGTCATTCTAATGGGAATTTTCTTGTAACATTTAGCTTACTGCATTATCAATTAAAATAATACCTACATTTAGTTCTAGATGTTCCTTAGTAGTAACATATGCTAAATATTTTTAAAAACTATTATAGTTTTTTTATTTCATTTCATTTTGACATTTGTCATTACATCTAAAACAGGACCAGAAAAACAGTGTAAGATGCGATTAATATTTATGATGTGTTCATGCTCAAATTACTACGTTTTATATGTTAGCATTATATATACTATTCTTTTCCTTAAAGGACGGATTCAGAGATTTATGAGGATGCTGTAGAACTTCAGCAGTTCTTTATCAAAATCCGTGATGAACTCTGCAAAAATGGTGAAATCTTGTTATCACCAGCCCTTAGCTACACTACTAAACATCTACATAATGATGTAGAAAAAGAGAAGAAGGAAAAACTTCCCAAAGAAATGGAAGAGGACAAACTTAAAAGAGAAGAGGAGAAGAGAGGTAACTGTATGGTGTATATTGTGATACTTCTATTGACATATAATCATTATAAGAGGAGATTGGATAAAGATTGATTTCTGTTATCAGTTATTTTACGCAATGGTCACTGTAGAATAAAGAATAATTATATAATTTTAAATATAGGGAAGTCTCTTAAAAATTCTCTCTTCATAATTTAGCTTTCATTGACCTTCAGATGTTGATACTCAGCAAGAATTTCAGTGAAAATAATTTTAAGTGTAAGGCAAACAATATTAAAGAAATTCTCAAACTTTTAATAGAATCTTCCCTAAAAGAATTATTTGAAAGAATGTGATATTTAGTCAGGAAGTCAACATCAACATTTGTGTTTTTTTAGTGGTATTTTACAGTAACATATTTAAGTTTGGTTGTTTGACAGGCACTTTTTTGCAGCATCAATATAGCTTCTTCAAACTAGCCGTACAGAAGATAAGAATGATTTTGTGTCAAATTGTTTGTTTAACTTCAGACAGCTTTGCCATATTACTGATTCAGTGCAGTGGCTCCCAACCTTTTCTATACCCCGCACCCCTAGAACGCTTCTGATATATTCGCACACCCTTTACAAAAGTTCAAAATAACGGCAACAAATTATGCCTATACACTATAATTTTGAAAGTTTTTGCACCTCCTGGAATATCATCTTGCACCCCTGGTTGAGAACCCCTGAGATAGTGTATCAGTAAGATCACAGCCTGACTTAAGGTTAGATTTTGGAGTTCAAGTTTTCTTACTGTGTTAGATTTATGTAAGATTAGATATGCAAAGATAGTGAATAGCCGACAACGTGGAAATAGTTGAGCTAAATTTATTCTGGTAAATATAGAAGTTAAGATATAAAGCTAGAAAACAGGAGACCCTGAGTTCTAAGTCCTTTAGACACAAAGCTAGCAGGGTGACCTGGGGGCAGTCATTTTCTCTCAGTCCTAGGAAAGAAGCATTGGCAAACCATTTCTAAAAAACTTTGCCAAGAAAACTGCAGGGACTTGTCTAGACAGTCTTCGAGAACTGCACATAATTGAACAGAGGAGAATAAATAGAATATGTTTAGCAGTCCATTAATATTTATGACTGTATTAGTTGGCATTTTGCTAATGTTATTTAGAGTGACCAAAGAATATATTGCGGCATAAGTGTTTGCAAAAGCATGCAACTTCCCCTGTTTGCATTGCCAGTAAAATAACACTGTAAATAAAGATTCCATATATACATTCTGAGCTACTTTACTGTATTCTCATTAGAGGAACAGACTTATGTTATAAGTATATAGCTTCTATATAATAATAGTAATAACAACAACAATAACAATAATAATAAAGTTGAAAGGGACCTTGGAGGTTATCTAGTCCAACTCCCTGCTCAGGCAGGAAACCCTATACCATTTCAGACAAATGACTGTCCAGTCTTTTCTTAAAAACTTCCAGTGTTGGAGCATTCACAGCTTCTGTAGGCAGGTTGTTCCACTGGTTGATTGTTCTAACTGTTAGGAAATTTCTCCTTAGTTCTTGGTTGCTTTTCTCTTTGGTTAGTTTCCATCTGTTTCTTCTTGTCCTGCTTTCAGGTGCTTTGGAGAATAGCTTGACTCCCTTTTCTTTGTGGCAGCCCCTGAGATATTGGAACACAGCTATCATGTCACCCCTCATCCTTCTCTTTATTAAACTAGACATACCCAATTCCAGCAACCATTCCTTATATGTTTTAGCCTCCAGTCCCCTGATCATCTTGTTCCTCTTCTTTGTACTCTTTCCAGATTCTCAACATCTTTTTTACATCGTGGTGACCAAAACTGGATGCAGTATTCCAAGTGTGGCCTTACCAAGGCATTGTAAAGTTGTATTAACATTTCACTTGATCTTGATTCCATCCCTCTGTTAATGCAGCCTAGCACTGTGTTGGCCTTTTTGGCAGCTGCAGCACACTGCTGGCTCATATTTAAGTGATTGTCCACTAGGACTCCAAGATCCCCTTCGTAGTTACTACTATTGAGCAAGGTACCACCTATACTATACCTGTGCATTTGGTTTTTCTTGCCTAAATGTAGAATCTTACTTTTTTCACCATTGAATTTAATTTTGTTAGATAGCACCCTATGTTCAAGTCTGTCAAGATCCTTCTGTATCTTAAGCCTATATTCTGGAGTGTTGGCTATTCCTGCCAGCTAGGTCTCATTTGCAAATTTGATGAGTTTCCCATCTATCCCCTCATCCAAATCATTGATGCTGTCTAACCCACATTTTTCTATCTTATCAAGTAGTAGGTTGTGGTCTACTTTATCAAATGCCTTACTGAAGTCTAAGTAAATTATATCCACAGCATTCCTCTAGTCCACTAATTTTGTCACCTGGTCAAAGAATGCAATAAGATTTGTCTGGCATGATCTGTTTTTGACGAACCCATGTTGGCTTTTGGTAATGACTTTGTTTGCCTCTAGGTGTTCGCTGATTCGTTGTTAGATTATCTTTTCCAGAATCTTCCCCAGGTATTGATAGGTTGATAGGTCTGTAATTTCCTGGATCCGTTTTTTTTTCCTTTTTTGAAGATGGGAACTACATCAGCTCTTTTCCAGTTCTCTGGTATTCCCCAGTGCTCCAGGATCTTTGAAAGATATAGTTCAGTGGTTTTGAGATCATATCTGCCAGTTCCTTCAGGGTATAGTCCATCTGGTCCTGGTGATTTGAACTTCTCTAGGGTGGACAGGTGCTCACCATTTTCTTGCCTATCTTAACTTGTGTTTCTAATCTGTTTTTTATGGTACTGTTTTGATAGGTTGGACTGTTTTTTTCCCTTTGCGTAAATATGGATGCAAAAAACGAGTTGAGTAGTTCGGCTTTCTCCCTGTTGCTTGTCACTTTCTTGCCACTTTCTCCCACTAATGAACCAATCATTTACTTAACTTTTTCTTGTTTTTTACATGTTGAAAGAAGCTTTTTTTGTTATTTTTGACTTTTGTTGCAAGCCTTAGTTTATTTTGAGCCTTAGCTTTCCTTACCTAATCTTTGCAGGCTATTTGCTGATATTCTGCCTTAGTTATGTGCCTCTCTTTCCACTTTTTATACTTGTCCTTTTTGTCTTTCAATTTATCAGAGAGTTCTTTATGCAGCCATGCTGGTTTCTTTTGAGAGCTGTTATTTTTCTTCTTCATTGGTATTGTGCTAAACTGGGCTTTTATAATCTCACTTTTCAAAATTTCCCAAGCTTCTTGTGTTGTTTTCCCCTTGAGGATTCTCAACCATGGAATCCTTCCCAAGCTCTCTCTAAGTTTATTGAAATTATCTCTCTTAAAATCCAAGACTCTAGTTTAACTGTGTTCTATTGCTTGTGCTTGTATAATGTTGAATTCCAATATTGCATGATCACTCCCTCCCAAGGTTCCTGTGGCTTCAACATCTTCTATCATTTCATCTCTGTTAGTGAGAATTAAGTCCAATAGGCTGATCTCCTAGTTCCCTTCTCTACTTTTTGGGAGACAAAGTTGTCTGCTAGGTTTGTCAGAAATCTGTTTGATCTTCCACTTGGTGCAGAGTTTGTCTCCCAGTTGATGTCAGGGTAATTAAAGTCCCCCATTACTATTGTGATGTGCTTCCTGTATACCTTAGTTAACCGACTAGCAAAAAGTTCATCTATTTCCTCTGTTTGGTTGGGTGGCCTATAGTAGATTTTTAGATTAGATTAGATTAGATTACCTTTATTGTCATTTTTTCCTGTGGGCACAACGGCACACATTAAAAATGAAATTTAGTTGCTTGCTGTCAAAGTGTACATAAAGTATACACCTATGGCAATGTCATTTTTCCCCTTTTATATTGACCCAAATGCATTCAAGACTGTGAATAAATAATAGATAGCTTCCATAATAAACTTACACCTTATAACTAATATAGCTTCTTCATTATTCTTATACCTTTAATTTCCAAATGTTTTGGTTTTATCACATTCTCTGAATCACTCATCTGAGTGATCTTTCTCATGTGTATATTTCATTTGTGAAGAAATAGTTCAAAACTGTAGTTGCTTGGATTTACTCAACATCAAAACCAAATAACCATGTTATGATTAAATGCGACATGTAATCTGCCTTTCGCTTTACAGAAATTTGAATATTGATTGAGATGGCTAACGTAAGTGGTAAGTGTTGGATATGGGCCCAGCACTTAAATTCCACTTAAACATAAATTGGTTTTGAATCAGTTATTAACCTTTAGTTCAATCTACTTCAAAAAGCTCTTTGGATTAAAATGAGAGAAGACCTCCCATGTTTATTATATTGAGTTTGTTTGTGGGGATAAAGTAGGATATAAATACACTAAACAAATAAAAAGACATTTTTGATAACGTTGGTCAAGAAAAAGGCTATACAGCACCCCCAAGGGGAGCAGCATGCAAAATATTACAAAGTAAAGAGTCCTGTGAGCCCTTAAATTGAGTAGAAATAATTTCCCATGCTTTCTTGTATGTTGAATAAGAAGCTGAAAAGAGTGAAGATTCTTCTGGAGGATCAGGACTGTCTAATTTACACAGAACATACAGCCAAGATTGCAGCTTTAAGAACAGCATGTACCATGTTGGAGACTATGTATATGTTGAACCTGCAGAAGCTAATTTGCAACCTCATATAGTCTGCATAGAACGATTGTGGGAAGATTCAAATGGTAAGGAGTGTTACTTTTTGTAAAACTGTTTTTAAGATTAAAAGAAAAAACCCAGGGAAGTACTGAATATATACTTTGATTTCAGAAAGATAACTAAAATATAATCATAAGCAACCAAGGACAGCAAATCCCATCAGTAATTTTATAATTGGAAATATTTGGCAATAAGAGTTCCCTATCTGATTGTTAAGACACTGTCATAAAGTTAACATACATTGATGGATTTTGAAATAAGTCAGAACAAGAAACCATTGTCTGGGCATCAGCTGATTATTTGCTTTTTATTTCTTTGGAGTGATTCAGAAAGACAACTCCACTTGATTTCATTTGATATTCATTTGATACCTTTTGGTATGATGATGAGATAGTTATTCTCAACATTGTATATGATTGGTACAGGTTCCTGTTATTATTCTCTTTAGCATTACTAATAAACAGTAACCTCTTTTTCAACTTTAGTTCCTTTACAGGGAACTTACCATTCATTCATTCATTCTTAAAATTAAATATAGTTAAGTGTTATTTCTTTTAAGGTGGTTACAGGCCTCAAAAGTTGGCTACTTTTTTTTCAAATTCATCCATGTATTTTGAATATATTAATACTGAAGATAACAGACCTAAAATGATATATTTCATTGGCTAGAAATCTTCTAAGCAATAATTGTCTAATATAAAGTGACCTTAAAATTATTATCATAGTTTTGTACGATAACTTTATTGTCTGTGGGTGCTAAACTCTGTCTTGTTTTTAGGGGAAAAATGGTTATATGGCTGCTGGTTTTACCGACCAAATGAAACATTCCATCTTGCCACCAGAAAATTTTTGGAGAAGGAGGTGTTTAAAAGTGATTATTACAACAAAGTTACAGTGAGCAAAATTCTAGGCAAATGTGTGGTTATGTTTGTTAAGGTGAGAAGAATCTAATTGAACTCTTGGGATTAATACTGATCTTTTGCTTGCATCTTACACTTGGGAATGAAACAAATGGGGAAACTGGCCCTGTCATTGTTGTTGCTTACAACTCCTTTTAGCATGACAGTGCTGGGGCTATTTAGCAATATCTGGAGAGTCTTAGTGTCTCCCTGATTTGTGGTTTATAATAGAAAGTAAACTGTAAATGGTGTCTAATTTATAGAAGCTAAGACACAAGTTATTAGAAACAATAGTTTATTTAAAGGGAGAGAGGGAGGATAATCCCAGTGATGGGATTTTTGACAAAAGATTCAAAAATTCCTCTCATATTGTTATGGATTTTTTGTAAGAGAAAGAGAAAAAGGCCACCTTTGAGTTTCGAGTTTCCAGAAATTAGCCTTATCCCTCTATATCAGAGGTCCCCAACCTTTTGGGCTCCAGGGACCAGTTATGTGGAGAGAGGTTTTTCCACGGGGACCGGAGGGGGCGTGATTTTGTGTGCTGTCTGCATCCTGTGGATGAGGCTTTCCTTATTTGTGCAGACCAGTTGCTGGCAAGCCACAGCCCGGTACTGATCCACAGACCAGGGGTTGGGGACCCCTGCTCTATATAACTAAAACATTCAGGTTTGCAGTGGCTTCTAATACTGTAGTACTAGATTAAACATACTTCAAGGAAAGAACAAGGCTCGGGGGATAGGACAGGATAGAATCAGGATGGGAAATCCTTTCTTATTTGTTGGAACTCAACACTGCTGTCACCTTGAGAGGCCTGAATTGCAAAAAGCAGCAGTTTAATTACTCTATTTGATAGTGTTCAGTAAAGTGTTTGATAGTGTTCAGTAAATTAGTTTCCAACGGGTGGAAACTAATCAAGGAGAGAAGCAACTAGAACTAAGGAGAAACTTCCTGACAGAACAATTAACCAGTGGAACAACCTGCCTCCAGAAGCGGTGAATGCTCCAACACTGGAGGTTTTTAAGAAGAGACTGGACAGCCATTTGTCCAAAATGGTATAGGGTTTCCTGCCTGAGCAGGGAGTTGGACTAGATGACCTCCAAAGTCCCTTCCAACTTTACTATTATTATTATTATTATTATTATTATTAGGTGCTGGCTATTTTCTACTGTCTGCATGTCTGTGTATTGCCCTAACTTTCATTTCTTTTCATCTTACAGGAATATTTTAAGCTATGTCCAGAAAACTTCAGAGATGAAGATGTCTATGTTTGTGAATCACGTTATTCTGCAAAGACAAAGTCTTTTAAGAAAATTAAATTGTGGACTATGCCAATTAGTTCTGTACGATTTGTCCCTCGAGAAGTGCCCTTACCTGTGATTCGTGTTGCATCAGTGTTTGCTAATATAGACAAAATTGATGAAGAAAAACATACCGACGCATCGGAGGATACCAAAATTGTTCTTAGTCTTGAAAAGGTATTTATTTTACAGGAAAGAGTTATTAAAATGGGAATGTGAGTGCCTTGAATTTATCTGGACACTGACAATTCTGACTTTGTGATAGATTTCCTATACACTTTGATAATTTCATTATTTTTAGAGGCAAAAGCAACTGTATGCGGAGAGATAAATAAAAGGAATTTATACAGTATATATTGGACCTCTATATGGACATTGGTGACCCTATAGAAACATTGCCCCTGGATGTTGCCGAAGATTTCCAATACACTTATTCTCTAATATCAGTTGCATTACTTTTTCTAGTTCATAAATGTTTCTGTATTTCAGGATAAGGAAGACGTTCCAGTAGACATGTCAAATGGAGAACCTGGCTGTCACTACTATGAACAGCTTTGTTACAATGATATGTGGTTAAAGGTCGGAGATTGTGTCTTCATAAAATCGCATGGTTTAGTCCGAGCAAGGGTTGGCAGGTACAACTTTTTTTAAAAAATGGTATTGCAATAGCACTTAGATTAATATACTGCTTTACAGTCCTCTCTAAGCAGCTTACAGAGTCAGCAAATGGCCCCCAACAATCTGCGTCCTCATTTTACCAACCCTCAGAAGGATGGAAGGCTGTGTAACAATGGCTTGTATTGGGGTTGATCCTCAGCTAAAAACTGCAGTGGGAAGAGTAGGCCATTTTGCCATTGCTAAATGATGCAGTGCAGTGATACAGTCGCGTGATGGCCCACTTTACAACTGCATTGCTTAACAACAGAAGTTTTGGTCTCAATTGTGGACATAACTTGAGTATCTGCAGTTGCAGAAGGTACAGCAGCAAAAAGGAATATAACTGTCATATAATACATTAATATCATCTTGAAGAAAAATTATCTGTGTGGTTTGGTAAGAGTCCGCAGTGATTTCATAGCATAGTCAATCAATACATTAACTGAAAGGAAATGTTAAAATTGAATTTGAAATACTTTGAAGCAGTGATTTTTCTATATTTTCAGAATAGAAAAAATGTGGGTTAGAGATGGAGCTGCCTATTTCTTTGGTCCAATTTTTATTCACCCAGAAGAAACAGAACATGAGCCAACGAAAATGTTTTATAAGAAGGAAGTATTTTTAAGTAACTTGGAAGAGACTTGCCCGATGACATGCATTCTGGGTAATGAAACAATAAAATAAATTTTATTATTATGTTTCAAATTGTACAGTTAAAAAAAGTTGTCACTTCCTTAAATTAATAAAATTGCAAAATAAAGTTTTATAATAATGACATTTCTTTAAAAAAACAAGTTGTTTTAGTTTTTAGTTTGCTAACAAGAAAGAAGAAATAGACTCTGAAAACCATCTGGTTCTTTTCTAGAGAAGTAACTTTTGGGAAGATTAGACAGCAGATACAGTTTTGTGTCTGCATTAAGGATGCTCATTTGGTATCTGTTGAATCAATGATCGCACAAGCACATGTCGCATTAGGAACCAGTAGTTGTATGCAGCACATTTGACATTAGTTGCTGTACGGCTTATGAGTGCAGTTAATCACCCTGGTTGCCACACACATTTTGATATTTCAAAAATTTCAGACATATTACAAATGTTATGCTATGATGATTAAAATACAGCTATTTATCCTTTCTTTTAGGAAAATGTGCTGTTCTGTCTTTCAAAGACTTTCTTTCCTGTAGACCAACTGAAATTCATGAAAATGATGTTCTTCTCTGTGAAAGTCGCTATAATGAAAGTGACAAACAGATGAAAAAATTTAAAGGACTAAAAAGATTTTCATTGTCTGCTAAGGTAGTAGATGATGAAATTTATTATTTCAGGTAAAGTATGTTTTAATTTTTTAATAAAAGTAATATAACTTAATTTGATCATACAACAGAGATTAATACCTCTTTCCAGTAAAATTATAGAACTACTGTGGCTGACAATGTTGGAGGTGATTTAGAGGTCCAGCAGGGCAATAACATTTTATTTCCTTCCCATAATTCCCACGATAAGGCATTGATGAGAGCAATTAGTGCAGTGTCTGTTCCATACCCAGGACTGAATTCTGATTGTTATAAATCCCAATAATCTCCTACCTCCAGAGTTCACTGTAATTGCTCCTCCTCCACTTTCTCAGTAACCAAAAGGGGAAGTTGAGCATAGGAGAATAGGTTTCCATTTGTCTTGGATCCAAGAGGGGCAGCTTAAAACAGAGTAGACCAATATCACTTTCAAAACTATTAGAACTGTTCCTTTCCTCAAGTGAATTGATTATTGCCTGGAACCAGGTTTGTGTCCCCTCTCAGGTCCCTTACCCAACTAAGAATTACAGAGGTCTACTTCACATGCAGTGAAATTAAGACCACAAAGGGCCTGTCTTTTTCCCTGAGTTAGATAGGCTCAAAAGTCTCCTATGCTTTTTCCAACTCAAAGCTGGACAAGTCCCTGAAATTTTCTTGGCTTTCTTGGTTTTTCAGAAGTCTTTGCCATTGCCTCCTTTCTAGGGCCGAGAGAAAGTGACTAACCCAAGGATACCAAGCCCAAGGTGTTACTAGAACTCACAGTCTTCTGGTTTCTAGCCTGGTTTCTTAACCTCGACACCAAATTGGCAGAGAAGGAATTATACATTGCTACTCTTATCACCACGGAATAGGATAGATGTTTACTGGCACCCTCATCTAATCAAACTCACTTCTCATTCTCTGCTCTATTTTTTACAACTATCTTTTTCTCTGTATACACATTATAATATTGTCTAATGTGTATGTGGAGAAAAGGATAATTGTAAACAATAAATCAAACAGAACAAGAAACAAAATTAAAACTAGACAAACGGCAGAATGATTTTCATGGAAACTTGTTTTGGAATGTTTTGGAAGTAGGTGAAGAAAATTTAATTAATTTAATTAAATTTAATTTAATTGTTATCAAGGATAACAAATGAAATGTATTTGTTATTTAATTTTATTTTGTTTAAACAATTTATGTAATTACCATCTCAAAAATGACTCTTGAGTTGCACAATTAAAACAAATTTCACGAGTCCAACAATCAAAACAGCCTGGCTTGGGTCCTGACCAAATGCCTGGGAAGGAAAACTGGGCCTTCAGAGTTTTACAAAAGGCAGCAGGGTTTGGTTAATCCAGATTTCAGGGGGAATGGTATACCTTAGAGCAGGAATAGTGGCAGAGTGACAGAGTGACCTAGGTGAAGACACTCATCTCCCATTCAGAAGGTTGAGAGTTCGATCCTAGGAACAGCAGATGCTTTTCAAGGCGCAAAGAGAAAATATGTGTTGCAAACTCCATGTAAGCATCAGGAAGGGCATCCGGCTAGTAAACACTCAGCTCCATTTGCTCTGACTCTACCCCAAATTAAGAGATTACAGGGTGCTAAAAAAGAAAAACAGCAAATATGGTGACAGAGATGGGACATCTGGTTCCCATAAAGTGACATTAAGAGGCGGGAACTGAAGTATGCCGGACCTGAAGTATCACAACTTTTTGGATATAGAAAGCAATTAATTGTTAAGAATGTGTGGGAAGGTGTTTGACAGTATTATGATTGAAAGAATAAAAAAGGTGATAATGAGCAACATGTGGGAAGCATAGTATGTCATTCAGAGTTATGTGCAAGCTCCAGATTCCTTTTGCTTTTTAGCAGGTAAGAATTGCATGAAAGTGAGATAGCGTATTGTATGTTAATTGATTTAGAGACATTGTAAGTTAAAATAAGCAAGTCTAAATTATGGAATGTGTTGTGCAAATAAGGGTTTGAAGCCTGATTGTGATATGGGCAATATATGGTAGAACTAAAACTAGCGTGAATGATTGGAATAAATGTTTTAACAATGAGTAAGGAGAAAGACAAGAATGTGTTGTCCCTTTTTTTTTTTTAAAAGCATTTATGGATAAAAATATAAGAAATACTTGTGGTGTCATTAGAGGTGTATTGGTTAAAAGTATGACTGATACGTGCTTTATAGATAGAAAATACCCAAATGATTTGCAGCAAAAGTTAAAGTTGTGGTGCAATAACTCATATAGATTTGAAAATTAATATAAGGTCCCGACATTTGACAGAAATAAATAATAAAGAATTATAAGTTTTACATAAATGGTGAATAATTAGAGCAAGATGAATTTCTGTATCTTGGTACAATGTTTATTAAAGATGTGGAGATGGATGGATAAATATTAATATAGGCAAATAACAGTAGAAAAACAAGAGTTGTATGTAATTTGATGCAATAAATGAATGGTAGTTGAAAAAAACATTAAAATGGTTGTGTGAAACAGCATGCTTCTGCCCACTGGTTTATTTAGAAATTGGCTTTGTCAGGAGAAACATAAAAGTAAGTTCAATGCAGGAGGACTGGTATACTTTAGAGGTTTATGTATTAAACAAGAAGAGGTGGGGTTAACTATGACTGTGAATTGAATCAAAAACTGAGTGACCACAAAGAGCAAACACTGTGTGTATTGGCATATGGGTGTGGTTGAAGCAAAGATGGTTTTCAAGGACAGAAAGATGTGGAGAGGGATAGTGGAAGATACTGATGTAAACTGGACTTAGCTATGCTTCCCTGACCTGGCACCTAGCATTTGTTTGGTTTATTATTTATTGCTTCTTTCTGTGTTCTAATGAAGATAAAGACTGTTTAGTAAATATATACTTTTTTTTTTCTTTTCTAGGAAACCCATTATTCCACAGAAGGAGCCATCTCCACTTTTAGAGAAAAAAATTCAGCAGCTAGAAGCAAAGTTTGCTGAGTTAGAAGGTGGAGAAGAGGATATTGAAGAGATTGGGGAAGAGGAAGGTGAAGTCACAGAAGCACCAACAATACCTCAACTGCAGACTCCGCTCTCCAATGAATTGGATATAATGCCATATACTCCACCACAGGTAATTTGACTTACTAAATCATGTTGGCAAAATGAAGATATTTTTGTAATGTGCTCATGTATTTATTAAATAAATGTATATGGCTACCTATGTCATATTCATGACTTTGGATGGCTAAGAGTTAAAAAAAAATAAAAACATAATAAAAAGAAACTAAGTTTAAAACAACAGAGAAAACATAACAAACCTGGGAATGCTCAGTTAATACAACCAAGGCCAAGAAATACTATCAGGGTTCCATGTTTGATGGCAAAGCCAGGTTTTTAATGTGTTGTGAAAAGCTAACATAGTAGGGACAACTCTGATTCCTAGGAGAATGATGTTCCAGAGAACAGATACCACAGCAGAAAAATGTCTCTTCCTGAACCCTGTCAGGTGGCACTTATGGATGGGCCCTGAACAAACCTCTCCTGGCAGATCTCATAGGATAAGTAGACATCACTGGGGTGAAACCTTACCATCAGCCATTATTGAATCCATACAGGCATATAGGTTGGGAAAAAATGTAACATTGTGGTACTGTGAAGCATGAAAATGAACATTCTTGATTGTTGTAAAAAGTAATTTATTTTTTGTTTTTGTCCTACCTTTATTATTTTTTATAAATAACTCAAGGCAGCAAATATACCTAATATTCCTCCTCCTTCCTGTTTTCCTCAGAACAACCCTGTGAGAGGGTTTGGGCTGAAAGAGAGTGACAGGCCCAAAGTTACCAGCCACCTTTCACATTTAAGGCAGTACTAGATCTCGCTATCTCCCGATTTCTAGCTGGTGCCTTAAATATTTGTTAATTCTAAAATGTGCTATATAACTCTTTTGAATAATAAGCAATACGGGTAGTCCTCGACTTAAAATCATTTAGTGACCATTCACTAAATAACGGCACTGAAAAAAGTGACTTATGACCATTTTTCACACTGCTGCAGCAACCCCCAAATTCAGATGCTTAGCAATTGGCATGTATTTATGACGGTCGCAGTGTCCTGGGGTCACATGATCACCTTTTGTGACTTTCTGACAAGCAAAGTCAATGGGAAAGCCAGATTTACCTAACAACCATTTTAACTAATTTAACATATGCAGTGATTCACTTAAAACTGTAGCAAGAAAGCTCATTAAATGGGGCAAAATTCACAAAATTTTGGACTCAATTGTGGTTGTGAGTCAAGGACTATCTGTAGCAGATACATTCCAGCTTGTGAAGATTTTACTGATCTTAGGAACTAGAGCCAATGATTTTACTGTAACATCCAGGTAGAGTACCTGGCATCTGTGTGTTTCCCATTTTAATTTTTTTGTGACTAAAAATTTACAGAAGGTTTCAAATTCATGATAAAGTGTAATATATCCTTATAACTATCCTACAGCTTATAGCTCACATAGAGTTGTGATGGAACTTGGGTGATCTCTACATAAATAAACTCAAAGCTATAATGGTCAAAATAGCTGATCTGTGGCAAATAAATACATCTGTATTAAATAAATACATATGAATTTTCTATACATTTATTGCATTCCCTCTTTTTTCTTTACTTTGTAGTCCACTCCGAAGTCAATAAAAGGCAGCGTAAAAAAAGAAGGCTCTAAAAGGAAGATCAATATGAGCGGATACATCTTGTTTAGCAGTGAGATGAGAGCTGTCATTAAAGCTCAGCACCCAGATTATTCCTTTGGAGAACTCAGCAGACTGGTTGGAACAGAGTGGAGAAATTTGGAAGCCTCCAAGAAAGCAGAGTATGAAGGTAAATCTAAATCAGAAAAAAAGATGCCATGTCTAAACAGGCAAGTCCAATTTATGTCTTGAAAACGTTAAATAGGTAAATGATTACATCCTGGGTTGCCCATAATAAATTAGATACATTAGTGATGGTGAGAAACTAACAGAAGGGTTTGGAAATTAGACAAGCAGAAGTAATACAACCAGAGACCTGAATCAGAGAATACCAAGTAAATTTTTAAAGCAAGAGGTTTTGAAAAGAAACAAGATTAAAAACTGAAAAGAAGACCCAAGAAAAGATTACAGCAGGCATAGGATAGAGAAAGAAATCTGAAATCTGTATGGTAATTTAAAACAATTGGTCCAGGTATTCTGCTATTGGTCTTAAAGCACATTGACAGAAAGAGTTAGAAAAGTATACTTAAATATTGTTACTGAATAAGAGAACAAGAAAATAAGGCACGCCATAATGTGAAAAAGTATATTTGTTCAAATCTGAAAGACAAAATAGAACAGGAAAGGGCACTGAGTCTTTTTCATGTATATGTTGTTCCTAAACTTTCAACTGTAAGTCTGAGATGGATGTATGATATAGTAAAACATACAATAAGATTACTTATCAACTAAAATGAGTCTCTGTAGAAAAATAAACCATCCTTTCATTACTTATATAAAACAAAGAATTGCAACTTAATAAAATTTTGTATTTTACTTAAGTTATTGAATCCAGATGTGCTCTTAATCCTTTGTCATAGTGATTTAGTTGTTTAAACAACTTATTTTTTTAAATTTGACAATAAATCTTCATATATTTAAAAAACATATTTTCCTAATCCTAGTCCTAAAATATTTAAAGTTATTGTACTGTTGGAAAATAAATTTATAAACATTACAGAACAAAAAAATTAATTATTTCAGAAGAAACTGAATTTTTAGATTAAACTTTGTATTTGATCTTTAATTCTTCCATTTAGTTTTTAACTTATGAATTTACTATATCATTTATTTGCAAAAAAATTGTTCTACTCAATTATCATTTCAAGTAATTTTCCTCTATAGAACTAAGAACATATATCTGTTGCATAATTCCAAATAAAAATTAGGGGTTCCTGTTGATTTCTGTCTTTCAAAACATATATAAGTTGTGATTTGGGATCATTCTTTTCGTAATGTGTTATTATATTATTGTTGATATTGTTATTATATAAGACCCGTGGGAGTTAACTATTTGTTTCTACTAATCCTGTGTTTTATTTTGATTAGAATCCATGGGTTGGATTCTGGTTTAGTTGTATTTAGAATAGACCTATTAAAATCAAGTAATAGTGAACTCCTGATTTCAGTGTGCTGGCTCTAAATGTGTAAAGCTTGATCCCAAAACTTTCTTCTGTGACTAAATTTTATTAGTCATTTCGGGTGTGGGTGGAGCAAATAATAGCTAAAAAAAAGTCAAGTAATTTGTACTGTTCCTGCAAATGGACAAAAAAGATAATCCAGTCTGAAACTACCAGTGTTTCCCCAAAAATAAGACCCGATCTTATTTATTCTTTTTACCTCCAAAAGAGGCACCAGGTCTTATTTTCAGAGGGTGTCTTTTCCACTCCCCCCGCAGCGGCAGCACTGACAGCCCCACCCAGCTGGACCACTTCTTTTGTGGCCGAAGGAGGAGCTTCATTCTGCAGCTGAGGATGGAGCTCTGATCTGCATTTTGCAATCAGAGGCCTTCTGGAAAGGCCTCTGCGGCCAAGAACCTAGCTACAGACTGAATACACTGCAGTTTGGCCTGCATTTCACAATTAGAGGCCTTTCTGGAAGGCCTCTGACTGTGAAATGCAGGCCTGAGCTCCATTGTCAACTGCAGAATGAAGCTGCTCCTTCAGCCACAGAAGAAGTGGGCCGGCGAGGCAAGTGTCGATCCATGGGAGACCTGGTTGTAATGGTAAGCTCCAACCCCCACACCCCCGCCCTAGCTTGGTCTTTAGGCATGCACCTTGCCCCAAAACTAGGCCTTATTTTTGGGATAGGGCTTATATTAGCCCCCCCCCCCAAATCAAGCTAGGGCTTATTTTTGGGGTAGGTCTTACTTTCGGGGAAACACAGTACATTAAAAATGAGAAGGAAACATAATTAGAATTTTTCTTCTTAAATGTCATTTACGGAATATAAAATGCCACAGAATGTGTATGTCAATAAATACTTTTTAATAAATAATGGAAAATAATTTTAATTGGATTTGTGTTTTGAGTAGAGACAATCATATACAGTAACAGTTGATTTGAATCTTAATTTGGAGGCTTTGAAAATGGGGCGCTGTGTCCTAGATTTATTTATAAACTACCCACTTTGATTCAGAAGTTAGTTTCAACACAGAAAATTTAATGTATACATTTAATCAACTATGGGTTTACAGGAATGAAAAGTACACTATTTTCACTTGGACAGAATTGGATGTATTTTAAGAAAAAGTAATATATTATGTCAAGTGAATAGGGCAAGATGGAGATTGTGCTAAGCACTTTATTTTACATGGAAGTTACTGATACATTTTCCTTTGCAGAATTGCATTACATTTCCTTACAGAATGTGTTCTTTCAGGCTTTTTTGTGCAAAATAAGGTCAGGATATATTACTTACTGGATAGCATTAGTAAACCATTTACAATTAAAAGTTAGTGCTATCAATTGCAAGCTACATATTTCTTTCCCCTGGCATTTTCCTTATGTGATGAATATTGTTTTTTACACATTAGAGGTTCCTCTGAATTGGCTAAAGAGCTGATCTGCTAAAGAGCAAACCAAATTATAATAAATATCTCTGTGCTTAAAAAGCAAACCATTCAAAATTATAATAATCACAAAAATAGCAAAGAAAAATATGCACTGAAACACTTGAATGCCTAAAAGTCTGCTGAAATAAAATTGTTTTAAAGAATTTCCTGTATATAAGAAGGGTAAGGAGCCATTTGTGTCTTGTTTTGTTAAAGCTAATATCAAGAAGGGCCCGTCTCTTGGTCTAAGTCCCTCTAATCTCTGATGGGAGAGGGTATCTTTGAGCAAGCTCTCCCTTGATAGCAATAGTAATAGCTCTTAGATTTACTGTATATACCGTATATGCCGGCGTACAAGGCGACCCGGCATATAAGACGACCCCCGTCTTTGTCGCCGAGCCACATTCCTAGAACGTCGTCTTATACGCCGGAAACTACCAGTATTTCCGGCGTATAAGACGACTCGGTGTATAAGATGACCCCCGTCTTTGGCGCTGAGTTTAGCGCTTGCAGAAGTCATCTTATACGCCGGCATATACGGTACTGCTCCATAGTGCTTTACAATATTATGGGCAGTTTATCGTGTCAGCATATTGCCCCCAACAATCTGGGTCTTCATTTTATTGACCTCGGAAGGCTGAGTCAACCTTGACCTGGTGAGGATCGAACCCCTGGCTGTGGACAGAGTTAGCCTGCATTTTAACCACTGTGCCACCAGTGTTGAATGTTGAATGATGAGCAGAACCATGTTTGGTAAGGTATTCCCTGATATATCTCAATGCCATGCCATATAAGCCTTTTTAGGAGACAACCAACACTCTTAATTGGGCCCAGAGTCCTAATAGATCTCTCTGATTGCTAATCTGATCCTGCATTTCGTATCAGCTGCAGCTTCCAAGTTATCTCCAAAGGCTTCAATTCCACAAATTCCAAATCTGTTCAGTTCTGTTTGAAATTCATCCAAATGCACAGCCTTGCTTTAAACTAAAATGTAATGTCCTGATATGCCATGTAAAAAGCATCTAAAGATTGTTCCTGGCAAATTTTCTGTTGAGCTGAATAAGTAAATATAACTAAAGATGAGTAGATTAATAAAGAAAAGAAAGAGTCCTATCATGCCTTTAACATTTCATTTCATCTCAGTCATTGTAAGCCCTGGTTTGAACAAACTGGGATTGGATGTGTTAAATTTGGCAATGAAACTACAAAGTTTAACTCCTGCTTCTGCTAATCATTTTTAATTGCTTTGTCATTACTATAATTTTCTTCTCTTTTCTGCTTATATCTAGCACAAATATTTGAGTCAAAATTATTTGTGAAATGTCTGCTATTTTTCTGGTCATAGTCCAAGTTCAGGTTAATAGAATTTGTATGAAAAAATTTAAAGTATCTTTAGAATTGTTTCAGTTTGATGGGTTTTTTTAAAAAACAATCATTTATAAAAATAGTTAATTCATGTTTTTTCTTAGTTAAATCAAAAGAGAACACATTACTTTTTTCCTGATTCACTAATGAATGCTGCCTTTGATATGAATCATACATCATAGATACTAAAGAAATTCTTATGTATCCTTATTGTTTATTCCTCCCACTCCCAAATAGATGATATATGTGTAGCATTCCTTGTGTTGTTTGGTTTCATGTTCCCTAAATATATGTTTGAAAGGGTTATCACTTATATTCCTATTCTGTTTTTTTAATTCAAAACCCACCCTTTTCTTATTTGACTAACATACAGAAGCGTTTTGAAAACTGAAATGGTACAATAGGAAATGAGTCTTCAATCAGATAATGTATAATGCTTGCCCCATTCTTGATTTTTTAACAATATTTTCATCATTTATGTTGGAAATAAGAGAGAAATCCTTTGTTCATAGTTTTCCTCCAAAAGGTTAGGGTGAGTAGTGGGAACATTAAACCCATATCTGTAGTGCAGACAATTTTGCAATGGTATTAAGAAATACCATTACTTTAGAGAAGTAAACATTGCCACCTAAAAAGATGTTATATTCTTTAGTAAAATTTACCCTAATTGTAAACAGCTAAAGATGTGTTTAAATTACCAAATGCATCCAATGTGTTATAATAAAAACTTAAAAGAACATTACTGAAGGACCACAATAAGAGGAAAGCATTGAAAACTTGTTAACATAGAACTAGATAAAATATTATTAGAGCCCGAGGATAAAATGATTAAAAAAATATATCACTTTCTTTTAGATCAGGCAATGTATGAAGAACAGGTCAAGGAGACTATGCTAATTTGGAGTAGGGATTTTGGTTTCAGTATCGATCTGCATATTTGGCAAGAACTGTGGGAAAGAAATAGGAAACTCACTCTAGCTACCTCGTACATGGAAAATCTCTATAAGATGTTTTATAGATGGCACTTCCCACCCGTAAGGTTAGCCAAAATGGGTCCAAATATCTCACCTTTATGCTGGAAATGTAAAACAGCAATAGGATCATATTATCATATGTGGTGGGAATGCCCAAAGGTTTGTGAGTATTGAAATAGGATACGAAGATGGCTGAAAGATATATTAATGTTGGACTTAGAGTTAAAACCTGAACTTTTCCTGTTGGGCATAACTACAGAGAAATACAATAAGGGAACAATCTATTTGCTGTTACATATCTTGACTGCAGCTAGGCTAGCGTTCGCGCAAAAATGGAAGAGCAAAGAAATTCCCACAGAAGAAGAGATTCTATATAAAATATTATCATGTGCGGAAATGGACAGGCTCACAATGGTATTGAAAGACAAATGTAGATCAGTTTATTTTGAAACCTGGGATAAATTTTACCGCTGGAGGGATTCGAGCAGGACAGTTGGGACTATAGGCTAGCATTAAGATAGAAATATATGTAATTTTAGGTTAGCAAATAGAGAAATAGATTAAGTATTGTATATAAAATTTAGATGTATATTCAGAGATGAAGAATCGATTGTAAAATGTGGAATAATTTGATAAGAATGTATATACTGGAATGTCACGTTATACCCAATGTTTCTTTTAATTGTATTATAAATAAAATTAAAAAAAAACTTGTTAACATAGAGAAAATAGGAGAAATAGAAAGCTCACACTTGCTATTCCTTTAACAACACATATTAACAATTCAGGAAAATCTTATTTTAATAACTTAAATGGAAGAAGATGTCCGCTATATACGAATATGCACTAAATACAAAACTACATATTGCAACAATTTACGTAATAATAATTTATTAAATGACGCATATTATATCTTTTGCATCAGTTGTCATTTGAGTGATGATATTAATTGCATACATTACCTCATTTGCATCTGCATAATTTGAGTCATGGTGGTCTTTTGATTGCAAAATCTTTGTATCAAAATCTGCTGAATTGAGGTTCCATTGTATTGCCAATTTGGTAAAGAGCAAATAAAGTGTTTTAATAAATGAGTTTTCTTTATCAACTTCATCCTTAGTAGTAGTAATAAAGGTTAATTCTACAAAAATCAAAGTGGATTTGTAGACAATGGATAGCTCACTTACAGGTAGTCTTGAGTTATGTCTTTAATGGAGTCTGCCCATCATGGTGGTAACTCATGACAGTCGTAATGTGGGCTGGTCATATGACTGACCTGATTTTCTGACTGACCTTTTTTTTGCAGTTAAGCAAAACTATGGTTGTTAAGTGAATGCTACAATTGATAAGAGAATTAGTAGTTCACTATGGATGCACTTTTATTGAAAATCAGAAATAAGTGCTGGTTTTTAGCAAATCCATTGTACACTGTGGTCACATGACTGCAGGATTGATGTCCAGATACATATATTACTTAGCATTAAACAGCTGCCATTCTGTTCATAACACTTTTAGTGTTGCATTTTTTAAAAAGATGATAAAGAATAAAGAACATGGCTTAGATTATGAAATCACAAAGGAGGTAGCAAGCTTGCAAACCAATACTTTTTTCTCCTTCCTGTCTTTGATCCCTATCTATTTTATTGCACAATTCCACAATCAGGTAGGACTCAGCAGAACTTCAGATTCAAAGGCAAAAAAGTGCATTGGAACCTTAAACAAAATCTGCTTTTTCCCCAGGAACATGCTGCAGCTGCAGAAGGCAGCCAAATGAGGCTGTGAAAACATACAGCTGCTTTAAGAAGTTGCAGACAGATGCTATGTGAACGAGAGCCCACATGTTCCAGAGCACATTTTTCCCTTAAAATCTGTAGCTGTGCATAGTCGGTTGCTTCCAAATAGGAGAAGATTTTGAGAAGCACAGAAGGGAGGCAGACACAGAAAAATAGCCTCCCCGTCTTTTCTTCTCCCCATGGTTGTCCCGATCTGAGCCCATATTTCTTGAAATCTTTGTGAATTTTAAAAGAATTCATATATTCTTTTTTTTTTGTTTGCAACTGAATAAGTTCAAAATTATATACTGTATTACTAAAATTGTATGGGCTTTTTTTCCTACATAAGGCTAAATGATCAGAGAATATTTTTTTTTAATTCTGGGTCATAAAACAGAACTGAAAATCTAAAATACTTTTGCAGAGCGGGCAGCTAAGGTTGCTGAGCAGCAGGAGAGAGAACGAGCAGCACAGCAACAGCAGCAGAATTCTTCCCCCCGGGCAGGCACTCCTGTCGGGGCTCTTATGGGGGTGGTGCCGCCACCAACACCAATGGGGATGCTCAATCCGCAGTTGACACCTGTTGCAGGTAAAAACAAACAGGGGCTCTGACCATTTTTCCTTCATCCACGTTACCAAACTCTTAACCAATCTAATAAAACTTTCTTCTTAAAATTTATCTTCAAAGCATCCTGATTTTGAGCACAAAAGTTGCTCCTGCTGGTAGAGATATTATATTTAATCATAAGCATGCACTCTTATCCTGACCAGTCCTATAACAGCACTTTTCCTAATCGGCAATCCTACGCCTAGTTTGAATTGTATCCTCTCTATTAAACTGTTGAGTTTTTTGTTTTTTGCTGTATAATCAGTATATCCTGGGCAAAGTGAATGATTGTACATCTGAAGTGGACTCCAGTCTACAAAAGTTTGTTCAGTAATGAGAATTAGTCTGTAATGTGCCACAAATCTTTGTTCATTTTGCTCACATAATACAATTGATTTTCAGGATTTTCCCATAAGCAACTTTCTTTTACTCTAATGATGTTGAGATGGTAACAAATAAGTATTTTACCTTCATTTGAGAATAAAGCTAATGTTACCTTCCAGTTGAAATGATCATGTATGTTTGTAGCAACACCCAGGAAATGAAAAATGTTGCAAGTAATTTTTTCTAGACCAGGATGCTTTAGGCTTATAGTCACTGAACAGCAGCCTCTCTGTATCACTGTCCCCACTGGTCACTTTGGATGAAACATGATAAAGTGGCATAATATGGCATACATTAGGTCAGGGGTCCTCAACCTTGGCAACTTTAAGACTTGTGGACTTCAACTCCCAGCTGGCTGAGGAATTCTGTGAGTTGAAGTCCACAAGTCTTAAAGTTGCCAAGGTTGAGGACCACTGCATTAGGTCTTGATGTTCCCCTCTATCTCTGGCATGTCTATAAGGAGCAATTTGAAAGATATTATTCAGTTATCTACCAATATAACTGAATCCAGAAGTATAGTGAACATTAGTTAACATTTGGTGAAAGAAGCCAACTTTGACCCAAAGTTTATGGTCCTTTTAAACAATAACTCATGCTTAGAAATTGGACTTTTTGATCAGAGGAGAGCAGAGCAGAGGCTCATGAGTCTCAGGCCCATTCTCACAATGCATATCTTATCATTTAATGTTACTTTTGAAACGGCCAATGTATGATACAATATCTCTTATTTCGAAACCTTGGTGTTAAAGCCTTGCATCACGCTTAAGGTTTGAAAGCAAGGCACTAATTAAACATTCGCTTTTGAAATTTATATGGACTCATTTTCAAACCAATACAGTGTTCTGTGTGTTTTACAGCTATTTCTTTGTTTGAGAAATGTAATGTATATAATTGATTTTGGAAGGATCAATTAATTTATATATCAAACTAATATACTGTTTATTTTTTCTCTTGTATCTCCCATTGTCCGTACTATATATTCACTTGATATAAAATAAAAAATGCAGCTAATATAATTCTCACAAATGATCATAATATGCTTGCAATATCTAGCGTATTATTAATTTTGGTATAGTAAACAACTATTTCTGCTGAATTCAGACTCTTATTATTTGAATTCTGTTCCTAGAACAGGAATTACAACTTTTTGGTTCTACTTATACCCCCTGTGAATCCCTTCCTTAAATTCGTTCTAGAAGATGAAAGCTCTGAAATTGCATGAAAGGTGCACTGGATAGCAGGCAAAAATAAAACAAGAGAAAATGCTTCTTCCTTTAGCTTCTACTTATAGAATACTCTTCTGTCTCCATGTTTATGCTCCTTTAGGTACTAAACAGTAATTTAGGTTCTATCTATTGTTTTTTGTCTTTGTCTTTTTTTTAATGGAGGTGTCATCATGAGTGGCATGATACTGTAGGCCTTTGAATTTTTTTTACTCAGTTCCTGAGCATGCTTAGTTCCGCACTGAATGCTTGTCCTGTGCTTTTAGCTAAGAATGTGACATTTGAGCTATGGAATCCTATTCAAACACTCCATCAATTACAGTTTGGGAACTTTTGTGTGTCAGCTTCACATGCTGGACTATAAGGGTGCTAGGCTACTTTGGGACTTCTCTAAAGAGAATTGACAACATTTGTGACTTGCTTTGAATGCTTGATAAGTTCAGTATAAATACTGAGTATAGCCATTAGCTTTATTGTTGGGCATTATGCAGTAGCCAGTAATGTTTCCTGTTAATTCAATGTCAGACATGAATATAGTACTCAGTAGTAAGTTCTCCAATGAATTTCGTTGAGCATCCTTATTTTTTTTTTTTTACATAAATAATATTCTGGAGAATTTGGTTTTATGAAATGTATGGAGGTTGTCAAGGCTGTTGAGAATCTAGTCCAAGAAAGTTTGTATTTTTAAGTAGCGTAAGTTGCAAGGATTCTTTTCTGTGAAGTTTAATTTTTTGATATGTATATTTTATCTCTCCTTTATTATTTTCATTAAAAAATGAAGACGATGAACATACCTAATACTCCTTCCTCCTCCTATTTTCCCCACAGTAACAACCTGTAAGATGGGTTCGGCTGAGAGAGAATGACAGCTGGCTTTCATGCCTAAGGCAGGACTGGGATTCACAGTCTTTTGGTGTCCAGCCTGATGCTTTAACCATCTCTTTCAAAGTTTTCAAAAAAAAAAAAAAAAAAAAAGTGGGGGTTGAGCAAAGACTTCCTGACTAGAGGATTCTTGTCCCAGTTTACATATTTCTACCCCCCTTATCCAGAGGACATCTCCCTTCCTTACATCGTGCAAAAAAATTAGCAAAGCTGTAGCTATTATAGCATATGCCTATACATTTCAACAGTTAATAGAAGATGTTTGTTTCACTAGATTCATTATTAGATAAGGTTCACACAGCCATTGTAAATAATGAAAGTTATCCTGTACAAAAGATTTATTACTTCCAAAGTCCTTTTTTCCTGTAAGTCGATAATAAAAACAATTACATTTGAATTAACAACTATGGTTCCAACTGTGATGGTACCATGGAATTTATTTACATAGGTGCTGTTTTGACCTTCTGTGGAAGCCTGCAAAACAGCTTGCAAAGATAACTTTTCCAAATTCTTCTTTTTCTCCCTCCATTATCTTGATTATCTAATGAAACATCTTCTCATCCATTATTTCTATCAGGGTAATAATCTTATTTCCCTCTCTGATGTTGCCCCACTTGATTCCTTATGAATCTTCAAGAACAATCCTTGATAACAATCCAAACTTCCCCTATATTAATCTTTCTTTTTCAGCTATCCCCTTCTTTTTATTCTCTTCCTCAAGAGACATTCCCACTTTTCTGCCACATTGTACCTTTTTGTCAATTTTTTTATCATTATTAGCAAATACAAATTAAAACTCTTGGCATTAGGTATTAATAATGTCAGCATGACTATTGGCAATTCAAAAATTTGAAATTATAATTGTAGAACGTATTGTCTATGATGATAATTTTTATGAAATTGCATGATAGCTCAGGTGTGAAAGATCATGTCTCCTCTGTCTTTAAATTGCCTTCAGACTCAGTAGGTCTTGATGAGAATGAGATGAAGCAGAATAGCCCACTTTCTTCAGTGTTGTTGAATTAATTTCTTACTTGTTTAAATGATTGTGTCAAGCATGTTAAATAGTGAAACTGAGTGCTTTTTTTCTAACTATTTATTTTCCATGCAACTATAATACTATACCATAAATTCAGAATGTGCTTGTAACAATGTTGTATACGTTCATATAACCAACAGGACATTTACATATATTTGCAGTTAATATTCTTTTAATGATGTAGAGTTTGTTTCTTTCAAAAAATATTCCAGTAAGCTAATACTAATCTGTTATAAATATTCTATTTATCATTGTAACATTGTTTGTTTTTGCAAAGTACTAATTGTAGTGTCATATGGCAGTTCTGAAGATGCTTATGTATGGGTAGTGCACGTCATTATTAATTTGACCATTTTGCATGTCATTGATGCATGTTTGAAATTTGTTGTGTTCTTTAAGGCATGATAGGTGGCTATCCATCAGTGCTGCCACCTTTACAAGGCCCAGTTGATGGCATTGTTAGCATGGGCAGCATGCCACCACTTCACCCTGGGGTGCCTCCACCCCATCAACTTCCACCAGGCATGCCAGGCATCCCACCACCGGGTAAGAATGAACCTCCTCATTCATCCATTATCTCGTCTTTCTGTTCTCACCCCATTTAATCAATTATTCTAGGAGAGGTTTGCGACACTTGCACTTGTAGCTTCATTGCTTGTCTTTTACTGACTGTCGTAGGTCTAGGATATTGAGCTGTTAATGTGAAAGTACAGTGAGAAATCTCTTCGACACAGAAAATACATATACTGGCATATTAAATTTGTTGGTCCAGCATCAAAAGGAGTTAACTAATAAAATATAAGAATACCTCAATTCGTGCTTAAGGGCTTGACTTGACCAGAGATGTGGAATATTAAAGGCTTATATTTTCCATTCCGTGGAATACGTCAAAAGTCTTGTTTAAACTGGACTAAATCCAACTATAATACCAATAGAAATCATTGCATCAATCTTTTTTCACTTCTAGCTTTTAACATTGCAATCATTTCAGATGTGTACAGTATATCCTATTTTCAACTACTTGATTTAATATTAGGTCAAGTAAAATTTTACACCTAACACATGATTATAATTTTTTTTTGAATACGCTGTCCTGTATACTATATTCTAAACTCAAAACTTATCCAAGAAATAGTAGTAGTAGTTAAATGTACTTTTTACATTTACCCTGAGCATTGAAGTACATTTTTAATTACAGTACATTCCAGGCTTACATACTTAAAAATTTTTTGCATGGACAAGAATTATCTATTATGGTGAAAATAATATTAACCAAAAGTTAAAGATTATTTAACTTTCCTTTCTATTCCTCTTTTTAAAAAAATATAGATGCACAGGCAGTTATGAAAACCCCAGTTACTTTACTCTTTTTTTCCCTGCCGCTAATTTTTATTTTGCCTTTTCTGCATGCATTGGATAAATTTAGGTAGAAACTAATAAAGATTATGTTTGCATGTCATACTTAACTCTAAACAAGTGTTTCCAAACCATCCATCAGTGGTTTAGCAATAATTAAACATGGTATATGAACCTAGAATAATGTTATATTTAATTTGGTTTATCATCTATCTATTCTGAGTTACACTTTGTGGTTTGTAATAACCAGAAATGGTTTCCATGCTACATTTGGATAACCATTTATTTATTGTAAAACCACAAATGAGTTGTTTGGAAACCACAGCTTTCCATTTCAGATTAAAGATGATGTGCATACAGTCAAAATCTGTATCTCTCAGCAAGACTTGCTCAGAAGCCTCCTGAAAAGTTATTAATTGCAAGCAGAAATATAGTTTAATGTTCTATAAATAAGGGGTACAAATGTGAGCATTTACAGTGGAGTAATAACAATAAATTACAGCATACATTTCTATGGTACACTGTTTACTGTTCACTACCTGTAGCAAGTGTGCTTCTCTGTTCTTAGGAAAATTCTAAATTATCTCCTTAGATAGAGATGGTTATTTAGTAAAATAACATGTTTGATTTTAAAGGGTAGACTAAGGCAGAATTCTCCCAAAGCCACCTGAAAGTGATGAGAAGTATGTGGAAAAAGGACCAAGCACAAACTATTGGACCCATCATGCGGTGCTGTTGCACAGTTTAATTACCAAAAAGTTGTGTTGAGTACTTGCACAAGTTCCATTGTAGTCATGCTTGGGAATTATTTATGAATCCAGTGGAAGGGATGTTACTTATTACTGGATGAAGTTAATTAGGTGAAACCCAAAAACAAAACCTACCCCAGACATCCAGATGACATGATTAATTATACTGCCTAATATATATATATATTGAAAATATTGGTTTTCACCTTTTTGATGTGACATTAGTTTGTTATAATAGAACAGTATTCTTTTGTTTGTTTTATTTTTAGATTGAAATGAAATTGTGGTTTTGATATGTTTTAAAATACAGGTGTTCTAGGGCAAAACGTTTCTTCCATAGTAGGAGCCCCAGCACCAGGAAGTCCATTTGGGCAGCAGGTAGGTACAGAAAAATCCAATAAATCATATTCTGATATTGGTTTTTAAAAAAAAGAAACGAACTGTCTTCCAGTTCTTTAATGGTGAATAAATGAGTAAGAGGTGATAAGGGAATAACATCAACAAATTACAAACGGGTATATTTATAATGTATTTCTAATTTGCTGATGTTACTCCCTTATAACCCTTTACCTGTAGGAGTCAGAAATGCTGGATAATCTTTTCAGTCTGGGAATTGGTTTACGTGTGGGTAGTGCTAGTAATGTCATAGCATCAGCAGTGTTGACTGGGCAGAAATTTGAAGAGAGTTAATTTTTCTACCAGGTTTGGGGAACTTTATAGAAGTTTAAAATATCCATTTTGCCACTTAAACAATCCAAAATGAGAAAAAATAGTTTGGGTTCAAGATTTTAAAATTTCATTTAGTATTTATATTCCCCCTCTCCAAAACCACCATATTTTTAGACCTGCACACTTGTGGAGAGTTTGGAGGCCTCAAATGTGCTTACATGAAATCTTTGAGTTGTCCACACATTAGAAAACACAAGTTATGCCAAAATCTGGGTTGTGATTAGATGAGGAGTTATAGTGAGGGCAATCTGTTTATCTGGCCACCTACTTATTAGATACATATCCCTACTACCCAGGCAATGATGTATATTACTCAAGACTGATAATGTTGCCTAGCTAAATATTGAAATGTCTGCAAGTAAATAACTAAGCTAATACTTGTCATACATTCTTAATACTAAATATTTCTGGCTATTCTTGACCTAACCTCTAAAATGTATTCTTGATACTGTATTTATATTTCTAGATGGGTATGCTTGGTCCCCCAGGCCAACAAGCACCACCTCCATATCCTGGTCAAAACCCAGCATCTCAACAGGTCATGCAGCAGCCTACAACGCCTATGTTTGTCTCTCCTCCACCAAAGACACAGAGGCTTCTCCATTCAGAAGCTTATCTGAAATATATTGAAGGTCTTAGTGCTGATTCAAATAGTATTAGCAAGTGGGACCAGACCCTTTCAGGTAAAATTACAAGGAAATGAACCTCTTAAAGAATGTTGACACTTTCCATATTCTAGCACTTTTATATCTTACCTTAGAACAGCATCTGCAAAGGAAAGTGTATCACTCATGCTCCAGTATAATTACACATTTCTTTTTCTATCAGTAAATTGTAAATTTTTGTACCGTATTTTCCAGCGTATAAGACAACTTTCTAAACCATGAAAATCTTCTCAAAAGTCGGGGGTCGTCTTATACGCCCAGTCGTCTTATATGCCAGAAAATACAGTACTTAGATTTACATAGATTAATGTTAAGTTATGTGGAGAAATTTTAAAGGAAATTCTATTTTCTGTGCACTGATTCTGTGTTTTTCCTTTTTACTGGCATGTAACAGGTCAATTTGGTCATCTTACTAAATTATTCATATTTGTTCCATTTTTTAGTTGAACTGTCTATAGATCTACCAGATCTTTATTACTGTGGCCCTATTCAAGACCAGTTCTTATTTTTAGTTCCATCTTATTTAGTGCTAAATGAAAAATAGACTATGTGGATGCACTGTTACTTTCCATAACTGACTTATACTTACCATGATATATTAATCATAGAATTATAAATTATAAATGGGGGCATTTAGGCATCAAGACTAATTACTTGTTCCCAAAATTCATCTTCCATTGTACCAACGTATGTCTGTCCAGCATCTGGTTGGTAGTTGATTGTCCTGTTGAACTACTGTTAAGACGTTTTTTTGAATACTTGGGTAGAATCTTCATTTCTATCATTTAAAATTATTATTCTGTATTTTATCATCTGAATAGATGGAAAACAAATCTTTACGTACTCAGTGATAATCATTCACACATATAAAAAAATGTTATCACATCTCGCTTTCCAGTCATTGTTTCAGTATTTTCAGTTCCCTGATTATCAGTATTGTTCTTTATAGAATCATTTCCAATTATCCAATTTTGTCTTTCAGCAAGATGTCCAGAACTGAACATAATATTGACATGGGGTCAGATTAGTGCACATTATTTTCTGTTACTTGCAAATTTAATTCTTATTGATACAACATTTATGTACTACTTTTTCAGTTCATGTTCATCACCAGTTCCAAAATCTTTTTTTACAAATAAAATTTCTAACCCAAGGATTTCCCATCCTATATTCATGCATTTAAAACAATAATGTATTTTTCAGGTTGTATAATGCATCAGCATTATTGGTGAAGTATAATGACATATTTTAAGGCAGTATATCGCTTCTGTATTTTTCTTGTTTCAGCACAAAGACGTGATGCCCACCTCTCAAAAGAGCAAGAAAGTCGTCTTCCTACACACTGGTTGAAAAGCAAAGGGGCTCATACCACAATGGCAGATGCACTATGGCGGCTTCGAGACTTGATGTTGAGAGATACACTTAATATCCGCCAGGCATACAACATAGAAAATATTTAATCTTTCAATGCCAACATATAAAAAAAATTGTGGAACATAGCTGTTTTAGTTATTGGTGAGGGAGAGAAAATTGTTTTTATTGCATCTTATTGTATATTGCAAGATTGTTTTTTTATAAGGACATTTTTAATAAGCATATTTCACTTTTTGTTATATTATGTTGACTTTTCTTAAATATACAGACTTGTGCATATGGTTGACTTGAAAGATGATCTCATGCTTGGTTCTAAATGCAAAGCAAGGTTATATCTTTTTTTCTTCACAAATTCTGATAAGATAGGGAGGATGTTTACAGTTTATCTTGGGAAAACATACATTTACACCTAGACCATAGTGGCATGAGCATCGCTGTATTTATACGGTAGTTACTTCTGGCAGGTACATCACATATGCTTAAAGGATTTTTTAAAAACTACTGAAGTAGAGAAAAAAATCTGGTAAATACAAGAATCTAAATGTTTGGTCAGTAGGAGGATCACAGGACTTGAAATAAAAATGAAGAAAAATAATCAAACACTTCAATTAGTTCAAACACGGTGAGTTTGTACTGACCAACGTCATTTGTGAAGAGTCCCATAACCATGAACATTTACCTATGTTGCCAGTAGACTCTGATCTAGGGATTTTTTCTGATTTCCAGAAAAAGAAATCACCACAGCAGTTGGGCTTATAAAGATACTTGAGGAAGGATAAATAACTACAAGGGTGCAAATATTTGTTTCTGCTTTCTATTTAATATGATTCAGTTTTTGATAGTAAACATAATACTTTTGCATTCTCAGATCGCTTACAGAACATTTATATATTTAACAGAACATGACATTTTTAAGGATGCCAAGACCTATGTATATTTAATACATTTTAATACTTTTACATTTCTACCATTGGAAAAAAATGGATGTGTTGTTATCTGAATAGTTAAGGTATTACTACAAATAATGCAGATGTTAACTGATCTTTGAAGGTAAGTAATAGGAATGTACAAGAGAGGCTTGCCTAAATGCTATCCATAATTTGGCATTGAGATTTGTATACTATTTTTTAAATTGCTCTGATATAAACATTGCACTGCAGCTACTGAAAATTTCAAGTGCATAACCAGTTGCACTGCAGTGTTAAAAGGTTTAACATAATAAATAATGTTTTTGGTGGGTATTAAAACCCTGATTTTGCATATCTCAGTTGAAAAAGTAAAAAAAAACTATTTTCAAAAATATTTCTTTTGGGATCACAGTTTTTACATCATTTGCAACTCCACTATTTAGATAGTCTCTTTGAATATGGAAAAAGTCGTTCATGAAGTTTAATTGGGTTTTTTGTTAATTTATTTTGAGCAGACTACCTTCTACCTAAAATTGTGTTGTTCCCTGATTTGCTGCCTAATTTCATAAAACTTCCTAGTTTCATTGCCTTCCTCGAGATGGGACTGGCAATTGATAGAAATATTAATTGGTCATTTAATTATAAAATACTTTAATTAAATATGTAAATACTTTGACTTAGTGGAGAAAATGTATGAATATAATTTTAAAAACAAGTTTAAAAACAGCAAATAAATTTTATGGAGGTTTAGAGCAAGTAACAAGCTAAAACTTAACATTGTCAGAAAATATGTTTTTAGAAAATTAGCTTTATTTCTAAGGAAAAACTACTTGAAATGAAAAACTACTGTGGTTTTCACTGTAGAATTAGGTAGGAATCCAAATTTAATTCACTAGAATTAAAACATTCAATATACAACCCTGGTTTAATGCAGACCCCCCAAAAATAATGATGGCAGAGCTATTAAAGAGATATAATTTATACTTCTAGGATATAGCTTTTGACAAATCTAATAAAACACTTAAAGAGATACAGTTATCAAATTAGGTACTAATATAAAATATAACTTAATTGACATTACAGGAGAAATATTTTGTATCTTTAATATTCTATAATCTGTGGTACAAAGAACCTTAGTTTATATTGTTTAAAATATTTAAAAACCTCAGAGAGACATATATATGCTGCTATCCCCGACCCTATCCCCAGCAAGTTTATTTTTCCCTCCTGGGGTTTTCTTAGTTAACCTTATAATTTTCAACATAGAAGCAGTTGCAGTGTTGGAAGCTGCTAAAATAAATGCATGCCTGCTCTTATGGCTTGTGGCCAGTTTGTTTGACATTACCTCAGATAATGGTATTTTCAACAACAAAGTTAAAGGAAGCCAGTAGCACATCCTAGTTCTTGAGTACTTAGAACTGCCTTGGACATTTACTAATACAATCACTTTTGTTAAGAATTACTAAAATTACACCAAAGAATTTGGAATTATTTATTTTTATTTATTATTTTTAAAAACATTTGTTAAGAACAAGATGTGACACCCTTTGGATGCTGTGTAATGCAGAAGGATCACTGCTGAATAATTTATAGCATTACTTTCCCAGAGACCTTACCTAAGGAGCAGCTTCACCACTCCTAATAGCCTAGGAGTAAACAATTAGAACTGTAAATGAGACCTTTTCTTTGGAAGTGCAGAGCACTCCTCTTAAACTATTAGGCTGGCCCTAATTATTTTAAATTTAATTTATTCCAATATCATCTGTATTGGGGCATTTCAGTAACGTGTAGGAGTTAAGATTTGATGGTTACAATCCAGTATTGCACAATTAGCAGACAATTATTTTTTAATTATAATTTGTTGAACAGGAGAACAAACCATGTCTTATTTGTGGCCACTTGAATTCATTATTTGTTATCTTCCACAGCCATGCACTGTATTGGAATAAAAGGACTTTGGTTATTCAAATAAAAGTATGGGAAATGGTTGGCTTGAATGGTAAAAAATACATCAATTTCAGTTTGAAAGTGATTATTAGTTTATTGCCTATTCTTTATTCCTTTTTTAAAAGAGCAAATTTGTATATGAATTCAAGTCAATGCTTTTAACTTTTTTCCAGCATATATGCTTTTGGACCTGGTTAATCCATGCCTCATTTTTACAGCTGGTTGTATACTCCAATGAGTAAAGTGATAATTAGTCCATGTGCATGTACTATCAATTTGTCTTTTTTGAGGCTTTTTAATTTAAATAAAAATAGTTTGTAATTTGGATTAACCAGGTTTGATTGTTCCATTAAGATGTCTCACTTTTAGTTCTAGACAATTTTACTACAATTCTAACCATGTTCTGTAAAGAACTCATGATGACATGCAATATGTGCATCCTGGTAGTTACATTAGATACACAGAACAAGTTTAAGATCTAGAGAAAAATAGGCACGTTTATCCTACATTCAAAAACCTTTCCAAAAAGAAACATAACCACTGAGTTTTAGAAGAATACAGAATTTTAAAATTGGTACACACATAGAGAAGCTAAGTTCACATGTATGCTAAGCCATTACTTATTTTCTCAGTTAAGTCACAACAGCTGGCATCATACTAAGTCAAAACCAAGCTAATCACATATGATGTGTGAAACCTGTCTGTGATTTGTCAGCAATGATTGATGGCTTAGCATTAGGACAGGACTATGGTATTAGTTGTTCATTGAACAATATTAATACCATCACAATTTACTACAATGTCTGAACTGAGCCTATACTATAAAGGTACGTATCAAATTCTATATCTCTCTTATTAGACTTTTTTATTAATGGTATCAAAATAACATTTAAATAATCTTAATTTTATAGGCTAGGGAAAAAAGTCTTTTTCCTGGTTTTAAAGTCCAGGTTGGAAGTTGGTGTGTTTTTAAACCAACTTTAATCAGATCTGGGCTAATCAAAAAATTGAACAAAAGGATCCATTTTTTTCAAGTGTACAGCCAGCATTAGAGTGGAAGTCCACAACTTGTCCCCACTGTATTTCACCATAAGCAATGATTTATTGCAATTGCCCATATTTGATAAAATAATGTAAGTCTTGCAATGTAGCTATGTTTATGTTGTAGATTTAATTTCTGCTCAGTATTGTTAGATTTAAAATACAGCAATACTTTCCTTTGATCATAGATGATGGATTTATAAATCTAGCAGATGGCCATACAGTACATTTTTATATATTTTTTTCTTTGAAATTATGTGTAGCTTTTCTCTTTTGCTACCTATTATGTATATAAATTGACCATATTTTCTTAGAAAAAATAAAGGACAAACCTGAAAAAAGGGCAAAGATGGAAGAGGTGCATAATGATAAAAATGTTTATGTTTAAAACTTTGTTTTACAAATGTAGTGTTTCTAGTGAGCAATCTGATCTTCTAGTACATTCATTATTCTCAACTATTTTCTCCAAGATTACAGTTCAAAGGATTTTTTTAACTAGCCTTTCTGATCAGACAAGCTCCACCTGAGAAATGTATAGCTTTTACAATAAATACATTTTATTCATTTATATAGCCAGTCATCTAATTTAACTGATTCAGTTAAGATGAAGGAAAAAAACAAGCAAATTCTCATGTCAATGTAATAACTATTTCAAATTTTCTACCCAGGTTTGTCAGGTTTTTCCAAAGTTGCAGATCTCTATTTCATAACTACAGTCGCTGTCCTTGTGAATTTTTAACCCTTGGAAATGAAGTCTATTACTATTGCGCCTATTTGCATTAGATGGGCATGGTGTGAACAACATCTCAGTGTTTTTCTTTTTAAAGAAACAGATTGGCTTTTGCGCTCTCATCTTTTATCAAGAGAATCCTTAACGTTTCTTCACTTCAGCCATTCAAGCAATGCCAGCTTATCTGGGGGGTTTGGTGTTTCTCCCAACAATTTTAATTCCAAATTTGATTTATTTTAATGCAACATTTCTCCTGACATTCTGAACACAAACTAAATACAATATGGAGGCATAGTAAAGAGCCTTGGCACATTCCTTTCCATTATTTGAACTATTTACTTCCATATTTCATTCCAATTGTTGCATCCAGGTCATCATGCAAATTCTTCACTGGCAAATAAGTCTTTTCAAGAGCTCTTCACAATTTTTTGTGGCCTGTCTTTGGATATTTTTCTATTATCCATTTGTTGCTAGCATTGTGACATCAGCTTTCTATTTTCTAAGTGCAGCTTGTATATATCAGCAGTCCATATATCACATATTGAAGCCTGGATTGCAGAATTTTGGGCATTTTCTAATTATGTAAAATTATTGAGAGATCTAAAAGGCCAGACTGAAGGAATATCATGCTGGAAAAAATGAAGTTGCATAGAGCTGACTCCAACTTGATAGTAGTTAATAAAATCATTTTATGTTAAGTTCAGTTGGCAATCTGAGCATTTGTTTAGATAGTGTCTTTTGGTATTGCAATATAAAAAGCTAATTTCTTGTCCCCTGGTTACTGCTGTTTTCCACATCTGCAAGAACCCCTCTAATTGCATCGTTTTTAACCAGTCTTCCTGCAACTCTCTTAACTCCTGCAGTTTTGTTATTTCCTAGGGCCAAATTCACTTCTCAGAATGTTTGACTATATTTCACATATCAAATCCTCATTCATTCTGTCTAATCACAGAACATAGAACCCTGCCATACAATTTAAGACTACTGATTAATCTGATTATATAAATGGAAAAGCAGATCTTAAAGTTTCTGCTATCTGAAAGTGCAACTGATAGAATTTGCGTTTTTCTTCATTCAGCAAGCTATAATTTTTACTAATAAAAACAAGAATGTTATAAGAAAAGCAGCAAGGAAAATTTATCCTGAATTACAGGACACTGCTGATTCCCTTGTGTATATTTTTCTCCAGAGTGTGGAAAGCTCTGACTACAGTGTATTATAAACTGTTCTATTTTACCATGTTAAGTTCATTTTATTCATACATACCAAGTTCACAAATAGTAAGTCATGATTTGCTTAGCCATAGTTTAGGTAATAGCACATTAAGCCAAAATCAAATCTCATTATGGCTTTGAGAAATACATAAATTCCGATGAGATCCACATTATCTAATGTATTCACAAATACCTTCTGTGCGACAACTCCACACATGTATCTTCCATAAACAATCCGACTTTGTCAATTGAAGCATGAATCTATATTGTATACATAGTCTCATAATGGTCACTGTGTGTGTGTGTGTGAGAGAGAATTGTTATAACTTGCTCCCCTAAACCAATGACTTGGATTATGAGAGAACTACTGCAAACATTGGGATTAAATGTTCCTCTTTTTGCCTTTTCTTTTTGCACTTCCTCAGGTCAACCCAGTAACATGGTAAAATAATTCCTTTTACTTTAATAATACATAAAAGTGATTGTGTACATTTACAAAAAATGATAAACCAATATGTCATGAAACAACATATTTCTAAAACCCAGAGCAACATTTTCTAAAATGCAACAGGTAACCAGTCTTATTGTTATGTGAGTTAAATCTGAGTTATAATCATGCTGGCCACAGGACCACAGAAATTTCTTTGAACAATGCTAGCTTCTTTGGTAAGAAACGGAGATGAGTCCCTCCCCCTAGAGTTGGAAACAGCTACTGAGTACCTCAATTACAGCAGCAAAGTATACCACTGGAAATCCTGAAGAACCAGGATAGGGACAGATACACTTCGAGATGGCACTTGAGTTCACCAAAATACATAATTTTTACTTAAAACAAGGCAAGACTAACAAAAAGTACATTTTAGTGAACAAAATGTAGAGTCAGTATTCAGTCTTATTTTAAGCAAACTTTGAAACAAATTTATTAATTTAGAATCCATTATGTACAGATAATTCAGTGCTGAATTCACTTTTCTTCCAACTTCTGGTAATATTGCTCAGTCTGTTTTCTACGGTAAACGTCATCTGCAAAACATTTGAGATCATTTCTATCAACTTTTTGAAAATAGTTTTTATTAATTTAACATTATATAATTAACTTGCAGTATTTCAAGCTTAAAACATTGGGTAATTCATGCAAGATCAAAAGTATAATAAGGAAATTATCATCAAGGGGAACCTTATTCAATCATGAATTCCACAGTATGATGGAACATTTTCATTCTGACATACTTTTTAACTAATACCCACTTCTTTTATTTAAGTAAAGTGTGATAGATTAATCTCAAATTTAAACATTTTGAAATTAGGCCAAGCACTAATTTTATCCATTTCTAAAAAAATGCAGGATTTTAGAAATTTGTTTTCTGTTTTGTAGAATAGTCAGATTACGCTCAGTCTGAAGCTAATACCTCAGTATTTTAGTAGTTTTTCATCTGTCTCCAAAATACAATTGGAAGATTACCTGAATATTTTATCAACCCTTAAGCTAAAAGTAAAACCATGTTTCCCCAATGTGATGATTTGTAGTTTTCTCAGGAGCAGTATGCCTGCCAATAGGTTTTAAGATGATACTCAATCTTTACTTTGCAATTTTAAGATAATTCCATTCTACTAATTTTATTAGAGCACTTGAAGCCTTTGATGCCAAGCAAAAATAGAATAACAGAGTTGGAAGGGACCTTGGGAGACTTCTAGTCAAATCCCTCCTGCTCAGACAGGAAACTCCATACCACTTCAGACAAGTGTTGTCCACTCTTGTCTTAAAAACCTCCAGTGTTTGAGCATCTACAACTTCTGGAGGCCAGCTGTTCCACTGATTGTTTTAACTGTCAGGAAGTTTCTCCTTAGTTCTAGGTTGCTTCTCTCCTTGATTAGTTTCCATCTGTTGCTTCTTGTCCGGCCTTCAGGCGCTTTGGAGAATAGCTTGACTCCTTCTTTGTGGCAATCCCTGAGATATTGGAACACTACCTTCATGTCACCCCTTGTCCTTCTCTTCATTAAACTAGACATACCCATTTCTAGCAAAGAATTCCATTCTTTATATGTTTTAGCCTTCAGTCCCCCAATCATCTTTGTAGCTCTTCTCTATACATCAAATGATTACCATTAAAAGGTTGCCTTAAGTTCTTTTTTTAATAAAAGCTGAATATCAAACAGAAATTTGAATATGTCAATATAATTATTTGGAAAGATGTGGAAATTAATATAGCAAAATTAAGTCATGCATGTTTAAATATATCGAAAAGAATTTTTTTAAACAAAAGTTTAATGATACTTACAAAAGGTCTGATTGCCAACTGAAACATTAATCATAAACCATTCTATAGCACCACCAAGAACAAAGTAGAAAGGAAGAAATCTGTATATACCAAACCGCTTCTTTCCAGGTACTTTATTCATTAGTTGAGTTATTTTACTATTGACAGACATTTTAAGAAGAATTTAAGATTCGTTGTAAGAAGGGTGATTCTGAAACACATCAAACAAAATTAATATTTTATGTATAAGGCTGTCCAAAATATGGTTAACCAAATATATAAAACTATGGACAGGAATAAAATTCAGTTTTATCTTTACATATTTCACATCTGATTATACCTGGGCTCATAACGACACAAAACTAAAAAAATGCATTATTCTAATATTACTATTATTAATAAATCTATTTAATTTATTGTGAGTTAATCCCAAAACACTAAAGCACAGCAATAGCGCTGATACTTATATATTGCTTCATGGTGCTTTATAACATTCTCTAGTCTAAGTGGTTTACATCAGCAATGTTTCTGAATTCTATCATTTTCACCACAGCTACTAAAATCCTTCCTGAGCATCCTGAGCAATTGAGAATATGAGGTCTTTTGGTGCTCTGAGCTTGGTTGTTTTCTTGCAGGTGTTTCATTACCCAACTTAGCAACATCATCAATGCTATCAGTATGTGATGCATACAATCTTCCATTTTATAGCAACATCCTTATAAAATGCAATATGAAGACTCTGACTTAAGATCATCCTATTTTGTTCAATGCCACCTAATGTGGATCAACAACCTGCTAGAACCTAGAACTCTTTTGTATGTTTATTTTTGGCAACTACTGATTTCAGCATACCATATACAATTTGAAATGCAAAGAACTCTAACATCAACAAATCTTGCAAACATTTTAAATACCCATTTTGTATTAGCAGCCCATCTCTAGATAAACCATGATTCCAGAACCAAATATCTATTAATAACATTGATACTGCACTTATACATGTTCTGCTTACCTAGTCCTGACAAAACAAAGTTTATAACATTTCCTTCCAACATTCGACTAATGGAAAATAAGAGACCATTCCCGGGGTTTACATTAATCATTCACTATCTTTCAGATCCAGTTGTGAATAAGTTGTTGTGATGCCATTCAGTCACCAATCCCAGGAAAGCACCCAAGGCTAGCTAATGTCTAGTTTTACGTAAAAGTTCTCCATCAGAGAACTTATTTCCAGGGTCTGAAAGCCTTGCAAATTTGGTCTAGTGGTTAAGGCACCAGGCTAGAAAGCAAGAGACCATGAGTTCAACACAGTCAGTGACTCTCAGCCCAACTCACCTCACAGGGTTGTTGTTATGAGGAAAATACGGTAGAAGGAAGCTGTGTTGCATACGTTCGCCGCCTTGGGTTATTTGTAAAAATAATAAAGGGGATATAAATAAACAAATTCTGATTATTATAACCAAGGACCCGTGCTCATAGAAGGCAATGCTGCTTTCCACTCCCACCACTCTCAGTGGGAGACAGTCAAAGAGAACGGTCTGATCTCTAGCGGAGACCAACACTCACCTTTAGGACTGAGTAAGGAAGAGGGCGCGCAAGATAAAAGAGCAACGGGAAGAGCGACCGCCCTCCCACCTGACTGCTACACATCATGTCTTCCGAATGAGACTATAGTGATTGGTTACGTGCTGTGCGTAGGGGGAGTGGCCTGCCCGTCTTTGAACAGAAAGAACGGAATGAGCGGGGGTTTTCTCTGCGGTGTTGCTCCTACGCCAGCTGCGATTCTCAAACGTAGGGCGCTAATGGCGCTCCTAAAGCCCCACAGCTCCTGCTCAGTTCAGTTGCAAAACCGGCGAGGCGAAGCGGTTAGAAGCCTCTGACCGCCCCCTGTCGGAGCCGAAGTGAAGTAATCCAGTATCTTATTGTCTTCAACATTTCGTAAAACACTGGACAACTAACTCATTCTGTGCAAGATCAACTCAGCAAAGTAAATTTCGCTTTCTTTTTAATCAGGTGTCTATAAGATCACAAGAGCAGGCAGTCTGAATTGTAACACATTTTATCCATTGAAAAATAAGAGAATAGAGCTTTCTGTACGTATTCCTTTTATTCCTTCATTGGCCATTTTCACTGAGCATTCTTGTAAGAGAAAGCATGTCCTTTTTTCCAAAAATATTTGTCTCGAGAACTTACTTTTATACGACTTATCCAGATAGCCTCATTCGCGGTTCAAAGGAATCGGAATTACAGTGTCCGAAAGGAAAACATGCCCGCCCTAAACATTTTAAATAGCCTCGAGCCAGCAGGACCAAAAGGATCTTGGGAGTTGTAGTTCTTGTCTGTCCCAACAATCCGGAACAACTCACAGGAGCTGGGGGGAGGGAAGAGGACACACAAAACGTTTAACAAACTACAAATCCCAAGTGGTCCGTAAGCGTTGGCAGCGGCACTTGTGCTGGAAGACCCGCCTCCCCTTGGCAAGTCTTGGGCTGGAGCGCTGCAGCAGATCCGCATTGACTGGTTGCTCTTAGGAGGGTCGGATGGCTGGAAGAATCGGTCGTTGGCCAGTCTGGCGAACAATGCAGCTGAAGAGGTGCGTTGGAGATCTGAGATGATGGTCTTATGAACTCATCTCAAGGAAGAGGCTCTCGTCCCGGGAGGCCATGGCGGCGGCTGGACTCAAGGCTGCGAGCAGCGGCATATGGAAGAGCGGCGGCGGCGGCGGTGCCGTCGGCATCCTTCAACAACTGATGGTCCCTGTTTCCAGCCACGGCAGCTGCTGCTATTATACAGGCTCCGAGGCTGGATCGGGGCGGGTGGGATGCAGGCACCAGTGGACCCATCAGCCGCAGTCCGAGGAGCATTGTCTCCCGCCGCCGGCCTCCTCTTCGATCGGCGGCAAAGCTAAGAGAACCGCCGACGCCGGTCCTGCTGGGGCAGCGACAATGACAGCTGCTTCCTTGGGCAGCCACCAGCCCAGCTCCATCGAAGGGATCGATACGAAGTCCTATCTCTGGGCCAGATACCACGAAATGAAAAAGCTGGTTTATGGTAAGGAGGGAGGGGGTGGGAAGTGGGGGGCTTGGCTGTGCGTGTCTGAGGCATTTCGTTGAAGACTAATTCTGATGAATTAAAATGCCTCAGTGTTACGTTACGTACATCTGAGAGCTGTTCAAACCCTCGTCTCGTTTGATTCCAAAAAGTAGGGTGAGTGTGAATAGAATAGAATAGAATAGAATAGAATAGAATAGAATAGAATAGAATAGAATAGAATAGAATAGAATTCTTTATTGGCCAAGTGTGCGATTGGACACAGAAGGTATTTATCTCCGATGCATATTTACATCTGGTACTATTATATAATTGGATGGTTGCATCATTCTGTGGTGATCTTAAAGTGGTTTACATGATAAGTTTAGTATTCCTAGTGAGGAAACACCCACACTACAAACTGTTACTTGTGCATTGCTGTTAATAGTATCATCTGCTGCCAAACTTATGCTAACTTATTCTCTTCTATTGCCGACATGCTAATTGTGAGAGTAACTACGAATGCCAAGTTATAAAAGATGCTGCGAATTGGATTCTTCATATTTTCTCCAAAAACTTATTTGTGTTTACTAAATGACATACATGGGTACCATGATGATTAAACTAGATGACTTTAAAATGGAAAACATTTTTAATCAACTCTTCCAGTGGAATGTACACATTGCTTATCAGCTTACTAAAATTAGTAAGGTTGCGATCCCTTACATGTTTTGGTTCTGTGTTTTGTTAAAATTTAACTTTCTAAACTCCTTGAACTTTTGTGTGTGTGTGTGTGCGCGCGCGCATGTGTGTCTGTCTGTTTTAAAATCTCTGTTGTACACACTTTGAGAATTCTAGGTTGAAGGTTTGAAGTTGGTTCTTCAGTTGCTTGAATATTTCAGTTAAGCTGAGTAATGAATATGCCAACATCATTTGTTGGAAGCATTTAACACATTTTAACCATCTTAATTGGCTCCACAATCAGTTTCTGGATATAGTTCAAACTAATGTACTGGCATTGTACTTTCAAGGTGAAAGTGGTTTGAACTTACTAACTTGCAAAGCTTTCTCTCAGAAGAACTACTTGTGTATTCATATCTCTAGAAAAGGCTATGTTTCAAGCTCCCTTTCAAACTAAAGCAGGTTATCATAAGTTCTTGATTGCAGTGTTACCTTGTGAAACACTTTCATTCCTCTATTGGCTGATTAGCATCTTTCCAAGTCTGAACAAGAGAAATGTTGCTGCTGTATCATAAGGATCACTATCTTAACAATCTCAAAAGGCTACTTAGTTTTAAAAAAAAATGGTCAAGAATTGTTTAAAAACTATAACAGATGTTGGATGAACTGCTACTATTTTTCTCCCTAATGATACCAGGTCAATTTTTAAATAAAAAAAATACATTGCAATTCTAATATTTTTCAAACATTTGCCAGAATTCACTTGAAGGATTCTACTGTGAAGCCATAATGTGAAATGGAATTTAGTAGGTGACTTGAATATTTTTGTAAGTTTGTTCCTGAAATGTAAACAAGATAACTTATTGGCAAGATTTTAAGTGGACAGTAGAACCAAATGAAAAAAGTAAGGTTCTATATTTAGGCAGGAAAAACCAAATGGACAGGTATAGTATAGGAGGTACCTTGCTCAATAGTAGTAACTGTGAGGGATCTCGGAGTCCTAGTGGACAATCACTTAAATATGAGCCAACAGTGTGCCAAAAAAGCCAACACAGTGCTAGGCTGCATTAACAGAGGGATAGAATCAGGATCACATGAAGTGTTAATACCACTTTACAATGCCTTGGTAAGGCCACACCTGGAATACTGCATCCAGCTTTGGTCACCACAATGTAAAAAAGATGTTGAGACTCTAGAAAGAGTACAGAGAAGAGCAACAAAAATGATTAGGGGACTGGAGGCTAAAAGATACAAGGAATGGTTGCTGGAGTTGGGTATGTCTAGTTTAATGAAGAGAAGGACAAGGGGTGACATGATAGCAGTATTCCAATATCTCAGGGGCTGTCACAAAGAAGAGGGAGTCAAGTTATTTTCCAAAGCGCCTGAAGGCAGGACAAGAAGCAATGGTTGGAAACAACCAAAGAGAGAAGCAACCTAGAACTAAGGAGAAACTTCCTGACAGTTAGAACAATTAATCAGTGGAACAACCTGCCCCCAGAAGCTGTGAATGCTCCAACACTGGAAGTCTTTAAGAAGAGATTGGACAGCCATTTGTCTGAAATAGTATAGGGTTTCCTGCCTGAGCAGGGGGTTGGACTAGATGACCTCCAAGGTCCCTTCCAACTTTATTATTGTTGTTGATGTTATATAGCTAGAGAGACACAATTTCACTCATTGAACATGCAGTTAGTGATCATAACACCATAAGGCTGGAAGGGATTTCAACAATCTTCTAATCCAGGGGTCTTCAAACTTGGCCTTTTGACGACTTTTGGACTTCACAAGTTGTAAAAGGGCCATGTTTGAAGACCCCTGTTCTAATACAAATCCCTGCTCAAGGCAAGAATCTTATATCATCCCAGTCAAGTTATTGTCCAGTTTCCAGTGATGCTATACCCACATCCCCAGGAGTCAAGCTATTCATTGATTAATTGCTTTTGCTGTCAGAAAAAAATATTCTTACTTATCTCTCTTTGACAAGCTTCCACCCATTACTTCTTGTCTTGCCCTCTGGTGCCCTAGCCTAATAAGGATCAGATTAACTGGGAATCAGAATTTTAATGTGAATGATGTGTGAAACAGGCAATACCTTTTAAATGACTATGTTTATAAAGAGTATTTCAAGCATCAAATGTACCTAGTCGTGATTTTTCTCCCCTTGCTGAATCTGCTTTCATAAATTTGGAGCAAACAAACATTGTGAAAGAGCAGATACAACTGGCTGAATCAGACAGGTTGAGGCATATAGGCAAATATTTACTGAGATTTTGTTTCCTATTGGACAGCTAATCCCTATATATTTATAAGAATTATTGATTGAAAATTCAAAATGCTGTTATTCTTTGCTACTTATATCTCTAATCTATGAGGAGATCCCAACTAGAATAGAAGAACTTCAGTAAATAGAATATAAAGAAATACAATTATTCCTCCCCCCCCCATGTAATAATGGTAACTGTAAATCCTGTTCCATTCCTAGATGAAATTAAGTACAATGCCTTGATGGTGATTATGCCCCCCCCCTCAAAATGTTCCCCCAAATGTTCTGAAGGGTCCCTACTTCTGAGGAGGCACAGAAGGAAGGAGGAAAGTCTGGTGAAAGCAGCAGCAGCCTCCACCTCTGAGTAAAATTCTGCTCCTGCCAGTGGGAAGCCAGGATCCTTAGCCGATCCTTTTCGGTTTACAGCAAAAGTCTTTCCTTGTTTTGGTTATTCTTTTTGGTAATGAAAATTAGAATGTTTAAATTGGTTGAAATATTTATTTTTTGGACCATCTGTTTTGAAAGAAAATGTCAGTAGTCTTCAATACCCAACTATAATGGGGGGGGGGGGAAGGAATATTTCACCTCACCCTATCTTCACCCCTTATTTTTTTTACACAGTATTCCTGTTGTGCATAATCTTGGATCAAAATAGTGCCTGTATTTTTATTGTCTTGTTCCAGATCTGCTTCCACCAGGAGTTTGCAATCTTCTTAATCCTGCAGCTATCTATGCAAATAATGAGATTAGCTTGGGAGACGTTGAGATCTATGGTTTTGATTACGATTATACATTGGCACAATATTCAAACTTACTACATTCAATGATATTCAACACTGCCAGAGATATCCTAATTGAACAGTATAAGGTGAGTTTCCAATTTTCATCATCTCTTCTTGTGTGATGCTTGATCAGTAATAGATTGGGACAGTACGACGTGGAAATGATTTTAAGATAAGTACTTTTTTCTTCTTCTACATTTCATGACTTCTTTGTGTTTCTAGATTCGGACTTTCGTAGTTACCTTCCACAGCCTATTGAGAGCTGGTATTGATGAGAAAGGCTTAAAGCAGCAAATCTTTCCCTAATTTTTTGTTCACCTGTTAATGGAATTAGATCTGCTTCCCCCCCCCCCCCGTGCCTTGCTCAGCCCCTAGATGACTTTTTAAATTATTTATTTTATTTATCTTTCCTTTCCTTTTTTATCGCAATCATTTTTACTGAAATTTAAAATGATAAAGGTAAAGTAATATAAACTAAAAAATATATAAACGAGAAAAAAAAACAAAAAGGAAAAGCGGGGATGGGAAAAGGGGAAAATATATGAAAAAGAAAAGAAACCAAAAATATAGAAAGAAATAACTTTCCCCTTCATCAAGTATAAACATAGAAACATAGCTTGACATCTCTTTTTCAACCAAAACTATCTTCATCCCATATCACATCTATTATCTATTGGCAAATAATAAAATCTCATCTTTCAATTTTAATCAGCAAAAGTCCGTTAAGTGATACCAGAAATAAACAAACACACATACATATAGTGTGTGTGTATACACACAAGTAATTCATAATTCTTTCCTTTACACAATACCTTTCAGTTTCTCTAAAACTCTTCTTCCCACGGTCTTACATCTATAAACTGATGTGGAAAAGCTCATCATTCAAACTTAATCAAGAAAAATTCTATTAAGTGCTACTAGAAAATTGAAAATATTAATATTTCATCCCTTCAAATGATACATCACAATTAATTTGTTATTTTTTTTTTTCATTTCCTGTTGGGCAAATTCAGCACCTTTATGAAAGGCTCTGATTGCAGCTTGGGGAAAATGGTCTCTGCCAACACCCAGAGTTCTAAAACCTGCCAGAAACCGCTACTTTATGGCCCAATCCCGGGAAAGGTCTGTAAGGAGCGCTCTGGGCAATCCCAAGTCCTCTCTTTCTCTGGAAAGGAATTCAGGGGCCCGTTCCTTCACCAGCTCCACAATCAGCTTTCTACCACAATCATTGGCTCTGCTAAAAACAAAGCTGTCTTAGTCTGATATTACTCCCCAGAAGTAGTTTGTATGCCATTTCAATCAGTTCCAATTATGAATGGCTTAAATACCCTATTTTCATAAATAAGATTATGATGTACAATATCTGTGACAAAGACTATAACATATGCACGTTCATGTCAAAGATAAATAAAATCACCCCTCAGAGGAAACACCTCACATTTCTATTCTTAAGGCATGTTAAAAAAGACCAGATTTCTACATCTCCTCTTTACTTTTCCTCACTTCACCCTCTGCAGTTGTCCAATGAGTTTTATTGCTGATTATATTCCTGTTCTAAAACTATATTCTATGTATCCATTGCCATACAGTTTGCTAGTTGTCTAGATTTCTACCATATAGCATGTATGCCAGTTAGGAAGAATATACTCATTCTTTCTAATGAAATGTTTTGTAGTACCCAGAGGGACTTAGGAAATATGAATACATTCCTGGTTTTGCCATAAGAGGACTTCATTATGATGTGCACAAGGTGAGTTATACAATAAATATGTTTTCAATTGGTCTTTCACATCGTTTGGTTCAGTGTGGAAATTGGAAACGTTGAAGTATCTAGTTAGTTTGTTAAGTTACAGCTGTTCTTGAAGAAATGAATTAATAATGGTGTATATATGCATGTAGGTTTACACATTACACATATACACAGGAAAACAATCATCCTTGAATTACAACAGCAATTTAGGATCAATACTTCCATCACTAAGCATTGTGAAATGCAACATCATGTGACTTCTGGTGAAGACTTCTGGCGAACTAGAAATCTTCAAAGGAGCAGAGATGGCAATGCAGTAAGGTTGGCAGCCACATAGCATTTTCTGGCCAGCCAAACCTCTTCAGATAAAGGAGAGATCATGAGGTTGCCCACTTGTTCTCCAGATAGCTGCTTCTAATGCGTAAACTACAGAAACTGAGATTTATATGGCCAGATTCTAAGTGGAATGGTTGGGAATCAAGGGATTCCACTAAGGTCATAAGCATAATGTAGCCTATGGGTATGTCAAACCTCATGTCCTGATCACATTTAGAAATTGCTTCTTAACTGCTTTTCAGCCATTAAGAACATTCTAATCAACAAATCTGATAAAATGTATCAGGTGAGTTCACTTTAATTCTTAGTGAAAGAAGCTCTAAAGTGAAGTTTAAGGACATAAATATATATATATATATATAACATTTATATAAAAGTATGTGTATGTGTACATGTGTGTATAAATGACAAAAGAGTGATTAGAACAAAGATTTTGAAAAGTTAGAAACAGAATAGGAGTCCAGAAAGATCTGAAAATGAGATTTTGAAATTGAGCAGTGAGATTTTTGTATGTGCAGAGGTAGAAAAACAGTGGATTGTGAAACTAATGGAACTGGCAGAGACTGACTATCCTGATGAAAGATACAAGTTTGTCTGACTTTGTGTCTACTTGGAGACCACTTTTATACATCTTGCTTAAGAAAAAGAAATTTTGATTTTACCACTGATCTGTTATGATTATAGAAATATTGTGTACGTTTAGTGTTTACTATTAAATATGTATATATCTTTATTATATATTTATGTAAATATATCTTTATAGTGTTATATACTTTTTATATTATGTTAAAATCACTCACAATAAAAACACTAGAAGGAGTCAAAAGCAACTAAAGATTACAATTAATAAAAAAAAAGAAAAAATTATTTATTAACACAGAATGAAGCAAAATACTTTAACACAGGACATATTCAAAGATATTTGTGAGTGATAGATCCAGAAAATAATCTTAAAACTTAAATAATTAACGATATATAGTTTTTGAAAGAAGTGTGGAAGAGAAACAAGTTTTGCTGGATTAAAGATCAACTTTGTAAAATAAAAGGAATGGAATATAAAGTGGGTTTATCTGATCAAGGTTAAAATGGATATGTTGTTTCTGGCAATCCTTGATGGCCTTTTGCTGATCAGGAATGAATGAGGTTATAAAAACTATTCATAGATATGAGATGAAATATGGGATTAAGAGATTTTTTGTTATATTTTTAAGAGAAGGTGACAAATTTTAAAAATTGTTTATACTTGAGATGACAGGGGAAGTTACTTCTTTATATATTTTCATTTTATTTGCTATGTTTTTTCCCTATCTATATCTTTTCTCTTTTTCTACATGTTCTATATTTCTGTTTTCTTTCTTTTTGTATTAAGTTATATTTATTTTTATTACCTGTAATGTTTAATAACATTATTTAAAAAAAATAAAACACAACATCACATGATTGCATTACTTGGCAATGGCAGTCCTAGTTACTGTTGTAATCCCAGGACCACATGGATCATTGAAACACACGTAACTGCAGCATAAGAAAAAGCAGGAGGCCAGGCAAGCAGGCCCGTGAGTGAGAACTATAGGCAGATGCTCCTAGAGAACACAGAAAGAAGGCCAGATTCTGAGGGTGGACACTAAGCACAAGTGAGTGCGTGGAGGGGAGGAAACCATGATGAGAGAAATTTGCAACTTCTTGCAAGCTTCCCATCGACTTTGTTTGTGAGAATCCAGCAGGGAACATTGGAAATCACAAACATGTGATCACAGCTCTCTGCAACATTATAATTGTGTGTCTGGCACCAAGAGCTGAAAGCCCAATTATGTGACTGCATGGTCCCTGCAACGGCCACAACTTTGCAGATCACGTAAGTTTTCTTTATTCAGTGCCAGCATAACTGAACAAGTGATTGTAATCCTTGGGCTACCTATAAAGGTCTTTTTTCTCTGTAGTTACATAGTATAACAATCAAAAAAATCAGATAGTGCTGTGCAATACAATCTGGTGGAATATTCTTGTTTATGGCTTAAAATTTTCTAAATTTTGCAGCTACATTTAGTATGTGGGGGTTTTTTTCCCAAAAGAATGAGGAACTTGATGCTAATAAGGCCCAAAGTGACTTGAAGAACATGGGAAGGGTGTCAGGGAAGCCTTTTTTCAGCATTTTGCAGGCACAATTGCAATGATCTCTGTAAACAATGTTAGGGTACTTTGTCATCTTATTTTTTTCCCTTTGCCAGCATTTTTTTTTTTTTTTTTTTGTCTCCAGTCGGGAATAATTACAGCACTAACTAATCCTCAATCTTTGCTGGCTGTATAGCATTAAAAAAAAATTTTTCCTGGAAGTTAGAATCAGGATAGGATGTGGTAAACTGAAAATTTAAGCACTGCAACTGATCTGGGAAGAAGACATTGTCACAACAGTTGATGGTAAATGAATAAAATGTTCTCATCTGGCAACTGTTCGGATATAAGTAGAGATAAGATAGTAGGAGTTACAAAAAGTAACATCAGAGCATTTCCATTTAAAAAATGGACCTCTCCCTCTTAGATATTGAAAGCAGAAGATGTCAGTATAACGCCTGCTAGAATCCCAGTTTGTCTTACTGCAGAAATAAAACTGATCCCTGAAATTATACAAGATTGCACATTGATGAGCTAGAACAGAAGTCTTGAACCTGTGGACCGCGGCCCACTACCAGACCACGGCCTATTGGCCATTGGGCTGGCTGCTATGCATGTATGTGTGGGCGCGCACAGCCCCACTTGTGTGAGCATCATCATGACCATTGCCATAAGCACCATGGGCATTCATGGACCCACTTGTGTGAGTGCCAGGTGTTCACACCCAACTCACGCACACCTTGAATGTCACGGGCGTTTGTGGACTCACTCATACCAGTGTTGGCATGAGCATCACAGGCTTTTGCAGCCCCCCACGCACCAGCGTCACTGCGAGTGTTTGCAGCCCCACATGTGCGAATGCTCACAGCCCCATTCATGTGAGCAATGGGTGTTCATGCATGGGCATGCATTTAGCCCCCCCACACACACACACACAAACACAAAACTGTCCCTTCTTTCCCTCCTGCCACCAACCCCAAAAGGTTGGGGAACTCTGCGCTAGAAAGTTACCTATCTCTGCAAAAATAGTAAGAGTGTGGTGCTTCTATCTGTGCAACATTCCTTCTGTCTCTTTCTTTCTTCATTGGAAGTAGAAATATGGTGTGACTCTCTGCGCAGACATAAACAAAAAAAAAGGAGGGGGTTCATCATCATATACATCATATTTGTATCTGCCAATGTAGCATTAAATGCATTGCCTCGTGAAGAATAGTTTTGTTTTTCTTGTAACATTAAATTCTTCAAGCTAAAAGTACGAAATATTTACACAACAAATGTCTATCTTTCTTTTAGAGTCTTCTGATGAAGATTGATGCTTTCCACTATGTTCAACTGGGCACTGCCTATCAGTGAGTTTAGCAAAATTATATGCATTTTCTGGAGCATAGAAACAGTTGTTCTTTATGCAACATTTAACATAGGAATCAGAAGCAGATTTGGGTCATGAGTGATGGCATAGGATTGTTTACTTGCTCCAGAGAAATGTGTTGAGTTGCTGAAGTCTGAGTGTGCTGGCAAGTATTTCTGAAATCAGCTGCAGAGGAAACTGGTGCCAAATTATAGGATCAATAACTAAAATTTTGGGCATATCAGAACCAATTTAGCTATAAATATCTTAATTTTTAATACTTTAAATATTGATTATATAAATAAAAACTCTTTTGAGATCCACCATGATTTTTAAAAGTGGGAAGAGAAAAAAGTTCAAGAAACACTGATCTAAACAAACTTTGAACAAAGGAGAAATAAAAATTTATGATTTAAGGAAGCAGTATTTTCTAATGCAGCTGCATTTCGGTAATACTCTTCTGCTTCTTCAACTAAATGTTGCCCTATTAATTGGTTTTTCTGCTTTGGTTAAAAATTAACTCAGTGGGGAAAAATTAAATTCCTTTTTGTCCTACAATCTTATCATATGAGGTTATTTGTATATTTTGAAGACATTTTCTCTATAGGCAACTTTTGTTATAGTCATGGAATATTTAAATTTATGGCTCTCTACATTTCTTCAGAAACTTGAGTTCAATTAACAATGATAATGTTAGACAGTCACTTGGGTCAACAGAACAATAACGAATTTTAAGCAAAAAAATTGCCACCAGTTTTCATTAATATCTTGATAAGTGCCAAATCATGTCAATTCATTTGCACAACTTCTCTTCAAATTCAGTGCCAATAAAGATGAATTCTTCTCTGAATCAGCATCTTGAGATTCGTTCAATCAATCAAAATAGAGCTGAAAGGAACCTTGGAGATCTTCTAGTTCTTGAGGAAGTCTTCTCCCCAAGCAGGAGATCCTATACCATTTCAGATAGGTAGCTGTCCAGTCCTTCCTTAAAAACCTCCAGTGATGAAGCATCTACAACTTCTGAAAGCAAGCCGTTCCACTGTCCTCACTGTTAGGAAGTTACTCCTTAATTCTAGGTTGCTTCTCTCCTTGATTAGTTTCCATCTATTGTTTCTTTTTTGCCTTCTGGTACTTTGGAAAACAAGTTGACCTCCCCCTTCTCTGTGGCAGTTCCTCAGATATTGGAATACTGATATCATGTCACTCCTACTCCTTCTTTTCTCAAGACTGGCCATACCCAATTCCTACAACCATTCTTCATATGTTTTTTGTCTCCAGACCCTTAATCATCTTAGTTGCTCTTTTTTGCACTTTTTCCAAAGTCTCAATATCTTTTTTGTAATATGGTGACCAAAACTGGATGCAGTATTCCAGGTATAGTTTTACTAAGCCTTTATAAAGAGGTACTAATACGTCACGTGATTTTGATTCTATGCCTGTTTATACAACCAAGTATTGTATTAGCTTTTTTGACTGCCGCCGCACACTACTGGCTCATGTTTAAGTGTCCACTAGGACTCCACGGTCCTTCTCACAGTTACTGTTTTTGAGCCAGGTTTCGCCTAATCTGTACTTGTACCTTTGGGTTTTCCTACCTTGGTGTAAAACCTTGCTTTTCTCTACATTAAATTTCATGTTGTTGATTAGGGTCCATTGTTCAAATCTTAAGATCTTTTTGGATCCTAAGCTTGTCCTTTGGGGTGTTGGCATGAATATGCCTGTTTTCTTGGCAATGCCTTCTTTTGAGATGCTTTTGAGTAGGATAATATAACTCTCTTTAAAAGCAATCTCCCTAAAGATTTTAGGATAATATGAGCATAGGTGTCAACTAACTTTTAGTATTTTCCTGATTAAATTATTGTAATTTGTTTTTAGGGGGCTAAACCCAGTGCCTGATGAAGAAGTTATTGAAATGTATGGTGGAACACAGCATATCCCATTATACCAGATGAGTGATTTTTATGGCAAGGTAAAGTATGTTCCCTTTACTGAAAATTTATTAGATTTAAAAGAATTAAATGCTGAAAGTTTAATCAGATCATCCTACCAGACTAAAACTTCAATAAGAAAAATGTTAATGATATCTTTCTAGTATTAAAAAAAACAGTAACAAAAATGCTAGTTGTAAACACATTTAACTAATATTTTAAAAAAAAATCCACCAGACCTGTTGTTTTCTTTCTAGAGTAAACAATGGTTATTAGTTCCCCGCATTTTGTACAAAGGCAAATCTATCATGTATTGTTTACAGTAAGTATTTTCTACTTTGTAACACAAACTTCAGTAAAGTTTTCTTTTTTTCTTAAATAGTCCAGGCTCACAAAAGATCATCGTTGCTTCGCTGTAGATGTGAAAAATCTGACTTAAAAGACCATATCTTTGTGTTTTGTTTATTCTTTTTGAAAATGATCATATTCTGCTCCATTGTAGCTTTCAAGCATTCAGTCTAGGATTAAGTCTTTGTACTGTTTCTCCCTCTGAAGATTTATAAACAGGATTGTATATTATGCACAACTTCAATGACATAATTTTTCTCCAATTTCTTTATTTAGGTTCATTAGTATCATTAGTAGTGGCACAACTCAATAATGGGAATAAAGTAGCAGTAACAGTTTTATTTATCTGCCTGGTTCTATTGAGGGTTGAAAACGTAGTTGGGAAGACAACAAACTATGTAGAATTTATTGTCAATGGCAAAGTAACATGGTTATCTCCTCTATATGGAATATGATCTCTTTTTTTTCCTTTTCACATAATATGAATTTTAATGTAATATAATATAGGAAGTTTTTTATTTTTACAATGAATACATCCAAAATAATTTCACTGGCTCATTGTTTTTTGTTTTTAGTTCAGATGTGTAAAGTTGGACTAATGAGTTACTGTTTAATTTCTTGCTGTTTAATAGAATAACATATACTCCTGTTGTCCTTGGACTATCTTTAGGCAGAAGTGATCATTTGGTCTATGAACCTGAACTTGGAAATCACCCAGTATCATCAGAATTTCTCCGTATTTTAACTGGATCCACCCTTTATAAATAGCATTCTGACTTGCCATGTTTTGGATTGCACTGTGTATGTGATATTCTATATATACAAAGAATGCCCATAGTTTAAAGAGCCACTTTTATTGTTTAATTCAAGATAAGAGGTGCTTCCAAACAGAGAGCTTATGGTGTTATTAAATATATTGTACAACTTCCTTCTTTTCCCCCCCTTCCTCCTTCTTGAAAAAGAAAAGAAGGCTGATAAAATATAGGTAATTCTTAACTTATAACCACAACTGAACCCAAAATTTCAGCTGCTAAGCAAGACAGTTGTTAAGTGAAATTTGCTCCATTTTATAACCTTTCTTGCCACAGCTATTTAAGTGAATCGCTGCAGTTAAGTTAGTAACACAGTTCTTAGGTGAATCTGGCACCCCCATTGACTTTGTGAGAAGGTCGCAAACATAATCACATAACCCCAGGAGACTGCAACAGTCATAAATATATGCCAATTCCTAAGTGTCCAAATTTAGATCACATGACTAGGGGATGCTGTCATGGTGATAAGTGTGAAAAAAACTCACAAGTCACTTTTTTCAGTGGTGTTGGAGTGTCAAACAGTCACTTGATGAATGGTTGTGTATTGAGGACTACCTATAATAGAAAAAATATGGAAGTGTCCAAATGCAAGATAATAATCTGGAAGAGGCAAGATGATTACATGATAAAAGCTTTGTCAAAAAGTATTTTTAATGTTTGCTTGCTCAAATATTTTATCATTACAGTATGTTAAATTGTGTGCTGGAAAATAAATATGAATTGTTGGATAGTATGGTGCCTTACGTCAGGGCTTTTCAACCTTTTTACCCATTGTGCCACTTTTAGGATATGGCAATATCCAAGTACCACCAATGGCCTAGCAAGGTGTCAAAAACTTGATGACCCCCCCCCAAAAAAGGAAAAAGTGATAAAGTACAGGTAGTCCTCGACTTACAACAGTTCGCTTAGTGACTGTTCAAAGTTACAATAGCACTGAAAAAAGTGCCCCCCAAGCTGAGCAAGACACCTGCTTGCGGTGCTCTTCCTCCTGTCCAAGGTTTTCATTGTGAGCATTTCTGTTGCGGATTGGCAGCGGGGGTGGGGTGGAGGAGTGTTTGGTTTTTATTCCCTCCGTTTGCTGGGTGGTTGCAGCAGGTTTTGGTCACTTCACATGACCCTGGGACACTGTGACCATCATAAATATGAATCAGTTGCCAAGCATCTGAATGTAAATCACTTGGTGATGCTGAAAACATTCCAGCTGATTGGCGCTTCCTCTGAGCTCAGCAGAAGCACCAGGATCAGCGCTGAGCTCCAGCTGGAGCCTGGCGCTGATCCTGGCGCTTCCACTAAGCCCTCACAGTCCCGAAGAAGCACTGATCCTGGCGCTTCTGCTGAGCCCTGACAGCCCTGCAGCTCCAGCCATCTCTCGCTCAGGCTTGTGCGGTTCTGCCACCAGTTCAGCTCATTCCTCTCCCCCGCTACCACTTTTCTAGGATGGTCGCATACCACCTGCCAGGTGCCAATGTACCACAGGTGATACCCATACCACTGGTTGAAAAGCCTTGCCTTACGTGGATGTACCTTGTGAAAAAAAATAATGGCTGGGATGTAACCTTTTATTGCTTTATTTTGCACTAAGCTGTGTGCAACACACAGATTGTCTACATACTCCAAAATTCTTATCTCCCTCTTTTCCTTTGGCCAGCCCTGTGGATAAGTTCATGGATTTGCAGACAGTCATAATATTTGAAAAGAAAAAGCCAAGCCAGGCTTTGATAGCTATCAGCCAAATGGATATACGGCTCCCAATGTAACTGACATTTAGCTTTCAGCACAAGTGAGAAAACATGGATTTTATTTATTTATTAATTTTAAATATGCTGCCATCTCACTGTCAGGCAATTCTGGGACGATTACAATATCATAAAAACAATAGTTAGAAACATTAAAACATTTAATCGTGCACAAAGCTCAGGAACAAAGACCCAAACAACACAGAGTTTTAGCAGTTTTAAATATACTCTGGCGACTCATCAACGAACATGCTCAGAGTGCACACTTCAAAATCCAGCAAACCAGTCCAGATGATTGGTGATTGTCAAAGTGTGCGTATACCTCCGCCCAAAGTTCAACTAACTAAGCAAATCAACTCTGTATTAGTAATTTGTGTATATTTATACACTTTCAATATGAGTGATTCTATAGCTGGATTGGTGAGGCTAGAAAAAGTTTTTTTGTGGGGGGGGGGGAAAGGAATCCAGTAAAAAGTCATAAAACAAGGGAACTGATATGTTTGAAAATGCCAAGTTTGTTCTGAGCTTGGAACACTTGCAATTATTGCCTCAAGATTAAAACTATAGGAATATGGCTGGCTGGTATGTTTATTTTCTCAATTAGCAGCGCTTTTTGGCTGGGGGGGGGGGAAATATATAACAGTGATGGCATTAGTTCTTTTGTCTTGTTAATATGCTTGACTGAATGTGGGAATGAAGTAGAGAGCTAGAGTTTCCCAAAGCAAGTATGCCGGTTATATCAGCAGTTCAGCCTGAGAAACATAAAGCAGGATATCTGTTAAGCATGGGAAAGGCAGGAAAAAGAAGCCTGGGATTTAAATCACAGAGGACATAAGAAGGAACTTGCTCTCAATTAACAAAACAATCATCTAATTTCATCCTAGTATGTATTAAAAATTCTTATCTAGCTGTGTTGTGGCATTTGTCTGATAGTTTCTCTCACCAACTCAGGGCTTACGTCAACAATTGAAAAGACTCTTTGGAAATCCAGAGAATTCTGGATTCTGGTATCGTTTCTAACTAATTAGCTTCAACTGCTGTTTCAAATGCTTTATAGTTTAATTTATATTTTATCATTTATATTTTAAAATGCTTTATATTTAATGCTTAATTTTTTTCTTTTAAAAAAAAATCCATTGGTCAATTTTTCTGTTAGTTGAATGGCTGATAGAATTCATTAGGAACAATTACCTCACTTATTCTTGTCCTTGGAAGATTAAAAAAAAAAATGCAAGGTGTTTTTTTCCAAATTCTCATTGTGTTTTCTGGCCAGACCTCAAAATGTTTTGTGCTTTGTTCTACTGGAAACATTGGGCTACTTTTTGCTCCATTGGAAAATAGCCAGCAGGAAAAATTGGTGGAATATTTTGAAGGGGCTGATTTTTTCTGCATACCAGTCTAAATGTGTTTTTCATTTCTTGCGCAATGCTAGTTCAAAGATCTTTTAAAATTATTTTAAATAGCAAAAGAAGGAAAATCCTGGGAACATACTTTTTTTGTACTGTAATTATTTAAAGTTTTCAAGTCTGAATAAGGAGGCTGGGGACTAACATTGTAGTTCATTTAAAAATTTTCTACAATTTAGTAAAGAGTTTTCTGGATATGTATAATATTATACTGTTTCATAGTTATTGGTTAATTTACTTCAGAAAGGGCTATAATGTATTAGACATGCATACTATGGCATTAAAATTGTTTATTGCTAGAACAGATGCAAAAAGCAGTGCAAATAAACCTAATAACCAAAATTTGCTGGGTCCAAAATTAGCTTTGTAATTTAATGACAGGGAACATAGTTTAATCTTCTCAAACTTTAATGAATGAGTTTTCTGTGCAATTAATTCATGATACTCGATATAATTTTTTTTTCATGCTATTCCTGTATGCAGTTGGCTATTTCTAATTATTCCCCAATATAAAAAGGTGAATTAACCATTTAAAGCAGACAGAAATCACATATTCTTTATATCAGCCCTTAGTTCTGCTGGAAGAAAAAAGAGTTTTGAAAGTATTTTATATTTCTAATAGAAAAATGTCTGTCAAGCTTCAAAAACATCTCATTCTTGTGTTATCTAATTTTATGAGTCTTTCATAAACCTGGCTTATTTAAAGTCTTACTTATGAGTGGAATGTTGCAGGGGCTGATTCTAAATGAAGAACAAAGCCAAGCATATATTTTGCCCTGCTATAAAAAAACAGTGTATTTATATATTAATTTTACAGTTACTCAGCCTATTTGGGGGAAAATAGTAATTAGAAGCATTAGGTATGTTTGCTGCCATGAGTTGGCTAACATTATTTTTTTTAAAAAAAAGTTTGGGTAAAAAAATTGAATAATCATAGTTTTAACATCAATATAAGGACAATTCCTATAGTCAGATCTTAATGTTATAAAGTTTTACAATTTTATGCTAGTAATTCCTATATTTTATTCAACTCTCATCTATACCTTAAATTCGTTTTCCAGGACTGATTGTAATTTTATATAGAAAGAGTACAGAGAAGAGCAACAAAGATGATTAGGGGACTGGAGGCTAAAACATATAAGGAACGTTTGCTAGAATTGGGTATGTCTAGTTTAACGAAGAGAAGGACGAGGGGGGACATAATAGCAGTGTTCCGCTATCTCAGGGGCTGCCATAAAGAAGAGGGAATTAAGCTATTTTCCAAAGCACCTGAAGGCAGGACAAGAAGCAATGAGTGGAAACTAATCAAGGAGAGAAGCAACCTAGAACTAAGAAGAAACTTCCTGACAGTTAGAACAATTAATCAGTGGAACAGCCTGCCTCCAGAAGCGGTGAATGCTCCAACACTGGAAGTTTTTAAGAAGAGACTGGACAGTCATTTGTCCGAAATGGGGTAGGGTTTCCTGCCCGAGCAGGGGGTTGGACTAGATGACCTCCAAGGTCCCTTCCAACTTTACTATTATTATTATTATTATATATTATACTCTATGACTAGAATAAAAATGTTGATGAGATTATATTAGTTTTAAATGGAAATTAATTCCTATTCTAAGGGAAAAGATAAGATACGGCTGTCCCTTGATTTAAGTCTTTAAAAATGTCAAGTTTTGCTGTCTACTCCACAAGTCAAATTTTTTTTTAATAGTAATATTATTTTGTTCTTTCGAGTAGGGTCCATCGATTAAACAATTTATGGACATTTTTTCTCTTCCTGAAATGACCCTACTTTCATCCGTGACTGACTATTTCATGACTCATAATATTGAGTATGACCAAGTTCATCTTTTCAAGGACATCAGTGTAAGTGTAATTCTTCTAGAACATAAAAGATGAAAAAAATAATAATGAGTTAGTTAATGAATGAATGAATTAATTAATATTGTTTGTTCAAATTGGTGTCAGAAGCATCAAGCTATTTCCGGGTTGAAAGAATTAGCTGGTGACCTCACCGTTGCCTGGGGGATGCCTGGTTGGGGACCCCCATTAATGTGCCCATTGAAGCGGTAACTATCTACTTGAACGTTTTTAAACTGCTAGGTCAGCAGGAGTTGGAGCGAATGACGAGAGCTAACCCCGTCACCCAGTACCACACGGGTCTCAAACACGGACTTGCTGGTCACGAGCCCAGCATGCTAACCACATGAGCCACCACGGCCCCTAACAAATAAATATTGTTTGGAGTGGTCTTTTTGGTAGCTTTGTTACAATATGTAACGCCAGGTTTTAAAACTAACACCGAATTTCTCTTTCCAATTTTAGGATGCCATTAAAGATGTCCATGTGAAAGGAATGATGTACAAATGGATTGAAAAGGACATGGGTCAGTAAAGGCCTATCTTTTAAATGTGAATAATAATGAGCACCGCATGTAATGGTTTTAGATCAGGGGAGTGAAACTTTATGCACATTATCTTGTGGCTAACCAACCAGTTCTGTATTCCACCAGGAGGTAGAACCAAAGAATAAATTCCTTCTTTTCTGCACCTTGTATATACTTATTAGCGTTCATACCTGTGATCACAAAGATGCTTCAACGTAACTATTTGTTAATGTTAACGTTAAGCGAGAGAAAAAAGGGGTATCTTTTCTCCCTAATAGAATTACTGTACCTATGCACTGCAATCTATGTATTAAAAAAACAATAATTACATGAACAATGTTTTTAGCCATAACTGGTTTAGACATTGAAGATTAGGAAGGCTCTGCATCCACTGGATCCCTTCCTGTGCTTCAGAACAGATGTGAACAATCAAAGCTAGTTCAAGAGATGGATTGTCTCATCCCACACACAGTACTGTAGCATCTGAATTATGTTAGTAACTGAAATTTCATTCTTACTCTGCCCAAAATTATTTTATCCATGCAGAAGCCTCACATAATTGTCACTTCCTGCTTGGCAAAAGAAATGTGAATTGAGAGCAGAGATTTAGGGAGAGGAAGAATTCTTGGTCCTATCATTCCTTCCTTCTTTGGAGAGCTCCCACACTTTCTGTAGATGAATTATTTCATTATCACTAAACTGTGTCTTTTACCATTGCAACATACAAATGTTTATATTATGCTTAGCTTCACCTGTTTCTTGCAGAAAAATATATTCTTCATGGAGATGAAACGTATGCTGTCTTAAATAGATTGGTTAACAACAATAAAAAACTCTTTCTCATCACAAATAGTCCTTTTAGTTTTGTGTAAGTATTAACGTGCATGCATTCATCTTGCTGAAATGACCAGTCATGTGCAGATATAAAGAGAGAAATGTGAGGACTGAAAATGTCAGTAAAGATAGCTTATCTTTATAGCATCGTACGATTTGGTGACCTATTAATTCTGTTACCCATTCTCATACAAGCCTGTCTTAAAATCTAATGCTCACAACTGTAAAGATGTACTTTAAAAAATAATGAAGTAGAATCTTTTACTTCCCAAACATTCAACCTTATAGCACACTATATGTTCTTCATATTGCAGTTAGCCTTCCCTCTCTCTAATTACAATTTCCTATTTAAAAAAACCTGGAGAGACCTATTAGTGCTCTAGAAAAATAATAGGTCTCTAATATTCTGGAATATCTAATATCCTGTTTCTCATAAGGTGATATGGTCTCACATTCTTAGAGGTTTTGGAATAACTGTAAAAAAATGAGAAATATAAAGCATTAATGTTGTTCTTAGTAAATGTTATGGGACCAAAGTGTTTAGAGACATAAAAACCATTCTTTATTTTATCTGATGGTAGGGCAACTCAATCAAACTGCATCAAATCAAATGATGTATTTGTTCAGTGCCTGCATTCCTTAGTTGTCTATAATCCCATAAATTTGTTCCTTAAGTAATCCCTATAAGAGTCTCAGTGTTGTTAATGGCCATTATATACATAATGTTTCTAATAGTGGGACTGATAGCAAATCTTAGCTGCATGAGGAAAATCATTTTTTAATTCTAGAAAAAGAAGGAGGCTTTTCACTGAACTTTGCTTAAGAAACATCTGGCAACAATGCTTGTTCTTGCCAAATGCTTATAAAGTTAAGCATTATACGGGGACTAAGATGCCAGTCTCCACTAATCCCCAGATTGAAGAAAAGCCAAATATTCTTACCAGCTAACAAAGGTGGTTAGGAACCTCTGTCCCTTGCTGTATGTACTGAATGACTCGTAATCAGAAATAATGTATGAAGGAACTCTGAGAGTAGCTACTGTTTTGCTTAAGAAAGTGAACAGGAAGTTACTTACATTTCCCCCCCTGTTTTGCCTATAGCGATAAAGGGATGAAATACATGGTTGGCAAAAACTGGCAGGACCTTTTTGACATGGTCATTGTGCAAGCAGATAAGCCCAGTTTCTTTACTGATAAGCGAAAGTAAGTATATTGGTTTTATTACATTTCTTAGATATAATCCACACTTAATATTTAAATATATACAGTACTTTCCACCAAAACGGCAAACAGATATTCTCTTCTTTTCTGCCATGAGCAGAATAGGTCCCAAAATGTACCATATCATGATGCCATGCCATGATCATTATCCTAACACCATCTGTGGGAGAGAGGAATTAATTTTGCAACTGATACGATTTTAAGGAGTAGATGCCAAGTTATTCTGTGCAGGTCAATTCACACTTCTTTTGCTAAAACTGGCTTCCAGATTGTGTGTAAGCATGTGAAATTGTTTCTCAGCCTCATGAGAAGAATGTTGAAGCTTTTTTTCTTTCTTTCTATGACCCTTTAATCCTTTGTTTTGGGGTGGACTCAGGGTGACTGAGTGAAGCTGAGCATTTACTGGCCGTATCCCCTTCCTGATGCCTACACAGAGTTCACAGCAGATATTTTCTCTTTGCACCCTGATAAGAGCAACATCTGCTGCTGCCTAGGATTGAACTCTCAACCTTTTGAGTGGGAGGCGAGCGTCTTCACCTCTAGGCCATCACGCAGCTGATGTTGAGACTTTATTATCCTGTGTAATGACAGACACTGAACAGAAAATTTTATCTACAAAAAATTCAAGCTATTCTGGTTGTTATTCTTTCCTGTGTCTGCTTATTCATTCTTTCTTTTGGGATGGATGGGTATGTGTGTGTGTGTCCGCATGCATGCGTATAGTGTAGCATCAAGTATGTAGTGTCTGATGTGTGAAATTTTACAAAATATTTCTTTGAGTGTGGAACTGCTATTTTGAGCTCAAGTGATCTATTCGCCACATAGGGAAAGTGTTCCAAGCCTCACAGAAAACAGTTCTGAGTTCAAGAATATATTGTTTTGAGCTTGATCTATTTCCAAAATGTTTAGAGCACCTTGTTTTACACTTAGCCCTCAAAAATTCATTTTGTGAAATTTCATACTTGAAACAAAGTATTGTGACATTAAGTAAACTAGGAGCAGACTTGTCTTTTGGTGTCGCAGGGTCATATTTAATCATTTGCAAAACTGGATGGTTGCAGAAATGGGATGGAAACATAAATTGGGCAAAGCTCTTTATTATATCATCAGGGTTGGGATTCTTAGGTTTCTTTCTTTGTTTGTTTTTTTCCGGAGTTCTGGGTGGTGAAGTTATTTCTTCTTGGTAACAACGTAGATTTAGGCTTACCCTGCTTGTGGGTTTCCTGTTTCAAAATAGTTGGAAATCAACATTCACAGTACAAGTTAGGGCAGTGTTTCTCAATCTTAGCAACTGTAAGATGAAATCTGGGAATTGAAGGCCACACATCTTAGAGTTGCTGAGGCTGAGAAATTTGAGTTTGGGACAAGCTCCAGAAATTTGAATATAAGGATATAAGACAAGTACAATATTATATACATGGACCTCAGTTTTCCTAATTTGCTTTTGTTAACACATTTTTCAGTAATTTGTTTAACATGATAATAATCCCAGTGTTATGGTTCCGGCTAATGAAACATTTCAAAGAACTTCCAGGCATTATTTTCCTAAAAGTCTTTTATTGTTACAAAATGTCAGCACAGGCACAATGGAGGGATGCTAGGATCTAAGTTCTCTTCCTCTTAGCAGTTAAATTATCAGCATGTTCCCTCCCTAAATTAGCTGTCATATCTCACATTATCCAATTAGTGTGAAGGTCAAATGTTTTCTTCCTCTTTCTTTCCCGGGCTTTACCCTCATCCCCCTTCTGCTCTGTATTAACCCCATAATTACCAGACAATTCTGCATATTGTCAAAAGCAAGAATATACAATATTTGCAGTGTTGACACCCAGTACACATCTCAATGCATACATTTCATCTATGTATTACTTTCTATTTATGTATTATTTTTAGCAGCTAAATTAATGTACTTGAAATTCTTTTCATTTGCAGTTTAAAAGCTTTTCTTGTAGTTATTTTTGTAATGAAGCCTATATCTGTTTGATTTTTTGAAGACCTTTCAGAAAAATGGATGAAGAAGGTTCTCTTCACTGGGACAAAATAAATAAACTGGAAAAGGGGAAAATCTATAAACAGGTAAAATTACTTAGTAATTTGTCTTTACCTCATGGGGTATTTAATAATGCTGACTTTCTGGAGTTAACTTCAGATATGAGGATAACCATGAAAAATAATCTTTGTTACTGTCCTTTCTAATAGCTTAATGTTCTAATCTATTCCATGTGTTCTTTCATTTAAATTGTTAGCATCTCCTGATATTAACATTAAACATCTGATATAACAAAAGTTAAATAATGTGCAGGTCCATGCCCTTTATTTTAAAATTATTCAGTCTCCATTGTTTTCACTCAAAAAGGAAGTGTTGTTTTATGTTTTCTTTGGCTAAGTAATCTGTTTCCTATTTTCTTTTCCCCGGGAATTAGTATAATCCCGAGAAGAGCTGAGAAGATTATTACTTAGAAGGTAATAATGAAAAATTGTTAGTAATACACTTTCAGAACTTCAGGACTTATTTTGAGATAGAACACTACAGGAACATTTTATTGCTGAAACAATATAATTTGGGGCATAGTGATTTTATGCTAATTGAACAGGGGTTTAAATCTTGCTTTTATTCAATCAGCAAGAGTCACTCACATTAATAGAGACATACTCGGAATTTTCCATCAGTAGGAGAAATGGGGAGGTCTATCCAAATTTCCATTATAGTCACTCTCTGTTGTAGAGAGTCATCAACCCTAAAGTCAGGTTTGGACAACATGAGATTCAGAAAGGGTTAATTAACAAAGGTTACTTTCTTGCCTTCTGTTAGTGGAATCTCATTGAATCAGAAGCCTTCCATGGCTGGAAGAAGACCTTCTTTCCATGGGAATCTTGTCTGAGATCCAGGCCAATGCCTGTAACATTATTTAGATATATAATAAAGGCAAAAATGAAGAAATGACGCATTTACTAATGCAACACTCTGGGAATGAGGCTGGGAAAGTAGAAACTACTTTATAGATTCATACCATATGTGATCTTATACATAAGCAGAAGATTTTCAGTTTGGAAAATATTTTGGCCTGAATCTTTATATTTGTTCCTAACTGCCTGTGTAAGAAACTGTGATGTGGAAGTCAACAAATTAAAATTTTCAGATCGCTGGGACAGTGGGTGAATAATAGCATGTCTGGTTAACATTTCCACTGAAATTGGCATAATGGTTCTCTGTTTTGTATCAAGCATGAAAATGTCTTTTGATTAGAGAGTTAAACAGAGAGATTCAAGCATGACCCATGATAGTTTCAGATGTACATTGGATGTGTTGAATAATTTACTTGGACTTCAGTAAGGCATTTGATAAAGTAGATCACAACCTACTACTTGACAAGATAGAAAAATGGGGGGTAGACAGAACCACCACCAGATGGATCCGTAGCTGGCTGACCGGCCGTACTCAGCGAGTGGTCCTCAATGGAACTGCATCTATATGGAGGGAAGTGTGTAGTGGGGTGCCCCAGGGCTCTGTTCTGGGCCCAGTACTCTTCAACATCTTCATCAACGATTTGGATGAAGGGATAGATGGGGAACTCATCAAATTTGCAGATGACACCAAGCTGGCAGGAATAGCCAACACTCCAGAAGACAGGATTCAGATACAGAAGGATCTGGACAGACTTGAACACTGGGCACTAACTAACAAAATGAAATTCAATGGTGAAAAAAGCAAGGTTCTACATTTAGGCAAGAAAAACCAAATGCACAAGTACATCATAGGTGGCACCATGCTCAATAGTAGTAACTGTGAGAGGGACCTCGGAGTCCTAGTAGACAATCACCTAAATATGAGCCAGCAGTGTGCTGCAGCTGCCAAAAGGCCAACACAGTGCTAGGCTGCATTAACAGAGGGATAGAATCAAGATCACCTGAAGTATTAATACCACTTTACAATGCCTTGGTAAGGCCACACTTGGAATACTGCATCCAGTTTTGTTCACCACGATGTAAAAAAGATGTTGAGACTCTAGAAAGAGTACAGAGAAGAGCAACAAAGATGATTAGGGGACTGGAGGCTAAAAAATATAAGGAACGGTTGCTAGAATTGGGTATGTCTAGTTTAACGAAGAGAAGGACAAGGGGGGACATGATAGCAATGTTCCAATATCTCAGGGGCTGCCATAAAGAAGAGGGAATTAAGCTATTTTCCAAAGCACCTGAAGGCAGGACAAGAAGCAACGGGTGGAAACTAATCAAGGAGAGAAGCAACCTAGAACTAAGGAGAAACTTCTGACAGTGAGAACAATTAATCAGTGGAACAACCTGCCTCCAGAAGCAGTAAATGCTCCAACACTGGAAGTTTTTAAGAAGAGACTGGACAGCCATTTGTCCGAAATGGTGTAGGGTTTCCTGCCCGAGCAGGGGGTTGGACTAGATGACCTCCAAGGTCCCTTCCAACTTTACTACTATTACTATTACTATTACTATTATGTCAATAATAATAAAAGAGGCAACTTGACTTGGTTTCCAATTTTTAAAACATAATAGAGGGAGACTATATTATGCTATTTGAATGTTTGTTGAGAGGTCAGTGTTAGTCCAGTCAAAGTTCACAGAAAGGTTGAACCATGAAATAAGGGGTCTGCAGCAATCCTTTTAAATATATATATAACTTGCTTTGAAAACATTTGCTTTGAGGTATGAAATATTGCAGCAGGACCTAGCCTCAGTATATCAAGTTTAAAATAATATTTCAGCACAAATTCAGTATGTAACAAGCTATCACATTTCTTCAGTTTATTTACTGAAACAGTGGCTTAATTTACAAAATTATAGCTGCAATAAATTGTTTTAAAAATCTAGTTTTGTGTGTGTGTGTGTGTGTGTGTGTGTGTGTGTGTCTAAGAAAAAAAAGTGAGTTAATCATTGGTACAAATGACAGGATTATAAACTTGGTTTTAAGGAATTCTCATTTTCTCTAATTTGATTCAAGTTCCCGTGAGAACTCCTTAAGCCTCTATCTGTAGCCATTTTTAAATCAGCAGCTCATGATGAAGAAATATTTTTCCTTTGCTCTGTAGAAAAATCAAAGTGCTAAGAGATGTATTGTCTTGACCTTTTCAAGCCAAGCATGCAATGTTTTCTTTTTCAGTAAAGAAACTGGATATTTGGTTTATTCTCGCTTTTTTTTCCCTTTCTACATTTCAGGGCAATCTGTTTGATTTTCTGCGGCTAACAGGCTGGCGTGGGTCCAAAGTCCTTTATTTTGGTGACCATTTGTACAGTGATCTTGCAGTAAGTGTTTCAAACCTTTTTTGCACCAGCTGACGTCAGTGTCACTTAATGTTCTGTGTCTGCTACAGGGAAGCAAATGGTTTGTTTTCTGCTCATTGAATTAATCAGTATTGTTTATCAAGATATATAATGGAAAATATCCAGATCTTAGAGCTTGTGATTTTGCAGCCTTCATAACCCATTAAATTATATTACACAGTTCCTTTTTTAACCAAATTTAAAACAGCAAGACCGAGTTTAAAAGATTTATTTCCTAGGTTGTATTCTTTTGAATATCTTTTCCATCCTAAGCACATATGTAACATCTTTTTTAAAAAATAATAGTTTTTTTTCCTTAACATGTTTGTAACAACTTTATTTTAAAATCATACTTAAAATTGTTTGTTCTGTCTGTCTGTCTGTCTGTCTGTCTGTCTGTCTATCTATCTATCTATCTATCTATCTATCTATCTATCTATCTATCTATCTCTATCTCTATCTAGTTTACAAAACTGAATTTTATCTGAGAAGGCAAACATTTCTGCCCCAATTAATCCTCTACCAGGATTCATCCTCATATGTAAATGGAGCGTTGATTTATAGACATTTCAGCGCACAGTGTAGCAATGAAATATTTTGTTGTGATTTCCAACTCTCATCTCTTATGATAGCAGTACTACAGCATTCCTTATTGTTATGTTTATTTTGGGGAGGTGGAATGGGTGCATGAAAATGAAGGCTGCTGCGGCTAACACAAAACAATGGAAGAAGTCATGTGCATCAGCAGTTCACCATGGATTTTGAAACTAATGTTTCACAGTTTTGAAGATACAGTATCTTTTCAGACTGAGGAGTATGGATCTGTGCTGCTGGGATCACTTGTTATGCGCTGTCCATAGCTGGGCTTGTTCAATCAGAAATGAGTTCCATTGGATTCAGTGAGTCTTGATCTTTTATGAGCTTGCACCTCGCTGAACCCTACAGAACCATGACTATTGGATCATACACATAAATCTGAAGGGCTCCAGCCTGCTGCTTGAGACTTCAGGTTGCTGCATTTATGTCATGTAGGTGGCTTCTATAGCTATCTATATACCCTTCTTGCGACTTCATTATGAAATCTCTTCACAGTACTGCTTTTTTAATTTTTATTGAATGATAACATTGGCTTCTTTGTTAGAGTATCTGCTGTCATAATTTTAGGCACGTATTGTGTTTTATGGAAACTATCTTGATATTTCATTTGGATATTTTTTCTAATCACACAAGAAAAAAAAAACAGGCCTTGGGATGTCAACCACTTGAAAAATTGGGCTAGACAAGATCTGTTTGAGTGCGGGTACCTTTTCTGCAAATGCATGTCATTATTGTGCCCGGTTAATTAATTTTCTTTTGATGCTGTTTTATAAATAGTACAGCAACATCAGGCATTTTTACAGAACATTTGTTAATACTATTAAGCTAAAACCATATATTTTCAACCATATATTTTCAACCATATATTTTTTTTAACTGTTAAGTATTCAAATTCTTAGAGGAGTTCCCAAGGAATAATGGTTTTTAAACATTCTTCATTATTAGGGGTTTTTCTCTTTATGAAAATGTTAGGGAAAGAGGATTAAATGAAAGAAGGGAAGGCGTCTTATTTTTGCAATTCTTGAGGAACAGATCTAATTTTTTTTTGAGGGGGTGGTGTTAGTAACAGGGCCAATGCATTCCAATCCTGGAGGGTCATTCCAAGTTCAAAGTCCAAAATTGCCATATGAGTATCTTATTTAACAAGGCTAGTAACTTAGGCAAAACCCGTAGTTTTTTAAGATTTATAGATTTATAGTTATCTGTCCAATTGCAGTTGGACAAAAAAGAAATGCCCCAAATGAGCAGGCAGAGGTATTTTTGTATACTGAATGAAAAATGTGTCTCTCCCTCCCCCTTTATTAACTTGATGTGCCCCATTCTGCAAGGGAAGCTATGTAAGTGGAAGGCTTTTTCTATAAGGCTGAATCACAGGATCCTAAGTCAGTAAGTCACTCCATTTCCTCTCTCACCTTCTCTTTAAGGACCTCATGCTACGTCACGGTTGGAGGACAGGCGCCATAGTTCCAGAATTAGAAACAGAAATACGTATCATTAATACAGAACAATATATGCACTCTTTGACCTGGCAGCAAGCTCTTACAGGACTTCTGGAGAGAATGCAGGTAAAAAAGGGAGTGGGCTAGAATAAGTAGCACATGGGCATCACTGCATAGTTGTCATTTCCTTCAACTGGATGAAGCACAGTTCCTGGATGTGCTTTCTGGATTGTGTTGTATTCTGAAATATTTCCTGCAAATATTGGAATATGTGTTTTTTTTCCTGATAGAAAGCTCATCTTAAGAAATAGCATGTTCAGTGACTGGTCTTTTGTTTTAGTTTTCTTCTTTTAATTTTAGATGTATCAAGATGCAGAGTCAAAGCAAGTGCTTTTAGAGTGGATGAAAGAGCGACAGGAGATTAGGTGAGCTCCCTTGATTATTATGTGTTCCTTTATTTATGAAACATGCTAGGAGTGATTTAAAATGTACACTTTACAAATTGCAAATACAATGTGCCCTGCTTTAAGTAACATACTACTATAACTTCTTAATTTGTGCCCTGTAAAGTATTTTTATGCTATGAAATTTTTTATGTTGTGGGAAGACAAAGTGTTGGCCAGGATTGGAACTTCTGGATTTCTCATTTTTGGCCTTGATGAAGATTTGCTTTTTATTTCTTTGATTTTACTTTCCCTCATTGCTGACTTTTGTTTGCTTTTTCTGAAATTATGTTTTCTCTCAAAATTTTTGAATTTCTTTATGCTTCACTTTTTAAAAGCTTATTCATATCTCCTTACTATTGTCCCATCTTTTTTGTTCCTTGTGGCTCTAAAGAAGAAACAAACCATTTTCTTAGAAAAAAAATCAGGCACATGTAGAATAGAATGGAATAATAGAATATCATAGCATAGCATAGCATAGAACAGAACAGAACAGAATAGAATAGAATAAAATAGAACTGGAAGGGGCCTTGGAGGTCTTCTAGTCCAGCCCCCTGCTCAAGCAGTAGAACCTATATAATAAACTGTCTCATAAAGTCTCCAACCAAAACTAGAGACCAACATTTATAATACACATTCCTTGTCTTCTGGGGGTAGCAGAATAAGGTGATTCATTGTGGAATGCTTCTGTAATATTAGGAAATTTTCTATATTCTTTTCTCTCTCTCCCAGGTTTCCTATCTAATTTTATTATACCAACTTGTTTCCTTTCAGGTCACTTACAAAGAACCTGTTTAACCCCCAGTTCGGTAGCATTTTTAGAACCTTCCACAACCCAACCTATTTTTCTCGAAGACTGATTCGTTTTTCTGATATTTACATGGCGTCTATCAGTTGCCTACTGAATTATGATGTGAATTTTACTTTTTATCCTCGCCGAACGCCTCTACAGCATGAAGCTCCCCTTTGGATGGATCAGCTTTGCACAGGTTGCATGAAGACTCCTTTCCTGGAAGAAATGGTACATATTCGATAAAAGAGATTATGATATGCATAGTAGAATCTTAGTTTCCTTTTAGGAGGCTGCTGCTACTATGTTGTACTTTTGTTCTGAGCACTTCCTGATAGAAAGGTACCTGAGATAAGTGAATAGAAAGGTGGCACTAATATTATATCTGAAATCCTGCTAATAAAATATATTATCCATGCTTGATTATTCTCTAAGAATAAGTTTTAAATCTGGTACCTGTAACTTAGTCAGAGCTGTCTTTGTGTGCTGAGAAGGGTTTTACATGTTGGTAAGCTTGTAGAAATAGATTATAAATCTATTTCTTCTTTAGAACTACACATTTAACTTCCATAGAAATCTTTGCTACAATAGCTATACAGTATATGACATAGTAATTTAAATAGTTCCTAATCATTTCACCAATCATTTCACATTCAGTTACAAACTTGAAGATACTAACCTGTGTATTTCTAAAGAACTGAGTATGGTACATCTCTGTATAAACCAGATATGCCATTAGACCACACTCATTCGTTCATGTGTGATCTCATTCAGATTCACTATTTGATAACATTAATTAATGTGATATTAAATATGCAATGGCTCATTTACAAATTCAAGCCATCACTTGATACTGAATTTATCAGATGATGTATATTTATATATTAAATCATCCCTACTTAATATACCAAAAAATCAGTTTTTCATAACAGCAGGTGAATAAATTATCTTTAGTTGAATAATCTATTTCATAAAATGCCAATTTACTTAATGAATTTATAAGAATTTTTAGACATTAAAGCACAAATAGATGTTACAGATTAACCTGTCCTCTAAATATTGTATGCATGACTAGGATAATAAAAAATTAAAATAGTGATTGCTAGAGCCATTATCCAACTATAATGGAAAGGATATTTCCTTTATTGTATCCCTAAGAACACTCATATCAGCAAGAGTTAAAACAACATCAGAAAACAAGTCAGAAACTTGTCTAGTATAAAAATAGTGGTCCCTTAGGAATGGTGAATCATCAAAACTAAATTGTTTTATGCATCAGAATTTGCATGGACTTACCATGATCTTTTAAACTTAATTCAGAGATGCTTTTTTTTAACCCATAAAAGGCTTATGTCTTAGATTAGATATAAGTGTTGTGGGACTCTATTTTTTCTGCATTTGATCATGTACTATTGCCAGTCAGGACCATTGCTGTATCAGAGTCAGATATAAAAAATACATATTAATAATAGAATGTCCTTGAATTGAAGGCTCTTATTTAAGGCTGCACTTAGGACATCTGTTTATATTAAGGTCAAACTGTTGTGTGTTGGGTTTTACCCATTAAGTTCTATAATGCTGCTATAATTCAAGCTATAGCTATAAATAAAATAATGATTGACTGAGGCTACTTAGATTGTTAGAACTATTCAGATTCTCACTAGAGATGGTTTTCAAGGAATTGGCTTTCAAGGAACTGAAGAACACTTGAATATTCCAACAATATATTGAACCAAAGAAATCTTTACTATGTTTGTAGTTTGTGATTTCATGTTAGGGTCACATTAGGTGATCTCCTGGATGCAAGATGATTACAAATTGGCAGTCAGATGTTCTATACTGTACTTCTTCCCAGAATTTTTTTCAAGTTTTTCAAAATGTGCCTATTTTTCAAAGTTTTGAAGCATCATCAAATTGAAAAAAAAAACACTACTGTATTTTAGTAATAACAACATTTAAACTTGCTTCAGGTTTAATTCAGTAGAGATTCTTTAGCACATTGATGAGAACATCAATGCAGTTGCTATGCACATCTCATTAAAGCAGCCACATCTGTTTCCAGGACTGCTATGTCATTAAGGCCATTAAATTCAGGAAGCTTAGATGAAACAAAAAATCATTTCATCATTTCTATTCTGATGAATGCATGCTTCTGAGAAGTGTAAATATTCCATTGTTTAATGATGATTAAGATTGCAGCACCTTATAACATATGGATCATGGTAAGACTGACAGATTTGCTAAGAATGCTGTTGGTTATTTGATATTCCTCTTCTGTCCACCCCTCAAACCAACTTGAAGACTTGGGGAAGATTAATCCCCTACCCAAGTTAAGACTTCTGTACTTTGAACTGCCACTTCAGTGGAAAGAACCACAGGGCGCATAAGCTAACTTGCCATAGTTATGTATGGAAAATAGGAATGTTTATGATGGTTCTCTGCAAGTGTTTGTTCTATAGAAAACTATTATATTAGGGAAGACCATGGATGTTGCCATCACTTGGACTGCATTTCTGGAACTTTTATCTGGAAATACCTGTCCCTTCCTTCTCTCTCTGAGACAGTGTCTTAGCTTTTCCAATTCATGGGAAATATTTCATTGATGAACCACTTTTACATCCATATTTTGCCTCTAAAATGACACTGAGAGCAAAAGGTAGAAGCTGCATCATGAAATAGGCATCAGGGCAGATGAAAGAAATAGGAATATCAGAACAGTGCAATTTTGTAGCCTGAGCTAAGCATTTCTCTGAAAAATAGCTGCCATTTTTAAACACCAATGAGGCCTAATTGATTTATCTTTTAAATGTGAAATCATTAAAATACCAATTAACTTCCTAAACTATGTTTGGTAAAGACAATGAGATAGTGTCCGTTACTTTTAAAGGTAGACTGATCAGTAAAACTAGATAGTTTAGAAATAGGAGGTCAAAAACATGGATAAGAATTTGATATTTTTCCAGAATTGAGTACAATTGTTAATTCTGATTCCTGAGTCTGTCTACAAAATAAAATATGGTGTTTATCTTTTCCAGAATTCTGTGTGTAAGAATAACAAAATAAAATATTGTGTTTATCTTTTCCAGAATTGTGTGTGTAAGAATAATTTCCAGTGGAATATTCAAATACTTGATACAGGAATGACAATATTTGTTGTTGCAGGGATGAGATATTGCTGCATTTGGTTACTAGGCATAACACCATTTATTTTTTTTACAAAAATAATACATTGTTTCATTATGGAATAGTCCTAATGTTAATATATTTTAATTTTCTTCATGGGAAGGGGGAAAGAAACAATACTAATTATAAGGCAAAGAGAGATAATTGGCATATTTACTGGTAGCATATTGATGTAATCACAATGAAAAATGTTAAGAATTGTTTGTAAGGTCCCTTTTTCAAACTTTCCAATTCAGGAGGCTTACAAATATGTGCTGTCTACAGTTTACAGGTAACAATTTTTGACAGTCTTTCATTGGAAGATTAAAAAAATATCAAAAGAAAGCTCAGTAGTGCAGTTTCAAAGTAAATTTATCCATTCATTAAATCTGAACTAAATTTTCATTGGCCCATTCAGGGTTCTCACAGTGTTCATTTGCCAGACACATTCCTAAGCAGATGATTGAAATTTCATGGACAGGATATATGTTTTTAAGTTCTTTCCATTCATATTACGATTACACTCAGAACTTATTCCTGAAGGTCTCTAAAAAGAGGCAATGCAACATGAGAGAATGAATTCTGAACAAAAAAAATGGGAAATTCTTTATGTTACTGCAAATGCCGATAGCTCTTTTGATCATAATTCTTTCCCATAACTTTAAAAAGAATAGAATTGAGATATATAAAATGTTTCTTCAAAATATCAAAATTTCTGGAATTTTTTTTTATCCTGGTTTGTATTACAGTATATTACTCTTGTCCAAAAATGACTTCAGTATCAACAAAATCTTCTCTGTGGAGAGACTCCTGAAACAAAGATACAAAAACAGTCAGTTAATCTGTAACAATGAAATAGGCGGCATATAAATGTAATAAATAGATAATAAATAATCTAATTTCATAGTGGTATTCAGACAGCTAAAACCAATAACTGAATGTGACCAGTTCCTCCAGTTATATTGGACTTTATAGATGCGTTCAAAAGATAACACATCTTCTATGTTCTGGTTACAATTAGAGGAACTAAAGTGGAATGTTCAAATACATTTTTTTTCCCATCCGCAGCAAGATTCTATCTAAAATAGGTGACTCTCACTCAATATTCTGAAGGTGGAGCCCATGGATTTGGCTCCAGAAAGGAATCATTCAGAAGCAGTCATTTTATACACAAGAGTATGCCATGTATGGGAACAATTTGCCTATCCCTAAGAGTTAACTACGGTAGCTTTGGTTGCATGTAGGTAACAACTGCATGATGGGTTGGTATCTGAAAATATTCAGCACTAATGTTTCAGTTGTCTTACCTGAAATGGCTCATAGATAGAGCTATCTGCTTCATAAATAGGATTTGGAATGGATACTAAGTGTGGGCTCCTTTCCTGCCAGGAAAATTCATCATCATCTAGTTCAGTCTATAAGTAAACAGACTAAGCATGACTTTGTTCTTCAAACTGTACAGAAAAAAATGAATCAACGAACTTGAATAGAGAGCTGAGACGGTGATTTAGCCAAGGAGTTTAAAGATAATCTGAAATTTTATATGCATGTATGTATTTATGTACGAATTAAACACAATCTATCTAGCTGCCCAACTCACACACAGTGATTTGAGGCAACTTACAACATTACGTTTTTTAGCTGGAAAGAAATTGATCACTACATTATTAGATAAAATCCCCTGTAAGCCAAGACACAAAAATATAATTTCCTTGGCAACAATATGGAGGCAGTTTGTTTTTGCCTTCCTGCTTTTCAACTTTCCAGTCCATTTGGTGACTGTCACCAAAGTTCTAACTAGCTTTCATCCTGGTGAGCTTTTTGAGAACAGCTCTATAAAGATTACTTATACTGTGTATATATATCTAAAAGTTAAATTTCAAATTGATAAGGAATCAATAATGTAGTTTTGAAACTGCGGCTATGGAATCACTTTTTCTATCAAGGTACTAATACTCTTTCATTTTTTGCTCATGTTGGGAAAGACTTACAGATGTTATTGCCCAACAAAACTAACAGACATGGCTAGAGAAGGTTGTTATAACAATAAAATTTAAATTGCGGTGTTTGATTTGGATGAGATTCTACAACCACTAATGAAATTACAACAAAAAGTACATAATTATTTCTACCCGAGTTCTGTTGAAAGAACAAACATTAAAGTCTATAATTTGTCATGATCAAAACTGAGAGTTGGATTTACATACCGTAAGATGGCGAAAGTGCACTTGTTGGTTTCTCCTTTTGAGACAGAGATAGGACAATCCAGCAATAATTGCACACAACAGAACTATAGCAACAATGGTGCTTATGCCAATTGTCATAGCAGCAGATGGTTTTCCAATACTTGGAATCTGTAAAAAGCAATGCTATTTTCAAGTCATATCTTAATGATAAATTATTATTGTTAAGTGGCATTTTTGGATCCCAAATTAAATTCCTATGTAGCTCAGAATAGCAAAATATCTGCAAGGCACAATCTGATATTAAAAAGAGGAGTCTGCTGATTTTCTTTAAAGGTGAAAGTGTTTTTCAAACAATATTATAGCTAATATTTAAAAAGACAGCAAACTAAAAGCTAGACTTTTTGTGATATTTTTGTACTTTGCACTTTATAGTTATATTTATATTAAAGTAGTCTGTATGACAGCTCTAGTGGTTAAGGCACCAGGCTAAAAAGCAGACGAAGACTATGAGTTCAAGTCCTGCCTTAGCCATGAAAGCCAGCTGGGTGACTTTGGGCTAATCACTCACTCTCAGCCCAACCCACCTCACAGGGTTGTTGTGGGGAAAACAAGAGAAGGAAAATTTGTTAGATATGTTCACCACCTTGGGTTGTTTGTAAAAACAATAAAGGTGGGATATAAATAAATACAAAAACTTACAGGATACTACTCAGATCTTCATTATAACATAGGGAAGGAATGCAAAACAGATAGTTTCTCAAGAAAAGAAACTGGTAACTAACCTGGTTATATTGCAGAGGTACCTTCAAAGGACTCTGAATAGCATGAATAATCCCATTGGAGGCCAGAATATCCCATTCAACAATCGCTGTATTGTTAATTGGCTCAGAAACCTGGTGCAATAAAAATGAACCAAACAGCTTTAATTTATCATTTACTGCAAATGAGCTGTAATTCAAAGAGTTTAAGACTTAAGGAATGCTACAAATCCAAGGCTGTTTCAACATTATCCAAAAAGATAAGGCACAGAAATTCATGGCTAAGAAGCTTGCATAAAGAGAATGGATACTTACAATGAGGAAAGTATGACTCAATGACTCTGCAATGGAAAGATTGTATCCTGCTTGGGAAGGTATTATTGTTCCAGCTGTGAGATTGAAGCTTGAGAGGGCAACGCCACGCAGCGATGCATGAAGTTTTACATCCTTCAGTGATAAAGACTAATAAAACAAAGAAAAGATACAGCTCAACCAAAAGTTATTTTACTGATGAGAAGAAAGCCAACTGCATGATATACAATATTGTATGGTGCTGTATTATTTGTATGCCACCTCCTTGAATGACTGTGGCCTTTATTCAGCCCTCTATATCTTAACACTGATTCCACTGTACTGTATGTGCTTTTAGCCTGCACACACTGATGTCAAAGAGGCAAAACAAAGTGTAGGGCCCTGTCGTTATAGTGGATCCATTCCCTGCATTGGTTGCTGACATGTGAGCTTGCAGGCCCATCAAAAATGAAAGGACCATTGTAAGCTTGCAGGCCCATCAAAAATGAAAGGACCAAAGACCTAATACCCACAAACATATAGGGAAAAATGGCAACCTCCACGCATATAGTAAAAAGGATCGTCCTTTTTTCAAAGTAAAGAGAGAAAGTGAGAGCAAATGGCTCATTGGTAGTTAAAATAGGAGGTGTTCAAGACTGCTCTAATCTCGCTTTCTTCTTGAGGCTGAGCATATTACTTTTTACTCAAGTAAAGCCCATAAAGTAGCATAGGTGTATTCAGTGGTGGGATTCAGCCGGTTTGTACACTTCGGCAGAACCAGTAGCTAATTTTTTGTTGCCCAGGCACAGAATGGACTTTCAGAAGCGGCATCTATACAGAGAACTGGTTGTTCACATATTTGAATCCCACCACTGAGTATATCTTTCTACACATTTGAAAAATTCTAATGCAGGATTTCCTTGTACTGGCATATTATGAGACTTTCTCTCCTTTTTCTCATTGGGAGTCAACTTTGGTAATCAGAAAATGTAAACAAAACCCTTAAGACACTTTTCCTGCCTTTTCGTTTATTACCAGATTTAAATTTACCAGTTCATCTGCTAATGAACCAAATTTAAATTTAAATGTGCTTTTAGCCTGCATGCACTTATATTTAAATTTTGTTCATTACCAGATTTAAGAATGAGAAACAAATTTAAATTGTTTCACTTAAGGTTCAGAAGATTATCTGGAGTTCTATCAAGATTATGTTTTATAATATTACAGAGTGTTTTTTCACTTGCAAAGCCATTATTCACATTTAAACAATGCACATATGGGTTCTGCATGATTATCTAATCTCATTACTTTTACTAAAACGTGAATTATAATTGAATTGAAAATTCACACTGGGGTAGTTTAGCCTATGGAAAAAATAACACCATTTCCTTTATAGTTTAGCTGTTCTTGCTCCCCCGAACTACCAAAGCTCTTAAAAATTTGGAGAAAATTGTAAAAATTCTTCCAATTGTTATTCTGTCATAAAGTTAAAATACCAGGATTTCATGAGAAAAATGGAACATATATTTATTCGTTATCTTCGTCTGCAGTTGCTTTAAAAGAATCTGAATTTCCTGCTATACTGCAATTAATGGCTTTACTAGAAAACAAGGCCCATTCAAGACAGACAAGTCATATAGGTTGTACATCAAAGTTATTAGCTTGACTCTATTTTTGATTATTTGTTTTTGCTATTGCTTTTGAGATGGCACAAAGTTATTCACCCCTCCAACTAAGACTGCCCCACCAGTGTCCATTTTGTGGTCCTTACTGTATTATCTCCAAAGCCAGAGTTCACGGGTATGAAAAGAGTTTTATAAGCTAAGTCCTCAGAGAGGAAATTTAAAAAATCTACTCCTTCCTGAGTGGTGTTAGCATAATCCAGAATTATCTGAAAAAGAGGAAAGAAAACATCATCATCATCAAATTTGGAAGGGTTAGGTTTAGGGTGCAGACTGTGCAGAAATTGACAGACTTACTTTAAGGTTGAAAGAAAAGAAGAAACAGAATACTTTCAAACTTGGGGCCTATTTTATCAATGGTTGGAGAAAAGATTTAGGGATTAGGAATTTAATTTGTATTAGTGAATAAGATACTCAGACAACATATTGTTGTTGAATGATTAGTATTGAATTGTTAAAAAAAAACTTTATTTAAAAAAAGTTGGAAAGGAACTTGGAAGTCTTCTAGTCCAACCCCCTGCTCAGCCAGGAAATCCTATACCATTTCAGACAAATGGTTGTCCAGTCTCTTCTTAAAAATTTCCAGTGTTGGAGCATTCACAACTTCTGGAGGCAACTCATTCCACTGATTAATTGTTCTGTCAGGAAATTTATCCTTAGTTCTAGGTTGCTTCTCTCTTTGATTAATTTCCATCCATTGCTTCTTGACTCCTTCTTTGTGGCAATCCCTGAGATATTGGAACACTGCCTTCATGTCACCCCTTGTCCTTCTCTTCATTAAACTAGACATACCCATTTCCAGCAAAGAATTCCATTCTTTATATGTTTTAGCCTCCAGTCCCCCAATCATCTTTGTAGCTCTTCTTTATACATCAAATGATTACCATTAAAAGGTTGCCTTAAGTTCTTTTTTTAATAAAAGCTGAATATCAAACAGAAATTTGAATATGTCTTTGTGTCTTCTTTGTGGCAGCCCCTGAGATATTGGAACACTGCTATCTTGTCACCCCTCGTCCTTCTCTTCATTAAACTAGACATACCCAATTCCATGATTAACCAGGAGTATTACTATGTTCAACTCAAATGTATCAAAGGGACCATTTCTAAGTAGCTCCTACAAGGAATAGCAAATATGAATTTCCTTCCCCTCCTAAACTGAGGGGCATTTGCAAAACAGTAGACTGTCCCTGAGTAAAAACTGGCTGATAACAGCAATTTGACAGATCAAAATTTAAATCTCCTACTTGCTTTTCTATATAGCTTGTCTTTTCACTTCAAAGAAATAAAAGACAGAGGCAGGATCCTTTAAGGAATAATTGAGGACAACTCCATTAATTCTGGAATTTGATCTGAATAATGAGACACTGCTGTGGAGCATTCAGAAAGGTTGCACAAATTGGTTTTATTAAAAACAAGTTCCTTAAGAAAACAATATATTTCAGGCTTTCTCTGTAAAAGATGCAAGTGTGGTATAGATCAGTCTAAAACAAACTGGAGGAAGTAGCAAAACAACAGAGAAAGTTTAAGTTGCAGTTAACATACATTTTAAAATCAATATGTAGCAAGAACACGTAATTCTAGAACTAACATATTGAATGTTGTAAGAACAATCAAAAGCCGAACTCGGATTCAGTCGTCAGGATTACAGTACTTCAAAAAGATTTGAAAAGCAGTCAACACTGAGTGAACATTGTCTTACATGCTGGTAAGTTTTGGTATGAATAAATATTTTTCTCCAAAGTTTCCAGATAAATTACTTTAATTTCAGAGCACTTATTTGGCATAGTAGTGTGAGACATATAGATGCATCTGGACCAGGTTTGAAGGAAGGAATAGTGGTCACTAATGATTATTTTTTAAAAAACCCATCATCTTCATACTTACCACATGTTTCCCTGGTCATTCACAAATATATTCATAGTAGCAAAGCTAGAGGATGAAGGTACTACTAATACTTACTGAATAGAAGACTGAAAAGTTTGCCTCTTGAGCCAACACATCCAAAAGGCTGCCTGTGCAAGAATAGCCATCTCCAATGAACCCATCCTTACAGTTACACTGTACATCTAAAAAAGAAATAAAATTTGGGGGCATTTGCATTGGAGACAAAGTTTAAGATTTTGTAAGAGCTGTTATGAAGTGGAAAGGCATAAATGAGATGACACTTATGACCTCATTTATTTTCTCACCTTGAATTCGATAGCAGTAGGCATCCCACTTTTCACTGAAGTTGTTTCGATAGCCGTAGTTTACAATGCCCACATGATGAGTACCACAGTTCTGACTTGGGTATACAGTTGGATAACCAGCTGTGCGATTAAAAAGCCAACCTACTATACAGAGGTGGAACCCCATCTAGAAAAACAGAAAGACAGGCTTTTCAAAACAATTGAAACATTATTTCAATACTCAGATATATTTCAACAAATTTCTGACTATTCATATCTTGACAAGATTATCTTGTACAATAATAAGCTTAAATGCAGCTTTCTTAATGTGGCACTCAATGGGGTATGCCCTGTTTAGCTTTTCATTTCCTCTGCATGCCACTTTTCTAGTCCCCATGTGCAAGAAGTGGCTGCCAGCTTTTCATGGTACGAAAACAAGTACACTCACTTTCTCACATTGAGTCATTCACTTTTTTGGTTTAAATTTATTTTAATTTGGAATTCTAATGTGAAATAGATAAAAAAGTAAGGATTCAGTGGGATCCAGTGGGAGTTTTAAAGCTACTTCAGACAGAGATAAAGTTCAACAAGGAAAGCATATCTAGTGTGACTCTTAGCACAGATCAAAACTTGAGACACAAATTGAACTGATATCACTGAGCTGCCTTGTTACCTGCTGAGCAGCAGACAGCTGCTGAAGAGTGGCCAAGGTAGCTCCCTCAGCTGCGCACCTGGCTTCAGCCTCTTCATAGGTAAAATTGTACTTTCCTGTGGGAGACTGCTGATGGAACACACCAACGGTTTTGTCTGGGGAACAATCATAGAAAGTTACGTCTACTAAGCTTTGTTGAGATGTGGTTCAGATTTAGAAAAAGACCCTTTGAAATGTTAGAAGAGATGCTCAATATTTTTATTCTAAATGCCTCAATTTTAACCGATGCCCCCCAAAAATATAAAACATCAAAGATTATGGCAAAAAATAGGAGTGATGTTAGAAAAGGAAGCTAATTACATGCATGTTCAACAAAACGAGGATATTCCAAGACTAAACCCAATACTCTGTTGGATAAATTGCATCCAAAGAATAAGAAAAATCACATTGGATCAGATGATGGTCTCCTTATGGGCAGAATGGCATCCCATCCATTTCTTTTCCTCAAAGAAAGAAGTAAGCCACAAGAAGCGAACAGGTGACTTTTAAATTTGGGGAAGAATTGAGAAGCAAATTAATAAATTTAGATTATTCCAAAGCAAGAGGCAAAAAAAATATCTGATTTGGACTTGACCAATTATGTGCCTTTGCAGAACACAAAGAGCATCTTTGTGTAGTAAGGGCACTCCCTCCAAAAGTGAGAACCCCTCTTCCCCAAGTACTACAGTAGAAAATAGAAAGCATGACATGAATTATCGCAGGGATGACTGAATAGAAAAAAGCATTTCTACCCTCGAAATGCAGATCAGTACAAATAGCCTCCATGTGGCATTGCCCGTTCTCTTCCAAGCAACGGTCTGTAGGGGGAATAACTTCCTCGAAGCACTGCATTCCATTTCCAACATAACCCACCTTGCATTCGCATCTCCGGGTATTCTGCAAGGCAAGGAAGCCAGGCGTTACTGCAGTCCTATGGCCAGTGATGGCAATCAAATCAGAGACAGACAGCAAAGGGAGTGGAATATAAAAAGAACTCAGCAGCAAGCCAAAGAAACAGTATGACTCAGAAGTCTCCTTGGTCTCCAGTGGTTAGAATGCCATATTGTAGGCAAACTCTGCCTACAATCTGGAGATTGATCATGACGGGCTCAAGGTTGACTCAGCTATCCATCCTTCCAAGGTCAGTAAAATGACGACCCAGATTGTTGTGGGCAATAGGCTGACTTTATAAACCATCCAGAGAGTGCTGTGAAACACTATGGGGCAGTATATAAGTCTAAGTGCTCTTGCTATTGCTATTCATTGCTTTCTCAAAAGTAAGATCCATTCTTGATCTGAAAGTTACTTTTGCTTTTCAGAAATGGACTGCCAACCAGTTAAATACAGTAGTTTCTCTAGAGTGTGAAATTTTACCCTAAGAAACGTCCTACGTGACACAAATGTATGGAGTTGATATAAGTTACACAAACAATAGTGTTTAATACGTGAAGTGAATATTTGGTACTTGGAGAAGAGAAGAGGAAATCCATATGCCACTGTGCACCATTGTCCTTCTTTTTCAACCCATTGGGTGGAATATCTCCGCAAGAAGATCCCCACATAGACATTTGACATGATCTCATTTCACCAAGGCTTGTTGCAAATATGAGCGTGCAGAAATTATGTCTGATACTCACTGGACCTGTGCTAATACAAGTTGCATGCTCACTGCATTGTCCATTCCTTCCATCTGCACATCTGTCAATAGGATCACAGATGTAGCCGTCACCCTGGTAGTCCATTGAGCAGGTGCAGGAGACATCCGTTCCATTCTGTGTGCACGTAGCATGGTTGCTGCAGCCACCATTGTTGTTTCCACATTGGTCAATCACTACATCAGAAAAGGCCATTCAGTAATGCATAACTTTTGACTCTGCTTCGGAAGTCATTCTGTAATTGTCCTAAAATTCCAAATTTTGATACTGCTTGGGAACATTAATATAAAATTTGTACATGCAATCAAAATAGGATTTTTTAAAAAAAAAATCTTTAAAATGTTCCAGTTCATCAATCATTTGTTATATTATTTTTCATTTTTATGGATAAGCAAAACTAATTTTTTTAGCAAGCTTTTAATGCAAAGTGAACACCTCTTAGTTTGAGTAAATTCAAAATGGATCTCACCAACAAGAAGAGATGCTATACTTGAGAATCTATTGTTGTAATAGGCACTCTTCTGCATACTTCAGAAGATATTTTGGGAGATGAAACAACTTTAAAATACTTCTGAAATGATTTAAGTTGCATGGAAAAATAAGTTCCTTATTTTCACATTCTTATTTACCTCTTAACAGTAAAATTTTTGAATTGTAAGATCCCGAGAATGATTGACTAAAGATGGGCAGCTATAGAAATCAAATGAATAAATGAATAATTAAAATTGTCAAGAAGCAGGATTTCACAGCTGCAATCCTACACAAGTTGCTCATTGAGAAATTGGAAATTCTGATCAATGCACAATTTAATGTTCAAAAAGGAAAAAAAAGGGCATTCATGCAAGATGATATCTTTGGGAATCATTCCAGAATGTTTTCTACAGTGGTTTGGTATCTATAAATCTGGATTCATGATTCTTCTCTATCTGGAATTATGAATTAATTCATTTACATTATAAACTGACTTTCTCAGAGAAAGATTACTCGGATTCCAATAACTCTAAAGAGATGAATACCACTTAGATGAAAAACCAGACATACCTATACTGGAGGGCTTGTGTGAAAATGAAAGCAATTAAAGTAATGCAACAGAAAAGCATCCAATATTATTGTGAAGGATATAGCCTTATATCCTGAAATTATGCCAACATTTTAAAAATAGGATGGAGCTTGCAAATGTTAGATTTACCCTTTGCAGTTGCAACCATACCTGTGCATGTCTTTCCATCTCCCTCGTACTTAAAGTTACATTCACAGATATTATTAGCTCGGCAGACAGCATTTGGATGGCAGGCTGGGGAGCACTGAGGCACTGCAGCTGAATATATATGTAAACAAATCAGGCAAACCCATAAATTCACTTCAGAATTAAACATATAGCTTGATTAACTGTATGCAATAATGCATCCAACAATTCTGCTAGATTTTACTACGGGAAGTCCTCATTACAGAAAAATCTTTCACCCACTTTGGAAAAGGGAATCTTTGTACCTTACAAATTTTCTGGCAAGAAAAAATCAGTTATGAATGAATGCCTTAAATATGCCTTAAAGTGCCTTAAATATAATATTTGAGCAGCATTTATCCAATTAACCTTATTCACCAAACCAACTCTTTCGCTTTTCATTGCCATTTATGAACCTGTCACCACTATATTTCAAGGAAATCCTTTCTTTCTAGATCATGCTTCTAATCCGTATTATACAGTAGGACTGAACATATTTTATTCTCATCCAGTTGTCTGCATGACTTATTTATCACAACTGTGGTAGAATGAGAAGAGTTAGTTGTGTTGTGTGGGATTAAAGTTCATCTGCTCTTGGATAGGCAGTCCTGAACAGATTTCACGTAAAAATAAAAATTATCTACATGGCATGATTGTATGTATGTATGTATGTATGTATGTATGTATGTATGTACTGTTTGCCCTTGAGTCAGTTTTTGACTCTTGGCATCTGCCTGAAGTAATTTCTGCAAATTTCTTAGCAAAATTTTATTCCTTGTTGAATGACTTCTGATTCAATGACTATCTGAAATTATGACAGTGCTGAATGAGGGGGACTTATAATAGTAAGTAGTTGTAGTGGTAGTTGTGGCTGTCACAGCATCCCTGCAATCACCTGATTGCAATTCCTGTGCTTATCAACCAGCTCCCAGTTGTGACTTTACAGTGCCCTGTGATCACTCATTCACCATTTGCGACCTCTGCTGCTGGCTCTTGGCAATTCAAGTCATCGAGAAAGCTAGCAGGAGGTCAAAAACAGCAATCTCGTGATTGTGGGATATGTGACTTTGCAGGATTTGTCTGGTACCAAAACCTTAAGAAGGCTGGTAGCAAGTAATCTCTCTGTGCATTGGGATTGTGGGAAGGGGAGCCATCATTGCTATTTTTATTATTTTAAAAAATCAAGTACAGTGGTGGCCAAGGGCTGTTGGAACACCAGGAGAAGAACTCATGCAGTGACAGAAATGGGCAAGATTCGTGTGGGTTTTTTTCCCTTTGCTGGTAAGTTCCTTTGCTCTTTAAAACTATGTTAACCTAATTTTACAGTGAATGGCTATTTGCATGGGACAGGATGGAAAAGGTTACTTAGGGACATTTTCATCAGTGCTGGCAAACTTCATGTTGATTAAAGCTTATCGTTCAGGTCTCACATTCCCTTATTATAAATATTTGCTAGTCTGTCTTTGTTTATTGTTTAAATCTTTTGATTATGAAAAAGAAAAGCCATCAGGGTTGCTTTTTTTGCTTGATTTTGGAGGAAAAACTAGATGAGAATTTGGGCAGGATAAAACTCCCTGTATTGGTTGGATATCAATTCTGAGCTAATGTGATTAAGGGAGAGAGCAGAATTCTTCCAATATGTATAGGAACTCCCGAAACCCTGTGATTTCAAAAATACATTAGCTTGCATGCTGATAGTGACATTTTGAAATTTAATATTACATTTTGTACAAAAAAAATCAGTTTCTTCAATTAAACAAAGCTAAAATACTACAGATATGTTGAATTGTTTTTTTCCTCCTCTAGTGCTTCCCAAGATATTACACATGCCTGAAATATCATACATCCACGAAAATCCACGAAAAAAAATCAGTGGAATGATGGCAAGAAAGAAAAAAAAGCATTACTACCTTTTTGAGAAATGAAGCCATGTGCTAAGACCCACTGGGCCTTTCTCTTGGGCGATGTTTCCCAACCATGGCCGGTTCTGGATGTGTGGGTTTTAAATCCCAGAAATCCACAGCCAGCATGGCCACTGAACAGAATTCTGGGAGTTGAAGTCCACATACTTGAAAGTCACCAAGGTTGGGAAATGCTGTTCTATTGAGTTGTACTTTTGCCGTGTGCCAGCCCTGAGATTTGCTCTACCTAGTTTGGTTTCACAGTGCTCTCCAGTCCATCCCGCAGAGCAGAAGCAGAAGCCATTTCCGAGCAGCCCTTCGTTGCATATCCCATTTCCTGAACAACTGCACTCTGCAATGAAAAGGAAGCCACAATCATGATCTTGAGCTAAGAAAAGAAGTGCATAGTGGGCATGGTGTATGGAGCTGTCCCAAGCCCCTGTTTTACCTGACCATTCCTCCTCATATTTATTTTTTTTTATCAAGGGATAAAACATCTAAGTGATGTCCTGATAAGCAGTAATTTACTAAGTCACCAATGGATGTTTGAGTATTTTATCTTTCATTGTAAATCCTTTCTGGCAACCTGTAACCTCCATGTCTTCCTACACCTGAATGAATGTAATGGCAGGGAAATCACAGAGTGACGGAAAGAAGATTATTAGCAGGAGGGGGTGGGGAACACACCACTCCTCCACCCTGCAATGAGAACATGGAAATAACTGTTAAATCATTCAGGGAATGAGGCAGAAAATGAGAAACAAAAAGTGTTGAGTGTATCCAAAGGACAATTTCGCTATTAACAGAGCCAGTTCTAGGTTTAGATCAAGCAGGTAGAGAAGGGTGCCAAATTTTAGTGGATGCCAAAATGGAAAAGCTTCCTCCAAAACACAATAAAAAAGTGAAAAGCAGTTATGGCTTACTCTGTGAGCCAGTGCACCTGCTTGGGGAGGGGCTAAATGTAACTTTCTGATGTAAATAGGGTGAAAAATTCCAAGAAATTAAAAAAAAAAAATCTGGAGTTGAAAACCCTAAGTGTGAAGTTCAAAAACTCGAAGAAAAAAAAAAGGAAACAAGAGGCACCTAATTGAAATTCCAAACAAAATCAGAAGAGGAGCCAAACCATAATAGGTGCCAAAATATGTCTGTCTAGAGCACCAGCAACATGCCTTTATTAAAAATGATTACTTTTCATCACCCTATTGTCCTATAGGCACAACTGTATCATTCAATCACAGTTGCAGGAATCTTACAAGGTGTAGCTCATTAAAAAAAATGAAAATGACTTTTAGAATTGTGGGTAACACATGAAAAAGGCAACGGTCAATAAGGTCAGGGTTGTCAAATCCTAAAGCACACCATCACCCAAAACATTCAAGACAGTATCATGCAGATATCTCATAAAAGTCATCCTTTCCCTCACTAAATATATACTGAGTGGAAGAGGGGGGAAATCGCTAGTATAATATCCCTGGACATCTGATGCAGAAGATATATATAGGAATTACAAAGACAGTGCAAATGGTACCATCATGGCAAATAGTGAGGAAGAGCTAATTTACAAGCTTTTGTTATGTTGAAAACATTGTCCTACCTTTGCAGTCTGGCCCATAGTACCCTGGAGCACAGAGTTCACAAGCCACTCCAACAAAAGATGCATTACAATTGCACTGTCCTGAGCCATTATGCCCATCATTGCATGTACCACGATTTTGGCATGGTGCTTCGAGCCCTCCGGGACACACTGAAAGAGGCAAAACCGACACATGTTTTCAACCAGATGTATTGCTTGAGAAATGAAGAATGAATGAAGTCATACAGGCTTTCCAAAGAGACCACTGTCTATTTGGTCATATACTTTTATCCATTTCCTAGAAACACCTGTTTAATAAGCTACAGCTAAATAGCTTCCTCCATCTCTGAAACTTTATGTGCTGGGCATGTATAATCCTTTATTTTTTCTCCAGTGCTTTGCAGTTATTTTAGGCACAATCACTGTAATTGTTTGCAATTTGCCAGTTATTGCACCCATCTAAAATTATCATTAGAGGTAGCTTCTTTCAAGAATGTACTGTTAAAAAAAACAAACCTAGGAAGATGAAGAATAAAGTTCTGTTTAATAATTCTGTTTTTAAAAATCAGGGTAACTTTCTGCTGATTACCTTTCTATCATTCTAAAAGAAATGTTTCACATGATGCTATAAGGGTGTTCTGCCTCTTACTATCATTGTCTGTCTGCCAGTTAATCACATCCTTTAATGTATCCTGCCTGGCATAGATTTACCCATGTATAGTAATGGTTTTTACTGATTTATTTTGAATAACATGCATTTGTCAGAGGGATTTACACTTTACAGAGTAATCCTGACAGCCTAAGTGCTAGTTTGTTCGGTTTCACACCTGCAAGCTTATCCATAGGAGGCAAACTAGCCATAGTAGTGGTTATGATCATTCATTTCATGGCCTCTTCTGGTGTTTAGCCAAGCCTTGAGCAATTGGACTTTAGGACAACCCAGAATGTCCTTTATGTAGTAACCACCTTATTTTGGACAATAAGTAAACCATGGAATTAATAATAGTGAATAGTGAATGCCTCCCTGAATAGTCAGATTTCAGATCTATAATCATATGAGGTCAGAATAAGGGAACCTAACTAATCTGAAGCTCTAATTCTAAGCAAAGTTTGTAGGGAGTGAGTTCCATTGTAGTCACAGGCATGTAGGTCCAAGATTGAAGATAAATGACAAATTCACCCTTAAATACAGGTCATTTTCATGAAGTGGTTTTCCTTTGTTTTCTTTAGGAGGTTTATATGTCTATATGTCTGGCATTTTAGGAGTTTCCCATTTAAGTAACAACCATGTTTTCAAGATTAGTTAGATGCAGAATCTACTGCGATGCACTAAGAATTGTGCAACACAGAAAATGCAAAAGTACTGCAGTGCACATAACTATTTCTATGAAAATCAGGAAAAGCTATTTGCTTATTGATTTGGTCCAGCATTGGTTGCAATTCAGCATTTAAGCATTGCTAAGAGATAATGGGAAAATCCATGAAATGTTGTTTTATTTCTTACCATGCTATGGAAACACAAGAAGATAAATGATATTTTTGGCAAGGGGGAGGAAAAGTGAAAGTCATTCAAGATATTAAGTGTATGAATATTAAGATATGTTCTCATTTTGGTGAATGGCAGTGCACAGAAAACTAAGCATGTATATCAAATTCAAAGGAGCATTAGAAATAATGATATATGAGGACAATTTGGAAATAAACCTCCATTTGGTTATTGACAGACACTCGCAGATACAGAACTTTTGTTATACACATTAGAAAACCTACATTACTTTTCGACATAATCGCCATTCAAATTGAGACACTTGTGATAACGTCTTACATGGTTTGAAATTCCTTAGTAGTAATTGCTTAGCACCAAATCTGGGCTATAGGCGGGGGTGATCAAAAACATCCCAATGGAACTGGTTCAAAAGTTCTTGTGTGCATCTAATGATGTGCGGGCAAGCATTATCGTGAACTAACACCACACCGGAAGTGGTACCATAGAAAATCCCGCCAAATGTGAAGATGCCAGAGGAGTACTGCTAGTGAAGTTCATGGAGCGTAGTTCGACCATCAATTCAGAAGTCTACTGTGAAAAGTTACGAAAACTCAGACGAGTCATCCATAACATGCGTCGGGGCATGCTGACTTCCGATGTGGTGTTGGTTCACAGTAATGTAAGATTGTAGTTTTCTAACGTGAATAATAAAAGTTTGGTATCTGCGAATGTCTGTCATTGATAACCAAATAGGGATTTATTTCCGAATTGCCCTCGTAGTTCAGTTACAGGATTCAGAACCTTAGATGTGAGACCTAACAAGAACATTTCACCTCCATAGATGGTAAAACAAATTGTTGTGTTATTTTTAGCAACTGCTATTACCATGTATTATAATTACCAAGTTAGGAATGAAAAACATATTATTTTATCTGGAATTTTAAGAAATATTCCTTACCCTGGCAGTTCTTTCCATAGTGATTTGGACAACATAGGGGTACCCAGTTAGTGGCAAGGCATGTTCTCTTGCATCCCTGTTCTCTAAACCGGTTTTGAGGGGATGGCACATGAAAATATTTCGGCCTTAAGTTCCTCCATGAAGTCTCAAAAGAGCCATATTGATAATAGCAAGTCCGGATTTTTCCCTATTGGAAAAAGACAAGTGTTTTTGCCTTTTGCTGGAAATTTGATTCTTAAAATGAAAGTATACATTCAATTTGCAAGGTATGTGGGAACTTCTTCCTATTATTCCTATGTGCTAAGAATCTGGAGCACATAGAGGAAAAACTAATGGACAGGCAAAACTCTGGTGCCCCGTCACTTCTTCTGACTCAGAATTCCAGGACTCTCTTTGTATCAAAAGTCCTCAAACGGATGGGGATTCCTCATATGACCAAGACAGAACTGTTTACAAAAGATGCATAACTCTGAAATCAGGATGCATTGTGAAGTTAGAACACCACTAAAAGCCAGTGGTGCTATGATCCCAGCAAGCTTCTCTCCTTTATCATGGTGACAAGGTGAAATAAAGTGTCCTAATTAGAAGTCCAAAATCTCAGTTGATTTGGGAATCTCCAGGTAGAGAATGAAACTTCTCAAGACCTTTCTTCTCTGGAAATAGGCAGAAATTCAAATATAGATGCCTTTTTTTAAAAAAAAATCATATTGCATCAACTCTCCTGTCAGTATCTAATTTTGTAATTCAAATGCTCTGAAAATGTCAGTTTATTTGATTGCAACTAGGTTCCCCCCTGTAGTTTATCAGAGCACCTCCCAACTTTCTTACCAAAACATTCTATGCTCATCTTTTCCTTCCTTTTGCTGGCTTTATTGACTCAAATCACAGACTGAATGATGTATCATTTTGCCACTCTTAATTAGGACTACTATAATATGGTTTTAAAGAAGTTCATCGGACTTCTGTTATTATACAGAGGCACTGGGTTTGGACAAGATCTGAAGGACATTTTTCAAACTGTTTTGGAAGGGTGCTATTACTCTTTTCTAATAGAAGATATATACCTTTATTTAAAGCTTGATCCAGGTCTGGGGGTGCAGTGGCTCAGCTGGAAAGCTAACAACCCAGGTTCAAGACCCGAGCACTACTCAACAGAGTGAATCTCATTCCTGCTCCAGCTCCTGCCCAGCTAGCAGTTTGAAAGCACGCAAGTGTGAGTAGATTAATACTGTACCACTTTGGTGGGAAGATAACAGGGTTTCATGTGCCTTTGGCATATGGCCATGCTGGCCATATGGCTACGGAAAAGTATCTTTGGACAATGCTAACTACATCAGCCAAGAAACAGAGATGAGCACCATGCCCTAGAATTGGAGATGCCTTTACCTTTTGATCCGGGTATATTACTAATTTTATTTTTCATATCAGGATAACTCTAAACCAGAGACTCTGAATATATCAGATGGCAATGTATATACATATATACAGTGGATATGGAAAATCTGCACACCTCTGTTAAAACACCAGGTTTTTTGAGACGTAAAAAAATTAGATCAAGATAAACCACATCTGAATTCTTTTCACCTTTAATATAGCATATAAGCTGTACAATTCAACTGAAAAACAAACTAAAATTGTTTAGTGGGGGAAAAATAAAAATAAAAAAAATCAAATAATGTGGCTGCGTAAGTGTTCACACTGTCTTATAAGTAGGGATGTGGCTGTGTTCAGAATTAACCAATTGTATTCAAACTGATGATAAATAGTACTCGGTACACACCTGCCATCAATTAAAGTGACTCTGATCAAACCCATATAAAGTTCAGTTGTTTTAGTAGGATTTTTCTGACATTTACTCAGTTGCCTCTTACAGCAAATGCTATGAACTGCAAAGAGCTTATATAGCATTAAAAGGATCTCATTGCAGGAAAGTGTAAGTCAGGAGAAGGGTAAAAAACTATTTTCTAAAGCATTGGCTATACCATGAGGCACAGTTAAGACAGTCATCAACAAGTACAGAAAATATGTCACAACAGTGACATTACTAAGAACTGGATGTTCCCCCCAAATTGATGAAAAACAAGAAGAAATACTGGTCTGAGAGGGTGCCAAGACACCTACAGCCAAATTAAAAGAGCTGCAGGAATTTCTGGCAAATACTGCTTGTGTACTACATGTGACAACAATCTCTCTATTCTTCATATATTAGAACTGTGAGGTAGGCTGGCAAGATGGAAACCTTTTCTTACAGAAATAAAAAATCCAAGCCTGGCTACATTTTATAAAAACCTACATCAAGTCTAACAAAAGCATGTGGGAAAATGTGTTATGGTCTAATGAGACCAAAGTTGAATTTTCTGACCCTAATTCCAAAAAGTATGTTTGCCAGAAAAACAGTATAGCGCAGTGTTTCCCAAACTTGACAATTTTAAGGCATGAGGACTTCAACTCCCAGAATTCCACAGTCAGCAACGCTTCTTCAGTTCTAACTGATCATCTGTGAGGGAAACACCTTCTGCTTGTGGCCTTGAAAAGCTTCCACTAGATCAGTGTTTCTCAACCTTGACAATTTTAAGGCATGTGGACTTCCACTCCCAGAATTCCACAGTCAGCAACGCTGGCTGTGGAATTCTGGGAGTTGAAGTCCTCATGCCTTAAAATTGTCAAGTTTGGGAAACACTGCAGCGCATCACAAAAGTACACCATACCCACAGTGAAGCACAGTGGTGGCAGCATTATGCTGTGGGGTTGCTTTTCTTCAGCTGGAGCCTCAAGGTGGAGGGAATTATGAACAGCTTCAGATATTAGTCAATTTTGGCACAGAACTTTCAGGCCTCTGCTAAAATGCTGAAAATGAAGAGGAATTTCACTTTTCAACATGACAACGTAGAGCAGACCTCCAAATCAACAAGAGAACGGCTTTACCAGAAGAAAATCTAAGTTTTGGAATGGCCTAGCCTGAACCTGAACCCAACTGAAAGTCTGTGGGTGGCCTTTTGAGGGTTGAGCACAGGATATGCCCTTGGAATCTGGCAGATTTGGAGCTGTTTTACAAAGAAGAGTGGATAAAGATTTCCAAGGCAAGATGTGTCACACTGACAGGCTCCTACCCCAAAACACTGAATGCCATCATAAAATCAAAAGGTGCTTCAAGAAAGTATTAGTTTAGCTGTGCATTTTTATGTAACCACAGTATTGTAAGTTTATTATTTCCCATACACCCCAAAAAAGATTATAGTTTGTTTTTCAGCTGAATTGTACAGCTTCTATGTTATATTAAAGATGGAAAGAATTCTGAAACAATTTTGTTTTACATCTCAAATACTTGGCATTTAACAGGGGTGTATAGAATTTCTATATCCATTGTATGTCCTCTCTTGTTTGGGATTAAGGGCATGCATTGTGCCTGTCAGATGCTTGATTATAAAATGTCTTGGTAAACCACCATCAAGTTGTTTATTATCCACATCTTGTCAACTGTGAATCCACCATTTCTCTGGGGAGGCTTACCATGTCCACTGATCCAAAAGGACAGGATTTCTCAAAGCCACAAGGACCGCATGGAGCATTCTGAGAAGACATTATATGAAAGCAGGAAAGATAAACAAGTATGTAAGAAGCCATTTTAACGTTCATCTGAAAATCTGTTAAATTTTTCTTTCTCACAAATGCTGCAACCTATTTGCAGGCAGAGTTGGGCCACATTTTTGGCCACAGAACTGCACTATGGCTACTAAACTCATGATGACAGTGTCATGGTTAGCACAGCTGCCATTTTGGGCCCTGTCCCCAATGTTGAGATGCTTTGGGGTGTTCATATTATGTATTTATCAGTGTTTTAGAATTTAAATCTTGCAAAACAAGTAGAATACATACAGATTATACAATCTCACCTTAAATTAAATTGCCATGATGGTGAGAGGGATAATTTTTTAAAAAATTGTACAGTTCAATAGAAACAGAAGCGTTTTGAAGGTTTTTTAAAAAAAGAACAGCTCTATTATTATTAAATTTATATGCTGCTCATATCTTCAATAAGGCGACTTATAATTGGAAAGTAAGTTCCACAAACATGGAAAAAGCATGGAGAAACTATTGGCTGCCACTGTCTACATTATTATAAGAAATTTCACAAAGACTTCTTTTTGTCTAGAGAATCCTTTAATGGTATTAAATCAACAAAATGAAGATAATTATCTAAATCAGTAAACATTGATATTTAAAATTCAAGTGCTCACTAAAATTTCAATAGTTTGAAACTCATCACAACGGGATCCCAAATTTGGAGGCTCAAGAAGGTGATCAGTTCCATAAGCAATGCCCACATTGAATTCCATATACCGCTGGACAATCCTTGCATTGTTATTGTCGATCACAATATCCCCCTGCAAACCAATGAAGCGGTAAAAGTGAAATCAGAAGACAGAAGACGAATATTGGAGGCTTTTGGTTTTGACTAATATGCAAAATTCAGCCCTATCACCTGTTGCTTCTTGATCCTTTTTACCTTTTTTTGCCTCAGATCAGAAGCACTATAGTTTCTGCAACCCCTCCATCTATAAGATATAAACTTTATACACAGTAAATCTAATCACATTTACCAACCTGAACAAACATCCCATTTGTAGCCTCTTTTTAAAAGTCAGTCTTGTAAGATCCTGTCTGTTGCTACACTCTTTTAATCTCCTAATTGCATTGCAGCCTCCTTTCCTAATTTGGTATCCTCAAGATTGTTGCACTACAGCTCCCAGAATGCCTAGATAATCCCATATATTTACTTCAAGATGTATTCAAAAAGTTGCTGTAATGTTTATACACATCCTACTTTCTTTGGTCTCTGCCTCCCAGATACTCTGTTTCTTGATCAACTTCCCTAGCTTCCCTAATTAATGTCATGGTGGCACAGTGGTTAGAATGCAATATTGCAGGCAAACTCTGCCCATAGCCAGGAGTTTGATCCTGAAATCATGTGACAACTATGCTTGTATTTTATTTCAGCTTTCCTTTGCTTTAGAGCATCAGAAAGAATATGTCCCCAAACAGTCGTATGAGCCAAAACGTAGGTGGAAAGTTTCTGGAACTTGACTCATGAAAGGCAATCTTACAGCCCTATTCTTCCATTACTAGGAATGTTCACCCAGCATTGGGCTAATTAGCAAGAAGGGAGTTAATGTTTGTCTATACATTAAATGGAGAAGAAGGAATTACAGGAGAGTAAGCAGGCACCCAATAGGGAATACTCATTGAAATGAAGGCACTAGCACCAGCTATTTGTATAACAAACTGCATAGGAGGCAAACAAAAGCAATCTCTTTGTGAGAGGACAAAGGAAAAAAATAACAAGTCAGGCACAGGGGAACACTACTAACTGTTACTTTTTCATCACCTTCATAATTCCAAACAGTGCTGCCCAAGGCAGTCCATAAGTGAGGACTATCTATATCTTTTATAAATCTATTTAGGCAGCGACAGTATTGTACAGTTTGTCCTCTTGTGGCCTCAATTTAAAGGAATGCTTACTTACTGCTTGTGTTTTGCTGCAGCTAAATGAAATCAATGAGCCATGCAAAGTTCTCAAGGACGAGAATTCTATCAGTTTGGAAGCCAAGACCTAGAACAACAAAACAGTAAATAATGATTGATTTTCCACAAATTCAAGCTGGCCAAAATAGATCTGGAGAGGTTGTGTCTTATGTTTCATTTATCATACATATAAACAGGAATTGGGGAAGGTTTCATTTTCATCAAAATAATGAAAACTCATTTCCTCATTTGCCTTTTGTGTTCTGTTATTATAAACTTTGTTTCGGACAATAAATGTTTCTGGCAGTGAATCAGCTAGGAAGATAAATGTTCAGGAAGGTTAAATAGGAATAGGTCTCATTTAAGGCTGCAAAAGATCTTGCTGAGACTAAATTTCCCTGTGAGTCCATGATACGATAAATGCATGATCATATGAAACACTGAGAGAAAATCAGCATCTGGATAAAGAATCCCACACCATTTTGAGTATTACCTCATCTATTTTGTGCTGGTAAAAAAAAAAAAGAAATCCTAATCCAGGGGTCTCCAAACTTGGCAACTTGAAGATTTGTGGACTTCAACTCCCAGAATTCCTCAGCCAGTTGAAGTCCACAAGTCTTCAAGTTGCTAGGTTTGGAGACCCCTGTCCTAATCCTTGCTCAGTGTCCTGACTATTCTTCGAAGTTTTTTTTTAAATTAAACATCAGAGAAAAACAATGTTGAGATAGACACCTTAACAAACTTTTTGAAAAATATGGCCTCTATCCATATTTTTCAAAATATGTGAAGTCATGCTTAACAGATATGCATGTTTCCTCTTGAAATACACCCTCTGTTTTACAGAACTAACTTCTGTTTTACAGAGCTAGAATGCATCTTAAATTACCCATGTTATTTAAAAGAATGAATGAGCTGGCACCTGTAGATGCCCGAGCAATGATGATGACCAATCATTTTCATTTTAACATTGTAAAATGCCCAGAGTTGTCAATTTGAGATGGGCAGCCATCTAAATCTTAAAAAAACTATAAAAGAAATAAATAAAATTATAATTTAGTAATTCATTGATAAAATAAAAGGGCATTTTTAATGCGATTTTATACCAGCTGCTCTAAGATTTTCTCTATTTGAGTTTTCCTCCTTGCGATTGCTCAGTTTTGGCACATCTCCAGTGAATAAGCAAGCTAAGGCCAGAAGCAACTTCTCTCCCACAGTCAGATCTCACAGATTTTATCAGATAAAATGTTGGTTAAGTAGTTTACTTATTAAATCAAAACCAATTTCTAGCCAGGTTTAAATGACATGAAAAGGAGATGCGTTTTCTGGCAAACTGGGTCCAGCAGAGCTTCTTTAACCTTGTTTCAACCTTGGGTTTACCTTTATATCCCGGATCATGTGCCCTTTGAGATAAGCAACCAGTTTGCTCCTGTGGTCTTTGTGAAAGAGCCATTTTTGCATTTCAGCAGGAAGAGAATTAAAGGCTGCATCAGTTGGCCACAGCATGGTAAATGGCTGATGCCAGGTACTATTGATCAGACTAAGAAATCCTGCTTCCTGTATAGAGATACAGAACAGTAAAATAATATGATTTCACAAAGCTAAGAGAATTACTGTCAACTGGTCAACACCCCCAACTCCCCCAAATGTCAGTCTTGAAAAAATAGGGGAGCTGCATCATAGTTTGTATGGAAAGAACCTTCGTGCTGTTGAGTGGAATGTAATCCACAAGTCTGGGAGTTGGGTTGATTATTTTTGGAGGGTTTTAGGGCAGGGGAATGAGTGAAACGTGGCAAAACAGATGCCTGATGTCTTAAGCCATTTGGGCTTTACAAAATTTCCTCCTTTCGTCAAAGCAGGCTCCCTTTGTGTCTTAACCTGTCTGGTTTAGAAATGTGGATTTTGATATGCTGTACAATGCTCAGTATAGGGAAAGAAAGCTATGCAAGGCACTTATGGTGGCCAAAATAAAAAAAATCTGGTAGCATTTTTTCAGGCTGGCAAAGTTTTTGTACATCTGATGAAACAAACTGCAGCTCACAGTGTCTGCCTTTTAATAAATCATAATGTTAATGTGTTTTTTAAAAGGCTACCGTGTTCTACCTGTATGTTGATTGCAACAGTTCCTGTTATGATTATTTTATGACTGTGTCTGCTTTATTGGATGTTAATTTTCAGCAACTTTGAAAGGCTGGTTACAAAATGAATGAGTGATAATAAATACATAAATAGGCTACAATCTTGTAAATACTTAAAGGTGAAAGCAGTGTTTGAAGAACATTACACTATCTATATGCATTTGATTCAGAGAAAACAGAATGTCAAAAAATGATTGTTTCTCATGAGAACAGCTTTATGCTTTTGTTATGGTTAAAGCATTGGGATTTGGGAGCTTTTCTAATCTATTGCAAATCACCCAAACATCTACCCATCCATCCCAGCCTACTTTCTGCCCACGTTTAGGATAGGTGTCATGTGTCTGATTAATGAAACACTTTAAAGAACTTTCAGGCATTTTTTTTTAACCTAAAAAGCCTTTATTAGTGTTACAGAGATGTCAGCACAGTATGGTAGAAATGCTAAGATCTGAATTTCCCTTCCTTTGCACATAACATTCCAGACATTTCCCCACCCTTATTTTGAGGTCATGATTCACATCTTCCAATTAACTTGGAGGGCAAAGATTCACTTCCATTTCTTTTTCCTGGGCTTTCCTTATATTCTCCTCCCCTTTCCCTGCCACCTGATTTAACTCTAAAAATACCACACAGTTCTGCATATTTTGTCAAAGCAAGAATATTCAGTATTAGCAGCGTTGACATCAGGTTTAGGGTCTTGAAAGATTTTTGGAGGAACATTATCAGCTATGAAGCCTTCAGAGTTCTATGTTTCAACAACGGATCTAAAAAGATTCTGCAAGGAACAAATACTTGTTGGGAGATTAGAATTAATCAAAAAGACCTTGTGAGAGGATGTACTCCTGAACAACAACAGAGTGTTGAAAGAATTCTAAGGAAATAATAGAATGTCACATTAAAACAAATGCTCATAATATAGTTGTCTGGGATGCAGAGCATGGAGTTAGCCCAGCTGTTAATGAATGCTAATATACATTGCCAAGAATTACTAAGAAATACATGAGGGTAGAAAAGACTCACTTCTGTCTAAGATATTTTGAGAAGAAGGAAGTGCAAGAAAAAAAGAGAGACAAGTTTCTTTTGTTTTTCTGTTAAATATACAGACTCTCTTAACTAACAGAAATAGATCCAGGACAGCATGTGAAGTGTCTTCCTTCTATCTATTTATCTGAATTTCCCCAAATAGGCTTATACCAACTCCCTATTTCCCAAATAGGCTGAGATTATACCATCTCCATTAATCCATATGTCTGTAGCCGTGAGTGAAGTAGATAATGTTTTCTCTCTTCAGACCTGAATTCTATTAAAAGTTAAACCCCTATCCAATTAATCAGAATTCAAATCCCACTTCTGAAATGCATGTTGAACCAAATTTTAAAATTATATTATTTTGTATTTTTAATATATGGGTTTTAATATGAACCTGACTAGATGGCAGCACACAGTCAACTTTGACTAATCTTAAAAAGCTACGCGAGTGATGGTTAAGATTTGGATGTGAGACTATCAGGAAACTGCATGGCTCTAAGCCAGACATGTCAAACACAAGGCCTGGGGGCCGGACACGGCCTGCAAAGTGGTTTCATGTGGCCTGCGAAGCCATCCTGGAAACAGTGAGGGAACAGCCTCCACTGCCTTGGCCCTGGCCCAGACCGGCCGGGAGCCAATGTACAATTTTGTTCAATCAATCTTAGCTCCACAAGGCCATCCAGAAACAGCAGGGAACCAGCCCCTGCCATGTTGGCCCCACCCCCTGGGTGCATGCTGGGGAGGTGTCACCCTTTGTGAGGAATGAAGAAATGCACCATGCCTTGGCCCTTGCCCCGGTCCCACCCACTTCTGCCAGAGACCCTCAGATCTGTCCCACTCCTGCCAGGCCTCCACAGGCCCCCTTGATGCGAACAATGTAGAGCTGGCCACGCCCACCCAGTAGGCCACACCCACTCCATCCACGCCCACCCAGTAGGCCACACCCCCTCTGGCCACCCCCACCCCCCGCGGGCAACCGCAATGCTGATGTGGCCCTCAATGAAATTGAGTTTGACACCCCTGCTCTAAGCTATGTTTGGGAATTAAAAATAATAATTGGAAAAAGATGACAGCAAGCCACTTCCACATCCTTGTCAGGGAAATTACATACATGTATCCATGAAATTACCAGTGGTCAAGCTCAACTCAAGGACTACTTCACTTATGTTTCATTCTATGGATTGAAACTGAAAGAGAATGTTCAATTACCTTTAGAAGCCTGCTATACGTATTGTATCCAAGAGCCTCTGAGACCTCTATAATGGTTTTCTGGAAAGCAATCAATCAGAAAAGTTGCCAATAAAATCCCAGTTCCAGAGCCTGATCAGAAAAGCATCATGCCTGCTTGAAGGTGCATGGAAGAGATGTGGCCTAATTTTTACATCTAATGTTGAAACAAGCTGCCTTTTTCCCCATTTCTGGCAATCTAAAATGTGCACGTGCAGCTGTAATACACAGAGTTGGCAAGTAAATCTTATATCACGTGTATCCTGTTTAAAACACAAGGATAAGATGCTTTGCAATAGCCCTGAATCCAGATAATGACATGATCCTCCATACAGCAATTCTGAAGTATATTCAGTGGCAGATAACTGTGTGCAACACAGCAGCCCTAACAGATTTTACTTCAGTTACGCAGTTCGTACAGAAAAAACACAAAAAAGTAGATCAGAGGCGGATCATTCCATCTCTGAAATAATCCAAACTGTATGTGCACCCAGGCATGGACACTCAAACAAAATAGAAATATATGCAATCAGGTAAGATCTATGGCTCACAGTGCCCTAGTAAGTGGATAGTTAGTGTTTAAAACATCTAACTCAAAACTAAGTATAGTATAAGGAGTAAAGAACCATTAAAAGCCATTATTATTTTCAATAACATCTAGTTTTACAGTAGCTTAAAGACTAGCAAACTCATTATGGCTTCTTTCACCTTTTCTAGCAAATCTTATTTTAGACATACCTGGGATAGGTTGCATGAAATGTTGTGGTGCTGCAGATCATATGGGGCTAAGATCCCATCAATAAAATGTATGACTCCATTCTCTCGAGTAATGTCACTTTCAATTATCTTAACTTCATCATTTAAATACAGACTGTTCTGGGAGGGTAAAAAAAGAGGGAATACATTTCCAGCACCTTTAAAAACAGACTATTATACATTATACAAAAATATAAGAATATTATTCTAGAGCAGGGGTCCCCAACCCTTGGGCCGTGGCCTGTATGAAACCAGGCCACGGGAGAAATGGACACAAGGACAAGCACCATCTGCTTCCTTGAGTGGAACTTTGCACGCGAGTTCAAGCACTCTCTGCTTAAGCGTGAAGCTTCATTCATGAAGTGGAAGGCGTGCACATGCCGCTCACACAAATGCAGCTGTGTGAACACTCATGCGCCTGCTACTCACACGACCTCCCCGGGCAGGCCGAGCTGGTCTGCCAAGCTGGAAAGGTTGGGGACCGCTGTTCTAGAGGGATCATCATTGGCCCTAAAAAATAACCCAGTTCCATGAAAAATAAAGACCTGATAGGACACATCACATAAGGTTTCTTTTGGCAGTGCAGAAAAGTCTTTTTATGACTAAGAGGGAAATGAAACAGGACTGTGACAATGACACACACCTCTTTCATGGAAACTCTGATTTTGTGACCAGATAAAGCTGTTAGAGAATCCTGTGATTCCAAGTCATCTGATAGGAGCTTCTGACAGATGACTGTGTGATAGCGAAGCAGATCTTTGATGCAGCCAGCTTTTTCCCATTCTGAAAACTGAAGAAAATATGGTTGTACAAGGCAAGCACAGATTAATCCATTCCTGTTCAGGTGTTTGAAATGAAGCTGCTCTCTGATACAATAGTAATAAATCATGAATGCCATCTAGTGCATGTATTTCTATTATCTAACACAGAAAAATGGTTAAAACCTGGTTCTCATGATCCATTTGTCATTCCCAAAAAATGTAGAGCTGTTGGGCACTGGCATGAACATACCAACCAATTACATCATACCCATCACTACAGATGGGGAAAAACTGAGCCACAGCCAAAATTCAGTTCAATTGGAAACTATTATTCATTTATTAACTTAAAAGGATGGCAGCAATAATACAACTATAAACCATAAAGCCAAATACTAAAACTAAAAACCTGGTGCCTATATTGTCTTAGGATGCCTCAACAATCATCTGTAAACTCCTATTACACTACCTCAGTGCCAGCCACAATTGCTTTTTGCAAGGCTAGACCTGCTGGATTGCCAAGGTGTGTGTGTTCCATGAGGTAGGAACAGCTATGGATAAGGCATACTTCCCAAGTCCTTTTAGATGGCAGCAGGGAAGGAATCTGAAGTGCATCTACCCTATTTGATCTTGTGGTATGGGCAGATATTCTCAGGGAGAAGTGATCCCTCAAATAATCTGATCTTGTGCTATATAGGGCTTTAAAGATGATAACCAGCACCTTGAGTTGCCCCCCTGAAGTAACTGGGAACTAGTGTAGTTCCCATTATAGGGGTGTAACATAAGAAAACTTAGGGGCTCCAAATATTATATGTCCTGCTGGATTCTGAACTAGTTGTAGCTTCCAGATGGTCTTCAAGGGTAGTTTCATGTAAAGCACATTGCAATATTCCAAACAGAAAGTGACTAAGGCTTCTTGGTCCAGGAGAAGGCACAATTGGCACACAAGATGAATCTGTGCAGAGCACATCTCCCCCCCCCGCTATGACTGCCACCCACTCCCTAAGTAGGTGCCATGAGTCCAGGAGGACCCCCCCCCCAAATTGTGTGCCATCTCAATGGATATGGCATATTGATGGTACTATACCCCATTTTGTCCAATGCATCTTGCTCAGTGTTTTCATTAAAATGCTAAAGAGAAAGTTCAAATTTAGTTGAAGACATTAATATTTGGAAGCAAAGTTAAAAAAAAAATAATGTTTAACTGAAACAAGAATTTGCCTAGAAGTTATACTTCTCTAAGGTTCTCTTAGTGAACTCTTCTTTTAAATTAAACAAATTTCAGTGCAAGTAATAAAGGCACCACTTGGTTTTTCAAATGCCACCTTTCACAAGCTGCTTACTGTGGTCCTTTTCTGTAGGTAATCAGCATGTGGGACAAATATGGTGTATGGTCCTTTCCCTGTTATTTCCATTACTCGATGAGCCTACAACGTAGGGAGAAGTCCAGGGATTAGTATAAATACCAAGCAAAAGTTATAATCTACAGACGTTTGGCATTTGGATTCAGAGAAATTGGCAGTGCACTGCAGGTGCTGCAGGAGGTAATGTAATCTTGGACTTATCAACAGAATTATAATGTCAGGTTTGCAGGAAATGATAGCTCTATGCTGCAACAGTACCCCTGTCCTTGGGATATGGTGTTGTCTTTGGTCGCTGGCTGAGGAATTGGAAAAAGTACGAAGAACAGTGAGAGGGGAAAAGCTTGGGAGATAAATGATTAAGAATGGTTTAGGAAACTGGGTATATTTAGGCTAAGAGAAAGCTAAGGAAAGACAGTCTTCTAAATATTAGAAAAATCTTCTAATATTTCCTGGGCTATCATAGGGAAGACGGTGTAGGTTTATTTTCCACAATTTCCAAGAACCATAAATGAAAACTTTACAGAGGGGATTTAAACTTGACACAAGAAGTAATTTCTTCATTGAAAACTAGGAAACACTAGAATAACTTGGTTTTTGAAATCATAAGTGCTCCATTATTGTTGAGTTTAAAAAAAAATTGACTGACATTTGCTTGGGTTTGTATTCCTGCCCTGGGCAGTGAGTCAGACCTCAAGACCTTCAGAGTCCCTTTGAATCTGATGATTCTATGAACTCTGTATCCATCATAGAAAATTTCTTCATTCCTTTCTTGTTGCAATACTATTCTCTTCCTTGGGTATTTTGCTGATTACATTCTACTCCACCCCTTTTTTCCACTGAATCTTCAAGACAATTAACAATATTAAGCAAGAAATACAAAATACAAAATAAGATACAACAGACAAAAATATAAAATTGTTCACATATAAAAGTCCTGGCTAAAAACATGGATCTAAATTCCATTGTATGCAGAAATAGGAATCATACTAAAAAAAAACTCCCCAAAAAACAAAAAACAGCCCCCCCACCAGAAATGACCATTTCATCAGTTGAGGGACTGTCTAGAAATGGACATAGGTCAGCCTTCCAATTCTGATGCTTTCCAGATGTTCTGGTCTATAGCTCTAATTTTATTACATGGTTGCAGGGATTGTGCAAGGAACTTTCTGCATCCCACTTTGGTTTTTTACCACATAGAAATCCTTCTCATACTTACCTGGCTATAACGAAGAAATTCAGAGGCATCTTTTCTTTCAATAAGCTCCTGAGGAAGGAAGGAAGGAAGGAAGGAAGGAAGGAAGGAAGGAAGGAAGGAAGGGAGGGAGGGAGGGAGGGAGGGAGGGAGGGAGGGAGGGAGGGAGGAAAGGAGGGAGGGAAGGAGGGAGGGAGGGAAGGAGAGAGGGATTAAACATATTCACAATGACAGGTTTCTTCCAAACTTTAGGAACTATGTGCATAAAAAATATTCATAATAACAGGCTTCTAATACTGCAATTGCAGATATGGGAATTCCTTGTAAAAACTCTCCCATTGCAGAATTATAATAGAGAAAAGCAGATCTGATGCATGTCATGTTTTGAGCCCTACATTCTGGCTGGAATCTTCATAGGTACTTGAACTGGTTGGCCAGAGAATTAATGAAGGCACGGATGCAGTGACATCTGGCAACGAAATGCAGTGGCCAGATTGATCTTGCCTTTGATTCTGACTCAAGGCTTCCATGTGCCCCAAGAGACTTGGATGCCACCACTCTTTATATATATTAATAATTTTGAATTATTAATTATAACAGTCATATTTGAACCATTCAATATAGAAAATTATGTCCTTACCAATGAATCCCCAGATAGCATACATCAGGGGTGTCAAACAACTGGCCTGCTGGCTGGATGCATCATGCCAAAACCGTGCTTACCCCAGCTCCAGCAATGGGGGAAAAGTTGCAATATGTCGCAACACGTCATGTGACGTTGTAAGTTTGACACCCCTGGCATACATGAAAAAAGCTTTGTTTTGTTAACATTTTCTTTCAAATGACAGCTCAACTGATTTATGATCTCATTACAATTTCTTTTTTTACTATTTTTTAATTCATGGCATCATTTGCAACTATCTTTTCTTTTTTGCAACCTTTTTCAGCTATGTCACATGTTGCTTTTTCAGTACTACTATCAGCACAAATTTTGGGAATATTAAGAAGGAAGACTGCTCGTCTAGCATTTGGGAATGGATGCTCACAAATTTTGAAAGTTTTAGTAAAATATGTCTTACCTGCCATACACTTCTACGGCATGTGAAGCCATCACCAGTCCCCGATATACAAATGCATCTTGGAATCCCATTTTCATTTTTAAAGCACATAGCTAGTGGACTGCAGCCACCATTATTCTGATCAAGAAAAGAAGAGGTAATAAACTGGAGCTATGCTCAGGGATTATCAATTCTTCTTTTAAGTTTAACTTGTTTAGATGATTCTTCTTAAAACTTAGCTGTAAGGAGACAATTTTCCTTTTCACACAAGTGAATGAGCTATCAACAGCATTGGAGAAGTGGAAAGTAGCCATCTCAGTGAAGACAGCTGTGTACAGAAATACAATACCCTAAAGTTTTCCATAAGTCTATCAAGTCATTCAAAGATTTTAAAAGAGAAAGGTACCTTAATAGAAATTCACCTGCCACCTCTTTTAAAGAATTTGAAGCGCATGAAATTAAAGTTATCTATTTAATCGATATAGTTTTCTTGTTTGTGAAAAACACTTATTACTTTGTATTATTAGTGATTTACATGAAGACTTTCCTTCTTGTTCCCATCTAAGGTTACTGGGTTTGATAACAAGCCACATAATCTCCATCATGAAATTAATACCTCCAAACTGAAAGCCATACTACTGCTAGACTATTTTAATTCAGTAAGTGTTTACATCAATCAGCAATAGGTTTATTGACTAACACACAAATAATAATAATAATAATAAAGTAATAATAATAATAATAATAATGTTGGAGGGACCTTGGAGGTCATCTAGTCCAACCCCCTGCTCAGGCAGGAAACCCTATACCATTTTGGACAAATGGCTGTCCAGTCTCTTCTTAAAAGCTTCCAGTGTTGGATAATTCACCGCTTCTGGAGGCAGGTTGTTCCTGTGTCCAAGAGCTGAAAGCAGGCTCAGAATTGTTGCAAATGGTCCCGGGCAATCCAAAAGCTGCCCGGGACCAGACAGAGTGGCGCCAGCCTTGAGCGTATGCGCAAGGCACGAAAATGATCAATTCCTATTGGTTCACACTGTCTGGATTTCAGGCACTATAAAAGGCCTGCATGCCTTTTGCTGTTTGCTTGGTTATAAGAGAGAGAAATAAAGAGCTTGTTGTTTTCACCATGTGTCTTTGTCAATTGCCAACGAACCGAAAACACAACAGTTCCACTCGTTAATTGTTCTGTCAAGAAGTTTCTCCTTAGTTCTAGGTTGCTTCTCTCCTTGATTAGTTTCCATCCATTGCTTCTTGTCCTGCCTTCGGGTGCTTTGGAGAATAGCTTGACTCCCTCTTCTTTGTGGCAGCCCCTGAGATATTGGAACACTGCTATCATGTCCCCCCCTTGTCCTTCTCTTCATTAAACTAGACATACCCAATTCCAGCAGCCGTTCCTTATATGTTTTAGCCTCCAGACCCCTAATCATCTTTGTTGCTCTTCTCTGTACTCTTTCTAGAGTCTCAACATATTTTTTACATTGCGGTGACCAAAACTGGATGCAGTATTCCAAGTGTGGCCTTACCAAGGTATTGTAAAGTGGTATTAACACTTCATGTGATCTTGATTCTATCCCTCTGTTAATGCAGCCTAGGACTGTGTTGGCCTTTTTGGCAGCTGCAGCACACTGTTGGCTCATATTTAAGTGATTGTCCACTAGGACTCCGAGGTCCCTCTCACAGTTACTACTATTGAGCAGGGTGTCCCCTATACTATACCTATACATTTGGTTTTTCTTGCCTAAATGTAAAACCTTGATTTTTTCACATTGAATGTCATCACATACTAAGCTATAACCTATGGTTTATAAATTATGATGGTTGAATTAACACATTATGCCAAATCCAAACAAAACACATTGTGATCTAGTGACATGGTTGCTTTTTTCCCCTTTGTGAAATTTATTATTGAAAACTTTTAGGGATTACCAAATAAATCAGGGCTGGGAAATGGACCATGGCATGCATAAACCTTTTAAACTGGTAGCTGTATGACCTTAAAATTAAACAAAATATTTTTTAAAAAAACAGAAATGTCACAAGATTGTCACTCAAAATCTTGTAAGATTTGGGTAACAATACCAGATGACTTCAGGGAACTCCTGATATTTTGGTTAATTTTTTTAAAAAAGACTTAATTTTTAATGTTTATGTTGGGATCTGCACCTAGATTACCTTTGGGATGAGTAGAATCACACCATTATCAAATCTCTGTTGGGGTTAGTATTGTTTGCTTTTTTAAAATGTGAAAACTAGCATTCAGGAGATCTCACAAAAAAGGGTATCAACAAACCTCCAAGCAAGGATCGGTATAGTCACATTTCTTAATCCCATCGCCACTGAACGCGGGAAGACACTCACAGGCAACCTGAGAGAAATAAAAACACCACCACATATTTCACATTCAGAATTACAAACAGAGGGACACAAACTGCCAGACATCTTCTGCAGCAATTATAAAGATGGCAGATATTTGTCACTTTCCTGCTTTGCCTCTTTCTGCAACTGTGAAATAGAGGAAGAGTATCCTATATATGCAGACTTTGCAGCTGCTGTGAGTGCCAAAAGTTATGAGAGCACAATCACTTAATAGTCCCATTGCAAATGAGGGAGCTCTATGCATTTTAAGCCATTGAATGGGGAAGCAGAGCAGTGGGTACACACTTGGCACACTTCAGAGTGAGTACATAGAGGACAGACTACAAGAGCTCTATCTCCAGACTGCCTATACCTTGGTAGGTCCTATACCAGTGATGGCGAACCTTTTAGAGACCGAGTGCCCAAACTGCAACCCAAAACCCACTTATGCATCATCGGGTGCCGGGTGGGTGTGGCTCCCAATCTTGGACACATGAATAGAAGAGAAAGGGACCTCCCCCTTCTTTCCCATTCATGTATCTCTTTCCCTCCCATCTATGGGATGGAAATCCACAACCATTGTTGCAGATGTTAGACCATAAATTACTTTGATCCACCTCTCTGTGCGTTATCAGCAAGGAGATTAAGCAGATGGCAAGGAAGATACGCATTTTACAGGATACAATAGAAATGCTACTGTTGCCTCAGCAGTGACCATTTATGCTAATGACTCAGCCGCCTCCCCAGATTAAAAAAGCAAGACACAGACCATACTTTGAATTTATTCTAGGAGGACAATTCTATAACAGAAACCCTAGTACCATATGGAGCTTTATAACTATTTGCAGGGATATCTATGACATTATATGTTGGGGGGGGGATGCTTTGTGATACACTTTTTTAAAAGGCCAGGGCTTTAATCACATGCTTGAAACTACCATCTTGACTTTTTTGTTTCTCTATGGACACCCTCACTGTGTGATTAAGAACAAGCAATACAATCCTTCCTCTACTTCATTATAAATAAGCTCCATTAAACTCACTGCCAAACATAACAGACTGTTTTGAGACTTATCACTGCAATCTTGAGATTGGCAAAAATCACAAAAGCAATAGATAGAGGAAGAAGCATAGGAAAACTATTAGTTTGGGGTCCACTGTGCATGCTTAACATATACATCTGGATAATTTTAGAGACCTTACAGTATCAAAATCCTAGCACCATTTATAACAATTGAAGTAGTTCCTGAAGCCTTTTATACATTTCTGTGTTTGATTCATCTTTGCCTGTGTGTGTGTGTATATATATATATATATATATATATATATATAGAGAGAGAGAGAGAGAGAGATTGGGAAACAGAGAGTGAGAAATTCAGATTATTGTTGTTAGTATCATTGCTTTTTTCCTATGAAGGTTTAGAGATTATTACAAGCCTTTTAAGTATGCATTCACAGCTTTTACCTACCAAAGCATCCAACATTAAGAGTAATACATACAATATGCACTAAGTGTGTTATAATAAACTTACATTATAATAATAAATATAAAAAATGATTGAAATTAGGACTTAATAAAGAAACCATCATTTTATTTTGCTGATCACAGAGGAACCAAGGAAAGGCTTGAGCAAACAGGAAGATTCACCTGTGCCATAGAAACAGGAAACAGAAAAACTCATCCCAAGTAGAAGAAATGAATTTCTCAACAAGTTTATTTAGCTAAGGCTCTAAAGGAAATGAGGGACTCTACTATCAGATGTTACAAAAATAAAAATTACAATTATATGGGGTAAGATAGAAAACAAATATGAATATTTCAGTATTAAATGCTATGTTCTCAACTGTTTTTCATTGTAAGTATATTGTTAGTAAACTTCAGAATAGGGTAAGATAAAAATTTGCTTACCAAACCTGGCCCTGTTTTAATACAGCTTGCATTTCGGTGGCATCCTCCATTGTTTTCTAAGCATCGATCCAGTTCTATACATCGAAGAAATATACATTATATCAGATTGCTTCCACTGAAAAATATGACTGTTACAAAACAAGGCCTCAGAAGATATGAATCAATGAATAGCCTGTTAACTTGTGCAATAAGTGCAATGAGCAAGGATAAGCCAGGACACATTTTTCATCTTTCTAAATGTCCCAAATGTTCCTAGTGAAAATTCATAATTGGTTAGGGAAAAACAATATGAAAGAAAACTTTCAAGCAGCTTTTACCTTCCCAAGTGGAACATTCATACAGTACCTGTTACAAGATATCCCACCTACATATGGAGCAAACAATGGCATTCATTCTAATGGGGAACCTTGTAAACTGTCACCATCTCTGGTGAAGAATCCTCTTCTCCATTATTCAGCAATCATGTCCACATTATTTTGCCATCTGCCTCAGTTAGAGTGAAGTAGCCAGCTACATAAACATGTACATTTTAAGAAAGCACTGACTGCCTGGGCTGATGTAACAGAGTCGCCTTATTGGGGAGGTGGGTGACATATAAATTTAATAAATAAATAAAAGACAACTTCTCTGCAAGAGAAATAATGCCATTGCTTTATCATAATTTAAATATTTCATCTTCTTTTAAATGCCACTCATTTATCTGAGTACTGATCTATCCCAATATTTAGTTACTAATCCCATTTATGTGGTCACCAATCTCACAAAAGTGACTCTGGGCAGAAAAAAAACACCACTTTTTAAAGCCAAATCAGCCATCCTTTCATCTGCTTTGAACTGTATGATGCTTACCTCTGCATAATGTTCCATCTCCTGAATAACCTTCTTTGCAAGTGCAGATGTTTTTGCCCGGTGCTATTTTGGTACAGTTGGCATATATGGAACAGCCGCCATTCTCTTCAGCGCAAGGGTCTATTTCTGAATTGCCAAAGAAAAAGAGAGTGGGCTAAAATAGAAAACAGTTTCACACAGGTATGGCAAGTACATTTGCGAACACTTGGGGACCTTGTTCAGACTGTGCCTTGAATCTATGCTTTCTTCCAGCGTATCCCCATGTATGAAGCAGGATGTTTCTGCTGTCCCTCTACAACTACCAAATCTGCTATTGAGTTTACAGAAATGGTATGGTGAAACTATAGTGAAATATGGTAGGGAAGGCTCATGTGGGATGTAGAAAACTATAATTCAGAAGAAATGTTGGGAGAATTTTGTCTGCTCCTTGACCTGAATGAAAGAGCAGGCAAGCTTTTATTTTTGCCAAGATTGGCCTTCCTCAACCCAACTGCCAGAGAATGCACATCAAGCTTTCATGCCCATTTTCTTTGACATGGACCTGGAGATTTGCATTGGATGTAGACAAAAAGGAGTTTCCTAAGATTACAATGTAAACATTTCTCTTCAAAAATGCTCATTTCTCTTCACCCAAGAACTTGCTATTGAAAGTCTGAACACAGCCCATAGAAAAGCATTGAACACTACATTTTAAATGATATGAAACTTATTTTACTAATGTTTTACTTGTTGTAATGTTCAAATGGTGAACATGTGTCTGTCAGCAATGCTTGTGCATGTAATTAGCAAAAATATATGTTTTAAGCTAGTATAGATCTATCTCTACGTACTTTATGTGTATACCTATGGTGTTAAACGATCAAGCGTGCATTATGAATTGAAAGCACTTGCCAGCTATACCTGCACAAGAGGTTCCATTTCCAGAATAGCCAGCAGAACAGGAGCAGGTGGGTTGAGAATTAGTAGAGTCATTAACGCAACTGAAACAGAGTAATAAGGGATTGAGAATTATATGTCTAGTTTAACGAAGAGAAGGACGAGGGGGGATATGATAGCTGTGTCCCAGTATCTCAGGGGCTGCCACAAAGAAGAGGGAGTCAAGCTATTCTCCAAGGCGCTTGAAGGTAGGACAAGAAGCAACGGATGGAAACTGATCAAGGAGAGAAGCAACCTAGAACTAAGGAGAAACTTCCTGACAGTTAGAACAATTAACCAATGGAACAACCTGCCTCCAGAAGCAGTGAATGCTCCAACACTGGAAGTTTTTAAGAAGAGACTGGACAGCCATTTGTCTGAAATGGTGTAGGGTTTCCTGCCTGAGCAGGGGGTTGGACTCAATGACCTCCAAGGTCCCTTCCAACTACTACTACTACTACTACTTCCTCCTCCTCCTCCTCCTCCTCTTCTTCTTCTTCTTCTTCTTCTTCTTCTTCTTCTTCTTCTTCTTCTTCTTCTTCTTCTTCTTCTTCTTCTTCTTCTTCTTCTTATTATTATTATTATTATTATTATTATTATTATTATTATTATTATTATATAAACTCACACACATATGTTTATGATAATACTGAGTGTTAATTGTGTTGTGCTTGTTTGGCTTGCCTCATATTGCTCCCTTCTCTCATTTATCTAAATGTGTAGTTAACACAACAGAGATACACTGAAGGAAGCTCAAGTTACTGATATATGTTTCTTTCACATGCTCAAAGTGGAATTTTTGCACCTTGAAAATAAATGGAGATTGCGATTGAAAACAATTATAAACTCGATCTTTCTGATGCAGGAATTAGTGATTATAGTTATTAATAGCCCCATTAATATTTACATGAAAATTGCTTTGTGGCAATAATTCATCTTACTTATTTGGATAAGAAAATTAACAAACCATGGGAAATGTCTTATCTACTCTCGTTCAGAATGGGAAGATATAGTTTGAGAGACATTTATATTTAACTTATGCAAGATCTTGATGAATGGAATCTATAGTTTTACAGGTTTTATCTGTAAATAATCTCTAATTGTACATTAGAGAATTTAATAATCGCCAGATCATTTTTAAGGAATTAAGCAATATATAATAGAGAGGCTTAATTAAAAACTCAGCTTCCCAGAAATACTGCTTAATTTATTGATTAGACTTTTATCCCACCTATATTAATTTATAAGTAACTCAAGGTGATAAACATAGATGATACTCCTTCCTCTTCCTCTTTGTCCCTATCACAACAACCCTGTGGAGAAAAAGAGGGAAAATATCCCTATGGGGTTGTTATAGAAAACAATCATCTAACTTCAGACATATTCTAAACTTTGTTCTAAATAATTATACTTACTTGGCATTCACATCACAAGTACCATTGCAGAAATCAGTTTCAATCTCTGCAAAAGAACATTTTGTTAGAACATTGTCCAATCTCCAAGCAAAAATAATTCTCTCAAATAGCCATGTACTTTGACTATAATGATATGTGGGAATGATCTTGGGAGACATAAGAAAGAGCTGCAGGCTAGACAACCAGCTTATAAGAGATGTCCTGAGCTGCTCACCTCAGAAGCAGAGGTGATCTGGGAAGCATTTCAGAAAGGGCCCTGCCTAGTTTCCTGGAGAATAAAAGGAAAGGAGGGAGAAAAAATACTTTCAATCTCACAAGACTCTGTTAATGTAACCTTACAATACAAAGAGCATCAGTATTCATGGTGTCAGTTGGAGAGCTGACAGTCTGGGTTTGAGACCTGAGCTCCACACAATGGGGTGAGCTTCTGTTATTTGCTCTAGCTCCTGCCCACCTAGACCTTCAAAAGCATGCAAATGCGAGTAGATAAATAGGTATCACTTTAGTGAGAAGGTAACAGCATACCAAGTGCCTTTGACATATAGCCATGCTGTTCACCTGACAATGGTAATTGTCGTCTGACAATGCTGGCTTCCTCGGCCAAGACACAGAGATGAGCACAACTAACAGGGAAACCTATACCTTTACCTTACTCATGGTGCACATTTTGTTTGGACTACCTCAAAGGACTAACATCAGTCTTCTAAGACGTCTACTCTTTTTCTAAGAGAGTCAGAAAATCCCACTTGGAGTTTTAAAACTGGCCTTCAATCCACAGGGATATCTCTGTCTGCCTACAGCATTGTTGCAAATGAGCAGCAAAGGGATATAAGGTAATCATTTTACAGAATGCCATGATACAACTAACACAACAGCTGCGACAGAATTTGCTTTAATCTGCAGCAGCACAGTAACATGAATAGCACTTAGACTTACATATCGCTTCACAGTGCTTCACAGCCCTTTCTAAGCTGTTAACAGAGTCAGCATATTGTCCCCAACACTCTGGGTCCTCATTTTACTGACCTCGGAAGGAAGGAAGGCTGAGTCAACCTTGAGCTGGTGAGGATCGAACACCTAGCAGTCAGCACAGCCTGCAACACTGCATTCTAACCACTGTGCCACCACAGCTCAGCCAATCCTCCTGCATTCTCATGTTCGCTTAACAGAGGAATTTAGGGTGGGGGGCAGGATCAGTTCCAGGCCTTCACAGCTCAATGTGAAAAGTTTATGGCCAGTGGAGTTTCCCACATACTATTTACATTGGCCTAGATTCTATGCTCTTAGTTAATTTTTTAAAATATTTGTTTAATGTTAAGGAAATGAATGTAATTTTAGAACCTTGTGAATGAAACACATTCTCAAATCAATCTCTACTTTCAGCAAGGACTCTGGGTCCAAGATAGGGCTTAGAAAATAAAAGGCAGGTAGTTGCTATCCAATTGAGGTTTTTTTTGTTTTGTTTTTTTGCCTTCTGATATATGGATGTTTTCTGATTGATCACACTATCAAGGTAACTTTTTTGTGAGAAAGCCCATTGCATGTTCTCACATTTCAAATGTGCCCACTGACCCCAAAAGACTGAGCTTTTTGTGTATGTCACACTATTGATTGATGATATTACTATTTTCTCATTCTACTTGATGAACCTAATTAAAGCAAGAATTGTTTATAAGCTATCTCATTAATTGATTAAATGTTCAAAATGTTGCACAACTTTTATTTTGTATGGTGTTCCTTGATCGATAGCAATAGTTGTTCTGGTATATTTGATTATGCCTTATATCTGCAATACACTTTGTATTCATCTCCTAGATTTGTCTTGAAAACCAAGCATTTTCTGCAAATTTGACTACAGGAGAAGAAAAGGGACACATTGGTATTATAACAAAACTCCAGTTCTGCAATTTTGAATATAGTCCTTTCTTGTTTCTTTTAAATTTGATTTAAAAAAAAATCCAGTAGGTTCAAATCTGGACTGATATGCCTTGCTTTTCAACTTACCTTGGTCACAATTAACTCCTTTAAATCTTGAGTTGCACGTGCAGCTTCCATCACCTAACAACCCATCGTTGCACTGTCCTTTATTGCAATTGCACTCTAAGAAGAAATATAAGTCTTTGTTAGGTAGAAATGAATACACCCAATGTTACCTATGCTGGTTTTTCTGCACCCTCATGGCCAACAGAAAACCTAACAATTATATGTAGCTGCCTTTTTCTATGCAGCCCTTATCACTATCAATAACTGCACAGGGCCCTAGAAATGAAATGTGATGAAAGTATTTGAAAAATGCACACAATAGTTATAGAATAATGTTCTAAGAGTTTACAAATTATCTAGAGGGACCTTGGAGTCATAGTGAATGATCATTTGAATATGAGCCAGCAGTGTGTAGCAGCAGCCAAAAAAGCTAATACAATCCTGAGTTTTTATAAACAGAGGCATAGAATCAAGATTACGTGAAGTATTAGTACTGCTTTATAAAACCCTAGTAAGATGACACCTGGAATACTGCAATCAATTTTGATCACCATACTACAAAAAAAGATGTTAAGACTTTAGAAAAAGTTCAGAGAAGAGCAACTAAAATGATCAAAGGCCTGGAGACTAAAACATATGAAGAACGGCTGCAGGACTTGGGTTTGACTAGTCTAAAGAAAAGAAGAAACAGGGGTGACATGATAACAGTATTCCAGTATTTGAGTGGCTGCCACAAACAAGAGGGGGTCAAATTATTCTCCAAAGCACCAGAGGCTAGGACAAGAAACAATGGTTGGAAACTGACCAAAGAGAGAAGCAACCTGGAATTAAGGAGAAACTTCCTAACAGTGAGGACAATTAATCAGTGGAACAACTTGCCTTCAGAAATTGTGGGCGCTCCATCACTGGAGGTTTTTAAAAAGAGGCTATATAGTCACTTGTCTGAAATGGTATTGGTTCTCCTGCTTGAGCAGGGGGCTTGATAGAAGACCTCCAAGGTCCCTTCCAACTCCTATTCTATTCTATTCTATTCTATTCTATTCTATTCTATTCTATTCTATTCTATTCTATTCTATTCTATTCTATTCTATTCCATTCTATTCCATTCCATTCCATTCCATTCCATTCCATTCCATTCTATTCTATTCTACCCTACCCTACCCTACCCTACCCTACCCTACCCTACCCTACCCTACTCTACTCTACTCTACTCTACTCTACTCTACTCTACTCTACTCTACTCTACTCTACTCTACTCTAGTGTTAGAATAACCCAGGGCATTTGGATATCTTGCAGGTGGCAATTAAATATAAGTAATAGGATAACTGTTTGGCTATCTGTTTGATGACTTGTGGTTTGGGCCACATTAAAAATTGGAGGATGGCCCCAAGTTTCAGAAAACCCCAGGGACTGCATGCAAGTCTTTTTGTGTGCATCATTGTTTTTGACCAAACACTTCTCTATGCAATAGCACAGATGCTATTCTGATATTCCAGCCATAGATGGCAGAGGCAGCATAGAGATTTGATAATAATTTCCCCCCAGTTCTTTATATAGTTTTTCCTTGACTTACAACCGTCATTTAGAGACTATCTGAAGTTACAACAGCACTGAAAAAAGTAACTTACAACTGGTCCTTGCACATACAACCATTGCAGCATCCCCATAGTCATGTGATTAAAATTCAGGCACCTGGCAATTGGCATGTATTTACCATGATTGCAGTATCCTGGAGTGTGTGTGTGTTTGGATGTGTGTGCGTGCGTGTGTGTGTGTGTGTGTGTGTGTGTGTGTGATTTGACTACCATCTGTGATTTTCCCAGCCAGCTTGCAATAAGCAAAGTCAATGGGGGAAGCTGGATTCACTGAATGACTGGGTGATTCATTTTGCAATCACAGTGATTTCCTTAACAACCATGGCAAAAAAAGTTATAAAAAATTTGGCATGACTCACTTAAGAGCCGCCTTGTTTAGCAATGGAAATCTTGGTCCCAGTTGTTGTCTCAAGTACAGGATTCCCTGTACAGCAGAGGTTCTCAACCTGTGGGCCGCGACCCTTTTGGGGGTCGCACGAGCCTTTCACAGGGGTCGCCTAAGACCATCGGAAAACACATATTTCCGATGGTCTTAGGCAGGGCTTGTCAACCACCTTCTCTCCTCCCTGTGGCGGTGCCTCCCTCCCCCCCCTCCGCTCCACCTCACTTGTTTGTGGAAAATATGCTGCTTGGCGGCAGTCTGCACAAACTCTACTAAATGTGCCATGCAGGGGGCGCATGAAGAGTGCAGGCACAGAGCAAGGCCCCGCCTTCCCCAGAGACTCATTGTGCAGCAACCAGATTGACTTCTTCTCATGCATGCAGGTCAGTGAAGGGGAGGCCGTCGCAGCACCCAACTCCTGTGCCCATCAGCTAGCGACCCCCAAACTTGCGCTTGTCAGCAGGGAGGTCCGGCGATGGCCACCAGTCTCCTTTGCCACCCCACCCGTCCTTGACTCCTCCTCCGCCTGTTCATGTCGAGCCCATGGGGCTTGACAAGGAGAGAGGGAGGGAAGGAGGAAGGGATTCCTCCTCCTCTCCTAAGCTTCAAAGCACGATCGGCTTCCCAAGGGCACCACAATCCTCACGAAAGCGGGGGGGGAGAAGAAAGGGGGCGAGAAAGCTCACGGTGGACTCGAAGGAGCACCTATCAGTGTTGGTGACAAGAAATTCCCCACAAACCCAGGGAAGGGGTGGAGAAAAGGAGCCCTCTTTGGGAGGAAACCGCCACCTTCTTCTCCTTGGCTTTGCGCTGTTCTGTTCCTCGGCAGCCGAGCTGCCAAGCCTCTGCTGGCTGGAACTTCCTTTCCTTCCCTCCCTTTTGGTCTCTTCCTCCTTCCCTCCCTCTCCCATTGTCCTTTCCTTCCTTCCTTCCTTCCTTCCTTCCTTCCTTCCTTCCTTCCTTCCTTCCTTCCTTCCCTCCCTCTTGTCCAAGATTGGGGCGAGCCTCTACAGCTGATCCGTGCTTCTGCAGAGCAGCCCAGAAGCAGGTCAGCTGTAGCAGCTCTCCTTGGCTCCTGCCCAGCAAACTTGCTCGAGCTTTGCTAGAAAAAACTTGCTAATTTAGCAGAAGCACAAATCAGCTGTAGCCCGGCGCTGATCCTGGCATTTCTGCTAACTTAGCAAGCGGCATGTTTTCTGGTGAAGGTGAGCAAGTGAGCCAGGTGGAGCTCTCCTCTGCTTCTGGTAACCTGGAGGCAGGTTTGGCATGTCGCTGTGGCCACCGGCAGCAAAGCCACCAGCCATGCTGGCAGCCTATCCCCCTCCCCTTGTCCCTTCCTGGGCACGGAGGGAGGAAGGAAGGGATGAAGAGGGAGGGAAGTAAGGGACAATGAGAGAGGGAAGGAAGGAAGAAACAATGGAAGGGAGGGAAGGAAGGAAGGGACAAAGAGGGAAGGAAGGAAGGAAGGAAGGAAGGAAGGAAGGAAGGAAGGAAGGAAGGAAGGAAGGGACAATGGGAGAGGGAGGGAAGGAGGAAGAGATTAAGAAGGAGGTGAAGGAAAGGAAGGAAAGAAGGAAGGGACAATGGGAAAGAGGGAGGGAAGGAGGAAGAGACTAAGGGAGAGGAAGGAAAGGAAGGAAAGAAGGAAGGGACAATGGGAAAGAGGGAGGGAAGGAAAGGAAGAAAAGAAGGAAGGAAGGGACAAGGGGAGAGAAGGGAGGGAAGAAGGTAGGCACCCACCCATCCCATCTCAGAGACCCACAGTTCTCCCCCCACAGGTACTCTGCAACCTGAGTGATCAGCTGGCCACGCCCCCTGGCCATTGATCACATGACCCTGGGACACTGTGAACGTCATAAGTATGAATCAGTTGTCAAGCATCTGAATGTAAATCACATGACTCTGGGGATGCTGCAACAATCATAAGTGTGAAAAATGATTATAATTCGCTTTTTCAGTGCTTTTGTAACTTCAAACAGTCATTAAGTGAATTGTTGTAAGTCGAGACTACCTATACTTTCCCATTTTTTCCTTTTTTTTTGGTCAAGTTTTTGATACCCCCCCGGATGGGGGGGTTGGGGGTCACCACAACATGAGGAACTGTATTAAAGGGTCGCGGCATTAGGAAAGTTGAGAACCACTGCTGTACAGGGAGCCCTTGACTTACAAACATTCATTTAGTGACTATTCAAAGTTACAATGGCACTGAAAAAAGTGACCATTTTCACACTTATGACCGTTGCAACATCCCCATGGTCAGGTGATCAAGATTTGGATGCTTGGAAACTGGCATGTGTTTATGAACGTCGCAGTGTCCTGGGGTCACCTGATCACCTTTTGTGACCCTCTGCCAAGCAAAGTCAATGGGAAAGCCAGATTCGCTTAACCACCGATTTACTAACTTAACTAACTGCAATGATTCACTTAACAACAGTGGCAAAAAGAGGGGGCAAAACTCAACAAATGTCTTACTTAGCAATACAAATTTTGGGCTCAGCTGTGAATAAGTCAAGGACTGCCTATACCATATTTTGAAAGAAATAAGTAGCACAAAGAAGAAAAATCAGGTGCAGATGCCACAAATAGGGGTGAATAACAGCATAATCACCTGATTGACACTTGGGTCCATATCTTCCTGCCTGACACATTTCACAGGCTGTACCATGGAAACCTTCCTGGCACTGGCAATCTCCATTGCCTTCAATGCCATCTTGACACACCCCGTGGCCAGAGCACCAGTTGCCTGGCTTCCCAGGACACATCTCACACATAGCACCATAGTAGCCTGGACAGCAGACGGAGACCTCAGAAAACAGACAGATTGATAGTCAGACCAGGAAAAGAAAAAAACAGGGATTTTGTACAAATGTAAGGATCACTGCTGAGTGTCTCTTTATTTTGTTTCTTCCTTTTAAGACATCCAGTGTCATAACGTTTGAGTTGGGTGGCCACATAAAATCTTGAATTGATGCCATGTTCAAAAGTTGCCATTGCTTAGGGCTTGAGATGGTATCATAATAGCAATAGCACTTAGACTTATATACTTATATACCATTTCATAGTTCCTTACAGCCCTCTCTAAGCGGTTTACAGAATCAGCACATTGCCCCCGACATTTTATTGACCTTGGAAGGATGGAGGGCTGAATCAACCTTGAGCCTGTCACAATCGAACTGCCAAACCTCTGGCAGTCGGCAGTCAGCAGAATTAGCCTGCAATGCTGCATTCTAACCACTGAAGTTCAGTGGTGCATCTTCTTGCTTATCATTTCTAATATGGCACCAGTAATATTGATATACTTCTATGCATCAGCAGGGTGGTCAGTTATACATAATATGATCTCAGTCTCCTAATAAAGAAATAAATATTTCTGGGCCAACCAGAAGAAAATAATTACATGGGGAATAGCTGCATAGCTGACATATGTGCAGTTATCTAATCAATAGGGATGACTTACTAGGGAAACTTTGATGCAAGTAAAGTAGCAGCCAACTAATTTCATGCCTCCAGCTTTAAATATACAGTGAGGAAGATTTCCTTTGCCTGGATGTTGCTGTCAAAAAAAAAAAATGTAAAAAAGTTGATAAGCAGATATGTATTCCAAACAGATAACATCTAGGCATGATCAAGAAAGAATTCTTATTTTAATAATTCTTTCTAACCTTCTCACAATAAACATTATTGGCTCCAAAATTCTGCAGAAGGGCTGTTTTTTCTACAAAGTTTTCTGGTGATGTGCTTGATAAACCAAAAAGTATCAAATGAAATAAAGCAAGACTTACCGCAAGCACTGATCCTGCTGGGCACTTGAACCTTTTGTTGCATTTAGCACATCTTGACTGGCGTATGGGGGGGGGAGGATAAAGGATAATTAATAGATATTTCAGAGCACGGAAAAATATTGGCATCAACTACAGAAGGGTAACAAATCATAACACAGCAGAAGCCCTCATTAATCATTACCTGGTTATTATTTTTCATATTCTGTGATAGCAGAGATATTAGCATTGTCAAGATTATAAATTTATTTATTAGTTTTTTATCTTGCCTTTATTACTTTATAAGGGACTCAAGACAACGAACATACATAATATTCTTTCCTCCTTCTATTTTCCTCACAACAACAACCCTGTGAGGTGGGTTGGGACTGACAGAGAGTGATTGGCTCAAAGTCACTCAGCTGGCTTTGAAGCCCAAGGTGGCACTAGAACTCACAGTCATCTGGTTTCCTTTTAACCACTACACCAGGCTGGCTCTCTATCTATCCTTATCTCAACCTCTTTTTATTCCCACATCAAGATTTATTCAATTCAACGTCATAGATCTGTTTTATCTTAATGAACCAATCACTTTTTATTGAGGTTTTAAAATCTATGTTTATGTAAACAACCAAGTTGTCTACTGGTTTGAAATTATACCAGCTCAAGACTGCAGGAAAAGCCATTTATCAATGAGAAACTTCAGAGTCAAATAGATTGGAAGATCAAATTCCATCATCTACCTACCCTATACTCCAGGGCTCTATACTTTATCATTCTACTAGATAAAAACCAGAATTATTTCACTTTATCATCACCACTTTCATGCACTATGTTTCACCCTATTCTCGGCACAGACTGGTTTTCAGGATATTTGATTAATAGATCCATTCACTGATTTTATAGGGCGGCACCACTGAATACACTATCTGAGAAATCAAAGTATTTACTTAAAAACTAGAGGTTTTAGTTTCAGTTAAGCAGATGGAAGACTGGGGTCTGAACCTGCCAGGATTCATTAGGTCCATAAAATCTTGACCAATTATTTTTGTTAGCATAATTACTGCTATTAAAAAATGCTAATATTAAGTTTTGTCATTTTTATTATATTGATAAAATCCTCACCAGGATCATATATACATCTTAAATTATTTGAGTTTTAATATTTTATTATATTGATTAAATTGTATACCACCCAGAGTCCCTCTGTGAGGGAAATAGCCGGTTAAGAAGTTTGATTGATGAATGAATGAATGAAAATAGAATGACATCAAATGCTGTTGAGGAGGCCTACTGATGCCAGCTTAGTTGTTCCTGAAAGTTGCAAGATTCCAGATTTTAAGAAGAAAAAAGTGTATATACTTTACATTGGGCTGAGGGCTCAGGCAGTCAGTTTATTCATAAATCTCAAATGAGATAGTAGAAAACAACTAGTACTCATAACCAAGAGAGAAAATCTCTAATACTTCACCTTTTGCACAGTGGAGGTATTGGTAGTGCAACGGTTTTTGTGAATCTGTAGAACTTGAGAAACCCCAATCAACATTCCATTTCTTGTTTCAACAACTGGGCCATCCAAAAGAACTGTGTTTACATATGTCTACAATTAAAAAGGGATGAGAAATGAAGTATGGTTCAAAGCACAATTATCCAGATAGCATTACAATTATCCAGACAGCATTCTAAAACCTTCCTGAGTCAATACAGCATCCACAGTGGAGGCCAACAGAAACCAACAAACTTTTGGTTTTTAATCTGTATATGTCAGTTTACTAACCAGAACTCTGGGATCTTCCAATTTATGTTATAAAGATCGCTGAATAAATTTCATATATAAACAAATAAAATATTTAAAATAAATACATAAAACATTTCAGGGATTGCAGCCATAGTATGCACACAAATTTACTATTTGAAAAGTATTGTATTTGATATTCAGTACTGCAGGCCACTTTAGCTGACTGTTCAGCAGGTCAGCGATTCAAATCTCACCGGCTCAAGGTTGACTCAGCCTTCCATCCTTCCGAGGTAGATAAAATGAGGACCCAGATTGTTGGGGGCAATGTAAATATATCTATACATTGCTTACTGGTGTACACCGCTTAGAGAGTGCTTGCACTTAAAGCGGTATATAAGTCTCATAAATAAATAAATAAATATTTTAAGATATTCCTTGTTGGACTTCCGGTGGATCTGCACGTGCGATGGCGGCTACTTTGTAGCCGTCCTCCTGGGTAAGTGTTTGAATCACTATGAACAGCGGCCATCAGCTGTTCAGCAGTTCAAAAGCCCCCTCCCGGGCAAAGGGGGGGGAAGAGGGTTGTCTGAATAGTGGTAGAGCCACTCTCATGCACCCCCAAGGCTTTTTTGGGGGGGTGAGAGGAGTGCTCCCATGGAGTTCAGACTGTCTCCGCTTCCCAGCTGCTTTTGTCCCTAGGGACAAAACAAGCCGCTGCAACCACCTCCGCGATTAAAGTGATCTGGTGAGTTTTTTTTAGAGGCGGACAGAGCTGAGTAGAGGATTTAGCTTTTGCTTTCTTTGATTTTATTTGGATTTTAAGTTTAAAGATTTACTTTTACTTTTATATTGCTTCTTTTTATTTTTTTCCTTTTGTTGAAAGGGAAAGTAAAATGGCGATCGGCAAGCCTTTCGGTTTTTTTGGGGGGGGGAAGGTAGAATGGCGATCGGCAGGCTTTTTGGTGTTTTTTTTTATCCTTTTCCTTTTTTTTTAATGATTGGAACGGAATGTGGATTTGATTTTGATGTTGGGTTTGGATTTTAGAAGCATTATTATTTTTGTTTAACTTCTTTGTTTTGCTTTTTGTACTTTTAAAAAATGGAATGGATTTTTTCTATTTAATTATTTTTTTCTTCTTCCCTTTTCTTTTTTTAACTCCTTTCTTTTTATTATAATGATCTCCTTTTGAAGGATTTTTTGATTTTTTGGAGTTAATCTCTCTTTTTCTTTTGTTTAATTTTTGTAACTTTTAAGAAGGAGTAAAGATTTTTCTAAGATGGCTCCAAAGCGTTCAGTATTTTTTTGTTATAATGATCTCCTTTTGAAGGATTTTTTGAATTTTTTTGGACTTAATCTCTCTTTTTCTTTTGCTTAATTTTTGTAATTTTTAAGAAGGAGTAAAGATTTTTTTTAAGATGGCTCCAAAGCGTCCAGTAATTCCTACAGCTCCTAAGGTGGTTTCTTCTTCGGTGTTATCATCAGTGCAACAACCTAAATCAATAGCTTCACCCTCTTCCTTGGTACAGCCAATAATTGTGAAGGATTTGCAAGATATGATGGGAAATGTTATATCTCAAATTAGGGCAGAAATGAAAGAGATTTTAGAGGAAAATAATAAGATTTTGAGGCAAGAGATAGTTTTGGCTCTAAAAGGAGTTGCCTCTGTTCTTGAAAAGCTGAACTCTCGTGTAGAAGAGGTAGAAGAAAAAGTGGAATTGATGGACGGAAAATTTGAAAGCATGGAAAAAGAAATGGAAAATGAGATTCTTATGCTTCAGTATAGACAAATGGAATATGCCTTAAGAATCAGAGGTTTGGGAGAGTCTGTGCAAGGAGATCTGAGAGAGATGGTTGCAAAGGACTTTGCTGTGATTTTGAATAAAGAAAAAGAGGAAATACTTAGTGAAATTGAAAAATTATTTAGAGTTAACTCTGTAGTGGCAGTGCAAAAGAATTTGCCAAGAGATATGGTAATTTACTTCAGGAAAAGATCTCTGTGCAACGAAATTATACAAGCTTTTTATAAGAAGAGATTTCAAATTGCTTCACAAGATGTTATAATTCTAAAGGAGATCCCATCTAAAATTTTAAGAAGAAGAAAGGAGTTTGCTTTTTTAGCAGATGAACTTAAAAAGAGATGAATCTTGTTCAGATGGGATGTTCCGATTGGAATGGTGGTGAATTACCTGGGGATATGTTATAGACTTAATACTGTTTCTTAAGCAAAAGACTTTTATACTTCGGTCCTGGGGGTATGTTCATCGCCATCTATTAAGTTTAAAGCTTTGGAAGAAAAGAAGGTAGAATTGCAGTCTGAAGAGCCTATACTTATGAAAATTGGGAAACCTCAGTTTGAGGGGCCTCAACAAGTTGAGATGGAGGAGCAGAGGATAACCTGTGCAACATATAACTGTAAAGAAAAGGAGCAACAGAAGAAGGTTAAGGAAGCCTCGCAACTATTGGTTTCTGAATCTGTGGGAGAGGTAGGATTTATAAATTTTTGGGAGCAACCTTTAAGGGTAGAATTGCAGTCTGAAGAGCCTATATTAATGAAAAATGGGAAATCTCAGTTTGAGGGGCCTCAACAAGTCGAGATGAAGGAGCAGAGGACAACTCGTGCAACATATAATCGTAAAGAAAAAGAGCAACAGAAGAAGGAGTTTAAGGAAGCCTCACAAGTATTGGCTCCTGAGTCTGTGGGAGAAGCAGGATTTATAAACTTTTTGGAGCTACCTTTAAGGGCAGATTTCAAAGCACTTCTTTCGAGATTTATGGATAAGAGAGACTGACAAGGATGGAAATCGAATGAAAATTCTAGATAAGATGTTTAAGTTTAAGTACTTAGTTTAAGTATTCAAAAGAGTACTGAGTCTGCGGGAGAAGCAAGATTTACAAACTTTTTTGAGTTAGCTTTAAGAGCAGTTTTCAAAGCACTTCTTTTGAGGTTTATGGACAAGAGAGACTGATAAGGAATGTGTTTATTGTGGATGGAATTTGTTATGGGTAAAGATTTAAATGTGTATAAGGGAATTTTAATGGTTTATGGGCAAGAGAGACTGATAAGGAATGTGTTTATTGTGGATGGAATTTGTTATTGGTAAAGATTTAAATGTGTATAAGGGAATTCTAATGTTTTAAGTAATGTTCAAATTTGTGTTTTGGAGGGAGTTTATAAAGAATGATGGATAATAACATAAGTATGATATGAAAAGGTTCAGAGTATATTATAATGTGTTTAATGATTGGGTTTTTATTATTATTATTATTATTAAGAGAAGATAACTTGTTTAATTAAATGTACCTAGATTTGTTTAGGATTTATATGTCTTTTAAGTTTTTTTTTTGATAGGAGAGAAGATTATGGAGATTGAATGAAAATCTTAGATAAGAAGTTTAAGTTTAAGTATTTAGTTTAAGTATTCAAAGAGTATTTAGTTTTAATGGTATAATGAAGGTTTATATGTTTATTTTTGTGTTCTAGGATAAAGAAAGAGGGAGAGATTAGATTTCATATTGTAGGTATAGATATTCAAAGAAAGTAATGTTAAAATTTGTGTTTTGGAGGGAGTTTATACAGAGTGATGGATAATAATATAAGTATGATACTAGAAAATGTTTAGAGTATGTTATAATGTGTTTAATGATTGCAATTATTATTTTTTAGAGAAGATAACCTATTTAATTTAATGTATTTAGATTTGTTTAGGATTTATATGTGTTTTAAGTTTTTCTTTTCTTTTTCTGAAAAATTCTAATTAAGCCTGTACTCAGCTCTGGGAGGGTTGGGGGAGGGTTTGGGAGGTTTGGGGAGGTGGGGGAGGGTATGGGAGGGTGGGGGGGGGTTTGGGGAGGGGATTTGTTTTGTAAAATTTAAAAAACTTTCAATAAAAAAAGATATTCCTTGTTAAACCACATACTGTACGGATGAAGTGTAATTTATAGCTCATTCTCACCTTATTGAGTGTATTAGAAAACATGAGCCAATTGGAGAATCCTAACATTGTGCTTCTGTGCACTCCATTCTTCAGGTCTTTCAAAAACAGCTTATCACCAATTACAATATGATACTGCATGGTGTCATTATCCTGGAATCCACACAAAACAAAATACTTAAACTCAAAGACAATTATTAGAATCAACAAGGTAATAGCAAGTGGAATAGAAACTTAAAGAGAAGATGCATAGTAATGAGCCAGCCCTCTTCAATTTATGCCTCCAAATATCTTGGTCATTAACCACAGAGGAGTCATTTTTCTTTACATCTCCCATGATTGAACTGCAGATTGGCCTTAACAAGGCTGTTGCTTTGTCACACTCAACCACATCAAGTTCATCTTGATTCACAGAAAAAGTGGCACAAGAAAATATTCCCATTGCCTCCCTCAGAGATAATAACATTCTTTTTTTAAATAATATTTTATTAATTTTTCAATTTTACCTTTAAGTATTTAAAAAGCAATGTGGTGACTGTGTTAATCAATAGTTAAGTTGCAACATCAAATATTTCTTCTCTTTTTCTTCTTACATTTGCTGTCTTGTATTCAAGCTAGTACCGTTCTTATTATATCAACTCAATAAAAACATTATTATTACATTTATCAATAATTTTTTAAGCTTATATGTATCTTAATTACATTCAATCTTCATAAACAACCCATATCCTGTTATTAATTTTTACCCAGTTATTCCAACCTAACCTTTAATATTTATAATTTTCAAGCCTTAGGCAACCAAGATTTCCCTTGTCTCAATTCATACCAAAATCTAATATCCAAAATACATATTTTATCTATTTGAATGTAATCTTGCTCAATTTCCTAAGAGTTATCTATTTCCCACCATATTAAGTCATCTACTTAATAATACAATATCCCCTTTAATAAATCAAAACCATTATATATATATTACCTGGGTTAATCAATAAATCAAACATATTCATAATAATTAATTTTATTTTCCTTTTAGGTCTAATTTTTAAATATTAAACAGATAAAGTCCTTATTTTCAATTGATTTTCAAGTATTTTAAATCTAATGACCAGAATTCCCCTTATCTCAACTTCTCCCTTTAACCTCTAATTAATAATATGACATCCCCTCTAATAAGTCAAAACCCCAATTTTCTTCAACCTTATTCTGGCTTTCTTCCTTTACCAACTAGGTTTCCATAGTAGTGCTTTTAGATCATCAAATAGATCTCCCTCTATTATTATATATGTTATTTAAAATGAAGGAGACCATTTAATTGCCATTTTTTGGGGAGGACTAGCCCATTTATATTTGTTAAGTTGTCTCCCTGTTATTCCAGTTCCCCACTCTTGCCCTGATATGTTTGTCTTCCATTCAATCTGTTCTTCTTTTTTCTCAAATTTCTTCTGATTTATATAGAAAGTCATTTCCATTTTCAGTGTTGTCACTTCCTTTTCTGGATTTTCCATCAGTTTTATTTGTTGGTCAATTGAATCCTCTGTCTTAATATTTGATTGTCCCACTTCTTCTGTTATTTTCTTCATTGCTGGTTCTTTGGCTGTAGTCAAATTTGGATTTGTGTATCTAAGCTGGCATCTTGATCTTTTATGTTAGGTCTTATTTTATCACAAGCTGAAAGAATAGTTTCTGGTATTGCTTTCAACATGGAAAGAATCTTTTCTTGGTCTTCATGCATCTCTTTCACATGTTTATAAATAGCCTTTCTAGTAGATTTGTCAAGCAAAATGTTATAATGCAAGGTATTTCAACATCTCATATAGTGACCAATATTCCTCAAATAAAGAGATAGGAAAACAGTTTCCCACATATAACTCTGAGAGTCAGTAAAGGTTTACATTCACAGTTCAAGTAGGCCAGTTATGCCGCCCAGCTGTTCTCTTACAGCTAAGTCTGTCACAGGTAATGCCAAGGTCAGAAAAGTCTTATCTAAGGTCTGAGCTTCGAACCGAGTCTCTTTTAGGAAATAACAAGTTGTAGTACCAAACTTTGCCACAAGATGTCACTGATGCCATTTAAAGATTTTTAAGTTCAAAATTTTTATAACCCTTTTTCCAATTTTATTTCTTTTTTGTAGATAAAAACAAGAGTCTCCAATAAAAATAGGAAAATTTTTGGTCCCCAAGTTTCAGGAACATATAAATCCAATTAAATTAAAGTTGTTCTTTTAATGCTTTAATTCCCCTGAGTAGTCAGTCACCACTATTCTTAGAGGGCGGGATAGAAGTTCCCTTTCCTCTCTCCTTACAGGAGGAAAGATACTTCAGGCAGCTTTTACAGGAAGAGAAAGATCCGATCTCACCCAGTTTCATCTGCATTGCTTTTGAAGTGCTTGGTGGTGAGTTTGACTTCGGTTGTCTACAGCCTAGTGATGGGCCATATTACTATGGCCAGTCTTTCCTCCACCAGTTTAGAGGGCTTCCCCGAATCAAGTGAAAGGGCTTCCGCCCTCCCGTGATCAAGTGAGGGGGTCTCCTCTTAGAGATAATAACATTCTTATATGAAGAGTTGTAGAACCTAGAAAAAAGTTCAGCATGTTGCCAAAGTCACTCGATGAATTCATGAAGCAGAAATGCTAATTTAATTTCATCGTTATATGTGGTACAAACTGATACCAACCTCAAACCAAGTCCTTAAATGATATATAAAAGCTATACTTTACTAGATGGTGAATAATTTATTCATTTATAATTATATCATTATTAAATTAACAGAAATTTTCAGTTATGTTTAAAGCAGTGGTTCTCAACCTTTTTAATGCCGCGACCCCCAACCGGTCGTAAGTCGAGGACTACTCAACCGGTCGTAAGTCGAGGACTACTCAACTGGTACAGCACCATTTGCAGAATGGGACTTTTGGCGGGCTCAGCAGAGCAGAGACAGCCTGGACAATTCCTATTGGCTTTTGAAAGCCAATAGAATAAAAAGGAGTAGCACAGCTAAGGAAAAGGGGAAAAAATGGCGGACTCCGTTGTTTGGCGACCCCCGTGAAATGGTCGTTTGACCCCAACCACTGAGAACCACTGGTTTAAAGTATATGGTTACAACCATATCTCATTTTTCAGTGGAAGGCAACTGGAGTTTATAGCATTTCTGTGCATATGACAATTCAGAGTTAACCCGTGAATTGATTGTCAGTCTCTTATATGAGTTGTCTTGGGAACACAGCAGTTGTTAGCTAGCAGATGTGATGAGGTAGAAACTCCACTTTTAAAATCAGTTCAATGCTCTCCCATAGGAGCTTTGTGGTACATGAAGCAGCCAACAACGGTTAGTTCCAAATGTTTTATCTCAAGATTGAATCCAAATTCTTATTTATTGATATGTTGTTTCCCACAAATAAACAAAGAACTGTGCAATCATGTACATGTTGAATCAAAAGTCTCATTGAATTAGGGGAGCTTACCTCTACATGAGTGCAATTAGAATTATTTCGTTAAAGAAATAAACTCTTACCAGTTGTGTAATATTTGATGCTTGGCAATATTTCTCAATTGAATTATTTCCTGGGACAAAAATTGTATATTTTTCCGATGACTCAATTTCTCTCACCAACTGATATCTCTGAAAGTTTAAAAAAACACAATTAGCAAGTTAATCAAGTCAATGAGGATTGCATGTTAAGATTGTTTTTAAATATAAGATTTTGCCAATTCCATACCTAGAAAACAGTAACAATGAATAATTAATATTAAGAATTCAGACTAAAATAAATTCACTTGATGTTTGTATCAGTAACAGGATTCAATTTGGGGTTGAATCCTCTGCACCCAGCTATTACATTATGTAAATCATTACTTGGAACAAGGTATAAACTTAGTTTATGTCTTCCACTATATCACATACTAAGATGATCTTCCTCGTCTAGCCCCTTGTAAAAGAACTCTTTAAGAGATATGGGGCAATATCTTTCGACTGAGAATTTTACCTCCAGTAGTTCTTTGAACTTCCAGAAAGAGGGCACAATGTCTAGTTGCTCCTGCAGACCAGGTGGGATCTTGACAGATGTTGGTAACAGAACCTGATCAAAAGAAAAAGTGAAATGAGGAAGGCCAATTACCTGACTTTTTTCACCCAATAATTAAAAAATAATAGCATAAATAGGATGTTATTGAGATGAGAAAAATTGAATTTTAGAAGACTCTTCTCAATACCTTGGTGACATTGTTGCTTCTGTTTAATAAAAGACCAATAAAGGAGATATGCTTAGCATTAAGCATTTAGCATTTCTTCCCCTTCCCCTTCTCAAATAACAGAAAAAACAAAGATCCAGGCCACTCTAATCAACCTACCTTTCTGATGATATAAATAGTGCTATTAATAGCGGGAATATCACCCAATACAATGCTGGCATTCTGAATAGTTATTTCCTGAAAATCAAACATATGCAGTTGTTAATTCTGAATTATTACTATTTTTTTATTTAAGAAAATTTATATGGCCATCCAACTCACTCGCAATGACTCTGGGTAGCTTATAACATTGTAAAATCAATAGAAAAATAATAAAACAATATCTCCCCAGTGACAACAATCATTTGATGGGCTCCACCCACTCTGAGGTCTCCAGGCTCATTGGCAAAACCAGGTCTTCAGGACCTTGCGAAAGACTGTCAAAATTGGGGCCAAACGTATCTCTTCAGGGATGATGTTCCACAGGGAGAGAACTACCATGAAGAAGGCTCTTCTTCTTAGTCCCCCTAGATGGACCTGCTTAGGAGAAGGGACCTGTAGCATTTCCTGCCTCCCCACTCTGGTGGGTCAGGTACACGTGATCGGGAAAAGACGGTCCTTCAAATTAGTCTATTAAAGTATGTATAACCATTCCTATTACATTTACACCAAAACACTTTTTTTGCTCTAATTGGTGTACAGAACTGACTGGGAAACCTTAATTTAGGATCACTTCTTAGATGTGGACATTTTCTAATCTGATGTCCTCTGGATTTGTCAAACTGCAGGGACTGTAATTATGGGCTATGCGTTCCAGCATATCTGGAGAACAACAGGTTAGGAAAGGCTTATCAAAAATGTTCCATTTTAATCTTGACACTTGCTACATGCCTTGGTACACACACTATAATCAACATTTTCCCAATACGAAACATGAGCTTGCAGGTTCACCTTGGTTCTACTTTCCTTGGTGCATCTTTTCTTCAGTTTAAAAGTGGGATCAGCATATTTCAATAATATCACTTTAATTTTGGTATCGGAAGTAATGTTTTTAACCTACAAGCTTACCCCATTGTTGCTCTTTATTTCCCACATGGCCTCTGGATTGAGAGTAGGGAGTTTTTGGCCAACATACTTCTTGAGTTGCTGAGTTGTGAAGGAACCCTGGAGGATATGAGACCTGATAGAATAAAAATATTAACGAAACTACAGTTGGCTGGTTAACAGCCAAGAGAACACCTTCAGTTAGATTCAGTTATGGTTAGCAAAAAAAAAAAAAAAAAAAAACCATAGCCTCCTTTAAATGTGTCAGGAGACTATTAAAAAGACAATTCATCAGCCATCTTGTCTATGGAGATTCTCAGTTGTCCAGATCTTGGTTGTCCCAAATATGTTTTTTCAAAAGGCAAGTGCATTTCCTTTGTTTTTCCTTGAAGACGTTTTGCTGTGACAGTGTAATCAAAACTGTTTTAAGGCATTTTTTTTACTGACAAAAAATAGGCAAAGCTTTGATCAACTTTGACTTTTTTAACCACCCTTTGCAGGTAGCCTTGTTGGTGTGAGATTAGGTCAAAATTTAGAATTTGTATATTAGTGCATTGTATCGATGACTGCTAATAGCTGTGCTGTTATAATTTATTGTTTGGAATATTTTTCATTTAAAAAAAATTTAAGTTCTCACTAAAAGAGAAATAAATGTTCTTTCTGCCTTCAAATCAACTTGATCTCACAACTTTTTTTCAGTGTGGACGTTTAGTAATCCATGTCGTCAAAAACCCAATAGATCCCAGAGAAAGGTTTTCGTTTGAACTGAGTGGTTTGTTATACAATTGATCCATACAATGCCTTGATCCCAAGAGATTGTTTTAAGTATCTGATAACTGAAACAGGCAAAGGAGAACGGGGACAATTGGAAAGAAGGACAAATGGGAAGAAAAGCACCATACACACAGTTTTACTTTCTTGGCATCAGCACCAACAATTATAGTGAAAAACTGTAGATAAATAAATAGAGTCCTTGATGCTTTCTGAGCTTGATTGTTTGCTTGAAGACATGTCATTACTGGACAGTGCCTGAAAATGTTATCTAGTTGAATAATGAAATATCTGCAAACAAATAATCTAGTTCAGAATGCACCTAGGATTCCACAGTTTAACCCCCAGCTACACATGTTCTCTTTTATTAAAACAACAACACGTACTTAGGCCTTTATGTCTATGAACTTACTTTTTCCGGCATCAGAAAGACTAGTTTTTTTCCATGACAGAAATGTGCTAGAGCTAGTTAGGAGGCAAAAGTCTTCAGCGTGTAACTGATTAACATCTTGTCCATTTTAAACAGCATAAAAGTTTTAATCAACTAATTAGGATCAGGGAGCTGAGCTTGTTAACTTTACAGGAAAAAGCTGTTCAGGAAGAAATACTCAAAAAGCCAGACTATTTAGACCAGGGATGGGGAACCAAGGCTCTTTTAGGACTTGTGGACTTTAACTCCAAGAATTCTGGGAGTTGAAGTCCACAAATCCTAAAAGGGCCATGATTCCCCATCCCTGATTTAGACTATATGTAAAACTATGCCTGCCAAATGGAGGACATTAGGATAAAAAAGAAGTCTTGTCCTCCTTTTGCTAGATGTCTAGTAATCTTCTTCTAAGATACACTCTAAAAATACATGCATTGTTGGGTGTGCCTGAACCTAATAAAGGTTATCTTCTCTAGTCCAAAGCCAGAAATTAAAACATCTCGAATCACTCTCATTGTTCACTATCCAATTAGAAAATGTTTTAGAGGACATTCTAAAGATAAGGAAGTTAAACTGGATATTCTTATGCATTGATATGTATGTTTGCATTCCTGTGCATTGGTAAGTATGTGTACATGAGTATACACATCTGGGTCAAGAAAAATGTTATGTAGAATTATGAATAAGGATATCTGAAAAAAGATGCACAAAGTCTGTATTTCATGTATGAGCTACAAGTACAACACAAACAGATGAAACCATGTTTTGCTAGGTGAAGTGCAGAGTTGCCCTAAGAGTTTTGTGTTCATGTGAAAGGAAACTACCTCATATTGAAAGAGTCCACCTTCTTGCATTGTCTCCCTGGAGAGACAAGTGTTTCAAATTGCAACAATGTCTAATTCTACAAGGTTACCTACCTTTTTAGATTATCACAGGTACCACACTAAAGTGTGTATCTGAATTGTTATTGAACTCTCATTCTTAAAAGCTGAAAAACTGGTATTCTATAAACGGAGGTGAATGTACTAAAAGATGTGCTGCACAGCCCATTGTAAAATCTTTGAAGCAACCCCATCATACACAAAGCCTGTCACCTGGCCTGTGGCAAAGATCATACCTGAGTAGATTTTACCAATCAAGAGAAAAATCAGGTTTAGCTATTTATACCAGTTCTGATTCTGACAAACATGGACAACAATACCTGACTAGAGATGGTAGCATATGGGACTCCAGCCAGAATTGTTTTTCAGCCTTGCTCAAATTTTGGACAGCTTCTTTCAGAGGCACCAGAACAGTCACATTGGCTCCTTTGGGCATGCTGAAGTGGGATTTCTTTTGATCAAAAAAAAGATAACATGCACGTGCATTAATGCTAGTTCCTTCTGTGCTCAGTTTAAAAGGCCTAGAATTATATATGCAGATCCAACACCAGCTTCTTCAATGAAGTCACTCAAATCAGTAGTGTCTGGTACCTCAGACTCCCAGTATTTTGTATTATAAAACTATTTTTTACCTAACTTTGTAAATCATAGTATGTAGACAATAAAGCAGCTTTAGCATCCTTTCTGGTCCAAAGACACATCTGCATGATCATCAAAAGATAGTTAACCCTTCTAGAAAGGGTTTTCTCAAATTTTAGAATTTTTTTCTCTCAAGCAAATGCCTCATTAAAATATGTGTATCTTCTGATCACCAAGAAACTTTTTCAAAAAAATACAAAAGTATTTACAGCTTTAAAATTACTCAGCAGATTGAAATATCATTGCTTTGATTCTCTAAGAAACTGCCCTAATTACGTAGGCTGAACTTCTTTATTTATAAATCAGTTGCAGTGGGCTCCTTTTTAAAACAGATTTATATGAAGTTCCGCTTAGAGAGCCTTTTCTGTCAAAAATTTTAAAAGACCATTTTTAAGATAAAATTCTTATTTTAAAATGTAGATAGATTTTTTTCTACTGATGGAACAATATGCTTAAACCCTATCAACTTTGTCTTGTTTCAGAAATGTTAAACTAGCACTCAACAATAGAAAATCCTTACCTTAATCCACTCATAAAAAGTTGAAAAGTAGTGATTCCTTACTAGCTCCTTCAAAAAGAAAAAAACAACAAATTTGTAAACCATTATTCTAGGGGGTCTTAAAGAAAAAAAGATTCATACAGCATGCTAAACAAGTTTAATTTAACAATGATTTAATTATAAACTAAGGCAATGTGCTAAGAGAAAGCTAAGCAGACCACATTGCAACTTTAATCCTACATGTAATCTAGGCAGATGATGGTTAGATGTTTGGGAACTTGCTTAGCGATCAATCTAAAAGAGAATTCTGATATTTTCCTACTATAACAGCAGAAGCTACAGGTATTCGAGTATTATAAGCCACCCAGGGCTACTTGGTAATGATATGGGTGACATATAGATTTAATAAATACATAAATGTATTGTCCTTATTTTAAATATTTATGCTTTATTTACCTTTTATATCAGACTATTCAATTTTGGCAACTTTAACCCTTGTGGATTTCAATTCTCAGAATTCCCCAGCTAGCAATACATCACTCTAATGGTACATAGTATCTTTTAAAACACAACTTATAAAAGAACAAAAGAAACAAAGGGGGATTCATCCATCCATCCATCCATCCATCCATCCATCCATCCATCCATCCATCCATCCAAAGAGCTGGACAACATTCCACTTCCAATAGCATCACTCCTTCATTCATGTTTCCTTACCTGACTTTGTTTTATTTCTGGTTTTGTATTTTTACCATTGTTAAGGACAGAGAATATCTCTGACACCAATTTAATAGCACACAATCAATTAATTTACTTATAGAATGTCTTTACCAAGAAAATAGCCTTATACTGACAACTTAATATAAAACAATAGCTGTCTTTTCCCTTTTGGCTTAAGCAAAAAACTACCTCTGAACATGGAAAGAGCATTCAGCTCTCGGAGGGAAGGCACTTTAGGCAAAGGAACTGGGGACATTGTCTTATGGCAAAGCAGCTATAGAAAAGATGGTTTGGTTCCACTTTAAGTTCCAAATCAGCAAACTTTCCCTGTATCTCTGCTTTGAACTAGCACTTTCTCAATGGTTTAATGCTACTTCAATAAAAGTAAGGGCTGGGGGGACATGATAGCAATCTTCCAATATTTAAGGGACTGCCACAAAGAAGAGGAGGTCAACTTTTGGAGAAAAGCACCTGACAGCAGGGCAAGAAGCAATGGAAACTAATCAAGGAGAGTACCAATCTAGAACCAAGGAGAAATTTCATGACAGAACAATTAATCAGTGGAATGCCTTGCCTCCAGAAGTTGCAGGTGCTTCAACAGTGGTGGTTTTAAAAAAGAGAGTGGACAACCATGTATCTGAGATGGTGTAGGGCTTTCTGTTTGAGTGGGGAGTTGGACTAGAAGATCTTGAAGTCCCTTCCAATTCTGTTACTCTGTTATTCTGTTTGCATTTAATCTGATTTTATTCTGCAAATATGGACTGGATACATTTTTTTAGCATCACATTGACACACCATAAGAAATCATTCTTGCCAACTGGGTGAACAGAGGGAGATGACCTCCTCCCTTTCTTTGCTTGCCCTATAGATGTCCTTTCCAGCAGTTTTCTTATTTCTAGTCTGGTCTAATTAAGAAGAGGTTGGACTGGGCAGGTAGGAAATTCAGGTTTCAATCCCCTCTTCAGCCATCATACCTCAACATCATACAATAATATATTCAAACTATGAATTAGTTTAAGGCTCCTAACACTGCAATACAGTGAGAAAGATCATCATCTCTCCCAAAGCTAGTCATTGTGGTTTCCGGTTTAGAATGGGAAATCTAGAAAATGCTGAACTTTTTCTTTTAATAAGGAAGCCAATGGCAGAATAGTGCTTTTTTATCTTAGAGAAATGTTCCTTGGCATATTTAAGGTCTATACTTGCTCTTTTGTTAATGGGAATGATAAGCAAAAAACTGAGTTTGAGAAGTGAAATGCTCTGCTGTGCATAAACAGAGAAGCCACTTGAGGCTTATGTTGACCCAGGACATTTGCATTGTCTGAAAGATGATCCATCAAAGAGGTCTTTCCTGGTCATATCAGAAGATGGCAGACAGAACAGAGCCACTGCCATTGAGTTATGGTCTTTGCCTGATATAAATAAATAAATCAGTTTACTGCTCCCACCTGAAAGAGAACAGAAATGCATCTTTTTACCTTCATCACATCACCGTAACATTGAATTCCATCTCCTATATATCCATCAGAGCAATGGCAAGTTTTTTCTCCAGTATTGAGAATCTGGCATACAGCCTGTTGAGTTTTAAAGAGACAATTCTCAACAATAGGAAAGCAAAGTAAAGAAAAGAAGCAGAACTCAGTGTCATCTAGATAGCATGCTAAAGGCCTAATGCAGTATGATTCAGAGTGGTATGAGGCTGGCGTGTAGTCCCAAAAATCTTAGGAATGACCCCAGGGAATATTCAAAAATTGTTACTACATTGTAAATTTTAATGGAACTGATGACAATTATTCAGTACACATCTAGAAAATAATCATATAACTACATTTTAATTAAACAAAACTGTACATGAAACAAAATCAAAGAACGTTCTTTGCTCTAGTTTCAAGAATATGCTTTGAGAAACACAACACTGCACAGTGTCCAAAGCCAGTTGTGGCCCTCAGTCCAAGTCATAGGCTAGGCTCAGGAATTCTGGGAGTCCACGAGTCATAAAAGAGCCAAGGTTGCCTATCCCTGGGCTAGGCCTTTAAAATAAAACACACATTTTAACTTCTGGGTTTCTGTGCTAAAGCAAGCCATTTTTTTTTCTACGTGCAGGCTAAACTGCTTCATATTGCTTTGTAAGAGCAGAATATTTGAATAGTTATGAATGAACGCCTCCATAGTTGCTTTTGGTCTCTTTTTTGCTCATTTTAGCTATATTCTTCAAACTGTAAAAAAAAAAAAAGCACGCTTTTGTGTTTCTTCTAATATAAGAATTTTTGCATGCAACTATGTCAAATATGTACTATTTTGTAGTTGGGTTTTTTATAATATTGTGTAAATTTTATTATTAATATAGATGGCTTATGCTTACTTTACTAAATGAACTCTCTGTTTGAAGAACTTTCCACCATTCTGAAAAGATTACAGGTTTCAGTATCAACCTAGGTTTCCCAATTCTTTGTACTGCCATTTATTGTGGCTGTTAGCCAGGGGAGCTAGAGGACAACTCATCTGAAAGGTATTAAACCAGGAAGGCTGTCCTAGATTATTCCTATGTCTTACCAGTTCGTGGCAGCCCCCATTGTCCATCATACAAGGGTCAATCCTATCACAGATGTAACCATCACCCTCATAGCCTTTCTTGCACATGCAGCTGCTCTGAAAATTGAAACAGTAGGGACATTAGAAAACTTATACTATTGGATAGGAACTAAGAAAAAGAACAAAAAGTTTTCGTTTTAACCTTTGTTTGGTAGCTTCTGGAAATGTAGGGAAAAAAATTAAAGTCTGATACTGATATCTTTGTAACTTGAAATTTTGAAATTGACCTAAATAGAAACATATTGGATTTTTCATGTGCAAGATTAGATAATGCTAGACAGTCAGTAGTCCTCAATATGTGCTTAGTTATAACTTCCAACATCCTTTCCTATGCATGTCAATATTAATAATAGTTCTATCTGAGGACACTCTTCCTCATGACAGAAGTAGATTTGGGGATCTCAGAATGATTTGCATTCATTGAGACCAGCACAGCTTTTGCTCAGAATCAGTCCCTGGGGCCTTGGACCTCCTCCCAGGACTCTGATTTAGGTTCTCCAGCACAGTCATCTACCTATGCAAATTGGTGATGGCTGCAGCATCAGAGAGAATATTATAAAGCTACATGAACCAGCCTGCTTCCTTGTAATCAAGTCTATCTTAGAATCTACTCAAATATGGTCCTACATGCCAGAATATCTTTCCAGTTGAATCAGGCTTAATAAGCACCACGTGAGTTAAAACCAACATTAGTATTCCTTGATTATCTTGCAGCTGAATCAGGTTTAACCAGGACCAGCATATGTAAGACTCTAGTATTAAATTCCATGTGAAACTAGCCTCTGGTAAGAAACAGTGTTTGCTTCTTGTGGACTTATACAGTTACTCATTCCCATAACGTAAACCTGGCCAAACATGTGTACTGTATCATCTCTGGGCTGCTTATGCCATCAAGTTTGCTTTTTTGGAATCTTAACCTAGATTTTCATAACAGTAGTTTTTAACTTCTTGACTGATTTATACTTCTATATTTTTGTGGCCATGAGTAATCCTTTGGGGGAATTAGCCCAAACAAATCTTTTCCTGGAATTGTGCAACAACCATATGATCCTAGGAAAGGGCATGGCTTCTTAAAGGAGTTACAAATTCTCACTTTTATTGTTCCATTCAATAGAGACTGAAAATGTTAAATTCTATAGCCTGCAGCCACTTTAAATATCTGATGGTGTCATATAAAAATAAAAGCCTCATCATTATTTAAAAAACTTAAGAGCCATGGATCCTTTTTAGCAAGACAGCATGGGATGACAATACTGTACCTGTCCAGGGCCAATGTAATTACAATCAGCATTGATGTGGCAGCCTCCTCTGGTCTCTGTTACACAATTGTCTATGGCAATGCAAGCTTTTCCATCCCCAGTCCAACCCCGGATACACTGACAGCTGGCTGTGCCAGGACCCGTAGTGGTACATGTAGCCTGGCAAAAAATGGAAAAACAAGATGAGAATAAAAGTAGGGCATTTCTGCGCTTTCCATTTAAGCTATGCTTGTTCATGGTATCTTGATTCTAAGCCATCTTAACAAAAGCCTGCCAGGCTGAGACATATTGGCAACAACTTGTAAGTTATTTGTTTTGCTATCACATCCTCTCATTGGATAATTACCTGTGGTTATGTCACAGGAAAGCACTTTCATAACTATAGGCAGGTGTTTGGGGATAATTCTATATGTATGACTGTGCACAGATACTCAAATACATATCTCACATGCACAACTTAAATTGTATGGACAGACAGATTCAAGATAAGCAGCTCAAACACATTCTTCTTGTCCCACAATACATTCTGTTAAAAGTTCTAAACCTCTGTTTACCAACAGTGCTGAATTAGCAGAATGGTTAAGATATTTGCTCAGAACAATGCAAGGTTGCAGTTTGATACTTGGTAGAAACAGGAGCGGGTTTTTTTAGCACATATCTTTTCTTGATTAGATTTTTTTTTCTATCTCAGCCTTTTAAAACAATAAGTCTGGGGCTTCCTGTTTTAGCAATTTTCCAGTCACTTGATATAAAAGAGTTTCACTTCCAGATCTCAGATTGCCCAACCTTTTTTTTTAACTTTCAATGGCTAGATAAGCTAGACATGATATTTGAGCATAGATATTTTTCATATTTATATTTTATTGTGTTTTAGATGAAATGTTAATATATATTGCTAGTCCATGTATGATATGCCATATGCTAAATAAATAAATAAATAAATAAATAACAAATAATACTAAAGTACCGTATATGCCGGCGTATAAGACGACTTACGGAAGCGCTAAACTCGGCGCCAAAGATGGGGGTCGTCTTATATGCCGAGTCATCTTATACGCTGGAAATACTGGTAGTTTCCGGCGTATAAGATGACGTTCTAGGAATGCGGCTGCGATAAAGACGGGGGTCGTCTTATACACCGGGTCGCCTAATACGCCGGCATATACGGTATTTTTTATCTGGATTAATCCAAAAGATAATCTAGGTTAGTAAACAAGAAAATATTGATCCACTTACATTTTCTGAACATCCCCCCCTTCCTGGCTTAGTACAGGCATCAATGGGCTTGCAGGAAAACCCATTCCCTTCATATCCATCAAGACAGACACACCTAGGAGACAGGCAGAGAGCAACTAATTAAATCTGGGGTGCCTACGAATTGCATACTCATTCAGATTAAAGTAATGCTAATTTACGACACTTAAGCCATGACATCATCATGCAAATGGTGTCATTTGCAATGTATCATTTGCACATTACATTTGCATAATGACATCATTGTGCAAATGCCATATATTGTACCAGAATTAGGTCGATTGTATGCAAATGTCCATTGAATTAAATTGAAGTTTCATCATAGTTTCTATAATGTCTGAAATAATTTAGAACAGGGGTCTCCAACCTCCGGCCTGTGGACCAGTACCAGGCCGTGGCATGCCAGCATCCAGGCTGCACAAACAAGCAAAGCCCCATCTGCGGGATTCAGGCAGCGCACAAAACCATACATCCTCCAGTCCACGGAAAAAGCTCTCGTCATGTAACTGGTTTCTGATGCCCAAAAGGTTGGGGACCTCTGATTTACAGTATCTGTATCTTTCCAATATTACGACTGGATTCATGTATTGCACTAAACCAGGGGTAGGCAACCTCGTCTCTTTTATGACTCATGGACTTCAACTCCCAGAATTCCTGAGTCAACATAGCTGACTCAGGAATTCTGGGAGTTGAAATCCACGAGTCATAAAAGAGTCGAGGTTGCCTACCCTTGCACTAAACCATGTTTTGCTTGATCAGAGTTTATTAAAACATTAGCTGGGTTCATATGATATTCTGAATTAAAAGCAATATTCTGAATTAAAAGGATATTCTAAAATATGACTTACTATGATGCAGGTATCAAGGCAATAGCTATAGTATGTTCCTTGTCATCCAAGGAACAGAACCTTTTTCTCCCCTTTCTCTCATCTAAAAAGCCAATCAGCAAAACTGTTTTTATACCAAGGGGTAAAAATAATAAAACTGGACCATCCTAAGCATTTCTACTGTAGAGGAAATCCTGTTGAACTCATAGGACCATGCTCCAAAGTAGGATGTTTAGGAACACCCAAACAGAATTAATACACTGTTCTGTTGCATTCCCTATTTTTACTAAGGTTGCTTTTCAAAGGAAGAAGGATGAACAACATTACACCATCATGCCTTTAAATTTCCATAAATTTCTTTCAGTCAAGAGATTAAATATGAATGCAAGATTTTTCAGTGGTGATTTATGCCTTTCCCCAATCAAACTAAGGACTCTGATCTCAGATGCATCCTACAAGGACTCACTTTGCAGTGTCATTCACAGTGCAGGTGGCATGGCCATGGCAGTAAAAGGTCAGAGTGTCAGATTCACATCTGTGAGTGTGTATGTCACAAAATTCACCGATGTAGCCATCTGTACACGTCCCTCTCTGGCACACACCTCTGCTTCCTGGTCTGTTGTCACAAATTCCATGGATGCAGTCACAATCTTCCATTGCAAACAGAAAAGAAAGATAAAACTTAATCATTTAAATTATAATTCTGGGATTTCTTGAACACCTTTAATGACATTTAACCTGTATAATGGCGTGGAGTTCCCTTTCTGCTTTGTTGTGCTGACTGTAAAAGACAGATGATTAGTGTAGGCTAAGATATTGCATAAAAACAGGTCACTTCTGGTCATTAGGGATGGGGGTGGCAAGTTCAATCAATCAATCAGAATAGAACTGGAAGGGAATCTGGAGGTCTTCTAGTCTAACCCCCTGCTCAAGCAGGAGACCCTATGCATTTCAGACAGTTACCTAATTGTACATTATTATTTCATTTATTTTTACTTCCAGGCAAAGGAAGCTTGTGGCGTCTTTTCCTTTTCTCTCAAGCACCAGGATAAATTTACCAGGCTTGGGTATTAAGCACCTGGATATAGAAAAGAGGATGCTATTTCTAGCTCTGCTTCAGGCAGCAAAATATCTCCACTTGTCTCAGTGCCTTCCTGCCTGATTTGTGTCTCAGACCTTCAGTGCAGTTCTCCCCGTGCTTGTTTGGGTTTGTGCAGATGTGGCAGGCAATTCCTTTGAAGCCATCGTTGCAGTTGCATTGACCATTTCCGAGAATGCCGTCATTACACTGGGGGGGGAAAATATCAGATTCCAGTGTCATGTTACAGGAGATGATTTGCTCTTTCTGTCAGCTTACTACAAGACCATTCTCCTGACCTAGTCAAGTCTCATTTATAAATGACTTCGGATCCTTAATGTAGCCATACTCTGTATATACATATTAAATTCTTTGGGGGCTGAAGTAATGACATTTGTTTTCAGTCAATTCCTTTTCTTCCCTGATCTTTGCAAAGTTCAACGGCATGCATCTGCAAGTTTCTTGCAACTATTTTCCTAATAGTGTTACTTAATACATGGCTAAGAATTCTGTGCCACTTCATAGAGCCCTGGGCTGCTGGGCAAGATCAAGGAAGCAGAATAGTTCTTAGCACTTCGATTTCTGTCCCACTTCACAGTGCTTTCTGTCCCCCCCCCCTCTAAGCGGTTTACAGAGTCAGCATATTGCCCCCAACAATCTGGACCCTCATTTTACCGACTCTCGGAAGGATGGAAGGCTGAGTCAAAAAGCTACACAGATTTCAGAAAAGCATCTCTAAGGCTTGGATTCCTTTATCTTGAAATAAGAAATCAATAAGAATGTAATAAGAATTTCTTAGCCCTGTTTACAGTGAGTTCATTGGAATGGAGTCTCCTGGAATGCTTTAAAATGCTTCTTTCAGATTTTTTTTGTCAGCTGGTAAAGTGCTATGAGATAAGCTGCTAACTGACTCGTCCATTAGTCTCTCTTGATTGCTTATATCTGCGCTATCATTTATTCTTTTCCCCTGCCTCTTATCTCTCATATACTTACACTTCCTTTGTTGTAGCATGGATTGCTATATCCACCAGGACACTGGGTGCAGGAAGGACCAAAAAACCCTTTGCAGCATCCAGGTTTCTTTTAAATAAATACACAAGAGCAAAAAAAAAGTCTTCAATGTGCCATTCTTCTTCCTTTATCAAGGTATAGCTACACCCTCCCCTCCCCTCCCCCCTCCCCCTCCCCCCAGAGAGCAACCCAAGGGAAGTCTCAAAGGTGCCTTTTCAACAGGCAACTGGATTTCCTTTGTTTTTCCTTGAAGTCGTTTCACTTCTCATCCAGTTCTGGCAGGATGGTTGGATGGATGGAAGGATTAGTTTTGATGGGGTGGGGGGAATGGAAGAATTGTATTCTTTTGCAGTCATTTAATGATTAGCACTCTCTCTGAGAGCCATTGAGGCCACTTGGGGGTTTTATCTGTGCCCTCAAGGTCACCTGAATCAGAGTGCAAATGAGTGTGGAACCTTCATGGAACTGCTGAAAGAACTATGTTGTAGACAGGAGATAGGTGGTGTCTTATCTCATGAATAAGAAATATGATTCTTCCATTCCCCCACCATCCTGTTGGAACTAATCTTTCCATTGCCCTCACCATCCTGCCAAAACTGATGAAGCTTCTTGGATGAGTAGTGAAAAGTCTTCAAGGAAAAACAAAGAAAGTCCAGCTGCCTTTTGAAAAGGCACCTTTGAGACCACCGTGACCTGGATAACTGAGAACTTCCATAGACATTCAACTCAAGGGAAGACAAATATTGGTTTTGCCTTTCTTTATTTTGCCTTAATAAAGAGGCCCAGATCTTTTAACAAGGTGAGTTATGTAACAAATGGATCTTTTATTTGGGCAGGAAGGAGAACAAGTGAGTATTGACCCAGAGTCATTCTCTGGTACTCCCTAAATCTTTGAACTAAAAACAAAATGCAAGGCAAAATGCAAGGCAGCTATCCCAAATTCTTTGACAATACCTCATACACACCATATGGTCAAGATGATGGTTGTAATGGTACAATTGAAACTCTGCCCATTTCCACTGCGCAATGCACACCCTGCAGACACCCCTGATCTATGGGGGAAGGAGGGGAGAACTTCCTTTTGCTATTTCTTGTATGAATATAGGTGATGTTGTGAGAGAAAGGAAGTGTGTGCGCATTTAAGTTCACACTGGGATCTTTATATATCCAAAGCAACTTCAGCCACACAAAATAGAAAGAGGTGAACAAACCTAGGGAAGTCTTTAATCTTTGTATAAGTATTTTAAAATACTTAATGCTTATGTGGCAAACTAGTTACAAATGGTAAATAGGAAAGCATCCAGATTTAGGCAAGGTATCTACAGAATAAATTTTGGAATGAGGGAAACATGGCATTTCATAATAAGTGTTCCCTGCTGGGTATCTCATACTTACCACTTCAGTCAGATTGCAATATTGTTGGCAACCCTTTCTCAGAACATTCAAACCAAGTGGATCATGAATATAAACACACTCTGTTGAAAAAGCCTTGTCTTCCTTTTGGAAGCAAAACAAATTACAATTAAAATAGCATGATTCATATATATATTCCATGTTTTTACATAGGTTCCATCATCTTTTGCTAGCCAATAAATGTTCATGGAGAGGCAAAGTTATAAGGAAAGCTACAAACAGCTAAAGCCAAGAAAGTTCCCCCTCTAACAGGCAAGAGAAATCATGCTTTTCAAGATACCTCTCTGGTTTACCTCACAAAGAGATAGAACAGTGATGGTGAACCTTTCAGAGACTGAGTGCCCAAACTGCAACCTAAAACCCATTTATTTATCGCAAAGTGCCAGGGCTGCATCCCTGGGGGGCCAACGCTGCTTGCTCTCTCACTTCCTGCCCTGTCGCTTCCAAATGCCATGTGCTCACTACTCTGGCAAACTCTGATGGGGCAATGGCACGTGTGCCCACAGAGAGGGCTCTGAGTGCCGCCTCTGGCACGCGTGCCATAGGTTCGCCACCACTGAGAAAGAACAAGGAAGACATAACAGAAATTGTGTTGCAAGCAAGGTTTTTTTTGTTGGTTTTTTTTGTTTTTTGATTAGGAGCCAACACATCACAAGGTAGTCATCTATTCTGGACAGAGATGGGGAAGAAGGCAGATATCATTCTGGATGCAATTTTAGAGAATGTTGGAGAATTCTACTGTAAATTCACTTATTTCAGCAAAACAATATTATAGAAGAACAGAGCTTTCAGCATAATTTTGTATTCTGCTTTTTAATACACAATTTCAGAAAACCTTGTATAAAAACTCTCTCTTTTTCTTTTTTAAGCAAGGAGCACTTCAAGGACTAACCAGGGCTTGTTCTAAAGAACTGAAATATCTAAAATGTAAGCAGCAGTCAATTCACGGTTAAAAATGTCCCATAGAATAGTATTTTGCAGGTACAATGGCTCTAAGAAATATGTATTTGCAGCTTCGGCAGCATACAAGCTTGCTCGGTTGTTCTAATGTAAATCATCTTTGATACTGTTGAAGTACAACCAGCATTATAACAATTCATGATAAATCCTTGGAAATCACCATTGTCTCAATTGCTATAATCAACCCGCTGTTCCAGAACTGACAGAAAAGCTAGAACAGCAATTGCAAGAGGACTGAAATTTAACAGCTAAACATGAACAAACAAAAAGCAGTTCAAATAACTGGAGTCCTTCCAGCTGACGCCAGCCAAAGCAGACCTTTTCAAGCCTATATTAATTTGACCTCAAAGATGTCAATGCAGAAGAAAGGCTGATTCTGCCCTGTACTGATTTTGATCAACTTTTTATTTCCTTCCTGGTTTGTTTATATAATGCTGGGTAACTGCTGAACATATGTCTCCTATTTAGAATTATATTTGAAAGGGCTGACTTCACCAAAGTATCAAAATCTGGAAGGTTTCAAGGCTGCAAGTAGAAATCATGATAGCTAATATTCATGCTATTTATTAGCATTATTATTAGCATTAACGTTTCCCATGACAGGGTCACAAAATACAGCAGCCCATGCACAGCACAATCATCATACAGAAAAATCAGTGCCAGTTACCATAGTTTTGCTCCCAGGAGGACAAATGCTGCTATTAAGGAGCTTACAATCCACACAAGAACCCTGTAATAAAAGCCAAGGATAAGAAGCAATTAATTGATTGATTAATAGATTTTTTAAAAATGTTGTGTTGCTAAGCTTATAGCTGCCATCACAGCTGCCAGACTGAAGAAAGATATTCTGCAGATTATGCATAAGCAAAATTAATTTAAAACAGAATTACATGATCATCTATTCCCCTCCCATGCTGAACATAAAGATAACATAGACTGATATGTTATTTCATAGACATCTTCATTGTTCTGCTCAGTGATAAATCCATGAAAAATCCCCCGTCATCACAGAAAACATGCATCTACTGTAAGAAAAAATTGCAATATGGTCCATTCAGGAATTTTATTGAGTTCTTGTGTTCTCTGATTTATTGAATTCATGTGTTCTCTGATCTGCACATGCTTTATTACAGGGTTACATTACACCATCAATATTAGTCTGGTAATAAACCATCTGCAGGAAAACAACCTGCAAAGCACACAAAAACTCAACTTATTAACCCTCAGCTACATAGATTCTCTAATATTGGAAGGAATTTTATTTCTGCCGCTTATCAGCTGTTTTAATTGACTTTTTAATTTAAATAAAAAAACTGGTTGCTGGGGGATGAGAAATACGATCATCAAGCCATCTCTTGCTTTGCTGGATAAATTGAAGGCTTTGTAGCCTTAGAAGGTTTAAGAGTTAAGGTTAATTCAGTAGCCTGGCAACTCAGTAACACCCAGCACTTAATTCCAGCTCATAAGGAGCTTGCAATAAGAAAACTTGAATTATGTCTACAGAGGGACATGTTACTTCCTCAGATCAGCCTGATTGTGGTCCAGTCATCTCTTTAGCAATTTAGGGAAAAACTGATTGACACTCTTTCCTCAGGTCTATGATTATGAGGAAAATTATACCTGCCAAATGTTTCCTTGCTCTGAGCTAAAGATTGCTCCTGAATTCCTTAAGGGTTACAGATACATACCCCTCTATTTACAATAATTTTAATGTATCTTCTGTAAAAAAAAAAAAAAAGTCAGAAATCAATGTTTGTATGCTTTTGTTTCAACTGCATTGCCTTTCCTCTTTCTCACTTTCACTTTTTGCTATTTTTAAACATTTCTTTTCTTTTTTCTCTCTGTACTATTAAAGAAAGAAAGCAAAAATCCAATTCAAAACAACTCTAAAGCCAGGGGAGAACCCCTGCCCCATCCCACTTCATCCATCAGAATGTCACTAAATGTTTTTCTTTGAGTAAAAGGGAAATGAGTTTGTGTGACAAAATGTAGAGGAAATATTCAGCATATTATAACAAAAATTATGAAACCGCTTATTTTCTACTAAGCATGCAGTATTTCTAATGCAATTTTGCATATTTCTTTTTGCTGCTTAAATCGTACTAAACATCTTAAAAAATATGCTCTCCTTTTACAGCTTGTAGGTAACACCAGATGAGAAATGTTTCAATGTTTTTGTAATAATAATAATAATAATAATAATAATAATAATAATAATAATAATAATAAATCTGTCCTGTAGCATCCACGGGAACAGCTGCAAAGGCTGCAACAGTGTCTATGTAAGATCAATGTCTCAAAGCCTGGCTACTTCTCTGTATAAGCAAGAGGAAGCAGATGTTTTCAGAAAGGTGCTGAATCTTTATCAAGCTAAATGGCAGAGGCTGAGTCAACAGGAAAGGCTAATTCTCACAGGAAATGCAGTATGGTGGCCTCTGAAGAGCCAAATGGCTTTTGAGGTTAAAAATAGTCTAGGTATAATATGTACATAGACAAACATTCATTATCTTTTAGACTTGGAGTAACAGGAGGAAATTCATGGGGGGAGGAAGCTGAATTTGCAGAAAAAGTACATGGAGAAAATGGCTGCTAGAATTGGCAGGTCCACAAATAACCATCTTATACCAGGGGAACAGACCGGTTTGTCTTGACAGAATGTAGTCTTTTCTCATCACCCCAAGACCTTTCTATCTAATATATGGTAAAAACAAACAAGAGAAAGAGAAAATTGGATATCCTTGGTTTACCTTCACAACTTTATAATGTACTTCATTACATTTCTTTGGCAGAATAGGGAGTATAGATGAAGGAATCAAGACACCATCCAAGATATGAATAATACCATTTGAAGCCAAAATATTCATCTTGCTTATCATAACCTTGGAATGATCCAACAGAATCCTTCCCTGGAGTAAGAAAAAAAAAAGCATTTGCTCACTGCATTGCCAGAAGTCATCAAAATACATCTGTGTAAAGTAGACCCTGTCAAGGTATTGGGATAACTCAATATTGGAGAATGCTACGCATAAAAAGAATTTGTACATAAACCTGCCAGCTACTGTCCCTGGAATGTAGTCAGAATCATGGGCAACTTCTCCAGTTTGCTATCCAGTTAGATAGGATAGTAATATTCTAGGAATTTCAGTGCAATGGTACTTACATCGTTACTGATCTCAACTGTCAGTAATTGGTTTGCCATGGTCACAATATGTGGCATCATTATTAGTCTTTCCACATAGACCTGGAAAAGATTGAATTTATTCATATATTTACTTGATTTATATAGCTGCCCATCTCACATACAATTAACATTCTCAGATGTTCAGCCTTGGACTAATATGTTCAGTTCACCGCCACTTTCATTATGGCCAGAGAATTACTTGGGTTCCTGGTTGCTTTCTCACTAGAGATTCACCTAGCTCAGCGGTTCTCAACCTTTGTGTGACGGCAACCCCTGTCACACGGACGCGGCGCGCATGCGCTGTGCCACCCCCATGCGCGGCGTGCATGCGCGGCACCACCCCCATGCGGGCGCACATGCGCAGCGGCGCCCCCTGAGGGGGAAAAATGGCGGATCGCGTTGTTTGGCAACCCCCGTAAAATGGTCGTTCGACCCCAAATGGGGTCGCGACCCATAGGTTGAGAACCGCTGACCTAGCTGAAATCCTTCTGGTGGAGTCACAACCTTTTCCTTAACTCCATGGTCTTGATCCAAACAGGGATCCTCCCATGATCACGTGTAATCTCTTAGACATTGATTGAAATTACAGTGCGATTACTTGAGAATAAATATGGAGAGGGTCCAATTATAATTTTGAACTGAAAATTACAAGGCTCAGGAGACAATTTCAGGAGACTAGTAGAGGTTTTGTCCATATAGGACATGTTAAGTGGTCTGAGAACATGTAATGTTAGAACCTAGTTTACAAAGGAGCATGAGAAGTTACTGCCTGGGAAAATGTTTTAAGATTAAGATCATCATCATTCTAGCCATTGTCTATCCACTGCAAGATGAAGGCTCTTCTGCATGTTTCCAACAACCTCTTTTGCGTGAAGAGGCCATGCAGAAGATTAAGATACATATTTAAAATTCAATAATTGAGCCACAAACAGCGGTTTCTTACTGGGCAAAAATGAAAACTGCTCCTGTTTGTTTCAATTAGTTTTAAACAAATAGATTTAGTTTAATAACTATAAATCTCTTTTGAAAAGACTTGCAGTAGCATGGTATAAATGGCATGCTTGCTCCTATTGTTCTATTTTTATTGTGCTAGTTCCCTAAAGAAAGGGACCTAGTCTCAAGCAATACATCGCACTTTAGGAGACCCTCTTGTCCATCTGCGTTTCCTCTTCACCAGTCCAAGAGCCTTGGCAAGGAGCAAATTACACGTGAAAGTGATGAAATAAACTTGGAAAGCAAAAGCAACCTTACCGCTGCTGTGGGATAGATATGATGTTTCACAAGTTCCTGAAGCTTATTTATGCCCTAGTACAGGAAAAAAAACAATTATAAAAAATCCTAGATTTAATGGCTGATGATTGCACAAGAGAATGTGAATAACAATCTCGCGTGCATGTAAATTATATTGCAAAACTAGAGTTTCTTCCTGAAGGACAGCATGACTTGTATGAATATACCAAATTAATTTTTACTCTAAAAAGTTTGAATTTAATAAGAAGGGATTTTTGCATTGGCCAGTGCAAAAGGATCAGAGTGATAAAATGAAAATTAAAAGCTGTGATGCAACACCCAGAAAAATATGGCATACTCCATTTAATCCTCCAGGGAAAGATTGAAGGCAAACGAGGTCCAGGCAGAAGAAGAACATCATGAATTCAAAATCTAAGGGACTGGTTTGGACAAAACTCAGCAGCACTTTTTCGTGTGGCTGCTGATAAAAACAGGATCACCAACATGATCGTTAACGTCCGATAACGGATATGGAAGAAGAAGAAGAAGAAGAAGAAGAAGAAGAAGGAGAAGGAGAAGGAGAAGGAGAAGGAGAAGGAGAAGGAGAAGGAGAAGGAGAAGGAGAAGGAGGTGGTTAATTGTTAAATATATAAAGATCCTATCTGTACTTACTACCAATCATTCTTCCTCTACTCTGCAATTAGATTCTGACTTTCCCATTCCAATTTAAACCCCATACCTCTAAATTTCTGTATTCTAAATCAAATCTTACATTATCAGGAGTCTCTTGTAAAAACAGTTTTACTTGAGACTAAGTCAGCGGAAAAGCATGTTTATTTTATTTAAAATTATGCTTTGCCATTCTGCTCAATGTTACCAAAAAATGCATACAGACTGACTTTCGATTTACCTAATATAAGAGCCTATGTCTTTTAATAAAATGTGCTAGTTACAAAAGCTGTGGCCAAATTCCCGATTTTTGCTATCATAGACAGCTGATATACAACATTATTTTTGCCATTTATTCTTCTGCTGCTATTATCCAGACAGTTCATTTTGTTGCAGAAAAAGCAGCAGAGACAGACTACTGTCAAAAACTACTGAAAGCGGGAGCTTCCGGTGGTCAGCGACGATGATGGCGGCTACTTTGTAGCCATCCTCCTGGATCTGCGGAGCACAGAGCACACCAGCTGGCCCGCGGCTCGAAATCCCCTTCCCGGGCGAAGGGAAGGGGTAGAGACTACACGAATAGAGGTAGAACCTCTTAACCCCCCCTGGATTTTTTGGGGGGGGAGGTAGAAAGAGTGTTCCCTCAGAGTTCGTGCTTTCTCCGCCTCCCAGCTGTCTTTGTTTCTTCGGAAACAAAGCGAAACGCCGCTACCATCTCCGCGTTTAAGATTTTCTGGTGAGTGACTTTTAAAGCGGACAGAACTGTTTAAAGGATTTTACTTAGAGTGTAGAGTTTTATTTCTTTTTATTCCTCTTTTAGTTTATGTTGATTTTCTTTTTGTTTTTTTTGTGGTGGAGAGTGAAAGTGAAAGTAAGATGGCGTTTTGAAAGTGCTTTTTTTTTCGGAAAGAAAGAACAGACTTAAACGAAACTTATGGATAGCACAGTCCTTTTTTCTTTTAAGTTTTTTTTTTCTCTTTTAAAGTGTTTTGGAGGTTTTGAAGTGTTTTTTTTTTCTTGCACTCTCCCTGGTCTTTTTTCCTAATCTTAGGATTTTAGTATTTTTTTTTTAAGAAGAAAGAAAGAGAGAATAAGATTTTTAAAAAATGGCTTCAAAGAGACAACCAGCTTCTATAGTTTCTAAGGTGGTTTCTTCTCCTGCAATTGCAACCGTACAACAACAACTTAAAGCTACACTACCAGTGCTGCAACCTAAGGTTACACCTCCACCTTCTCCTCCCTTGCCAGGCTTATCTGCACAAGACATTAAAGATATAATGGGAAATGCGTATCCCAAATCAGGGAGGAAATGAAGCAACTTTTTGAACAGAGCAAGTCTGAAAGCAAAGAGGAAATGAAGGACCTTCTTAAACAGAACAAATCTGAAAGTAAAGAGGAAATGAAAGATCTTCTTGAACAGAATAAATCTGAAACTAAAGAGGAAATGAAGGAGCTTTTAGTGGAGAATAATATTATTTTGAGGCAAGACATAGTTGCAGCTTTATCAGGATTGGCTTCTGTGGTTGTGAAGTTGGATTCCAGAGTTGAAGGGATTGCAGAAAAAGTAGATCTCCTTGAGGACAAATTCCAAGATATGGAAAAAAAGATGGAAACTTCACAAGAGGATATTCTTATGTCTCAGTATAGGCAAATGGAATATGCTTTGAGAATCAGGGGTCTCAAAGAAGACATGAATCAAGATCTGATGGAGATGGTGATTAATGATCTAGCTGTTGTTCTGAATAGGGATAAAGATGAATTACGTAGAGAAGTGGAAAAAATTTACAGAGTTAATTCCTGGATTGTGAAACAAAAGAACCTGCCAAGAGATGTGGTGATCTACTTTGCAAAGAGATCTCTGCGTAATGAAATCATACAAGCTTTTTATAACAAGAGATTCCAGATTGCTGCCCAAGATGTTATCATTTTAAAGGAAATCCCATCTAAAATTTTAAGAAATAGAAAAGATTTTGCTTTTCTAGCTAATGAGCTTAAAATAAGATTGATGCCATTCAGATGGGAGATCCCGATGGGTATTGTTTTGAGCCATGCGGGGACACGTTATAGACTTAATACAGTTGTTAAAGCCAAAGAGTTCTATAATACGGTCCTGGGAGCAGGCTCATCTTCATCTATGACTCAGAAAGCTCTGGGCGGCAAGGAGGTGGAACAGCAGTCTGAAGGATTAGGTTTGATGGTTGCTGGAAAATCACAGGTGGAATGGCTGCGCCAAACAGAGGTCAAAGAGCAAAGAATGACTCGTGCAGCATATAGACATAAGGAAAAGGAACAACAGAAGAAAGAAGTTAAAGAATCTTCTCATGAAAGTGTTTCAATGCCGGTGGGAGGAGCAAGACCCAAGAGTTCTGCAACACATTCCTCAATGGCAGAGCTTCAGGCAGTCTTCTCCAGGCTTTTGGTTAAGGGAGATGGCAAAGTTCCTGACCTGGAATGTTAACGGCCTTAATTCCCCTCAGAAAATAAAGAAAATTTTTTACTATTTAAAGCAACATAATAATGACATTATTTGTTTGCAGGAAACTCATATTCAACTTAAAGATCAAAAGTATTTACTCAACGCTCGTTTGGGATCTCACTTTGTATCTCCTGCCCCTGGGAAAAAAGGGGGTGTGGTTATTTATGTCAAGCAAAATCTACCAGTTCGTCTGGTAGAATCAGATCTTCAAGGAAGATATGTTATGATTGAACTGGATTTATATGGTAAGAAAATACTTATAGTGGGACTGTATGCACCAAACCAACAACAGGAACAATTTTACAGACTGTTACACCAGAAAATAATTTCGTTGGATTATAGATCTGTGATATTAATGGGAGATTGGAATGGTGTTTTAGATACACAAAGGGATAAAAAAGGCTCTTCCACTTTTTTTAAACAGGCTAAATTACCCAAAGCTTTCTTTGATCTGAAAGAGGACTGGGAGCTGAGGGATTATTGGCGTGAACGTAACCAAGAGGAGAGAGACTTTACTTTTTTTCAGATAGACATCAATCCTTTTCAAGAATTGATTTTTTCTTGATTACAACTGATTTATATAACAGGGTAAAGAATGTAAAAATCTTTCCTAGGTCATTGATGGATCATAGTCCAGTTTGGATGGAACTGGTTCATGAAAAAGAGGAGAGGAGATCCCGGAGGGTGAATGAGAACTTATTTAGACAAGAAAGGAATGTTCAAAAATTAAAGGAGTGTTTAAAGGATTATTTTGCTTTAAATATGCATAAGGGAACATAAATATCAATGGTATGGGATGCAGGTAAAGCTTTTATGCGTGGGATCCTGATAAAAATGAATAATGTCCATAGACAAAAGCAGATCCAGAAACGTAAGGAATTGGAAGATGAGATTAAATTAAAAGAAAAGTCTCTGATTCTAAATCCTACAGATGAAAAGATTAAAGAATCTATAAAGTTGTTAAAAACACAATTTAACATGCTGATGGCTGATCAAACTGCAACTAATTTATTGTTTATGAAACAAAATACATTTTGTAATGCTAAGAAACCAGGGAGATGGTTGGCCTATCAATTAAGAAAGAAACAGAGACAGAGAACTATAGATAAAATAAATTATAATGGCAAATTAGTGTATCAGAAGGAGTTGATTAAGAAATCTTTTTTAGATTATTACCAAAAATTATATAAGAGTACTAATGTACAAATTTTAGATATAAATAATTACTTAAGTGAGGCTAATTTCCCTAAACTAACAGAAGATCAGAAACAAGAAATTAATGATTTAATTACCAATGAGGAAATTGTGACAGTTATTAAACAATTAAAACTAGGTAAAGCACCGGGTACAGATGGTTTAACATCCACTTATTATAAAACCTTAGTAGAAGAGATGACCCAACCTTTATGTGAGCTTTTTAATAATATATTACAGGGTTCAGAGATTCCTCCGTCATGGCGCAGTGCTTTTATATCCTTGATTCCAAAAGAGGATCAAGATCTTACCTTACCAAAGAACTATAGGCCTATATCTCTCTTAAATGTAGATTATAAGATTTTTACAAAAATTTTAGCAAATAGGCTTATGAGGGTTTTGCATCAGCTTATACATAAGGATCAATCGGGTTTTATAACTGGTAGGTATATGAAAAATAATGTTAGACAAGTTGTTAATTTATTAGAATATTTAGATAAAAATAATCAAATTTCTGCTGGGCTGATATTTTTAGATGCTGAAAAAGCTTTTGACCAATTGAACTGGCAGTTTATGTTAAGAGTAATTGAGGAGATGAACTTTGGAGAAAAAATATTACAAGCTTTTGGTTCTATATATCAAAAACAAACGGCACAAATTATTGTCAATTGTCACCGTTATTGTTTGTTTTAACATTGGAAATTTTGCTGATTAAAATCCGAGAGTCTCAGGAAATAAAGGGAATAGAAGTTAACAAAAAAGAATATAAGTTAAGAGCTTTCGCAGATGACTTGGTGGTTACTTTGTCTCAACCTACCTATTCTGTAGTAAAGTTACTACAATTGATTTATCAATATGGACGGGTTTCGGGTTTTAAAATTAATAATAATAAGACTAAAATATTACCTAAAAATATGACTAATTTGGACAAGCAGATTTTGGTTAATTTGACTGACTTTGAGGTTGTTGATAAGACAAAATATTTGGGGGTTACTCTGTCTGTTTCTAATGCAAAATTGTATAAATATAATTATGAAAGGCTGTGGGTCAGGGTACAGAAAGATTTGAAGAATTGGGAGAAGTTACAGTTATCTCTTATGGGAAGAATTGCAGTGATTAAAATGAATGTTTTACCAAAATTTCTTTTTTTGTTTCAAATGTTACCCATTTTAAAAAATGAGGTTAATTTAAATGAATGGCAGAAAGGTATCAATAAATTCATTTGGGCAGGGAAGAAACCAAGGGTAAAGCTCAAAATTTTGCAGGATTTCCGTGAGAGAGGTGGACTCAAGGTACCGAATTTGAAATTATATTATGATGCTGTGGTTTTAACACTAATTAGTGATTGGGTAAACTTAATAAATGTAGAAATACTCCATTTGGAGGGTTGGGATTTACTTTTTGGATGGCATGCCTATTTAATTTTTAACAAAAAAGTGGATCGGGTTTTTAAATCTCATATTATAAGGACTCCTCTACTTCGGGTTTGGAGGAAATATTATAAAAGTGATTTTAAAATACCATTATGGGCTATACCTGGGCATGCGATAGAGGGGATAAGGAGAGGAGTTAAAATGGATAGGGTTTCTTATACACAATTACTTAAATGGGATGGTCAAAATTGGCAGTTAAAATCTTTGGAAGATTTAGTACACGAAAATATTACCTATTCATGGTTTCAATATAGACAGATAGTGGATAGATGGAAGATGGATAGCAATACAGGCTTGCTTAGAGAAGATGAGAATCTCTTTAAACAAGTAAGAGATCAAAGGCGAACTCATATTAAGAGAATTTACGGGGTTCTAGTGGAACTGGATTCAGAATCAGAATTAATTAAAGATTGTATGATTAAATGGGCACAAAATTTTGGTGAACCAGTTCTATTGGACACCTGGGAAATTATCTGGGTGAGAAATGTTAAATTTACGCAAGCCCAGAACTTAAGGGAGAATTTTTATAAAATGTTTTATAGATGGCACCTTGATCCACAAAAAATGTCTCGTATGTATCCTGACTTACAGCCTAAATGTTGGAGATGTGGATGTTTGGATGCTACTTACTATCATATCTGGTGGTCGTGTAAAAATATAAAAGCTTTTTGGATTAAGATATGGTGGAATATTCAAAGAATTTTTAGAAGGAGGGTAAAATTTACCCCACAATTATTTTTGTTAGGTATTGTTACCGATTGTGACACTCAAGAGACTATATTGATGTTAAATTTAATTATAGCCGCAAGGCTGTTAGTAGGGCAATATTGGAAGAAGGAATCTTTGCCTACCTTGCAAGAGTGGTTTTTTAAAGTTTCTTATCTAGCGGAAATGGCAAAGATTTCGGCTTTCTTAAAGGAGCAATCACAAGAGAAATTCTTTGCCGTATGGGAAAAATGGATAAATTTTATACAATACAAATTGGCTATAAAGAAATACCATCTAGCTTTTTCATAATTTGTATTTAAATTTGTATTTTATAGATTGTATTCTCTCTTTCTTTTCTTTTCTTTTATTCCTTTTTTTCTTTCTTTTCTTTTCCTTTTTTTTAAGTATTTTTTTCTTAATGCTTATGTTTTTATTGTTATATATATCTTATTGTTAATTATCTTATAAGTTGATTAATTATTTTAGGATTTTAAAAATTTTAATTAAGCCTATTTTCAGCTCTGGGAAGCTCGGGAGGGGGGGTGGAGGGGGGTGGTTTGGGAGGGTTTGGGTGAGGGTTGTTTTATTTTTTGTTGTTGTTGTTTTTTTTTTGTAAAACTTTCAAAAAATTTTCAATAAAAAAAAAACTACTGAAAGCAAGAAGATTGCCCAGAAAGATGTCAATATTGTTATGTCTTTCCACCACCAATTAAATTTGAGAGATCCACGTGTTTCCTCCATTCATTAGATCAGTGTTTCTCAGTCTCAGCACCTTGAAGATGATTGGACTTCAACTCCAAGAATTTCCTAGCCAGCCTGAAGTCTATCCATCTTCAAAGAGCTTTGCATTAGATTAAAGGAAATTGATCTAATCCTAACTCTAAACATCTACTGATATCAGGTTAATATCCCAGAGTTTTGAGAGTATATTCAAATTGTGAAACATTCCTCCCTCCTTCCAGATCTTTCTCTCCCCTCCCTCTCTCTCTCTCACACACACAAATACACACACAAACACACACACACACACACAAACATCTATCTGTCTGTCTGTCTGTCTGTCTATCTATCTATCTATCTATCTATCTATCTATCTATCTATCTATCTATCTATGTAATCATCAACTGAGAAGGTAACCTCCCTCCCTCCTTCAAACCTTTGTTTTTAGTTTGTATTAATTTTTGAAATTTTAATCCATTTTATATTGATAACTGTTATTATATGTTGTTTTATCTTGATGTAAGCTTCTCAGAATTGCCTGAACTATGAGATGGGTGGCAAATGAACTTGACAAATAAATAAATATGATTTATATGGCTGTCCATCACAAGTTCCTGACACCGGATGGCTAACAATGTTAAAAAATATAAACACATAAAAAACCCCAGAAAAACAAAAACCACACAATAAAACAGACCTATCAGCCTCAAAATAACAACAAATGTACAGGCCCAGCCCTACTCTCAGACCCTCAGCCCCAATGATACAAACAAATATCAATTTCCAGGCACTATCTGAGCTGTTGAGTTTAATTTCTAAAATTCTAAATAGCTTAGGGCTAAGTCATTTGATGGACTACATATGAACCTATCCATGTATTAAGATTGGCACAAGAAGTTCTCTTAAAGATACCCATACTTTTCTTCAGTATATGGGAGATGCTACTTTCGGTGTTACACTCAAACTAGAGAACTCTCCCTTGGAAGTTGCAATTACCTTCAGTAAAACTTTAGGTTAAAATGTTCAATAGGCATAATTATTCTCCAATGTGGCAATTCCCACATCTCTCTATGCATGTGCATTTATGTTGTTCATATATGTATACAATAAGCATACACTGTATACATATAGAAGATTTAGTAACATTAAAATCTGTCTCTCTATATAAAGCTTCCATTAGATATTTCACATTAGAATATTTAAATTCTGTAACGAATAGCAGCATTCTGCACAAAACAGATACAGGATAAAATAAAAACCCATATTTACAATAATGGCTTATTGAACAAACTATAAGTTAGATATTTTATAGAATGTTGTCCTTAAGAAGGCATACAGTATCAATTTTTATGATTGTCCTAATTTACCAATGTTTCCTATGTTGGGAAGATAAAACAATAGGCTAAATGAACTATCTATGAGTGTGATCATAATGAAAACTCATATCCTTTTAATCCTCAGACTCATTAGCAAAGATAGTCTCACCTCTGTGAAGAGATAAATTAGCCTTCCATCTCTTAATTTGTCCACTGCTTCATTACTTGGGACAAACACAGTAAAAGGTCCAGGACCGTCCAAAATTGATGGAAGACCACAATTCTGCAAAATATTAAGTCCACGGCCATTAGATAACTTTAGTGTAAAATGATTAATTAACAAAACCAACATTTCTAGGTGTAAATTATACTAAGCAGCTAAATAATTCAAACCAATTATACTCAGCATTCCTGATAAAGTTCCAATTCAGTCAAAGTATTAAAATAGTCAAATGCCTTATGTAGCTCACTGATTACTGATTTCATCAAGATTTGGTGTGAAGTTGAAATTTCATTTAGTTGAAAATGATCCAATGACAGATCAATTCAAATGTTCCTGAGTAAAATTTTGCACACAGACAATGGATAGGAAGACCATTTGAAGAAAAGGAATCCTGATCCTGTTTCTTGTGTAAAGAAAGGATGGATTTCTTACAGTCCAAAAGCAACATTATGGAAATGAATAAATTCTTCATGAGTTTTACTAATATTTTAATGATATTTATCATTTATTATAGTTAATCATTTGTTTGGTCTCTTAAAAGGAACATTTATTCTGTATCCTATTGTGGGTCATGAAAATATTAAATGGTCAAAACGCAACACCTACCATTTTTCTGACAAAAAAAAGAAGCAGCAGTATCAGCATTCATTTTATCCCATCTGAATATGGGAGAGATACTCACTTCTAATATAGTTTCAAATCGGATGGAAATCTCCATGGAAGCGAGAATTTCGGCAATTGTTTTCTGCAAAAACAGATGGACTAGAATGAGTATGAAACAGCGTAGTTATGAAATATGTAAATGCAAACAAATAATGACACATCTCTCTCCTCTTTCTACTCTGTGCCATCACTACTGTACAGAAAACCTTTGAGTTGTATTCCCAATGTTTTCCCTTCCATTGAGTTCAGTAGAATTTACTCCTTAGCAACTAAGATGACAGCACCATCTAAGTTACTAAATATACATATCTATACATGTGAAGCATTTGCATCCTGCATTCTAAATATCCTAAATTCAGGCAGCTTTCAAGATATGAACCAACATAGAAGATCTGAACCATAGTTCACCACAGGATAAAAATCTACCAGAAATCATGGAACTAAAATAAATATGGTGCTATAATAACTTTTGTATATACTCAGTTTCCTGTTTTGCCAATGTCTTTTAGAAAGATAGACTAAATATTTTTTTTAAAAAAAAACTGATACAAGAAGAAACAACTGACTGTTCTCTGTAAATATTGTATATTTAGGCTTCTTGGTGATTCTGTGGAAATACTTAGAGGAATTGATCCAGCAAAAAGTAATATAAGATTGCTCTATTTCTGTATGCCCAAGTGTTTTGTTTTATTTTTTTAAAGATGAGTTAAAAAGGATATGTAAAGGGATATTAAATCAATTTGGTTTGTCTATGATGGCTCCTTAGCAACAATGCAAAGTGGTTTTGCCATCATCTTCTTCTGGGTGTTTTTTTAACTTCCTGGTAGAGATAGTTGAGAAAAATCTTGACATTTTAAATAAAGGATAAGCCAATATAGGAAATATAAGGAAATATAGTTCCCAGATATCTTCCATGGTTCCCATTGTGTCCAGCAAGGTTTTTATGGAGTTTCTTTCAATTAAAGAGTTATTTAGGAAGTTGTATGGTGCACAACAAAGCAGTAACTTCTAATGCCATATTTAGTATCTTTTGGTCTCAAGAAGATGGCAGAGAACATTGTGAAATGGCTAACATTTTATGAGTTTACCCATTACATTGTTCCAACATTCCCAATTTTCCCAGGACCATTTATTAGTTTGGGGAAATGGTAGGAAATAATATTTTAAGTGATATATGCTTCCTGCTAAATCTAATATTATGCAGTAGGGGTTGTGTGGAACTTTACATTGTCAAACCATTCACACCAATCCAGTGGTATAAAAAAGTGCTACTAGAAAGGCTTTAGATAATGGGTGTCCAACTTTTGGCTTGCCTGGGTCATGCTGAGTATAGAGAAATTGTTTTTGGGCCACATATAAAACATAGTTAACATATATAAATAAATTTCCTTCATTTTTAAAATATTTTTATTATATCTTTTGGGGCCACACTACCAGCTATCCAGACCACATGCAAATTGGACATGTCTGTTTTAGATTGATTCTAGGTTAGAAATACAGTTGTGACCTATACTTAAAAGCTAGTTTGTTTAAGGAATTATCCCCATGTACTGCCTATGACTCTGTTTTCATAAGGAAAAAGAACATTCACCATACCTGAGCATTATCAAAGTTGTCCATGATCTTTATTTTCCTTACTTGGTCACCAATATGTATAATACCATTAACTGCTGGCCCATCGAAGTAAGAGATGGAATTGATTTCGTCTGGAGTATCTAAGTACCTATACCTGATATGGCGCTGCAGCTGGAGAGCAATACAAGGTTTTTCTATGGTAAATATTCCTCTACGATTAAGTTTTATTATTGCTTTGACATTTTATTGCAATTGTTAATACTTGAAAATGCAATTATTGTTCTTGAATTGTAGAGTGCAGTTGGGCTTTAGATCAGGATTTAGGTTGGAGATGGCATTCGTCATTTGTACTGATGGTGGAAGAGGGGCAAGCATGGTGCATCCATTCTTGTGCTGCTTTACTCTCAGCAACTTTTGATACTGTCAACCATGATTTCCTTACAAGGGTTCTCAACCCTGGCAACTTTAAGACTTGTGGACTTCAACTCCCAGAATTCCTCAGCCAGCAAAGCTGGCTGAGGAATTCTGGGAGTTGAAGTCCACAAGTCTTAAAGTTGCCAAGGTTGAGAATCCCTACTTAGGACTAGCTTCAGTGGAGAATGGAGGCACTGTTTTACACTGGTTATCCTCCTCCTTCTCTGTGCCTGCTTTCAATCAGTTATGACAGGCAGGGAGAGCTTGCACCCAGGGCCCCTCACTTTGGGGTTGCTGCAGAGTTGAGCTCTCTATCCCCTTTTGTTTAACACCTCCATGAGACTGCTGGGATTGGGGTCAGGATCACCAATATATAAATGATAGCCAGTTGTATATTTCAGTCCCTGGCTTTCCAGCAACATCCTAATCCAGTGCTCGGAGGCTGCACAGGTTGGAATGGGAAGGAACAGGCTTTGTCCCTCTCCCAAATCTGGAGCTATTTTATTATTGACTCTGATCTGAGACTTCTGTACAATCTACAGGGCCATCTTGGACTCTCCTGCTCACGAGGTAGATAGAGGAGGTGGCTTTTGCAGAGCCACATCTTATATATCAATGGATCATATACTAATTCATGCCCTAATCACTACACTGCTGGGCTCTGGAAGTTCTGAGATAGGCCCATAATCCGTCCAACTCTCAAGCCCCCTCAGACCCTGATCCTAGAGAAGACAGACTGAACTCAGCAATGGAGTCAAGGAGCTCAGGAAGGCTAGTACAACAACAACAATCCCAAATGATTCCTAGAGCCCGACCTAATGAATGGAATCTCACATCTGGTGACCTATGGAACAGTGCCCTTGAAAATCATAAAAGATTTCCAGATGATGATCACCAGATCTCCACCTCTGCCCTGGGACTTTGGCTGATGCCACCTCTGAAACCCACCTGGAATATCTCTGAAAGGTCTACCCTCCCCCCCCCCCGGTCCACAAAACAGGCTCCCGGATATAATATAATGTTTGAATTAAATCAATGAAATATAATTGTGATATTGAGTATAATAATTGTAAAGGAAAACATTAGACACCTTTCCTTGGGCTATTTAAAACTGATCTAAAATTTCACAAGGGAAGGAAGGAAGGAAGGAAGGAAGGAAGGAAGGAAGGAAGGAAGGAAGGAAGGAAGGAAGGAAGGAAGGAAGGAAGGAAGGAAGGGACAAACTTGTATTTTGAACTATAGCTTTATTTGTAGAATCTCAGGTCTGTAAAAAATATTTACCTCTTCATGAAATTCCACTTTATGTCCAGATAATGTCCAAAAATACTGAGTGTCGCTCATTTCTTTTATCAAGTGCTGCCCAGCTATTATATGTCTCCTACAGAATTCCTGTGCATATCTGACCTTCATGGAGAGGAGATATAAAAATAAAAAATCATTACTCTGTATGCAGCAAGCCGAGTATAATATTTTTATTATTTTATTCAGCTGCATCTGTACTAATGTACTAATATGTAATGTTCCATATCGGTTTTGTAAAGATATCAAGCACTTTATCCAAAATTAGACCAAATAACTTACGATGACATATATATTGGTTCATTTCTCTATTTTTTACTCTCCTTTAATTCATTATTTTATTTCTTTTTAAAATAACACATGAAGATGATACATTACCTGACAACTGCATTTGAAAGTTTTTTTATGGTACTTTTTTTTCTTTAGATGAGTTTTGAGGTCACTTTTAAAATAATAAAATATAATCACTGTGAATCTCTAGCATATATAAAATATGACTGAGAGAGCCATCCTATACATTAGCATTTCTGAAAGTGTTGTGACCCCTGGCAGGGCAGCATCACAAGACATTGGATGGAGATTCACCTTACAAATGAAGGCAAATATACGTGTCCCAGGAAAATGATGCAAGATTGAATCTGGATCAGTCACTGGAACTAGAGATTTACTCTTCCAAGCTTTTGGACTCATACTAGAGCCCATCTTTAGGGAACTTCTCTCTATTGGAATACATGCTTTGGGCTATTCTGTGAGTCATATTTTTGTGGTACTTTCCTATTGGCTGATTGGTGTGTTGATGGATGGCAATTGGCTGTTATTTCCTTGTGCTGTCAAGTTCTTAAGTAGCTAATAAGCTACTTATCAGCACTCCTGTTAACTGACAAGGGGCCCATTTCCCAGGCTTCAATAATTTCCCTGGCTATTTTTGTGCCTACATGGCCAACAATCTTAATAGCTGCAAAATTAAATATGTGTCCTTGTTCATTGTAATGTGAGGCTACCAATGAGTTTGAATCGCCTTGTCTGATTGCTTACTTGTGTTCTTGCAATCTGGTGGTTAATTTCTTCCTGTTTGTCACAGGGGCAATCCAAGCAGGGGATCCAGTAGATTACATTGGAAGTAACTCCCACCTCCAAGCAATCTTAACAATGAACAATTTCTCCTTGTATACAGGCATCTTGTATGCTTATGCATGAATTGTTCATGTAGGTACCTTCTCTCCAGTTATTTAGCTTCTTGGGTATTACAGTGAGTTCTCACTCTGCCATATACTGTAGTGTTTTGACACAGTTCTTTTTGTGTCACAGTGGATGGTTACTGTTGAAACTAAGAATGTGTGGAGTGTTGGTGGCCTTATGATAAACTGTGGTTTCTAGGCTTCACCTTCTTTGCAAGTTCTGCAAATAATTATCCCTCTATCTCTCCCTTCCCCTCCATTGTAATTGTCTCTGAAAAACAAATGCAGTGAGTAAAAATACCAAATGAAAAGAGCACAAAGCTTGATGGAACTGATAATCCTGCTCAAGAAGGACTGTGGTAGTTTTACTTCAGACACAAATACCAGGAGTAATAAAGTAATAAGAGGTAAGAGTACTTACACTGATGTCATATCGAGGAAAGATGGATCCAGTAGGCACAAGTACTGTGAAAGGCCCATAGTTCTCCAGGATTAATGAACAACCCTTACCTGTTAAAAAATCCATACCACATATTCATTTAAAAAAACCTGAATATCTTAAATAATCATACATATTACTGGAAGCATTTTCCTTAACAGAATATATGTTCTATTTGCAATGCCTTCAGCTAGATGTGGAGGTTGAAGTTTTTATGAAGACATCTTCATTATATTTCTTCTTCTATCCCCTACTTGGGCAACTCTGAACTGGATTGAGAGGTTGAGGGAGACATTTAACTCTTTCTCAATACCCTACAATATTTTCCCAATCAACACTGGTCACCCAGCTGCTACTTCCCAGACCAGGAAACATATGCAAGTACTTACCTATTTTCCACCAAAAGGGAAGCAAGATAGAGCATATACTTAATTTCCCATTTTAATATGTAAGTCTACTATATTCATAGCTAGAAAAGTCTTTTAGGTATATTTGGAATCTGTATTTAGTTTATTAATATAATATTGAAGTATTTTTAGCATTTACATCCATCCCAAAAGGAAAGAAAAACCCACCAAATTTTTTTAGCATCCTTAGATATCAAGGCTTCTTTTTAAAGACAATAAAAAAAATAAAGTTAGGAGACCTAGCTAACAAGCTAATTTAATCAATGCTTCTACCCTTTAAGTAAACATATCTGCCATGAGTATAGTAGGATTCTTCCCACTTACAATAACAATATGTATTCAGAGAAATCAACCTGAAACAACTAGAATATTTTTAATAATAATAATAATAATAATAATAATAATAATAATAATAATAGTCCTTGGTAAGGACTCCAAGGGTAGACAAAAATGCCAAATCCAGTCTAAACATCTGGCTGACTGTGCAAATAATAATAATAATAATAATAATAATAATAATAATAATAATAATAATAATAATGTTGAAAGGGACCTTGGAGATCATCTAGTCCAACCCCCTGCTCAGGCAGGAACCCTATACCATTTCAGACAAATGGCTGTCCAGTCTCTTCTTAAAAACCTCCAGTGTTGGAGCATTCACTGCTTCTGGAGGCAGGTTGTTCCACTGGTTAATTGTTCTAACTGTCAGGAAGTTTCTCCTTAGTTCTAGGTTGCTTCTCTCTTTGGTTAGTTTCCATCTGTTGCTTCTTGTCCTGCCTTCAGGTGCTTTGGAGAATAGCTTGACTCCCTCTTCTTTGTGGCACCCCCTGAGAGATTGGAATACTGCTATCATGTCCCCCTTCATCCTTCTCTTCATTAAACTAGACACCAATTATTTTCTACCAGATTGCAGTTATGTATAGCTAAATTCACTCAGAAAAGAAAGTTACCAAATATTTCCAGTGCACCCTTCAGATAATTTTGATATGGTCCTCTTTTATTTTTCTTAATGATTTCACTCAGGAGAGTTTTGTAACAGGAACCTCCAACTTCAATTTCTCCCTTTTGGCAGATGCAGCTGAACAAAAGAGGGTAATATAAGATGAGATTTGGGCAACTGCCCCATTATTAAGTGTTTCACAGCCAATTCACATTAATTTAGGAATTATTTAGCAGCTACAGTTTTACTCCTTTATTAAAGGAAACACCAGAAAATATAGACTTATTCAAATATTTACATCCAGGGATTCAGATCTGTCACTTCAATTAATATAGGGATAGTTTGAAAAAGAAACAACAAAATTCTCAGTTGCAAATGACATCAATAATATCAAGATCATTCTGGGCATGTACAGGTAGTCATCAACTTACAACCATTCATTTAGTGTCCAATCAACGTTACAAGTTACTGAAAAAAATTGAGTTACGCTCATTTTTCATACTTATGATTATTGCTTCTTCATGGTCACATGATCAAAATTCAGGTGCTTGGCAGCTGACTCACATTTATGATGGTTGCAGTGTCAGGGGGTCATATGGTTATCTTTTGTGACCTTCTGACAAGCGCAGCCAATGGGGAAGCCAGATTGATTTAACAAAGTGTTACTAACTACAGTGATTCATTTACTAACTGTGGCAAGAAAGGTTGTAACATGAGGCAAAACTCACTTAACAATTGTCTTGCTTAGCAATATAAATTTTGGGCTTAGTTGTAGTCATAAGTCAAGGATTACCTGTAGTGACAAAAGGCTTGGAAAATACCAATATCAACCTTCTTCAAATGTGCCATCCTGATCATGTTAAGCTTAGAATCCAGTGTTGTTTGAGCATTGCAGGAGTAAAAGTCCAACATATCTGAGTATCATATTGGGGAAGGCGGCCCTACTTCCTATCTGAATTTATCAAATGTCCTAGGTCAGGGTAGGCAACCTTGGCTCTTTTATGACTCATGGACTTCAACTCCCAGAATTCCCGAGTCAGCATAGTTGACTCAGGAATTCTGGGAGTTGAAGTCCATGAGTCATAAAAGAGCCGAGGTTGCTTACCCCTGTCCTAGGTGAACCAGTGTTTCTTTTCTTTCTTATTCCTACATATGTAAAATGGGACGTTAATAACATTGGCATTCCATGCTGGGAAAGATGCAATCTCTGAACATCAATTTTATGGGAAAATGTAATTTTTGTAAAACCTGAAGTAGCAGAGTGGAGTTTATTTGGTATCTAAAAACGCAGGTTAGAAGGAGGGTAATACAATGCTCAAGATGGCTGACTGCCACTGGATTTGCATACAATTCCAAGGAAAGCGTATGGTTTTCAAAACATTTCCAAGACAATGATTACTCACTCTAAAAGTTGGTACTACTGAGACTCACAACTAAAGAACGGCATAACTGAGCTAGTCTTCAAAGAAGAAGCACCATTCTTCTTTTGCAGTCTAGTGGATCTCAATGAGGCTTGAATGAAGTTGTCACTTGAACAATTTTGCTTCGCATAATGATCATAGAAAGGCCAAAATAGAAAAACGCCTTTCTCAAGGAGAAACATTGCAGACTGCCTTCCAGGTATTGGCTTCTAATATTGGAAATTAAGACTTCCTTTCTTTCATATTTTCATTAATAGAGGATCAGCAACTTTCCAGTACAAGCTACCAAAGCCTGCTACTTTCAATAAATAATAGATACATTTTAGGATGTTGATGTATTTGCAGCTATTGCCATATTGTATCAAGCATATAATTTGAGTAAGTTTACAGTGGGGATTCCCAAGTCTAAAATAGCTGCCATCAATATTCATCTGGGTTCAAAAAATACCCCCTTCTATTTTTGGATATTTTTCCAATATACTGATTTGTTTTATTTGTAATTTGAAAACATATATTAGGCAAGCTTATGCTTCAGATAAAGTGCTAATACTTTGGATGTGTTGCTAGGGATGGGAACACAATATGTCAATGGACTGCAAATCCCACCAGTTCCAGCTAGCATAGGCTGATCAAGGATGAGTTGAGCTAATGTCCAGCAACCGGAATTCCAAAAACACCCTACTTCTACTCTACTTCTACTCTAATCACACACCTCCAGTAGTTGTGGTAGTCACTTTGGAATGTCAGAGTCTCTTGGCCTTACTTAATGTGTTATTAACAGCCTCCGATGACTCCAAATACATACAAATTAGAATTTGTCTACTGAAAATTCAGTATGATCAGAGATGCAGTAATGAGGAAAGAGGCAAGTTAAGAATTTACTTACTTATTTGCTATAAATTATATTTCAGCCAAGTGTAATTATCCCTTTTTGATAGGAAACTGGGAGAAAGGAAACACAGAAGTACTGTAGATGGTGTTTGTGATCATGGATCTTCTACCTACCCTGTCTGATCTGAGCTTTTTAGGAGAAAAATAGGATAAAACACAGAAAATTAACACATGTATCAAGAAGTACATTTCACTGGGAACTAGCCTCCCCTCTCTTTCTCTCTCTCTAAGATAAATAGAAAACATGTAACCAGACTTCTGAAGTTAGCATTATAGCAAACAACAGAGATCCAGAATAGCTTTTATATTGAATTCATGCTGGGCTTCTGAATTACTTACTTAAAAAACCCATCAGGGGTCATTTCACACCTTTGTACACTGCTGTCACAATAACTTGAGCATTCATTGGTCAATATGCATTCATTTCTCCCGTCTCTTTCCCTTTGCATTCCTGCTTTGCATTGGCAATATGGCTGTGGAAATAGAAAGAAGACTAGTCACAATTCCTTAGGTTCCATGCAAGGCTTTAAAGGTAATAACCAACACTTCAAATAATAACATTAAAAAAACAGTACAAACCAAAGTCAAAATGGGATCTAGACTCAAATTATTATTATTATTATTATTATTATTATTATTATTATTATTATTATGTATAATCGCACAGTCAGCCAGATGTTCAGACTGGATTTGGCATTTTGTCTACCTATCAAGTCCTTACCCAGGACCTGGGATAGGCAGATGTGGATGTTTGATGGTATTACAGATATCGTCGCAGGATGGAAGCAGTTCCTAATAAGGCAGCCTTTTGCAATTGACTAATAGCGAATTTGTCAATGCCAATGGTGTTCAAGTGGTGCTCCAGTTGTTTTGGGATTGCACCCAAGGAGCCTATGACTATTGGTACTACCCTTGCTTGCTTTTGCCACAGTCTTTCTATTTCTATTTGTAGGTCTTTGTATTTTGTTATCTTCTCCAGTTCTTTCTCTTCTATTCTGCTATCTCCAGGCACTGCCACGTCCAATATCCAGACTTTTTTGTCTTTCTTATCGACAATTGTTAAGTCTGGGGTGTTATGTTGCAGGTGCTTGTCTGTTTGAATTCTGAAGTCCCAGAGCAGTTTAATTTTATCATTTTCTATGACTTTCTCTATTTTATGATCCCACCAGTTTTTGCTTATAGGCAAATGATATTTTTGCAGATCTTCCAATGCACCATTGTTGCTACTTTGTCATGCCGCTGCTTGTAGTCAGTCTGTGCAATCTTCTTGCAACAGCTTACCAAGTGGTCCACTGTTTCTTCAGCTTCTTTGCATAGGCGGCACTTACTGTCTGTTGCTGTCTTCTCAATTTTGACTTGTATGCATTTGTCCTTAAGGCTTGGTCTTGTGCAGCCAGAATTAGTCCCTCGGTCTCTTTCTTCAATTTTCCTGCTCTTAGCCATTGCCAGGGTTTATTATTATCTGCTTTTCCAGCTATTTTTTTCATGTATTGGCCATGTAGTGCTTTGTCTTCCCATGCCTCTATTCTGTTCTTCATTTGGTCTTTCTTGTAGGCCAGTTTGGTCTCTCCAGTAGTTAGTAAGCCTTCCTGATATACTACTACTACTACTACTACTACTAATAATAATAATAATAATAATAATAATAATAATAATAATAATAATAATAATTATTATTATTATACTTAAACAAAAATATCATGAAATAAACATGAAAGGTTTTTACCAAATATTAAATGAATGAACAAGCAGCAGGAACCATGATCCTGATACATAACATTATTAAACAATGGGATTCAGAGTACATCACCTCTGTTGGCATGTACCTGCTAGACAGAAACCATGGGAGATAGGAGAGCTCTCAAATAACTTGGCCTTATTTCTAACTGTCTGCTTTCATACATGGCTGCTACAATCAACATACACTGCAAGGCACCATTTACCTTTTCTGTACCCCTGTCAAAACAGTCGGTGGTATTGATGGGGCAGCCACCATTATTGAAAAGACAGGGATTCCTGACTTGGCACACTCTCCCATTTCCTTGGTATCCCTCAGCACAAACACACTGATATTTGGTTTCCCCAACAGTCTTGCAAACAGCATGTGGAGAACATGGAGAGGAGTTACAGGGATCCTGGGCTGAAAATAAAGCAAATGAGAAATATTCAGCTATAATAATGCAAAGCCAACTTTCAATAATATTAGGTTCTGTATCTGAAGAATCAAGCCTTTACAACCAGATGAATTAACTGTATCTTAAGATGCAAGCAACTCCCCAGCTCTGACTATATGATTCTCCAGAATATCCAAAGACTATAGTGCTCAAACATGGAAGCAAAGCCTGTAATAGCCAATCAATTTTCTCCATCATGTAGGATTTACCTCTTTATGTTTTTAAAACACTGGGAGTTGGGGTTAGGTCTACTTTAAAACCATTGGCCTAAATCAGACCCAAGCCCAAAGATGTAATCCAATCCTTTATTTGCTTACACCTAATGGCCAGAATCTTGTCAAATTAAAGATCTTCTAATGTAACAGTTGTATCTTGACAGATCTAGGGTGTAGCTACCCTGAACCTCTTTCTCCCTCCCCATCTCCCTCCAGTTCAGGATTGCAGTCTCTAAATTTAGGCTTCTCTCTGCCCAAAATCTCTTCCTCTGCTTCTTCAGATACATATTCCTCTGTATGTCTTTCTCCAGAACAAGTGGGACTACTTAGCCCATTCTGGCTGATCTCAAAAAAGTCAGCCTAAATTAGACCTGCTTGCTCACTAGTTTATTTATCTGCAATCTAAGCTACTCCCAATTGAACCTGACTCTGAGTAGCACCTAATTCCACATCTTTGCATATTCAGATCACGGTAAAAACAAAATTAATGTTTTATTATTTGTATTATAATTAAAGTATATTATATTTATAAAATATAAATCACAACATGGGCCAAATTGATAGGAAAAATATTTTAAAAATTTTTAAAAATTTTAAAAAGAAGAACATCCCACTCAAAAGATCAGCAATTGATGCCTCTCATGATGTATGCCTCACTAGTCATAACATTCTGGTTCTATGGCCATGTTTTCATGGACTTTCTGAAACCCTAAGAGGATGGAAGAAGCCATTCTGAAAACTGGGGACAAGCCATTCCAGAAGAGGGGACTTGCAGTTGCAAAGGTACCATCCAACTGTCCACGCAGATGATAATCCCTGAAAAAAGGGATCCAGAATGAGGCTGTCCTGCTCAATCTTTTAAGGTGAGCAGATACTCCTGGGAGAAGGTAGTCCTGCAGATATCCAGTCCCAAGCCATCTATTACTACTTGGATGACAGATAGCTAAGAAATCTCAGGTGTGCAAAATAAAATGTGAAGTCAAAAGGAAGAATGAAGTGGTAAACCATCGTGTAGACATAGAGTGAGGAAAAAAATATTTGATCTCCTGCTGATTTTGTACATTTACCAATTGACAAAGAAATGATCAGTCTATAATTTTAATGGTAGGTTTATTTTAACAGTGAGAGACAGAATAACAACAAAAAAAATCATTTCAAAAAAGTTATAAATTGATTTGCATTTTAATGAATGAAATAAGTATTTGACCCCTTCACAAAACATGACTTAGTATTTGGTGGCAAAACCCATGTTGGCAATCACAGAGGTCAGACATTTTTTGTAATTGGCCACCAGGTTTGCACACATCTCAGGAGGGATTTTGTCCCACTCCTCTTTGCAGATCCTCTCCAAGTCACTAAGGTTTTGTGGCTGATGTTTGGCAGCTCAAACTTTCAGCTCTCTCCACAGATTTTCTATGGGATTAAGGTCAGGAGACTGGCTAGGCCACTCCAGGAACTTAATGTGCTTCTTCTTGAGCCACTCCTTTGTTGCCTTGGCCATGTGCTTTGGATCATTGCCATGCTGGAATACCCATCCACAACCCATTTTCAATGCCCTGGCTGAGGGAAGGAGATTCTCACCCAAGATCTGACAGTACATGGCCCCATCCATCATCCCTTTGATGTGGTGAAGTTGTCCTGTCCCCTTAGCAGAAAAACATCCCCAAAGCATAATGTCTCCACCTCCATGTTTGATGGTGAAAATGATGTTCTTGGGTCACAGGCAGCAGTACTCCTTCTAACATGGCAGGTTGAGTTGATGCCAAAGAGCTCGATTTTGGTCTCATCTGACCACAACACTTTTACCCAGTTCTCCTCTGAAACATTTAGATGTTCATTGACAAACTTCAGAAGGGCCTGTACATGGGCTTTCTTGAGCAGGGGAGCCTTGTGGGCACTGCAGGATTTCAGTCCTTCACGGCGTACTGTGTTACCAATTGTTTTCTTGTGACTATGGTCCCAGTTGCCTTGAGATCATTGACAAGATCCTCCCGTATAGTCCTGGGCTGATTCCTCATTATTCTCATGATCATTGAAACTCCATGAGGTAAGATCTTGCATGGAGCCCCAAACTGAGGGAGATTGACAGTTATTTTATGTTTCTTCCATTTGCAAATAATCATACCAACTGTTGTCACCTTCTCACCATATTGCCCATTCCAGTCTTGCTTAGGTCTACAATCTTGTCCCTAACATGCTTGGACAGCTCTTTGGTCTTGGTCATGATGGAGAGTTTGGAATCTGGTTGATTGATTGCTTCTGTGGACAGAAGCTTCTTTAAGAGAGTGCTCCTAATCTTAGCTCATTATTTGTATAAAAAAAACCTGGGAGCCAGAAATCTTGCTGATTGATAGGGGATCAAATACTTATTTCACTCATTAAAATGCAAATCAGTTTGTAACTTTGTTGAAATGCATTTTTCTGGATTTTTTTTTGTTGTTATTCTGTCTTTCACTGTTAAAATACACTTACCATTAAAATGATAGACTGATCATTTCTTTGTCAGTGGGCAAACGTACAAAATCAGCAGGGGATCAAATACTTTTTCCCCCACTGTATAATTACCAGAAGCTCAGTTTACTCAAGGGAGATTTGATTTTATTTTCCTAATATGTTTACAATACACTCTGAAGGGCCTCTAAGTTAATTGTTTATGGACAGAAGGATAACTATCCAAAAAAATAGATAAGAATTGTTGGTTGCCTGGCTTTGACCAAATCCTGTGGTCTTTCTTTTGACTTTGCTCAACTTTATCGCACACAGACTCTTGTTGACTTTGGCTAGTCCTTCCTTCTCAGGAGCTGAGTGAAGTTTTCAGACAAAGGGCTCTTTCCTTTGAAAGAATAAACAAGCACTCTCCCATGAGGTTCACAAAAGTCAAAAGCTGGGTCATTAATATATTTATTTTGATCATCAACCTCAATTGGATGGAACAGGAGCAGGAAAGATATGAGAAAGGAATCTTTTGGAAAACAGGAATAAAATCTTATGATAACAATAATTAAATGAAATTGAATTCACCAATTCCCTGACTTTTTCTTGCTCTGGTTTTGAAAGTGATTTTGGACAAGGTGAAGAAGCCTTAGCAGGAGACAGTAGCTAAACACCTCTTTTATTGCTTTGGGTCTTGTTATAGTTTTCAGCGTCACCGATTGTGAAGCCCTTCTGTATTGCTTGGTGGTACTGTAGTTTGAGAGCCAAAGAAATCAAGAGCAAAGGGGCTTCTATTTGTTGAGTTGATCTCCTGTTATGGCTCTTATTAGCAAAAGATTACCTTCCTTGGTAATTAACAGAATAGAGTATGATAATCTATTCTGCATATGGGTGATTTGAAGATAATTCAGTCAGTTCCAAATGTAGGCACCCAATTAATTTCAGAAATAACACAAATGGAATATATGAATAGCAGGATTGTGGTATCATGATTTTTTTTCCTGCTTATGTGCCACCTCTACTATATTACAGTCATAGAATCAGAGAACTGGAAGGGGACATTTCAAGCATCAAGTCCATTTTCTGACTGAAGGCTGTCAGGACAAAAGGGCAGGGAGCTTCCACATGATCTTGCTCACCCAGAGTCACTTCCCAAACCTTCTCACATGAACCAAACCAGGTACTCAAAATCAAATGCTTGTATTTTCTTTCTCAAGGAAGAGATTGCTTTGGATCTCTTACATTTTGCTTGTTATTTTGAGCTACGTTTTCTATCAGTCAAGATCATTTTGAATGCTATTTCTCTCTTCTGTAATGCAGTTAGAGACTTCTGAAGGATTTGACTCAGCCTTTCCTCCTTCCAAGGTTGGTAAAATGAGGATACAGATCGTTAGGGCCAAAATGCTGACATTTGTAAACTGCTTAGAGAGGGTTGGAAAGCACTGTGAAGCAGTATATACGTCTACGTCAGTGGTTCTCAACCTGTGGGTCGGGACCCCATTTGGGGTCACCAAACAATGCAGTCCGCCATTTTTTCCCCCTTTTCCTTAGCTGTGTTACTCCCTTTTATTCTACTGGCTTTTGAAAGCCAATAGAATAGACTCTCTTGAATAGAGTCTAATTCTATTGGCTTTCAAAAGCCAATAGGAATTGTCCAGGCTGTCTCTGCCCTGTTGAGCCCACCAAAAGTCCCATTCTGCAAACGGTGCTGCACCAGTTGAGTAGTCCTTGACTTACGACCGGTTGAGTAGTCCTCAACTTACGACCGGTTGGGGGTCGCGTCATTAAAAAGATTGAGAACCACTGGTCTAAGTGCTGTTGCTGTTAATAGAAATGACAAGAGGGCTAGAGGCTATGTAGTGAGGTTTGGAGCCTGGGTCCCCAGTGCAGATATTCTGTACCTGACATTTTGTATATAACTGCCTTGCTCAAATCCCTCACATTGTAGGGTAAAAATATAAATAAAAGTAAATTCAACATTGGTGAAAAATACCTTGGATTAAAGAAAACCTCTCTGAGTTGGCTGTGCCTGAGAGCCTCAGAAAACTTCTGAGGAGTCCTGAAAAATTAGCCCATTTTTCCTAGTTAAAACATTGAGGTGTGAACTATTTCTAAATCACATTTCATGCCTGCTATGAATTCTTTAGCAGCTCAGTGGTTTTGGGACACTTACATTCTCTGCACTTTAAGGACTTCCAGAACAGTTTTCCTAACAATGACTGTAGCAACAACTGATCTTTATGTTTACAAGCCAACTGTAATATTTATTTGTATTTATTTATTTTAAAGGTCTATATGGCCGCTCATCTTAAGCAACTCCGGACAACTCATCCCAGAAAAGATACAGAAGGTAAAACAGAAGATTAAAATAAAATAATAAAATAATAAAATAAAATGTAAAACAATTTTCTGATTCTCTCAATTGCTGTGGTTGCAGTCTGCAGGCTGGAGCAGGCTGTGTGGCAGAGCGCCAGTCTCCCCAGTGACAAAACAAATATACAAGACAAAGCTCCATTTGTGGTGCTTTTCTGAGGAGGTGGGGTCAAGTGGTAGAGAGCGTGTGTGATCCATGTGTGATAGTCTTTATAAAATGTATTAATGATTTACTGCTACAGCAATGGCAGGGAGACATTATAGTCTAGAAGACTAACCTCCCATATGAAATACCACTTTTCTATTTTCAACAATTAGAGGTGTTTGAAGTGCTATTTAATCCAGAACAAAGCCACCGGTACAAAGAGGAGCAACAACAGGCTGAGGCAAAGCCCAAGTTTCATAGAAGCACAAAAAAACTTTTCAGAAGGAACCACTTGGTGCTTGTGGAATGCTGAATGTTGTTGGGAGGAGAAATGAATGATCAGTTGGCAATAAGAATGATATAGAACAATTTATCCAGCCTGGTTTTCTCCAGGTATCTTGAACTATATGTTCCATCATGCCTTAGAATGTTGATTGACAATGAGTGAAATTTAGTTCAAAGGAAAGACTGTTAGGAAAGACTGGAATAGAATGCTCTGGAAGGACACATGGTTGATGGACTGGAACCATTGAAGAATGTTTGCTATTACTTCTTATAGATCTCATTTTATGAATTCAGCTTACAAGAATTATAAAGAAACACATGTAGGGTGACTTAAAAATGCTCTAACATGCTACATAAATGTTCAAGGTTTTCTCTTACCTTGACAATATATCCCAATCTTCTTGTAGCCTGGAATACATTCACACTCAGCTTTCCCATTCTTTACCACACACAGGGAGTTTGCTTCACAGATTACTCCATCACAGTTGGGAACTTCTGGAATCACCAAACAGGATTATTTGAAATTAGAACCCCTAAAGAACATGAAAATATCTTTTATCTCCATAGATAAAAGATATCTGAAAGTTATGTCCCAAGTATGCAGAGGGATTTATGAGGAATTGTTCACAGGAGTCCAACACTTAGATGTGTCTTCATCGGATAACTGGAATTATAGTTTGTGTTCCATTTTGACTGTCTCTTTATAGCTTGAGTATTTTAAAACAGACTCCCCAGGGTTAGGAATTTAATTAAAAGCACTACATATTTACACCCAATCAGAATAGCATGTAATAATTCTTCCATTCTACTGCTTTAATTTGCTCTCCCACTTTAGAAGTAATCCCTCTGCCATAAGCAGGAAATAGAAGTCCCTCTCTCTCTCTCTCTCTCTCTCTCTCTCTCTCTCTCTCTCTCTCTCTCTCTCTCTCTCTCTCTCTCTCTGTGTGTGTGTGTGTGTGTGTGTGTGTTTTATGAGTGTGTATATGTACAGGGCAAACAACAGGATCAGTATTTTTAATCTTTTTTCTCTTTTATTTATTATCAATCCAGAAACCAAATACTGTATGGGGCTCAGACTGTTCTGAATACCTGTTAAAGGTTTATTTCTAAACTTTAACATGTTATTTATTGTCTAGCAAAAAAAAAAAAATCTAGAGATTGCCCCAGATGATCTCCAAGCCATGCTAGTTATTCCTAAAGCAATATGATGGTGAGATCTGAAGATCAAAGGAATGTAAAAGGTACACCCTCATTTACTCACTTTGGTCACACTTGGGGCCCGCATAACCAGCATAGCAGGTACACTTTCCATCTCCAGAGGGGCCATGGTTGCAAATTCCATGCTGACACTCACATACTAAGCAAGAAAAGAGGATTGAATAATTCATACTTACAGTCTTATCAAAAATGCTTCAATCATTAATGTAGCACTAAGAATATTGTTCTGGGAACTGAAAAGCTTTACCATGAAGCTCATTGGCTCCCTTTGAGCCAATCACTGTTGTTTGGATCAATCTTCTTCAAGGAGTTATTGTTAGAGAGATGAAATTAGTATTGTGCATACTATCTTGAGTTCCCAAAGTTTGCGAGTTTAAGTGTTTTGAACTGAAGCACAGACAACTGCCACTATATGACTGTTTAAGAAAGGATTGAAAATTGGTATATTGGTCTTAAAAGAACAAACATCCTCCTTGTCCAGCCAGCCTCTGAAAACCCAGTGATGATTGGAGTGCCAGGAGCACTTCAATTTTCGTGGAGACGAACAACCAGAATAAACTTGATCTTACTTGAGAGTTATCCCAATAGTCAAAAATACAAAGGATCTGCAAGCTCTGCTAATAAAAGTCATGCAGCAGAGTGAAAAATGGGGGGAAAAGAGGCTAAAATTAAATATAAAGAAGACCAAATTAATGCAAACAGATGGAACAACTAGCCTTAGAATTGACAATGAAGAAATCAAATTGGTGGAAATCATCTGCCATTTAGGATCAACCACCAACAGTAAAGGAACAAGCAGTCAAGAAATATGGTATACACTAGCATGTGATAAAGCTACCATGAAGGCCTTGTAAAAGATATTTAAATGCTATGTCTATACCTACAAAGATCAGAATCATGCAAACCAAGGTATGCCCTGGAATGGAAGCAAAAGTTAGACTTTAAAGAAGCAGAATAGAAGCAGTATGGACACTTTTAAGCTATGTTTTTGGAGAAGACTCCTAAGAATGCAATAGTGGCGAAGACTCCTAAGAATACTGCGGACATCCAAGAAGACAAACAAATGAAACATCAAAGAAATAATTCAAAGTTCTCACTCAAGGCACAAATGACGAGGCTGAAATTATTGTATTCTGAACACATTCTGCAAAGAGGTAGCTTTCTTAAGAAATCTATAATGCTGAGAAAGGTGGAAGAAAACAGAAAAAGAGGAACAGCAAGAGCGGTAGCAAGACAAATGAACTCAATTACACTGGTGATAAGGAATATTTTGCTTTAAATATGAATAAGGGAACATCAAGGTCAATGGTGTGGGATGCAAGTAAAGCTTTTATGCGTGGTATTTTGATAAAAATGAATAACTTGCATAGACAGAAACAGATTCAGAAACGTAAAGATTTAGAAGAGGAGATTAAATTAAAAGAGAAACTCCTAATTTCAAACCCTTTAGATGAAAAGGTGAAAGGAGCTATAAAACTCTTAAAAACACAATTTAACATGTTGATGGCTGATCAAGCTGCAACCAATTTACTATTTATGAAACAAAATACATTTTGTAATGCTAATAAACCAGGGAGATGGTTGGTTTATCAGTTAAGAAAGAAACAGAAACAGAGGAATATAGATAAAATAAATTATAATGGTATATTGGTTTATCAGAAAGAATTGATTAAGAAATCTTTTTTAGAATACTACCAAAAATTATACAAGAGTACTAATATTCAAACTACAGATATAAACAATTATTTAGGTAAAGTTAATTTTCCTAAATTAACAGAAGATCAGGAAAAAGAGATTAATGGTTTAATTACTAAGGAAGAAATTGTTACAGCTATTAAACAATTGAAATTGGGCAAAGCGCCGGGTACGGATGGGTTGACATCTATTTATTATAAAACTCTAGTAGAAGAGATGACTCAACCGTTGTGTGAATTGTTTAATAACTTATTACAGGGGTTAGAGATCCCTCCATCTTGGCGTAATGCATTTATATCACTGATTCCAAAAGACAATCAAGATCTTACATTGCCTAAAAATTATAGGCCTATATCTCTTTTAAATGTGGATTATAAAATTTTTGCAAAAATTTTAGCTAATAGGTTTATGGGGATTTTGCAGCAGATTATACATAAGGATCAATCGGGTTTTATAACTGGAAGGTATATGAAAAATAACGTTAGACAAATTATTAACTTATTAGAGTATTTAGAAAAGAATAACCAAGTCTCTGCAGGCTTGATATTTTTGGATGCTGAAAAAGCCTTTGACCAAGTGAACTGGCAGTTTATGTTATGTTTAATTAAGGAGATGAATTTTGGACAAAATATATTACAAGTATTATCTAATATATATCAAAAACAGACTGCTCAACTTATTGTAAATGGGGGTTTGTCAGAGGCTTTTGTAATAGAAAAAGGTACAAGACAGGGATGCCCGTTATCCCCGTTATTGTTTGTTTTAACATTGTAAATATTGTTGATTAAAATTCGGGAGTCTCAAGAAATAAAAGGAATAGAAATTAATAAAAAAGAATATAAATTAAGAGCCTTTGCAGATGACTTGGTTGTTACTTTGTCTCAACCTATTTGTTCGGTGGTAAAATTATTACAATTTATCCAACAATATGGACGTGTTTCTGGTTTTAAAATTAATAATAATAAGACCAAAATATTAGCTAAAAATATGACTAATGGTGATAAACAGGTTTTAGTTAAGTTAATAGACTTTGAAATTGTTGATAAGGTAAAATATTTGGGGGTTACATTATCTGCTTCCAATGTAAAATTGTATAAAAATAATTATGAAAAGTTGTGGATGGAGATACAGAAGGATTTAAAAAATTGGAACAATTTACAGTTATCCCTTATGGGTAGAATTGCAGTTATTAAAATGAATGTCCTGCCAAAGTTTATTTTTCTGTTTCAAATGTTACCTATTTTAAAGAGTGATCGTAATTTAGATGAATGGCAAAAAGGTATTAATAAATTTGTTTGGGCAGGGAAAAAACCAAGGGTGAAACTTAAAATAATGCAAGATTTTCGTGAGAGAGGTGGACTCAAGGTACCAAATATGAAATTGTATTATGATGCCGTAGTACTAACATTGATCAGCGATTGGGTGAATTTAACAAATATAGAAATACTTCATTTGGAAGGTTGGGATTTACTTTTTGGATGGCATGCCTATTTAATATTTAATAAAAAAGTGGATTGGGTTTTTAAGTCTCATATTATAAGAATCTCTTTGCTTAGAGTGTGGAGGAAGTATTATAAATTTGATTTTAAAATACCATTATGGGCTATACCTCGGCATGCCATAGAAGGTATAAGGAAAGGGGTTAATATGGATATGGTTTCTTATGCACAGTTACTTAGATGGGATGGCCAAGACTGGCAGTTAAAATCTTTGGAAGAACTAACACATGAAAATCTAACTTATTCATGGTTCCAATATAGACAAATAGTGGACAGATGGAAGATGGATTGTAAAATGGGCTGGCTTAGAGAAGATGAAACTCTCCTAAAACAAGTAAGAGATCAAAGGCCAACCCATATTAAGAGAGTTTATGGGGTTTTAGTGGAATTGGATTCAGAATCTGAATTAGTTAAAGATTGTATGATTAAATGGGCACAGAATATTGGTGAATCGATTTCAATGGATACTTGGGAACTTATTTGGACAAGAAATGTTAAATTCACACAAGCGCAAAATTTAAGAGAGAATTTTTATAAGATGTTTTATAGATGGCACCTTGATCCAAAGAAAATGTCCATTATGTACTCTAATTTACAGCCGAAATGCTGGAGATGTGGACACTTGGATGCTACTTATTATCATATCTGGTGGACGTGTAAGCATATAAAAGCTTTTTGGATTAAGATATGGTGGAATATTCAGAGAATTTTTAGAAGGAGGGTAAAATTTACTCCGCAATTATTTTTATTAGGTATTGTTACTGATTGTGATGCTAGGGAGGTTATATTGATGCTAAATTTGATTACAGCTGCTAGGCTGTTAATAGGACAATATTGGAAGAAGGAATCCTTGCCTATTTTACAAGAGTGGTTTTATAAAGTTTCGTATTTGGCAGAAATGGCAAAGATTTCGGCTTTTTTAAAGGAGCAATCTCAAGAGAAATTTTTTGCGGTATGGGAAAAATGGATAAATTTTATACAACATAATTTAGATATGGAAAAATATTATTTAGCCTTTTTATAACTTGTAATGATTGTTTTTTTTTCTTCTTCTTTCTTTCTTTCTTCTTCTGTATTATTATTTATATACTTTTCTATATATGTTTTATTTTTCGCCTACCTCTTTCTTTTTTCTTTCTCTCTCTCTTTTCTTTTTCCCTTTTTTCTTCTTCCCTTTTTTTACGTATATTATTATTATATATATTATTATTATGATTTTTATTATTATTATTAATTATCTTATAAATTGTATACGTTATTTTTTAAAATTTGTTAAATAATCCTATATTCAGTTCTGGGAAGTCGGGGGGGGAGGGTGGGGTGGTTTGGGAGGGGGGGTGGATGTTTATTTGTAAAATTTTTGAAAAAAATTCAATAAAAAACAAAATTACACTGGTGATGAAGGCTTCACTAAAAGATCAGATTAGGGATGAATTGTCATGCAGAAAATCTATCTATGTGGTTTCTAAGAGTCAACAACAACTTGATGGATCTTTACCAATAGCACATCTGTCTTGCCTGGAATTAATTTCAACCTGTTCTCCCAATTCTAGCCCAATATTGATACTGTTTTCCTTGGTGACTGAGGTTTGGAGTGGTGCAGCTGGGTACCCCAATCTTCTACCTATCCGCTTCATTATTCTCAGTTGCTTCATAAACCAGGGTGCTGATAGAGCTCTGCTGTCGAAAAGGCACTTAGGAGCTCTAGAGTCAATTATTCTCGGCTATCACTGTACTCTTCAGGTCAGGGATATCAGAATTAATGTAAATAGATAACGTAAGCAATTTCAAAATGTATTCAGAAATCGATATAGATCCATCAGATACCTGGCCCAGAACATTTTAACTATGCACTTCTATAGTGCCCATTGCTATTATTATGTGTCTATGATTTGCCCATCAGCTCATTCAAATTTTCCCTTAGTTGACTAACAGCCATTATCTCAATTCATTTCAGTGAGATCCTGGGCTTGAGATGCTTACCAGATTGACAGTCAGGGCCGAAATGCTTTTCATCCTTGCAATCTTGGCATGCGAAGCCACCATAATTTGCCTAAAGGAATCAAAGAGATGAACTTTTTACAATGGTATTTTTATGTAAAGAAGGAAGGAAGGAAGGAAGGAAGGAAGGAAGGAAGGAAGGAAGGAAGATAGATCTTGGGCTTCCTAACAATAGAGCTGAGGAAATTGTAATCCTCCAAGGCTGCAGAACTACAACTCCTTGTAGATCTCTCAATGATGTTGCCAATAAAAATTGCTGGAAGGTGTATGTCAGCTTCTGAAACAAGCCTGGCTGAAACCATCTTCGTCATTCTAAGTTGCCACAGGTTGGGGGAAAGGAAAATGGCAGCATTGCTAGACTAAACGTACAGCGGTCCCATGGGAACCAAGGTCATTCCCACAGAAGCTGGAAGATGGAGAAAAGAAGTTTAACGGAAGCCACCAATGGCTTTTATTGGGTAGTGTAATAATTGCACAGAAAAGGGGAGGAAATTGTTACATTTAGCTACATTGAATCTTTAAAGGGAATTTTAGATTTGTTTTCACTTTTGACCATGCCGATATTATTTATCTAATAAACATGTGCTTTGAGGAAATTTCAAGCCTTGGAGTTCTGATTTATTTGGTCTTGACAGTGTATTTTAGTAACATCTGGGAGGTCACCAATAGTTTACTTCTGTGGGATAATGCACAGTATACAAAGAAACTATCTACACACATTATCATCAATTTGCTTCCTTGGTAATGTTAAAATTAAATCTCCTTTGTTCTTTTAAGAAAGCACTACTGTATAAACAATAGTTGTGTGTTTTTTAAAGTAACAGACTGTATTTAGAAGAAAAAAGCATCAATTACTTAAGGCAATGCAGAACATAAAATGAACAATTAATGTGATGTAAATGTTTCATGTAATCATTATTCCAGAAGAGAATGCACATGTAAATAAGAGAGATGGAACTGAATCAGCTTCCTTCTAAATTCTTGCATGCTCCATCCACAATTCCTCTTTCCATTTGTAATCAAGAGAATGCAGGAGAGAAGCTGGCTGAATTACAAATCTCTCTGTTCAGTAAAGGAAACTCAGCAATGTAATAATTATCCTATTTGGATATAATAATCAGTAGTGGCCCTTTTCATCCAGTTGCCAAATAATGCATAAAAGCTTTGGTGAAAAGAACAAAATCTTACCAAAAAATTCATTTTAAAAATGGGGGGACTAAGAGCAGCTTTTGATGTCTAGAAGGTGCTTTGTTGATCTACAGGCACCGCTTTGCCAGCCTCTGCTTTATACTTTAATTCATAGTGTGCTGGACTATTACAGGGATAGGCAACCTTGGCTCTTTTATGACTCGTGGACTTCAACTCCCAGAATTCCTGAGCCAAGGTGGTGCAGCAGTTAGAGTGCAGTACTGCAGGCCACTTTAGCTGACTGTGTTCAGCAGGTCAGCGGTTCAAATCTCACCGGCTCAAGGTTGACTCAGCCTTCCATCCTTCCGGGGTAGGTAAAATGAGGACCCAGATTGTGGGGGGCAATGTAAATATATATATACATTGCTTACTGGTGTACACCACTTAGAGAGTGCTTGCACTTAAAGCGGTATATAAGTCTCATAAATAAATAAATAAATAAATACCCCGATATAGTCCTTTAGCAGCAAATGTACTATTGTAAAAAAAAAATCTAATTTAATAAAATATTTCCTCTTTTTACATGATTTTAATAATGATTAGGAAGCAAAATAGAATTTAATTATGTGCACAAATCAGCACATAAATTCTACTTGTTACTTGGAGTTCTTGATGCCAGTTTTGCTGAGAGTGTGATTTCCTCCTTGATGGCTCATTGATTCATGGCTGAGCAAGCTACTATACATAAGCAGGCAGCAAATGCCATAATCACTAGCACTAAGGATGCTACCTAGTTGGATAATGAAACATCTGCCAACAGACAAGCAGCACAGAGAGCATCAAGAACTCCACAGTTCAACCTTGAGTTACAGATACACTTGCCTGCTATATTTATTATTTCATGACATGCCTTTCTCTTGGTGATCACATATTAACAGCTCCATTAAGAACTTCGCTTATTGAGCATTACAATATATACTTTTCCAAGAAGAGTAGCTATTAAATGATGAGCAGAATGAAAGGGCATCAAAGAAAGCCAAGTAAATTGACAAATGGACTCTGTGGGTCTTCCTGGTGACACTGAAGATGCCCATCTTAAATGCACAGACAGCAACACAAACGTTTCTACAACGATTCGCCTTTAAAATACACTTTGATAGTGGAACAAGGTATAAGAGCTCATTAGCATAAACATTCAGAGAGATTCTTGCTTCCCATCAGATTCCCTTCAGTCTCCGGATTTCTTGTGGAGAGGGGTGATAGTCTGGTTTTTGTTTGTTTGTTTGTTTTTTGTTTTAGTTCTAGGACAAATTTACCTCTCCAAATGTAAATGTCACTCTCTTTCTTTGATTAGCAATGTGGGAGAAAGTCATCCAAGCTAGTGTTGTGATGCACTACAACAGGGGTCCTCAACCTTGGTCACTTTAAGACTTGTGGACTTCAACTCCCAGAATTCCTCAGCCAGCAAAGTTGAAGTCCACAAGTCTTAAAGTGGCCAAGGTTGAGGAGCCCAGCACTAGAAGAACGCTCTTGGTTATAAACTGTCCAGCCTACTGCTAGTAATGCATTCTTGGAGAAAGCAAACCCAATCTTACATTACAAATGCAAGTTCCATTATTCGTAATGCCATCCAAACAGGTTCCATGCTGGTTGCATATGTTTTCAGATCCACCAGGACATTCTATGAGAGGAAGAGAGTTTACCCACATTTAGTTTGTTTTAAAAACTGTGTCATTCCCATACTGTTTTGATTAAATCAGGTGCATCCTCATTGCAAGACATTACAAACAGTGTATGCCCATTTCGTCTTAGTTCAGTGGCCTTGTGGAGAAAGCTCTATTCGTATAAACACCAGGGCCTAGTTTTGTTTCTTTGGGCCATCCGGGATAAAAGGAGCCTTCCTTCTTAATGAATCTGGTTCATTCAGAATAACAGAATCTTGCAAGTCTAAAAGTACAACTCTCCCCCATCATCTTCACAACTCAAGAAAAGATGGGAGTTCCTTCTCAGACATTTGCCATCTCCCTGAATTCCTTCTGCAGGCTCAGCTGCCTCTTATCTGACTGTTGTCTACTCTGTGATTTTTCTTCTGTCTCCCAAGGTCAGTCCTAGATGCCATTATAATTGGAGACCCTTCTTTCTGTGTTGACTTGACTGGGACTGACTGTTGTACATCAAATGTACAATTGTTGTGTTATGTTTACAACAGACATGTCAAACACAAGGCCCGGGGGCCAGATGCGGCTTGTGAAGTGGTTTCATATGGCCCGCGAAGCCATCCTGGAAACAGTGAGGGAATGGTCCCCTCTGCCTTGGCCCAGGCCAGCTGGGAGCCAATGTACAATTTTGTGGTGGCCATCTATGCTGAAACATATTCAGTCTTAGCTCCACAAGGCTGTCTGGAAACAGCGAGGAACCAGGAGAACCTTGAGCAGCAGCCTTGAGGAAGTGAGGCTGGGCTTGGTGCCACGGGTGCTCAAGGGCCAGGCTGGGCATTTGACCTCTGGGCAGCCCACACCACCATCCACCCTCCCCTCGCATGGCCTGAGAGGAACAGTGAGGCTCTTCCAGTGGACCATGCCTTGGCGCTTGCCCTGGTCCCACCCCCTTTTGCCAGAGCCCCTCAGATCTGTCCCACTCCTGCCCAGACCCCCACAGGCACCCTTGACCCAGACAATGTAGAGCTGGCCACACCCACCCAGTAGGCCACACCCACTCCATCCGTGCCCACCCAGGAGGCCGCACCCACCCTTGTCACACCACCCGCCCCCCCGAGGGCAACCGCAATGCTGATGCGGCCCTCAATGAAATTGAGTTTGACACCCCTGGTCTACAATATGGGTTTTTGAATTTCTTTTTCTCCTTTTGCTGTTGTATGTCATCATTGTACATTGCCTGTACAATATGTGCAAATGATTGCAAAAGGTATATTTTTTTAAGTACACAGCATGCTGATACTGCCCGCCTCTGTATGGCCCAGTGTTTAAATCCTTATTTCTTATTGGATTCCATAGCTTCAGTACATAGAGACTCCAAAAGATTGTCAAGCAAAACATGATTCCCAAACCATCTGAGTCCCTGTCTATGTGGTATGTTTCCTATATTCAAAAACTTACCATAGCATTCAGAACCCCAGGATCCAGAGCAGCATTGTTCCTCTTCTACGTCCTTTATGCACAAGTAATTGCACCCCAAGATAGATATGGTATTCTCACCCAGGTTTACTGTATACCTGAAATAGGAAAACAAACACACATATGCACAGATGCAAAAATTGTTATCATTCAGGGAACTATAAGGCACAGTGATATATTCCAAACAACACCTATAGCACAGAAAAGCCAAAATCTGATCTGAAAATACTTTCTATCATGATCATCTGCCTTGAAGGTAAAACTAGAAATAGCAGTGTCAATTTTCTGGCTCAAATTTGGCTGCCCCGAATCAGTGATACAGAATTGTTGACCTTACTTCCTTTACTCTTGGTTTCTCAATTGTGTGTATAGATATGTGTAAGTGTGTATACAGGTATGTACACATAAACATATGTACCTTGTATCTACAGTATGTACCTAAGTAGATAAGTAGGTATAAGTATTTTCAAAAACCTAAAAGCATATGACTTGGAAGAAAAGCAAAAACATTTTTATTCTAGAGCAGAGGAACAGAGTGAAAAGAATAGTAGATTTAGAAAGGCAAATTCTAATTGAACAATTAAACCAAAAACAACTAGCTAATGATAACATCAATACAATAGTGGAATCAATTGCTCATGGAAGTTGTGGATAAAGAATTGGGGGTGTTGGCCCAGTGTCCAAAACGCTCCTTGCAGTTCTGTAATTTTATCTATACCCTTCAGCTTGCTTCAACAACAGATGAGATGCCTTGTTGTATCAGTATTATTTACATAAAACACTAAGCCTTTGTATAGGTTAGCACAGTGAATGCAACTGCTTGCTACACCATTCCTGGCTTAAAAACGGAGCCAACAGACATGAGCACACCTTAGTAGGGCATATTCACCATTCAGTCATATTAAGCTTAAACATTGTGCAAATATACTCAGCGGAAGAGGCTTCCATTGACAACTAAGTTGCATGCATAGGGTGATCTTTCTGTTCTGCCAAGAAATCCTTCCTCAATTCATAGGGTGAACCTTTAAGATTCATCAGTTTTTTGATTCTACATATTGCCAATGGTTAGTTTACCAACTGTTCAGCAGTTCTCCAACCTGCTTTCCCTCTATATGTGTGGATCTCAACTTCAGGATTCTCAACAATTGCCCTGCTGACTGGGAAAATCTGGAAGGCTCTCCAGATTGGGAGAAGCTAACTTAGAAAGTTAACATATCACCATCCAAGTTACAAATGAAAATATTTAATCTGCATATCAGAAGCTTAGTTTTTTTAAAAAAAAAAAAAACCTTTGAGATTTATTGAAAATCATAGAGGAAATTAAATTAATTCCACAGCAGATACTAAAAGTACAAAAATTGCTTAAGCCCTGGAACTTCAGTCCTGTTTCTGTAAGTTAGGTATAGCAACTTCAATATCAATGAGACACTGTGCAGTTTTGGTTTTCAAAAGCCAAATATGTTTGATACATTTGACAGCAAATGGGTTGGCATCCATATATTAAGAATTTAAAATATTCTGGAGCTTAACTTCAAAGTGTAGTAGTGAGGAATAGGACATAATAGAACATAACTGTTACTTTAGGACAGGGGTCTTCAAACTTGGCCCTTTTTTGACTTGTGAACTTCAACTCCCAGAATTCCTCAGCCAGTGTGCCTGACTGAGGAATTCTGGGAGTTGAAGTCCACAAGTCATAAAAGGGCCAGGTTTGAAGAACACTGCTTTAGGAAATCAGCATGCAATAAAAAAGCACAGATGTTAATTTGCAATTTGAGTAATACTAAACTAAAAATTAAATGATTATGAGAAAATGATCTAGATTCAAAAATAAGAGAAAACATTTTTGCTAGTAGATAAATAAGGAATAGATTGAATTTTATTATAATCACAGATTAAAATAAAAACATTACTATTGTTTTTTTGTATTAGAAAATGACATCCAGTACCAAATATATTACTGATATAAGGAAAGGAAAAGATATGTATAGGCTGTTTTGTATCTATTGAAAAATATTTGTGTATATCATATTTCCAAGAATTTTTGGCATCTTTTATAGCTCTTATTGGCATTCATATGGAAGCCCAACATTACTAAGAGGCTTATTTGGTTTTTGAATTAACATTAAATTTTATTTTGCCTGCAGTGAGTTTAATATACTCTTAGAAGCCACCCCTGCAGTACTTGAGCTATGAGCAAGGGCTACCCAAAACCAAAGATCGGTACAGTAAATAAATAAGGATTGCTTGAATTTGATTTGTACTTCATAGCAATCCTGATTACCATTCTGAGAGATATCTTAAACAGCTCAGTCTCACTCTACCTACTGTAAATACCACAAAACATTTTGCATACACCTGAATTAATATTTTTTCTTCAGTGGCATTTAAAGTATAGGTTCTACTCTACAAGCTTTGTAAATCAAAGATCAGTTTACTGCAGATATTAAGATGTGTTGCTCTAGTGATTTCTTTATAAATGTTATTGTTAAAAATGGGTGCCATTCAGTTGCATTTTGGTCTGTGACTGTAATGAAGATTGATTTATCTGTCTAGCTCTCCATTATCATCTACCTGCTTGCCTGCCTGACTACCTGCTTATGAAAACAAATATGTTTATGTTGTTTCAATTACTAAATAATATGATTAAACTTTGCCACAGGCCATAATCGGTCATAATCCACTCTAGTTATCTCAAAAATCAATAGCACTATCCAGATGTGGTTACTTACAAAGATCAGCTCTGTCACATAATAAAATGTATTATTTACATAGAAACCTCCAAGCCTTTGGTATAGGATTGTTATGTATCTGATGTGACATCACAATCCAGGCTCAAATTCTGCATGCACAGAAAGTAGAAGCTTGACAGATGTTGTGTCCTATTAACTGGGACTGGCCTGGAGTTTTTCATCTTTATTTTTCCCCATAAGTGTAAACCATCCCTATGACTTTACCATTAAGCAAAGTGTCCTTTGATTCATTGGGAAATCCCTGTTCTAAAATATATCACACACACTGAAATAGAAAAGAGCACCTTTTTACCTGCATTGCCCTGGCTTGTCAATTAGCGTCCATCCCTTTGGGCACCTCACCCTCTGAGAATTAAGAGCGCAAGTAGAGCAAGAAGTAGTCTTCCTATATGTGAACTTCCGATGACATCGCATTGATTTTAACTGGAAAATGGGAAAGTTAATAATTCTTATAAAAATGCACAGTTTCATAACTCAGTTAAAAGATAACAAGCAGCATCAAAGGGTTTTCAAATCTGTTTAATGTCTTATTTCCAGAGATAAAGCCAAGTGACAGGCATCTGGAAATATTTCTGATCAATCCATATCTAATGCATGCCAGCCTTCTTTGATCCAACATTGTCTGATGGTTTGGGCTGCCCAGCCTCATCACAGCATGCCAGCTGAGAAATATGGGAACTATAATGCCACACATCCCAGAAACTCTGGAGACAAATCGATCCACACTAATGAATTACTGGTTTTGGCTTTGCTGCTACATGCACAGAAAAGTGCTGCCCCCATGCCAGCAGTTTAACTTCGGTCAGTAGCACTTCCCCAACAATGTTGTAACACAACCCAGAGAACCTTTCATTTCTCTGTTCTGCAGCAGAGATGACTCTGCTTTATGAGTCCCACATGTGAGGCCATAACTAACATATGCTAGGACCTTGATACATTCAACTGCAGAAAACAGGGTGCACCCACCATCTACAGGATCTGCGTCCATTCAGATAACTACACCAACACTGGAGAAATTTGGTTTTGTTCAAAAGTAGATAAGAGAGCCTTGAAGCACATTAGAAAAAAAGGAAGAAGGCATGCCTGGGGATTTTAGAGGAGGAAAGCTGTGAGCGAGCAGATAAGAGGCTGGAGCTAGGTATTTATCTTTTCTGGTGCTCTATTGTTTCGTTGAGGAAAAATAGATTGGATCTCACTTTTACATATCTTACTTCTACATATTTGACCATAGAGTAAGGTCCCCGGTTCTTAATCCGGAGACAAATGTAACTCTGTGAAGGAATGACTCCTCTGAATGTGATGAGCATCTAACTGACGAAGTCTCTCCAGTTCAGCAGATAGTATAAATGAGCGTCTCTGAGAATTGGATCCTCACTCCATTCCCATTGCTATACTGCACTTTTCAATAAGTGCTAGGTTCTGTTCCAATTGCTAAGTAAAGATACTCTAAATAAATATAAATGCTTGAACCCATTAAAGCGGGTTAAACCAAATTAACTTTACAAAGTTAAACCCAAACTATATATACAAACCATTACTGGATTAGATTAAGTTATCGGCTCAATGTTCTAATTCAGAAGGTAATCCCATCCAGTGAATGGTAACATTTCAGTAATCTGCTCCCTATTGTTTATTCATCACTGCAGGCAATAAATGACAAAATCAGAGTTTTGGATGTAATTCTTCAGATTCTTGATGCAGTGTCAGTATACCTAGCCCTCTTTGAACACACGATATCATTATTGTTGACACATTCCTAACATTTTGAATTTATTGTGTGGTAAAATAATGCATTTGTTTAAGTGCCAGAAAGTAATGTGACTCCCTTCTTTTTTTGTGGCTTTTATACGTAGCAACAGGATATCTGTAAAAAAATGTCTTTAGTCACTCTTAATAGTATTCATATTAAGAACATACATTTTATTTTCCTGTTCTGTACATTTATATAAACACAGTATCATTCTACAGATTTTTTTGGGGGGGGGGGAGTTATTGGAATTCATCCTATTCAAAGTTCATCTTTAAGTTTGGATAAGCTCAGTTTCAACAAAGCTCTTTAAATGCTCTCAGAAATCCAGATTCACCAGGGAAAAGATGATTCGGATTATACATACACTCACAGAGCACTCAAGGTTATCCATTTTGCAGCTGTGCGATCCCAAGAAAAGATCCCTGTTTTAAGACAAAGGTTGACAAATGTTTGGGACATACCCCGGTTTCTCCAAATCACTTTTTCCTGTTGAAACTGGATTACTACATAGCCCTGGTTTCTTTCTCAGAAAGGCCAAATACATTTTCCTATATAATTCCTTCCTTCCTCTTACATCTTCTACAGATTTATTTATTTATTTATAAATAAATAACTCAAGGTGGCAAACATATTTAATACTCCTTCCTCCTCCTATTTTCGCCATGACAGGGTGAGGTGAGTTGGGCTGGGAACAATTGAATGGCCTGAAGACACATGTTTATTCATAACTGTTTGACATCTAAAAGAAGAATACTTATGTTATTAGGCTCTTTATCAATAATTAAATTACTTTTTGATTTATTCTATCTTCGTAAACATTTGTTTAAGATATGAATTTTTCCTTTACAGATTTTGAGTAAACAGCAATAGATTGGCAAAGAGATCTGATTCTGAGTTGTTTACAACTCTTGGTTCATTATAGAAAATTATATGTGGAAGGACTGAGAGTTCAAAATAAATTCTGGAGATTTGAATGTGATGATGATGATGATGATGATGGGGAAGAGGAAGAGGAGGAAGAAAAATGTGATGGACTGTGCAACCAAGCATGATAAAAATAATACATCATCTGCCTATCTCAAGTCCTTGGGGAGGATTAATGGGTGAAAAAGATCCAGTCTAAACATCTAGCTGTCAGTGCGAACAACATAATTATTTAAAAATTATTATTTTTTAAATTAAATTTATTAAAAATGTATATGCCACTCAACCCCAGATTCTGGTCTGTACCTTTTATACCAGGCTCTGGTGGATCATGAGATTTCCAATATATTGGGGGAAGGGGGAGAAATCTCGTAAAGCTTCCCTAATCCCTCCAAATGGGGGTAAAATAGGGAGACCAGGTTTTTACTCTTTCTACTCTGGGAGGCTTCAAGGAATGTTAGGGGGTTGCCCTATTGCATTCCTAAATTAGACAATACATTTATCAATGTTTAAATAAGAATAATTGAAAAGGGGGAATTATTCAGCTTTTATTAATATTTACACTTAAAAACTAAAAATAGATTATGCTAAATGAATTGCCAAATCATTTGAATTAACTTACTAATTCTGATGAAAAATTCTTAATTGTTTAATTTATTAAAATGCATCAACTTTGCAATTTTATACATATATTTCCCCAAACCATACACACAGTGTAAGGACAGACCTAAGTCTAAGGTCTGGTTAAATGGAAATTTGCTTTTTGAAGCTGAAGTAATATTTATTTTTTCATCTCATCCTCTTTTCAAACATCCTGCTGCCCCTTTAAGTGCTGAAGGATTCTACAACTTTTGCCAGAGAAGCACGCTAATTTTCCCAAGTTCGCCAGAGCTTATTTCCAAGTTAAAATGGCAGAGTGGACTGCAGTTTTCACCCCTCAGGGAAACTTACCTGATTTGTCCGCCCTTCATCTTGAAAAGTTGCACATATTGCTAGGATGAACAAGACTAATCCAAGAATTTTCCTCGGCATGCTTTTCCAAAAGATATCTCTTTGCCCAAAACGGGAAGTGTACAGTTTGATAAAATAACACCGCCTACTAAAAATGAGACCGAAGAAACTGTGAAGTTAAATGAGAATGGAGTGAAAGTCTTTGCATGATGTAAATCTCTTAGTCCTAACTATTCAGAAGGAGCAGCATTTTGACTAAACCTCAACTGTCAGCAGATTTAAAAGGAAAAAGCAGGGAGGCATAGACTGCATGAAAATGATTCTGAGAAAGGAAAACAATGGATTACACAAAACAGGAACATTAACAAATTTCCTCTCTTCTATCAGTTACAACAGACAGAAGGAAATCCTTTCATTTTTTTTATTGGAATGGAAGTCTGATTGTGTATTTAGCAATGAGGTAAAGCTGCCCATGAACTAGATTTTGTTAACAACCCAGATGGTAAATTTATATGATATCAGGGTAAGTTTTAATTCATCGGCAACTTTTCAGCAAACCAATGAAAACATGAAATATAAGATAGCAATGTAGAGAAAATGCTGCTTATAAACATAGTGGCTTCCTGGTTATTTCTTGATATGGAGGACAATCCTTATGAAATTCTTATTAAACCAACTTTCTTTGAAATTTTTGATTTTCAAGGCATGATGATTATATTATTCCCTCAGTATTCCTTCCATTCTTCCTCCTTCTTTCTCTTTCTCCTCCCCTACCTTGCAATTATCTGGACCAATACTAGTTGTAGTTCTGATTCTTTGAATCATCCTCAAGTCCTCTCTAAATTCTTGATTGCTGATATTAACACAGAATATTTGATCTATCACAATATTGCTGCGCTGAATAAAGGATTCTTGATTATGAAGTTAGAAATGAACAATTACTATATCAAATGGAGAATATACTGCAGTTTAAACTGTGTAGTCAGGAATAGGGTGAATCTCACAAGGATCCAAAAATCTGCATAGCTTGTCCTTCCCAAGAAAGCTGTAAATGCCCATAGTTGTTTAAAAATAGCCTCTCTGTAAGACTCAACAAATGATTTTAGAAACCAAAAGTTGGGATTGCAGAATTATAGCCCCAGGTTCACTGCCCACCAACATGTAAAACATTGTTGTTTGTTTTTATCGATTTATTTCTATTCTTATGGAAGTCTAGGAATGGAACGGATAAAATATTTCTGTTCAGTAAATTGTCATCTCAGAACAACTTATATTCTGAGATAACAGCTGTAGAGCTTTGCCATTAGACACTAACTTTTTTAGCAGTTAACAGTATGTCTCTTTACGAGCAATAAAAAAATTATCCGGTTAGTCATTAGATAGGGCCTATGTGTTTTGTACTGTAATAAATATTCCGATGTGAATTTTGTATTCATATCAATTGTGGAAGATCTAAAGTGGTGCATTTATGAAGGGAGGAGTCTAAAAAGTTAAAATGGTTTTTTAAAACCGAAATAATAATGAATTAAGCTGCAACAATATGATTGAAGCCACTTTTAAGATATATAGTACTATATGTGCAACATACAGTACATAAAAATGGGGTAGGGTTTTGATTATACAGTTTATTTATTTTATTTTATTTTTAAAATTTATAAGCCACCCACTCCCTCAGGACTCTGGGCGGCTAACAATAAAAGCACCATATAACATGACAAAAAAACAATTCAATAACAGTCATCCAGGGGTCAGATTTTATAAACCCCAGGCCTGGTCTTAAGCAGCTTACGGAAAACCAACAGGGTGGGAGTGGTCCTAATCTCCGGGGGGAGCTGGTTCCAAGACGTGGGCGCCATCACAGAGAAAGCCCTCCTCCGCAGCCCCGCCAAATGGCACTGCTTGGCCAATGGGACCTGAAGGAGGCCCAGCCTGTGGGGTCTAACCGGACGAAGGGAACTATGAGGTAGTAGGCGGTCTTGCAAATAGTCTGGCCCTGAGCCATATAGGGCTTTAAAGGTAATAACCAACATCTTGAATTGGACCCGGAGACCAATAGGCAACCAGTGCAGCTCATGAAGGATAGGTGTAACGTGAGTGTACCGAGGAACACCCACTATTACTCACACGGCTGCATTCTGGACCAACTGTAGTCTCCGAATACTTTTCAAGAGTAGCCCCATGTAGAGTGCGTTGCAGTAGTCCAGTTGCGGCTAGCATCTTAACTTTTGAACACTCACACCCACAGATGCCCGTTTATAGCATAGTATATATGTATAAGTATATCCAGAAAGATAGGAATATTTGCATACCTACATAACAGAAATAAAAATGTATCAGAAATAATATTTAAGAGATCTATAAGAATACTTTTCAAATTTTTAATTGTTAATTTTTCTTTTTTTTTCTTTTTGGTTTATTTATTGCTTCACCTTAGATGCCACTGAGAGGCAACCAACAAACCTATAGCAAGTATATATATCCATACATTTGAAACAGTGAAATAACAACAATCATACTATAATTTTAATTGAAGACTACTTATTTTACAAAGATAACATTATACATTTTGCTGTAAAAAAAGATAAATAGATAACATGCATGCCTTTTACATGGTCTTTTTTTGCTTGATTCTAACACAATATATGAGCCTGTTTGCCAGATTTGCTGCATTAGAAATGGAAGGAGAAAAAAACCCCAAAGAAAAACACCAAACCTCTTCATACAGCATACTATGGAATGATTCACAGAAAACCATGTGACTTTTTCAGCTCATGATTCATTCAGGGGTCAGCACATCTCTAATTTATTTATGATCACAAGAGAACTGTTTTTTTTTTACCTGAGAATGTTTTATTTCATAATCATCTTTTCCAGATCAGCTGCTCTTCTATATTTTTATGAGTTAGGGAGGCACTGTTTTTTCAATTAACTGTTGCCGTAAGTGTAATAACACTATTAGAAAATAGGTATTATAAAATGCCGTCATTGGTAACGTTCCCCTACATCAGGGGTCTTCAGACTTGGCCAAAGCTGGCTGAGGACTTCAGAGAGTTGAAGTTCAAAAGTCATAAAAGGGTCAAGTTTGAAGACCCCTGCCCTACATTCACTGTATTTTTTAAAAAAATTCATCTTATTTCAACAATACCTCAAAGTTTAGTATCTGGGAGTCTGAGGTAAGTAAAGTTTTTCTTAAGATTATCATGTGCCAAGTGGCTTAAAAGTAGAGACATCTTTGAACTGAGTTTGACTTCTGATGACGATGTTCCCACAGCTTGCTTAGCAGCATTAATGAAGGAACTGACTGTTCCTCATTGAACGTACATGTCCTTCTCCTCTGAAAAGGGTTGTTGTTGTTGTTTTTACTGTGCAAGCGTTTTCAAAAGTGAGAGCCTCAATTAATTTGGAGTAGCTAAATCTGGTCAATTTAAGTTGCCCAAATTCATGATTTTTGTTTTCTTTAAAATAGCAACTGGTTATTTTATAAAACTACTGAATTAGGATGCCCAGCTTCTTCTTTGATTTCTGATGTTTTAGGATATGCTTGTGTCATTAGACACAATATCCTAATATCTGTGAAGGGGTTTTTGGCATATTTCATCAGCTCATACAGTATATATATGCTGATGATTACTGTTTATTTTTCAGAGTTATACTCCATTCCAGCTCAGATATATTTGATTAACAAGTTTGGGTGACTAGCAGGATAGTCTTTTAATTGAAGCAGTGTTCCAATATCTCAGGGGCTGCCACTAAGAAGAGGGAGTCAAGCTATTCTCCCAAGCACCTGAAGGCAGGACAAGAAGCAAAGGATGGAAACTAATCAAGGAGAGAAGCAACCTAGAACTAAGGAGAAGCTTTCTGACAGTTAGAACAATTAACCAGTGGAACAACCTGCCTCCAGAGGCGGTGAATGCTCCAGCACTGGAAGTTTTTAAGAAGAGACTGGACAGCCATTTGTCCGAAATGGTATAGGGTTTCCTATCTGAGCAGGGGGTTGGACTAAATGACCTCCAAGGTCCCTTCCAACTTTATTATTATTATTATTATTGATCATTGCAGTCAGCCAGATGTTCAGACTGGATTTGGCATTTTGTCTACCTATCAACTCCTTACCCAGGACCTGGGATAGGCAGATGTGGATGTTTGATGGTATTACAGGTATCGTCGCAGGATGGAAGCAGTTCCTAGTAAGGCCACCTTTTGCAATTGACTAATGGCAAATTTGTCAATGCCAATGGAGTTCAAGTGGTGCTCCAGTTGTTTTGGGATTGCACCCAAGGAGCCTACCACTATTGGTACTACCCTTGCTTGCTTTTGCCACAGTCTTTCTATTTCTATTTGTAGGTCTTTGTATTTTGTTATATTCTCCAGTTCTTTCTCTTCTATTCTGCTATCTCCAGGCACTGCCACGTCCACTATCCAGACTTTTTGTCTTTCTTATCGACAATTGTTAAGTCTGGGGTGTTATGTTGCAGGTGCTTGTCTGTTTGAATTCTGAAGTCCCAGAGCAGTTTAATTTTATCATTTTCTATGACTTTCTCTAGTTTATGATCCCACCAGTTTTTGCTTACAGGCAAATGATATTTTTTGCAGATCTTCCAATGCACCATTGTTGCTACTTTGTCATGCTGCTGCTTATAGTCAGTCTGTGCAATCTTCTTGCAACAGCTTACCAGGTGGTCCACTGTTTCTTCAGCTTCTTTGCACAGGCGGCACTTACTGTCTGTTGCTGTCTTCTCAATTTTGACTTTATATACATTTGTCCTTAAGGCTTGGTCTTGTACAGCCAGAATTAGTCCCTCGGTCTCTTTCTTCAATTTTCCCCCTCTTAGCCATTGCCAGGTCTTGTTAATATCTGCTTTCCCAGCTATTTTTTTTAATGTATTGGCCATGTAGTGCTTTGTCTTCCCATGCCTCTATTGTGTTCTTCATTTGGTCTTTCTTGTAGGCCAGTTTGGTCTCTCCAGTAGTCAGTATGCCTTCCTGATATACTAATTTTAGTGCATCTTTATCATTGTTCTTCAGATATTCTCCCAAAGCCATTTTTTCTTCTTCAACCATCTGAGGTACTTGTAGCATTCCACACCCACCTATTTGCCTTGGTAGATAAAGTCTATCAATGTCACTGCATGGATGAAGGGCATGATTCATTGTCATTATTTTTCTGGTCTGCCTATCCATTGCTTTTAGTTCTGCTTGAGTCCAGTCCACTATTCCAGCTGTGTACCTAATGACTGGAATTGCCCAAGTGTTGATTGCCTTTATGGCATTTCCTCCATTGAGTTTGGATTTTAAG